ACACATCTTCATGATCATATAGGGAACAATATGCCGATGTGCATCGTTTGCCACATGTCGGACTTGGAATAAAGATGATGGCAAAAGGGGAGAGGAGGAGCAAGAAAGAGAAGGGGAAAAAGAGCGCGGGGAGGAGAAGATGGTGGCATAGGGTGAAGGAGTGGATGCAGCTCGCATATTTTGGTCCAGGGAATGATACTGTTATCACTATGCCATGTCCATGTTGACGAAGTATACATTCACCCCCACCAATCACACTCAAATGTTTAGGAGAAAGCTGATAAATAGATTATGTACATCATGATGATAATAAGGATACCGTTGAACCGACACGCATTCGATTGGCAGTGCGCTTGTAGGTCTGATGACGGACCATTGGAATTAAGACACGGCGAGTGTCTTGACTCTAGACGACAACACTCTGTATAGCTCAATGGATACCAGAAATGATACGCTATATCGTCGTGATATCCGATCGCTTGTGTACTACACTAGACCTCTTTATTCATGATACACGAATGCATTGACTGCGGCTTTGAGCTCTCCAGCAATGTGTGCCCAGGAAAAAGGGCACGCAGTCAGCTAGGAGAGTGTCTGCTAGCCATTACTGAGGCCAAGCATTTACGATAGAAGAAAGTAGCAGAATACCAAACCCCCCACACTAGAATCTTAGTAGTACGTTAACAGTAGTCAGCCACCATATATTAGTACTAATTTACGTTATAACGCCACACAGCAGTCTAAAGGCTTCATACATGATCATCTAGTCCTCTGAAAACCGCAAAGGTCAAGGCAGCATGGACGCCTATCGAAGTCCAGTTAGATATTGTTTCCAAGTTGTCAAACAACTTCCTGAACACCATGTGCGCCACAAAGTTAAATATACTAGGATCCAAGTAGTCAAGAAAATCAACGTTGCCCAAATAAAACAAGCCATTTTTGGGTTTGTAAAATATGATCTTTCCAAATCGAAATTGATCGTTTTGTATCAAATACGAAGGAAAGGCCCCGTGTTATAGGGCCGGCTACCAGAGCCGGGGCGCGATAAATGAGACGAAAAGCTGCCAGTGTCGAGGCTACCTGGCTCGTCGACATGCTGGCTGTGTCATCTGTCTACATGAAGTAGACCTGTGTTCCCTGTACGAATATTTTGGGAGTCTAAACCGGTTCAAGAAGTAATTTAGAGGCCGATTTGCTTGAGAATCCACTCATCCTCCGCAAGCTCTTTTGCAGAGCTACGCTTCTCCGGCTCCCACTGCAACATCCTTTGCATCATACGCAAGAAGCTCTCCTTATCCTCGCCTTCAAGGGTTGTTTCCCTTTGCTCGAGTGGAGTGAGATCTTGCAATAAAGTAGGCTCATGAAATTCGCCCGTGTCGGAGAAAAACTTTTGGCTTTGCTTGCCCCGCGCAAGAAGGCCGGGTGGGGGAGGGCCGAGGAGATTTATCATCTCAGCAAGATGTGCCCTACTCCGGTATGTTTGGAATTCAGGGTCATGGCCTGTGAATAACGAGCCCCCTTCGAAAATGTTCCAGATCTGCAACAAGGTTAAACGCGCCTTTCAATGTTATTGGCCTGCTTGTTATCTTACCATACACCCTACACTCCATATATCGATACTGTATGACCATGGAATTTCCAAGATTACCTCTGGCGCTCGGTAGATATCGGGTTGGACATCTTCTAAATGTTCTACACCACCCAATATAGCCGAGCCAAAATCACATAGAACGGGGGCGCCTAGTTTCCCAGGGATCATTTCGAGGTCCCTGGATAGATAAATTTCTCTTCCATCTAGCTCCTTCCTTGGAGAAGGATCCTGGAGTTCGTCCTCTTCAAACTTAATGAAGACTGAATAGTCAGCGAGCTTAAACATGATGTTATTCGCCTTGATGTCTAATCCAAGTTAGTAACCAACAAGGGTAAAGAGATTGTGTTGACATATACCGGTATGGATAATCTGGCACTCTGTATGCAGGTAGTCTAGCGCTAGGAACACCTGCCGAAGTGTGAAGGCTAGGACCGGTTTAGGCAGCCGTTGGACGGGGTTACGGTGGAGGAACTCCCACACACTCTCAAATAATGGGGGATGAACAAGGCATTGGTGTTTGTCTTCAGGCCCGTCAATGTGGAAAGAATCGAGCAGAGACCTAATGGCATTGCGGCCTGGATGCTTTGAGGCTCTGTCAAACCGCTGATACATTTTGAGCTCATCATCCAGCCGTTGTCCCATGGAAGCAGCCTTGATAAATATTTTGAGGGTCACATAAGAGCGGCAACTGTTATCATCCGGCGTAAGCAGTTGTATGAGGAGGACTAGAGGGGCCTTACTTCATATCCCGCGCAAGCCATACGGTCGAGGTCGCACCATATCCCAATTTGCCTATGACTTGATATCGGTCCTGGATTACTTCGCCGATTCGAGTAGGATAGTAGCGCGAGGCAATATAATCAGGCAGTGTTTCCTCTTCCAGAGTCTGAGTTGGAGAGATCCGGGCGAAGTTCGGATTAGAGAAGTTGAGTGGCTTCCATGTTCGCCCTAGCGGGAATCGCGGTAAAGGCCGTACAAGCCGAGATAACATTACGAAGAACAAGGGTGAAACATAAGGTGATGCCGTTGATGAGGATATTAATACTAAAAGAGGGGCTAAGGAGGGTGTGGAAAGTGTGTTTAAGGGCTTTCCCCGGGGAATTCAGTGTAGACTGATGTATTACACATGTAGAGAAAGGGCCAACAGGTTATTGAATGAGTGAAGTCTGGGCTGGGGACGCGCGGCGATCTAGCTGCCTGAGGCATACATATTTATGCAGGTGGTACTGATATCCTAAAGCGGCATGGCAAAGGCCAGTATTCAGCATCTTCCTTGTAGCGGATTTCGAGAGGGCGAACAACTGCTCTACTGTTCTCATATTGGGTGCTCCTAGCGCCTCTCCGTTTTGTGACCCAGTTTGGCCGCCACGGGGAATACGCGGAGGAACTGATGGAAAGCGGCCAATTAGGCAGGGAGGCGACCGGACTGAAAAATGAAGAAAAGGAATTAGCGTAGCATTGGCTTGTGTACTCCTGGCGTGTGGCTCAGGTACAGTACAGCTCAAGAGATAACAAATCCCATATTCCATGTTTTAGGCTGATATGTGGCAGGATGTCTTGCTCTGCAAAAAGAAATATTCCGAAATGGTCCGTCTACGAGGCTGGAGTCTAACTCCATGGTACCAATCAACACGAGCTATCTCATGCGATATTCATCAATCACGAACTGTGAAAGTGAGGCAAAGGCAAACCCTCACCACGCCATAAGATGCCAGCCTCGCCTATTTTCGCCTCTCCTGTACATGTCTCATTACAGTGTATCAGGCTGAGCGCTGATTCCTTTCCTCACTAAGAATGGCCCCCTTCATCACTTCGCCGACACTTCATGATACAGCAGAGTGGCAATGGATCAAATACAAGGCATGAAGACGCAAGTGGTTGAGTACGAAGTGTACCATCTGAAGCTAAGATTAAGATCATCATTGTGTTAACACTGACATTATTCCTACTGGAGTTTATAGCAACAGCATATCGATATATCACCTAGGCGCATCGCAAGAAAGGCAAAGACACGGCCCTACCAATACCAATCAGGCTTGAACCACTTCAACATATAATATTAGCTAAAATCGTAGAGGAACGGTGCGTTCATACAAAGAGGATTCGATGAGTTCTAGACCTCGGGTAGAATAAAACCAGTACGCGAGTACTCGAGACATAACTTTCGTAGACACTGTCAGCGTTGACCTGGTCTACATCACGTTTGGCGCAGTCCTTGTCAGCATCCCAGTGAGTATCCCGAGACATATGTACATACACATCGTCGTCATAATGAGTCTTGGGAGATGGCCTCTAACGGGATGTCTCATGTCACACTACACTTGCGCAAGGAAATATCTATCCACTGGGAGTGTCTTTGCTGCTAGTGCAGCTGGAGATCCCGGGGTCTTCGGATAGAGATTGGTGGCTGTACCGTAGTGCTGCACGTTCCTGTCGCTGGTGCCGGCGCCACCACGCGTTTATAGTGCACCTGGTAGGTACACTTACCTTGTTAGGATATCACAGATGTTCTGTAATTCTACCTACAGAGCTTCTGGTCAGTAACGCGCAGCGTTCTCGCCACATTTCCTGCCTTGGGAAGGTAGCCCAAACACGCCATACCCTAGCAGTGCGGTGTATGACAATGTTCTAGCCCAATATTCAACCAACTTGAAATGAAATCTCAATAGAGGTTCCATACAGAAGTCCCCCCTTTGAGTCTACACGAAGCTCCATTCAGGAGGTTTATTAGCTACCCCTAAGACGCGGGTAGCAGGCGAATCATGCAAGAAAGTATAGTTACAGATATGCGAAAGTAAATATGTAGACGCCGTTGAACCGCATGGCGCTAGGGTTCTGACTCGTCTCGTTTATTCCTAACGTCTTTAGAAGCCCTGCAGCTTCGCAGAACATTCGTCGCCACTTCTATTTGAGCAATGCCGAGCTTGCTAGGATAATGTTACAACGAAGATCAGGGTCGAGCCTAGGTTTGTCTAATCAATAATGATTCCAATGAGTTGTCTATGCAGGTTGGGCCAGCTGTTTCAGAGGAATTTGTCGGTTCGTTACATTGTCTTAAACACTTCACATGTGCGCCTTCTAGAACGGTGAAATTTATCACGTCGCCAATAACACTGTTCATTCTCAGTTCTGTTTAAATGCCTCATGTTTCATGTTCGATCGTTCGTTGTCATCTCTGATTATTCTTCCCCTAGCAGACTTCAATGGCAGCCATGATACTGATGCCTATATCTTAGAACGCTGAACGAGCTACCTCATTTGATTGACAGCATGTCCCCAGAAGACTGTCCTATTTATTGCCCATCTCCCCTGTGCCAAATAAGACGCCATTAGCACTCCCATTAACGGAAGGGTCGCCTCTATTTCCTACTATAGTACTTTGGTCTTTTGAACTGCAACGTTAGCAGCCATGTTAACTCCCTCAACCACACCCGCAGAATCAACGCACCCAGAGCCATCATATCCCGCATTCGTTTATGAACGGATTCCAAACGGGTGGAGGCTTCTCGGGATTATGCCCGATCGTCCGGCTGACTCAGTTTCACCAAATTGGGACGAAGATGACGATGGCACTGGTGTCTGTCCCCCAGGCTATACCCTTGTCGCCCTACAGCCGTGTTTTGTGTATGCACTGAGTTCTAGTCTACCAGCCTACTAGAAAGCAAATCCGCTGACTTATCTATTCAGTGGTTATATAGTCTCCAATGAACCCAGCGAAGTAACAAAGTCCAGTGACCTCCCAGGAGAGAGTCCAGCAACTGCGACCATTACTGACCCACTTGTACCGTTGGCAACCACTTTACCACTCGCTTCACTTGAACTATCCACCTTCGACTACTCCAGAGGCTACAGAGCGGCTCGTGATGCAACTCATGTTATCTTGCTTTTGATCACGGTTGTTCTCTTGAGCCTGGTGGCTCGGTCATACACGCACCGGAGCAGGAAGGCCTCACAGGAAAAAGCAAAGATGTCGCTTCCTGTGACGGACTTGCCCAAGAATTGACCATCGGAACTACCGGCCATCGAGAAAGCCTGGCGTGTTTGATGCCGGGGCAAATCACTAGACGACCAAAATCCTCCGTATAGAATGGTGAGCTTGAGATAGACATGCAGTCTACAGAATCATCGACCGGTTCACCACATTCCAGTGAAAGTCGCAGTATGTCCCATTCTGGGTGAGTTGGATGAACCGATCAGGAAATGTACGCGACATGTCACACTTTCGGGTTGTATTGTGTCTAGAATGTCTGTTTTTCTTTCTTTTTGCTGTTAGTTTTTGAGTCTTTCGTTTTTCTGCACCAGCTGAGATTGCTTTTGTCACTCAAAGTCTTCTTAGATCACAATGAGCTATCCCGAGTCTCGTAGGATCGCATAGGTATTAGAGCTTTAGTAGTAGTAGTAGTAGTAGTAGTAGGATAATGTTGACTAGAAGCTTCAGATGACTGTACCCCTACGGTGTACTATGGCATGGGCATACTCACAAGCTAGGCAGGCAGTGGCAGAGATACTGACGCATTTGTACCTTTGTTGCAATAAATAGGATGTACATACCTAGCGCTTTGTGTGCTTTACTCTAAACAAACTAGAAACGACGCTTGTACATGTCCATACGCGTTTCCTTCGCCTTTCTGATATTCTGGTACATGGTGGATCTCGAATTCTCAGTATGTATTGTCATGCTTTAGCAATTATATAGCCTTTCTGTTTTCGCATTCTACTGTACGCTGGAATGGTCAATAAGCGTGTTCGGACATTTCAGATGCATGATCTCACCTGAGTTCACTTCTCGTATATTCACAAATGTGCATGACATGCTAGTGAACCACATCGCTTTACCCTCTTTAGATGCCCATTTCATGATTTAATCAGCATTCCCCCACGCCAAACATGTGTTACATTCTTTGAGCTGGACAAAATCGCGACATTGTCCAGTGGGCTCTCCTTCACTGCAATGATGTCCGCATCAAATCCCTCCCTTAGTTGACCGCTCAATGGTGCTTGGTAACCTAACGTAAGGGGCCCATTGGCCGTGGCAGCTTCAATGGCCGCCAGCGGAGTTAAACCAGCGTCTACCGCATACCTCACTTCATGGCCATTGCGACCGTAGCCTATCACCGGGCTATCCGAGCTGATAAACTGATCAGTGCCAAGGGCTATCGTGACACCTCTTGAAACAGCAAGTTGGTACGCCTTCTTATGTGCATCAGCTACTTCGAGGAGCTTCTGATAGGATGACGGGGTAAAAAGATCCTTCATTGCCAGACCGCTCTCAATGACACTGCGGGTGGCAACTAGAATTGCTCCCTTCTCCTTCATCAGCTCAACGGCTTCTTCATCTAGGAAGCTGCCATGCTCAATCGTGCGACATCCGGCGCGCAACGCGTTCATAATACCCGCTTTGCCATGGCAGTGAGCAGCGACAACCCGGCGTGCCCGCGCCGCTTCGTCGACAATAGCTTTCAGTTCCTCGAAAGAGAATTCCTGGTGCTGCGGGTCGTCAATGGCACTCACGACACCTCCACTAGCACAGACCTTTATGACCTTGGCACCCCGGCGCAACTGCTTTCGTACAGCAAGTAGGCATTCAGGTACGCCATCAGCAATTGTCAAAGGTAAGCCGTGGGCGCACAGATCAAGCAGCGAGTCCCTATGGACGCCGTGGACATCACCGTGTCCCGCAGTCATGCTTATGGCAGAGTGGCTGGAGTAGATATTAGGACCAGGGATTCGTCCCTCCGCTACGACCTTTGCGAGATCACACCCATAGCCCCCGACCTCACGCACTGAAGTGAATCCGGCCATAACGGTGGCGTGCAGATCTGGCACACTCCGAGCAGCCGCCAGAGCTTGTGGCGTGTCGACGATCGCGTTCATTGTTGCTGCTGTGGCACCCAGGAAGTGAATGTGGCAATCCCACATCCCCGGCATTACGACAGGGACATGGGTAGTTGTGGCCCCTTGAAACCCAGCTGGAACCCCTGATTGGGGTCCTGCATAGCGTATGGTTTTAGATTGCCATACCACGGTGCCATGGGGGATTGGATCCCCCTTTCCTGGTATGAGCAGGTCGGCATCGACCCGATAGAGCCTCTCGTCTGTTAGCATCCGGTGCATGCCTCCCTTGTGGCAATGGAACTCAGGAGCCGGCAATATGATCGGATGATGGTCTGAGTTTCTCCTGCTCGGTTCTTTCTGTGGACGGAGCCGAAGGATTCATTAAATATTTGCCATGCCGCTCCACACTTTCAAGATTGTGGCCTGTAGGGGAATGAATATTAATCATTCTCATTTACAATATGGTTCGATGCAAAGTGGGAGTGGAGTGTTATTGCGTGCAGCCAAAGACATGCATTCCAGACTTCATCCGACGCTATCACCTTTTCGGTCAGGTCGAAGCGAGCCCTGGCATTACCTGTTCGGGTTTAGCGACACGGGCTGGAGGTGCGAAGGATGCCTTAAGACGTGACAGTATTACGCTTACATGCAGCTAAATGCCACTAACAGGGGCGTGAAGCATCTAGAGAAACAAGATCCCTCCAGCGTAGGTCTAGCTGGAGGTTAATTTATATGGTGTGAGTCGGTGCAGCCAGACTGCAAGGGAAGTCATTCCGACTGGGTGGCGGGACCTTTAAGAAACTCACAGCTCCCGATGAGAATTATTTTCTGTACTTCCTCTGCTGCTCTGTGTGAGGGAGGGCACTGCAGCGAACCTTCCATTATTCAGCTGGACTGAGAATATGGCCATGTCGGACTATAGCAATTCTTCAGAGCCGGAGCCCAAGGGCCCCAATGAGGCAGTTGATGAAGATCAACCGCTGACGGCAGTGGAAGAAAAGGCGATTGTCCGTCGAATAGACCTCTGGTATGTACACGGCATGGCACTTGACAACCGTAGAGCCGAAGTGCTCAAGAACTGGTGAATACGGAATTAACATCAATCAGTCTGCTCCCTCTGATGTTTGTCTCGTACCTGCTACAGTATCTGGACAAAACTGCAATGTCGTATACCTCCATCCTTGGGCTGTTGCCTGGAACGGTACGCTGGCCCTACGCCTTCTTGACAATATCCAAACAGTAGTGTCTGACTTCACCATAGCACATGAACACCGACCAGTACTCATGGGCCTCGAGTGCGTTCTACTTCGGCTACATGGTGGCATCCTATCCAGTGTCCATAGGATTCGTCAAGTTTCCCATCGGGAAGTATCTGTCAATCATGATGTGAGTTCAGTATTCAATATTTCATGATATAGCAGCACCTAACCCTCTCAGGATAATCTGGGCAATCATCCTGACGTGCCATGCGGCTGCCTCCAGCTTCGCAGGCATAACAACACTGCGCGTATTACTTGGCGTTTTTGAAAGTGCCATCAGCCCGGGCTTCACCATCGTGGTAGGCATGTGGTACACGCCCTCGGAGCATGCCCTTAGAAGCTGTATCTGGTTCGCTGGTAACGGTGTTGCGTCGATCTTCGGAGGAGTGCTCTCCTACGCAATCGGCCATGTACACAACCGCCTGGGCCCATGGCAGGTATAAACAACAAACCATACCAACACTTTCCCAAAGGACCCATGAGACTAACCAGTTCACCAGTGGGTATTCATCATCTTTGGCATCATCACCCTCGCCTGGTCGATCTTTCAATTCTTCGCCTTACCCGACTCCCCCTTGAACGCCAAATTCCTCTCCCCCTCCCAGCGTGGGCCAGCCTACCGCCGCGCCCAAGGCTACCAACAAACCCACCAAAGCCGGGAATGGAAGAAAGACCAATTCATCGAAGCCCTGATTGACCCGAAAACCTGGTTCCTATTCACCTACAACTTTCTAGTGTCCCTGCCCAACGGCGGGATCACCAACGTAAGGACTCAGACCAACCCCCTCCCCAACTGAAACCATCACTAAAGAGATACACGCCAGTTTTCTAGTCTCGTTATCGCTTCCTTCGGCTTCGACACCTTTAACACCCTCCTCTACACCATCCCCATGGCAGCAGTAGCCCTGGTCTTCCTCTTCCTCACCGCATTCACCTGCAACCGCTTCCGCGGTCTTCGCTGCTACTGGATGATTATCACCCTGCTAGTCAGTCTAATCGGCATCCTCCTCATGCGCCAACTGCCTGTCGAGAAGAAATGGGGCCGGCTGGTTGGCGTCTGGCTGGTCACGGTGTTCGGCGCCGGATTCCCCCTCAGCCTCAGTCTGGTCTCGAGTAATTTCGCTGGCTTCACGAAGAAGAGTACCGTTACTGCAACCTTGTTCATCGGGTATTGTGTGGGCAATATTGCTGGTCCGCAGCTTTTTAAGAAGAACCAGGCGCCGCATTATTATGTGAGTCTCTCTTCTTTCCTTTTTCCCTTTCGTTCTTTTTATTGAGTTGGTTCCATTGGTGGGTGTATGCTGACTGATGGAATTAGTCTGCCTTTGCGGCTATTTTGGCTTGTTTTTGCATTGCTGTTGTTGATGTGGTTTTGCTGCGCGCTTATATGGTCTGGGAGAACAAGAGGCGGGATCGCAAGCAGGGCCGTGTGATTGAGCCTGAAACTAAGGAGGCGGAGGATTCAGAGGAGTCTACTGCTAGGAGGGAGGTGGGTGATGTGTCCGATTGGCAGAATCCGAATTTTCGCTTCTGTCTGTAGGGCCTGTATATAAATAATAGCAAGGTGGGATGGAGGGAGAGGATAAACATAATTCATCAAGGGTATATATATAGCTAGCATAATAGGAGAGAAGATACGAAGAAATCTAGTACAATCACGCAAAGCTTGTCTGCCAACCAAGAAACTCCATCGCGGATTCCCACTCGAACCGGCCAACCCGCACGGTGCTGTCCGACTCTGTCTGCATGTCCCTGCGCTGCCAGAGTAGTTCAACTAATGTCTGCGCTCGAGGGATGTTCTCGTACGGGGCCTTTTCTCTGGCGGCACGAAATATCTTCAGAGCTCTACTTTGCTCGTTCCGTGAACAGCAACAGGAGGCAATAAACAGTGGCCATAGAGGCCAAGATATGGGGAGATGATCCACCGAGGATACCACGTAGTTCGCCAGGTGAAAGATGCGGTCTACGTATTGTGCCCTCTGGGCTGGATCCCTTAGCCGTTCAATACTCGGGGTGGCGGTAGGGGTATACCCAAGGAAGCGAGGACTCCCTGCCTCTGACAGGAGCAGGTAGGCTGCCAGGCGATAGGCCTCGCTCGTGCTTTTGAGTAAGCGGAATCCATGTCTGGCATCGGTCGAGCTGCGGTCTTTGTATAATGAGACGGGGATTATCTGTGTTGTGGTAGCTAGACTTGCTTCCAGGGTTGTGATCTTATCAGCGATTGCTGCTTGTTTCTGTTTCGGTGCGATCTGGGGAGCGGACGGGCCTGACGATTGCTGATGGAGCAGTTCGGCATCGTGCTTAATACTCAGGATTTCGTTAATTAGGAGTAACATGTGGCTGCTGAGGCCGTTCCACATGTCAATCTCATGGAGTGTGTCCACTGCCATCACCTTGGCGAGATCCGTGGTGGACGTCCATGAGACCCTTTCGCTGTTCGTCGAGCTGGCTAAGGAGGTGGGGCTAATAGGACTGGTAGGTATTTCACTGACGGGCAGGTTATCGTCAATGGAGAACACTGATTTAGCCAGCACGAGATGCGCAGAGAAATAGCTGATGAAGAATTGGGGCACCGGGGGAGCCTTTCTGTGGCCACGGGCCATCTCCTTCACGACCAACTGGAAACAGGCGAGATGTTTTACCCAGGAGCCGTCGCAGCTATTGGAGATCTAACCGAAGGATTAGTCGCCACCTTCAAGCCGAACCTTGAATGGTATGATTGCCATGGCGTTTTCATATAGAGTGGAGACTTCACATACCGCCGAAGAACAGAGAAAGATCGTCGGCACCAACAGGTCCTCCCAATCCAAATTATCTTTCATTAAGGCTCGCCGCAAGCCCCTTAGAACCCTCGAGCGGATCTGGATTTCCAACAATTCGAACCTACTCTCCACTGACCGCAAATAGTGTGCACTGGCCATGAGAACGGCATAATACGCTGTCTCAGTCCGAAACACGAGACGCATCACCGTGCTGCGGAGGGGATTGAAGTGCGCATCGTCGACGGTCACCCCGACGGTGCACATCACAGAATGGTAAAAGGACAAGCACACATCGTCCATGTCTGGCATACCGATACTCCATGGCAGCACAGGAAATGGACGCGAAACGGCCGAGACATTCTTCCAGTTCTCGTAGTGAGTGCTATACGCTACTGGACTGGCGTGCGTGGCCGGTAGTGGGCTATGCGCATTGGGTGGAGAGCGGATCGCCACGGAACCAGCGTCACGTTGCCGATGGGTCGTGTCCTTGCGTCTGGTCCGTGTCAGTCGTTGGAAGTCTCCGTCGTTTGCCGGTGGGCGCTGCAAGGAATGTCGCCTCGATTGAACGCCCGTTCGTCCATGACATTTCCCAGCCGTCCGCATCTCGTCCTCCCATTGCAGCTGGAGTTCGTAGCTACATCGGTTCTTTGATCGCTGACAGCGTGCGCAGGTGGGATGACTCTCTATATCAATAGTGGATAAGCCTCTGCCCTGTTATTCCTTATTGGGTGGGCACAAAAGCTCTAGACTGAACGTGTAATTTCGGAGAGCGAGCCGGGACAAAAACGGTGGAACAGACTTGCACCTACCATCGCACTTCACCCGCCTCCGTCGGCAGGTATTGCAGCCACTGCGGGTTCGCACTTTAGCCTTGGGCTCTGTCGGTGACGATGCACTCGACGAGTCCGATCGTGGGGAGACCGGCTCTTGCTTCATGGACCAAGTCAGGAACATGTTGTCGTTCCTTCAACGCAAGAAACCGCGGGTGGTCTCGGTGCAGTCCGTCAGGAACCGTGGGAGTGGAGGGTTGACCCAAATAACGAGAAGGAAAGAGCGGCACGGAGGTAAAACACAGGATTTGAATTTAGGCTCTTGGCCTTGCGTGATATGGGAATACGGGGGGATCGAGGCAAGTGGATAGAGAAACGGATCCGGACATGGAACATCACCACTCGTATTCCCTGCCGAGAAGGATCAGCCATCTGTGGTTATGGTTATTGGATAGTTGCTGATTGAGGTGCAGATCCACCTGAGCCGCTATTGCGGACACTAGAAGAAGGAATCACAGTCCGTCGACGAGCTTGTCTCAGCCATCACGCTGAAGCCGTGTTTTAAATGAGCGACTGTAATATTCAGCCGTTATGTCTCGCAATGCCTGGTATTTCATTTTCAATCCATGCCACGCTTTCGAAGACGTGTTGCCCTCGTGGAATTCGATTAGTCTGGGCGTGTAGACCCGCCTTGGGAGTGGGTTTAATCAGTTATGCAGCAGATTTGGAATCAACAGGGCTGTTGTTTATGAAGTCTCTTGCCTGATCCGAAGGATTCTGCCCCTAGGGCAATACGGCGAGAGCTAGCAGACATGCAAATTCATATGAACGGCACTAGAAACGGACACAATCCGTTAAAGTCCTCATGGAACCCCTTTGCCTTTTCTTTCCGGACAAGTGCCAGTCGTCAGTGTCAGTCTAAACTGGTCTGATGCTGTCGTCTCCGAGACGGAAGGGTGACATCCTACCGGATCTGTGTGCGTGTCAAGAACGTACCCCAACATGACGACCTGGGACGGCACTCCGTCGAGAGAGACATTGGTGGTTGTGGGATACATAGTTCCCACAGTCCTTTTGGTGGCGAGCACGGTGCTGCGACTGTTTGCTAAAATATCAAAAGAGGGCCTTCATCTAGACGACCACTTAATCATCCTGGCAAGTGTCTGTCTCCCCACACACGAACTGGGTCCATGCATATAACGATGATTGCTGATCCTATATCAGGCTCTGGAAGTAGCATACTCGGTAACGATGCTGGTCACCGGTACGTCAAATGGGGAGCGTCTCTACCTTGTTATTTTTAGTCCCTGCTGATCCCAACAGGTGTGGGCCATGGATTCGGTCATCACACCGCAACTGTCGACCTCAAGGACCTGGAGATATTCTTAAAGGTCAGAGCGCCTGTAGATCTGCCACCCCCGTCCCTCGCTGACATTAGATACAGGGAGAGTATATTGCCAGTCACCTCTACAACGTCTTCCTTGCCGCAACAAAACTCGGGATCCTCGTCCTATACTATCGCATCTTCCCCATCCCCTGGTTCAGCAAAACCGTGATCGGATGTTCAATATTTGTCTTGATATGGATAACCGTCATCGAAGCATTCATGGGCGCATTATGTCGCCCGCTAAACGCATTTTGGGACCGCACCGTCAAGGGTGAATGTTTCGACTCCACAGCTTTGACGTACTTTGTCAACTCCTCGAACATGGCCACCGATCTTGTGCTCTTCGCCCTCCCCATTCCCGTCATCTTGGGAGTGCGCACAACGCGCAACAAGAAAATCGCTCTTATCGCGATATTTTCCATCGGATTCATGTACAGCAACCCCCTATAACCTACACCCTCGAGCCTTAACCCACCGGGACTAACGAATATTCGACAGAACCTGTGGCATAAGCGCCGCCCGGTTAGCCTATGTCGTCGCGCAAGGCTCAGCCGACATAACATGTAATCCCCCTCCACTTTCCTACCGTTCATCCCAGCCCAAAATCCAATTCTAACGGAAACGCAGGGGAAGGAGTACCATTAGGAGTTCTCTCGGCCTTCGAATCCCTCGGCTGCATTCTCTGCGCCAACCTGCCTATAATCTACCGGTTATTCAAAACGGCCGCACAGAAGATCACCAGCAGCGTCTCGGGCCAGAAAAGCAAGACGTCGAATCTGCAATACGCGTACGATTCCAGGGCATACGCATCTAAGTCTCATGGACGCCAGCATCGACGCAGCACAGATAGCGAAAGATGGATTCGGATGCCGAATGAGAGCGATTCTACTGAGGTGCAGACGAATGTGCAGTGTACGAGTCCTGAGCTGAAGGGGGATGGGTTTGAGATGGTACCTATCCCTAGGGATGGGATTGCAGTACAGAGGGAGTTTCATACAAGGGTGGAGGAGAGGCTTTAGTACTTGGAGATCGTGGTTTTCCTTTTTGCGATCATGTTCACTCTTGGATCTGGGTGCTTGTTTTCCTTTGTTTAGTGATATCTGGGGTAATTGGATAGAAATATTTATTGGGAACTGGGAAAGGTAATAAGACGGCTTGCACATGGGACTTTACGACTGATCTTAAGATTGACCATGTAGATACTTGCTAATGGCCAACTTTCATTCTGAGATGCCTTGTTCGCTGCCTCAGGCAGCGAACAAGGAAGGCATCCAATTCCACTTGGGGGCGGAACAACCAGTAATTCGCAGCGTGGCTACAAATCCTACTAATCTGTCAGCCTACTCATCCATCTCAGATACAATACCTCATCCAAGAATGAACAATTCTCGAAAATCCCCCCGAATCTGCGGCAGCAAAGTAAAAACAGGCTGCATAACCTGCAAGTGCGGAACCCTAACCCCCAAACACCTATCAACCTGCCAGTAACACAACCCAGAAAACGACGCATAAAGTGCGACGAAGCAAAGCCAACCTGCCAGAGATGCACCACGGCAGGCCGTCCATGTAGCTACACGGCCATCCCAAAAGGAAAAGCATCGTCTACGCTACGGATGGTGGTCTACCGCGCACCGGGATCTCGATCGTCTTTTCTGACATCCGAGGAGGAAAGACAATCATTTGACTTCTTCCTCCATCAAACGAGGTATCGCTTTCCAGCTGGCTTCTCAGATTCGGTATTACAGGCTGCACATAGTGAGGAAGCACTTGCGCGCGCCATTATCTCGTTTGGGGCCCTGCAGCAGGTCTATGAGTATAACGATGACCCTTTTCTTGTCAGTCCGCTGGGTCAGTTGGCTATGCAGGAGTATGGGCGGGCATTAAGGTATGTGAGGATTCGGCTTGGAAATGGCGGGAGGGATCTGGGGCTGGTTTGTTGTTTGCTTTTTGCTTGCTTCGAGTGTATGAGGGGCTGTCCAAGGGCGGCGGTTGTTCATATTAAATCTGGATTGGATATACTGGGGCGGTGTGTAGAGGAGTTGGCGTGGAATGTTGTATCGCGAGAAACGATGGTATCCCTGTTTACGAGGTTGGATAATCAGTTGCTCGGGCTATTGGGTACGTCGTTGCCTCGGACGCTGAATCGGGATGGCGAGCAAGGTTCGTCTATCTTGGCGCGGATTGATATCGGATCTAATGGTGGCAATGTGGAGCGTTCCTTGGATGGTGTGCTGAATTCTATTTTCCATGATCGGCTGAATATGGCGCTAATCATGGAGAATCCTTCGACCTTTGTCCTTCCACTTGATCAGGGACGGACGTTGAGGTATTTGAAGGAGTGGTATGAGAGGTTTGTGAAAGCAATGCCCTCGCCAGGGCTATCTGGTCAACCCGAAACATCATATATACACGATGAGGATCCGAACCTTATGCGCATTTGGTATATCATTGGGAAGATGTATGTTGCTGTGCCTCCAGATGGTCCAGAGTGTGTATGGGATCAGTTTCGGGCGGAATTTAAGACGATTATTTCACTTGCGGAAGACTATCTATTACGCATGAGGTTGGTCATATTCATTCACGGCTAGCTGATCATCTTGTGTATACTGAGTCTTTAATAGGAAGTCTTCACAGAAGCGGACGTTTTCTTTTGATCTCGGTATCGTCTCGCCGTTGTATATTGTGGGAGTGCGGTGTAGGCACATAAATACTCGTCGTCGAGCGATCTGGCTACTAGAAACCTGTGAGCGACGGGAGATACTGTGGGATTCTACGATTACTGGAATGACTGCTAGGCGGGTCATGGAGTTTGAGGAGTCTTCGGGCATTGGGGCGGAGCTGTTGGGACAGAGAGTTAGAACTGTGACCGCTGTTTTGGACGATGATAAGGGGGTCAGTGTGGAGCTTGAATAATTCTTCGGTATATCTCTCACCTAAACAATGCCAACTATTAAGCTTTTCTAACTAGTTCAAGCGTATCTAATTTAAGGCCCCTTCACTGGCTCCATCTAGGAGACAGGCCACTTTACTACGAAGCCTTTCACGACGGCTGTCCCATTCATCAATGCTGCTTTCTGGTTGTCTGTACAGGTCGTAGGTATGTCCAGAGTGTAGCACACCGGGGCTGCAGCAGAGGGGAGCTTGTTCTTTCTGTCAAGGCTTGAATGTGGGCCTCGGGTCTGATAGCTCCCCCTGCACTCATCAGACAATGAGATATTCCCTGTTGCAATGTCTTTCGAGTTTATGACCCGCGAGAAAATACGGAACATAGTCTCAGGTTGGAAGGCAGCAGCTGTGGAGTTAGTATACGTTAAACCAACCGATCTCGTCTAGCGACTTACCGGCATGTCCCGCATCAAACACCCGTGTGAAGGAAAGATTCCCATGTTGACGAACAACACCGCCCACATACGTTTGATTTGTAATGAGATCTGTATACCCGCTGGAGCGGAACGCCGCAGATTGGTCGTGTTTTATGGATAAGCTGACGTTCTCGCCGCCCATCCCTATGGCTACTGTTAGTTAGTGTTCTGGTGAACCAGATACATGACATACAATTGCAGAGATAGTCCCTATCCCCATAGATAAGATTGACCTTAACGCCCCGTTTCATGATCGATGCGAAGTCGTCCATTGCGTTTCCACGGGTGATGAGCGCATTTCCGGTACTCCAGAATGCTACGATGGTTAGCACATATCTCTAGTAACACTTGAGATCTCACCATTATAAACGACATTGGAATTCGCAGTGAAGTTCACTGGAACACCCAAAGCGTCCTGCACCCATGGTTGATTAAAAAAGCCATCCGAGTAAGGCTGTGGCATAGTCGAAGTGGGAACCTCGGCCAGATCATGCACATCACGCTACAACAGTCAACATACATTCATCAGATCATATTAAAGAGCTCACCCCAGACAAGGCATAAACGCCCAACACATTCGCATAGCAGTATTGATCGGCAGCGAAACATGCAGCATTGACGTCCGCATTATTTCCGAGGTTATGCGGGTCCAGCCTTTGTGCAAGTTCCTGACATTTCACGGCCATCTCCATGCAACCGCCAGGTTTAGTCAAATTATAGTTAGCTTCTTCGTATTGCGCTTTATTGATGATCTGTACGCCGTATGTATTATTGTATGCGAATATAGGGTAGAATGCACCCTGCGTGATGATGTCGCTGCACCCGTTGTGGATGCTTAATGTGTCGATCTTGATCGGAGAAGGAGATGACGTGTTAGTCGTTTTCTTCTTGCGCATTTTTTCATTCTGGTCCAGGAAATATGCGGTATATGATGGGCCGTATCGTCCGCCGAACTTAGAGAATTCGTTAACAGACATCTAGTATAGACGGCATAAATGAGCTTACTGATTCAGTCCAAATATGTACATTCTTATCCGGTGATTCATACTCGGGAAATCTGACAATCAGTATCAAACTAAGAAGATGAATTAAAGAAAGAAAAAAAGTACTAACTCATTAATCCAGACCTGTACAAAATCCCACAACACTCTCGCCCCATTCGTCGTCGAATTTACCGTTCCGTTGAAATTCTGGGACCCGAACACCCCGGCCCCGAATGTATGGTTCACTGCTGGGACTCCGTCATGGAAGTCAGTTGGAGTGATGGTGCTTGTTGAATAGTCAATTGTGGCATTCGTAAGCACATCATATGAGAATCCAGTTTGAACTGGCTGGTCGATGAAGAGGATATCGGATTCGCGTGTCCAGGACCAGGGATTCGGCGATGTACTATTCGAATCTGAGTTCACGGAGCAAGGTCCTACTTCAGTGACCATAGAAGATAGGGAGCTTGCTCCTGGACCACCGCCGAGATAGATCGTCAATGGAGCTGTTCTGTTCTTGGTCAACTTGGCATAGTAGAAGAACAGGTTGCTTGGGTGGGGATGTGCATCGTCTACACGGGGTGGAAGATGGACATAACCGCTGTAAGTATCGAGGTCCGGGGTTGAGCAGATCGGTGTCTGGTCTCGTTAGAAATATCAAAGAGATATGCTGTGGGTTTTACCTACTTTCCGATATGAGAGGGATGCACCATCAACATAGGACGAAGAAAGAGTCCTAAGTCCTTGTGGCTCAGGTGATGACAGAGGGTTCGCAAAAGCAACAGCGCTGAAAACGAAAAGACCGAGTATAAGTTTTTCCATTGTTCAGAAGCACACTGAGTCCTGATGTTGTGGTTGCGGATGAGAAGGGGCGAAGCGTCATTATATATCCTTTCATGACGGGCTGTACCGCCCCAGCCATATATATTTAGTTTGGCTTTTGGGGGCCAATTGAGATCAGCCACCAGTAGATTAGACGTTATAATTTATCGGCGATATTTCACAAGGTGTTTGGTAACGACATAGCCAATGTAAAGTGCAAGAAGTATGGACTACGAGGGTTAAGGCGATCCATCTTCATGCTCGTACGTGGTTAACCAAAGGTGGTTAGTGTGTGCAATGGCCGTAGCCTAATGTAGTTTAGAGTGAGAAACTGATACTACGATACGTTTCAGGCGGATATAACTTCAACTCATCATGTTAATTCTTTGCAAGCCCCACAACATGGAGACTGTAGCTAATCGTTGGAAATATTCGTACAGAAATCACTCTCCCTGATAATATGAAGAAGGCATACGTGTAAGGTCTACTCGTGGATAACTTCACACTGATCGTTTTGTGTCTCTCTCTGGACACCGTAGTCGTACTCGTATCTACGTGAATACTTCCCCACGCCTTGATCTATTTTAGTATAGGTGTCCTGAAAGGTCACTGTATTGCACAATGAAGGCACCCTATTAAGACACATTAGGTGTCAGGACAATATGGGGTGGTCGAATGGGATGATTATTCAGTTAACAATATCTACCTATAATATACCCATAGCTTCAGGTAAGAGACTATAATTAGTACATATAGCTTTAAACCTAATGACATGACTAATTATTAATATATGATATACTGCCAGACTATTAGTTATATAATTACCGGAGTAGCTAGCTACAAGAGGCGTTATACTCACAGTTGAGGCCCTCTTATTGTAAATGCACTATGTATTGTCTGCTACCTCAACAACATGTACTGATGATGGTACAACATGTGGCAAGAGCCGTGATCTTCCATTGCCACCACCACCTTTCTCCAATAGGCCTGGAAGTATCATCACGCTATCCTGAAAGTCTTTGCTTTCTTATAGCGTTGTACTAGTCTTTACATTACATCATGACTATGAATAGGGCGTCTCGTAGGATCGGATTCCTGTTCGAAAATCTCGTGCAAGAGCCACCAAAAGCTCTCGTCAACAGTGAAAATGAAGTAGACGATGCAATCTTAAAGCATTTCAAAGTCCGGTGCCTTTCTTTTGATCCTGAGAAGCTAGAAGGTCATGATCTTCTGGCTTTCTTTACATCTATGCCCCTCGAAGAGATTAAGGCATATCCGACTCGTCCAGAATGTTCTCCGGAAAGATGAACAAGCAAATCTGTACTTTCAAGAGTACAACCCACCCGAAAATGCAGACGGTGACTGAAGCGCTGGTTGGGATCTACGCGTATGTTCGCGGCCTGTTCTGAATTATTTTAAGCACTACATATTAGGTGGCTTCCCAAGAGATCTTCCGCTGTGGGTGTTTTCGCTGGCCTATAAACTTCATTTGAGCTGGATACAGTAAGTGACGTTGCGCGCTTTCAATTGCTAACGGCAAAGCTAGGTCAGTAATCGTTGGGATTGAATCTATTGTGACTGACCAGGATATCAAAACAAGTAGCAGCATGATGGTGCTGTTAAGCGTGGCTATAGGGGCGGCCTCCATCATCTTCACCAAAGCCTGCAGCAGCCCCAAACCCAGCAGCCTCAAACCCAGCAGCCCCAAGCTCAAGAGCCCCGGACCCAGCAATACGAGCCCGAGCCCGAGGCTGAAAAGGAGGGAGCGGCAGATGAGGAGATGAAGGAGGGCGAGCATTGGCTGAAAGCCGGTGAGCGTTACCAAAATCTAACTGACATGTCATAGAGTAAGGGTAATTGGCCTTCTTCTTCCTTTGTTTCTGTCTTTTCTTCTCGTCTCTTTTGGTCCTTTGGGGGAGGGGGTGTATCTAGTAAGTGGTAGGACGGCTGTGTCTTGCTAGCAGTTTAACTCGTTCTATTGCTCTATTTTACAAGCGAAGCCCTGTTTCCAACAGGACTAGATCATAATAAATCACCCACGTAAGCCAAACTGTCCCTCCTCTCATCACACAGTCGGGCATACTCCAAGAGTAACCGATAGACATAAAGCTGCATATCCTCCTGTCTCAAAACCTTCTCGGCCCAACTCTTCCCATTCAAGGCGATCTTCTCCGCCTGCCCATCATGTCCATTCCGCCCCTTATACCCAATGAAATACTGAATAATGCCATAAATATCCATGTACAGCGAGTCCATGGGCACGAAATGCGCCCACGGGATGAGTCTCGAGTCATGCCACTCCTTATATACGGTCGCCTTGATAGGCAAAGAAGTCGACAGCAAGAACGCGCGATAGCGCCCGCTAAAAGAGTTCCCGTCGATGTCTGGCAGATACTTGAACTGGTACATTTTCTTCATGGGCAGGCCTTCCACGATCTTATAGTGTGGGTCGGTGTATGAGCAGTGCTTGCCGTCTTCGCGGGGAAAGCAGCAGAGATCCAGGAAGCCGAGGTCGCAGTGTTCGTTCAGATACTCGGGCAAAGTGCCATCTAGTCCTGCCCAGACGTTGTAGTACTGATAGTCCGGCTGACGGAAGTTGACACCGGCGGATTTGGAGCCGTTCGTCAGGGACACTTCTGTCCCGTTGAGCATGGAGACGAGTCGGTGGCGCTGGTAGCCTGTCCAGGTGTCGATGCGGTTGCGTCCGCCGCTGGCGATTCCGCGCCAGTACACAATGTCCTTCTTGTCGGACCAGGAGCCGCCTTGGTTCTTCCACCCGCCTGAGTACCGTGGGTCGTCGTCCCAGTATACGGCCGGTGGGATGAGGATCTCGTTGTTGACGGTCAGCTTCGAGCCGCCGAAAAGAGGGACGAGTTCATGCGTGGTGGATGTGGACGTTGGCTCGATGAAACTGCCGTGCAGGGCTTGTAGCTCTGCGCGCCAACATGGGTCCTTGGAGCGCTCGAAGTCCTCGATATACCCTGTCTTGGAAAAGTTGCGGTAATTGAAGAACTCGCTTGGCGGGTTGGCGAAGTCCATGTGTGGGATGTTGCTGTTTCGTCCCGGGCTTTCGGGGGGACATGCGTTGCGCATGATCTCCCAGAAGGGTTTGTCGGCGCCGTCGAATGGCGGTTGGAAGGGTTCGTTCGGATGCGCCTCGTCGTAGGCGGGCAAGGCCATGTACTGGTCGACAGCGGTGGCAGGGTCAAGCAGTGTCTGGCTTGCGCGGTCCTTCTCACGGTACTCAGAGAGCGTTTCCCAGGGGATGATGATGCGGGGCTCGTCCATGCCGTTCAATGGGATATCCATGTCCGGGAGGAAGTCGGCAATGGTCGAGATGAGATCCATCCAGACTTCTAGCCAGTTGACGCCCGTGCGACCGACGGAGCTGAGTGTGTGGTTGCGCACGATGATGCGCGGCTCCCAACCCGATGCCTGTTTCTGCATGGTCTTGGGGTCGAGGGCCCAGTATGGACTTAAGTCATCGTAGAGTTGGTCGAAGAGGTCCTCGATGAGAACGGCGTCTTTTTGCCGCGCAAATTCCACCCACTTGTCGAAGCCTGGGGGTGGGTGGCGACCGCGGCGCTGTCGATATTGTGCAGCTGCGTCAGTGAGGTTGTATACCTGCTTCGTGAGGAGGCGGTCCCATTCCTGCTCTGCGTTGCGGATTAAGCCGTCGATCGGGTGCGGAACAGCGTCCGCGTCGTCATGGCCGTATCGTCCCGTTTCCTGTTCGTTCCCCTTGGGGCTGCTATTATCCGGACTGCTGCCGCTGGGACGGACAACTTGTGGGAGAGGATTGGAGTTGAAATAGAGACGGTATACCGTGGCGAGGAGGATGATTGCCGAGACGGCCAGAAGACCGTACCGCCGCACCGGGGACTGTAGCAGCGAAATCATGGCGGGCGAGGGCTGTCCCTGAATATCGGACGCGGCACTTGTCGGAAATTCAAATCAGAAGAGATAACAGGAGGTCAGACATAATCACGTAGCCACAAACCCCCGGGGATTTGGTCGAGGGACGGTCATCGTGAAGCTCTTAATGCCCGTTGGGCTGAGGGGGGTCGGCGAAATATAAAAGCCCTGCGACGATGGGGGCCAATTATGGACGCAGAATAGGAGTGACCTGTTGGTCTTTTCATCCATGCCTTTTAGTGCCTTGGTTGGAACCGGCGCCGGTCGAACTAGGCATCAGGGTGTGGTGGCCCATGCATTGGAATTACATAAAATGTCTTGTTGGGAGGGTAGTTATTGACGTGGGGACTTCCATTATGGCCAGTTATTTCTCTGAGGAACACTACCTTCACATCTCTTCTTCAATCAACAGAGCCTGACATTGCCTTGAGCGCAACTCAACGCAGGGTGCTTTCTCAAGCCCACCTGGTCAAATTCGGGAAAAAGGGGGGGGTTCAGCGGTCAGACTGTCTCAAGACAGTGAGGATCTACTGCAATATCCGGAGTTGTGCCGCCCAATAAGGGTAACGAGGGACAGTGAGGCTGTGGACCAACGTGGGTCGTTCCTCGTATTAACCGAGACCCTACCACAGCCTTGGATTAGGGCAGGGCCCAATTTGGAAAGTCCTGACCGTTAATTCGAGATACCACTTCCGATTCTTGTGAGCTTGGAATACGTGGCGTTCCGGCTAGCGAATCGGGTTTCATGGTTCTAGAACTAGCTTTGAAAATATGTAGCACAACATGAGATACTTTTTCACCCTCGTGGTGGTATGTACAACAAGTCCATTCATGTATCCCTATCGGCTCGGTCCGCAGTCCCTGAACAGCCGACCCGGCATCGTTGTCGATTTTTGGAGTATGGAAGAGTTTGGAGCAACATGGCTCGGTAGAAAAAAATATACTCTATCATAGTAGTTTGATCAGGGACACTGATCGGCACTAAAATAACGAGTTGACCACAGTAACCCCCTTCGTCTGCTCCGGTCTTCCGGACGCTCGTCCGCGTCACGTGCCTTCTTGGGACCCTGCAAGAGCATCGCCGCGTAGGCCCACTACGTACCGCGTACTCTAAGAATTCATGATAATAGCAGGGAAACCAAACAAACAATACCCACAAACTATACGCCGTACTACAGCAAACAATGGACCGCGTTATCATGGTACAATGGAATACTGCCATCAAACAAATCCGCTCCAAGTCCGAAAGACGGAAAGGCAAGCACAGGCCAGGTTTCGGAGATCGTAGGTGAACGCACAAGTCTATTTTCCGAATATCCCGAGTGGAACAGTGTTTGATAACAAAGCTACGTAGAAGTCATACCAATCATCAGTCCTTTGACAACCGGGTGGTATTGATATCTTTCGAAATTTCCTTCGCGCCCGCTGTCACAGGTCTTATGGTTCTTTCCTAAATGCAGTTATCTTGTTGCTGGTCTGTACGGTTGTATTAATAATACGGAGTATATATTCTTGAAATGCACCGTATTTAAATGGTAATATAGTCACTGTGGTGATCCTGAAGGGTCTATATAAGAACCCGTTGCCTCACTGAGAAGGTCATTCTGTATGAAGTGGATTCCAGCCAGGCGTGGCTGGATGAGGCTAGGAACTTCTCGTACCAACAATCTGATCAGGTACGATACGGCTAATAGCGAGGAACCTCACCCAGTCTAGACTACAACGCAGGGGCACCGAAGGAAGAGCGTGGTATATAAAACAAATAGTAATTGGATTTATGTATGCATGTGCATACCGCCCTCCCAAATGTGAATCGACAGCTTGAGCCAGGGCTCTAGCTAGGTGTAATAGGCACTGTGCTCTCTTAATTAGTCCAATCTCATTGTCAGGTAGCAATCACGAGTGTCTCGGGCCATAAAACGGCGATGTATAAATGACCTATGAAAGTGGCAACACCTCCAGTAGTAAATGACGAGCCTTCGGTGCAATGTTGAACCGGTCCTCCATATCCATGTCACCACTCTTCATCTCTTTGCTGACCACCAAAGCAAACTCAGCTCGCATCCGGACGTCAACGGCAAGATGCAGCTCTTCCCATGCAAGATTTTGCCCGATGCAGTTACGTCTCCCCACACTAAAGGGTGTCAGGGAGAGGTCCATCTCCGTTGTGCTCTCTAGCCACCGCTCCGGTTTGAACAAGTCAGGATGCGGGAAAATGCTAGGGTCACGTTGATAGACGTAGTTTTGCATTCCCACCACCGTGCCCGCAGGTAGTGCCATGTTCCCAACATGGAACTCCGCGGTCACGATCCGTGGTAATGTCGAGATGACGGTAGGGTATAAGCGAAACGTCTCCTTGATCACAGCGTTGATGTAGAGGTTGTTCCAAAGCGCGAGGGTGCCACCAAGAGGGAGGCGAAGTATCTCTTCTCGCAGCCTGGTCTGGACCGCTGCATTCTCCGGGCACGCTATGGCATACAAAAGGTACCTGCAATGGCTTTTCAGAGACCATGGTGAATAGGTGTATGGAATAACAAGGGATTCTATGCAATACTAAAGAAACTCGTTAGAGAAGTCGAGTATTTTATGCGGAGCCGGAAACGTGGGTTACCGAACCCGCCGCACTACAAATGCTGCCTGTAGCGGAACCTGTGGAGTGAAGCGGGGATGTCTGGAGAAGTGCAAGGCTGTGTTACCAGCGAACTATGTTGTGGGGGTCTGGCTGCAGCGTGAGCTTCTTTCTATGCGTTGCTTGACAGGCCTCCTGCTGCGCAGCTTAAACTGGATCATTATCCTCTGAAGTGAACATCAGACATGGCGTACGGTAACTTGCGAGACTCGACATTTGGTATTTGCCAGGACAGACCCAATGCAGTATGTTGCTCGTTTGAGTTATTCCAGTGTATGCTGAAGTAGGCTATTTCATGATAGCCGGGCATAGTTGTCTTGAGAGTGGCCAATTGCGCGTTTCTTGCTATCGAATCATAATTTTTACATATTAGACTTCATGTTATTGACATAGGATAACTATTCACCGAATATAGAGCCGTTCTTCTAAGGGGAATACACTATGCGATGCTGGATCAACTAAAGGTGAAATCTGAGGACGTATATCATTGGGTTTGGAATTGAATATCTATGTGGAACGAACGTTGCATCTAGAGCCAAGAGGGTCCCGCCTTGCTATTAAAAAAACGATCGCCACTAACTGATTCCCCCCGATGTTGTTATACAACCATACTGAATAGAGATGCTATATCAGGCATTCAAAGGTGGGAAGTGGGCACACTGGCTCTGAAGAGCGACTCAAAGTCAATTCCCATGTCTTCCATAACGCGCATCGCTACAGGCCGTCCACCACCCCAGACACCCCCACCAGGGTGCATGAACGGACCTGCAAGGTAGAGGCCCTGTACATCGGGGACTCGGTATTGTGACAGTGCAGGCGTTGGGCGAGTTAGTCCCATCTGGTCCGACGACATGGCGAGACCGTAAATGTCGCCCTGTTGAAAACTAGGCGTGTCCTCTTCGTGGTTGGAAGGGGTAACGACATGATACGCTCGAATTTGATCTGGGGTAAAATCCTCGTGGTACTGGGTGAGATGATTAAAGACCTTGAATACAACATCGTCTTTGATGGCATCCCATCCATGGAATCCAACTTCCGCATTGTTTGCCCGGACCATGATGACAGCATGGAGGATGACCTTACCCGGTGGAGCTCGTAATGGATCAGCAATGTTGACACATGATGCACCGACCATGACTCCATCTGGGATCTCGCCTGTGGCCATGGTGTGATAGCTATGCAGAAGCTCGTCAACTCTATTGGGACAAATAGTGTTCATCACCACATTATTCGCGATTGCGCCCGCCCTGAACTTGAGTAGCTTCTCCAAAGCTGCATGGATTACAAGCAGACTGAACTCTGGCAGCTTGTTTTTCGATGCTGCATCGGTAATAGCTGTATCCAGCCCATCCACGAGTCTACCAATGATATGTGGGTGTATTTGGGCCACAACGCATTCTTTGGCACGAATCTCACCGGCCCGTGTGCGCACCCCCACAGCTCTTCCTTTTTCAGTGACAATCTTGGTAACTTCAGTGTTGAGTTGGATCTCGCCTCTGTGTGCCTCAAGACAACGGATTATAGCAGAGGTGAAAGCCTTCCCAGCCCCTCGCGGCACGGCAAGCCCGTATACGTCCATCAGGCCGACGGCGATATATGCCACGAGACCTGTTCCAGGGGGTTGGGGATGTGCCAATTGTATCTCTGTCACGAACCGGAGAAGGCTCATGGCCGATTGAAACAGTTGGAGTGAACTCGAAACTCTCCGTCCGACATTTGCATCGCCCCAGCTGCTATTCTGAACCAGGTCGGAATGATATTTTCTGGGGATATGAGGTTTGTTGAAATCGCGCAGACTACAATGTCAACAGTTGCCACCGGAAGATGGCCTGCTTTCAAGTTGGGCCCGGCATACCAGCAGATAGTGATCCCTCGATTTGTCAAAACTGGCAGGAATGGATCAAAGAGCAAAAGTCGATTGCGCCTCTTCTACTGTTCTTGGGTAAGTCTTGTCGACACATCGGTCTATTGGGCCATTAGGTTATTAAACCCTTACTTTGACTCAGGTGCTAGACTGCCAGCACAACTGGTTTTGGGCCCTCCCCATCACAATTCCCATCGAGTTCCTTCAGTTTCCAATGCCGTCACATGAGTCTACCTGGAATGCGTCGTCTTCCGTTGAATGGCAACATAGTCTCAGAAATGGTAAGGCCCACCAGCCTGATGTGAAAATCATCGCTAATTAGATCATCAGATCCAGGTTCACACCCCTCTGCCCCTCTCCGCGAGAGGCCCTCGGAACCTCACCGCACCCGATCGCCACTACAGCTAGGTGCATTCAATACTCTTTTACTGGCGATGGGTGTGTACTGCGATGCTCCGCGGCTACGCCATACCATCTTATACATGGATCTTCTCCGGCAATATGCGGAAATATTACCTCCAACGAATCTGACCCGTGTCGCTTTAGATCATATTCACCTGGCCTCCATATTTCTTTACATACCAGCCAGGGAGCTTTTTGCCTTCTCGGGATGGCAAGTGTCGGCGGCCCAGCAGGCTAAAATTGCCACGAAGCTTGAAAAATGGATGCACAACCAGAGTGAGGTAAGGAATGTGCCCATGCATGCATGCCTTGTATGGTCAGCGATTCGAACGAGGCGCACTGCAGCACAGTATGAGTGCATGGTGTTCTTGCTTGCTTCCATAACAATATAGGCCCTGGTCGAGCTTCAACACAGGCATGATTCCAAGGAGTCAGATTATATGCCAACAGTGCGATTAGATAGAGGTAGTACTGATGTGACGGTATGGGCGACAAGCACTGCAGTAAAACGCCTGTACTTGGGTGGCGTGGGGTGCTTGTGGGATGGGACTGCTATTGAGAGACTGCTAAGAGTGACCGCAGGGATACTAGAGGGAGGCATGGCTTGGCCACAGGCTCAGGTCGCCGCACCGGCCCTGGGACAGCATTATTATTCATGGCAGCACATGCGTCAAAAAACAGCAGTGCCAGGTCAACCCTAAGTTGGCATTGCGGAGAGATACAGTATTTGCAAAGCCATGGACCTTACTGCAAAACCATTGTACTGTAATATGAATCCTAGCGACGCAGGTCCAGAACCTGTTGGCATTATCATCTTACAAAACCGTAGCTATATGGCTCACGCATCTGGCGTGGGCCGAAATGGTTGCCAGTTACCATAATATCGAGGACATCCTCGAAGAATACGGTCTCCATACTACCCACACAGACCCTCACGGATCGTCCATCCCATAGAAGCAGGATTTTATTTTTTTTGGCTGCGATAGTACGCTTACATGCCACACACCCTCCCACTTAATCATTTCACTTAGACTTGGCCAGGGATCTGGTTTTGTACAGTTGGAGTTGCACATTGACATGTGTTTCACTCAGGTAATAGTGCCATAAACAGGGCATGGTTAGTGAGCTACCTACGTCCACGTTGAGGAATAAATAGCATTATATATTGAATCATGGCTAACGTCATACATTGTCTAAAGTCATTGACATTTATTGAAATCAATAGCCTCCAGCCGTGGAAAACAGCCTTGTAATTGACTGTGTAGCTTAGACGCGTCCGACGATAGGCCCCCAATATCGTCTAGAATGAGGCGTCTAAGTGTTTGTCGAGAATGACTGAGGATCTTGACCAGGTCAACTGCTCGTATTGACGTGAAACATAAGGCAATCCTCTCTAGTGAGCTAGGGAGAGATTGAGATTGTGAAAGGTGGGAGAAGAACTCGATTGCCAAATCTCGTGGCGCCAGGCTGAGGTAGATTTTTCGGAGACTAGGGGCATGGAGAATCATATTTAAAATGAAGGAGTAATTGTATGGTGTGAGCTTGTGGTCCAGGTGGAGATTTTCCAGTCGGCCCCATCCGGCCTTGAAGGTCGGATTTGTGAAAAGGTCTTTTGGTAGTCGCTGAATATCCATGATATTTGAAGTGTAGTTCACACCGGTGCCATACCAGAATAGCTTCATGGGTAGCGATGTATCGGCAATGATTTCCAACAAGACCCCAGCGGCATCGTCGGGGTTGAAATGTTCACTGTTGTTGGTGTCATCGTCTTCTTCGGGCACAAACTTGGTTCTGACCGGGGATATGACAAAAGATCGACAGTTCGTAAGCCGTTTAACGAGATCATCTCGAAAGCGTTGCACGACCGGTATTTGGAGTGGATTGTGTATGTGGCCAGCTGCGCTTCGCTGCCACTGCAGATTCCGGCCCAGATAAGGCTCCGGGGTCATCACGACCAGGCGATGAACCTGGTGTCGCATGACCTTGTTGTTGGCAATAGCATGGATGTGATTGAAGCTGTCTTGCGAGAAGTCTAGGTGAATTTCCGTATATCGCTGCGCCAAGCGGTTTATCGTTCGGTGGTATGTATCGCGACAGGTCCCAACCAGCGACGCCAGGTCTCTCGTCTCGAGTTCGTCGCAAATCAGTTCCAGTAATTCCAACGGGATCCGGTTAATAATAGTGGACATATTGAATGCAAATGAAGGGATAATTATGAGGAAGCTATCTGGGAAGAGAGAAGAAGATATTATTTGCGTCATCCTCTCTTATCGGCCGCAACCTCAAGGTCCCTGGAGTACCTTGGAGACCCTTCCGTGTTTGATCGCCATCATTATACCACCAATGTACTCATTCCAAGAAATGGCGCCCCGAAAATTCTGTTCCTGAATTTGAGAGAAATGGATCAACATTCAGTCACCGTCAGTGTCGCTTCTTAACAATCTTGTCAGATGTTTGGTCTCCCGCTGGCGAATTTGGGTCCCATGCGCGGACGGTTTGGATTTGTATAGGAATAACCGTCTCGACTTTCCCTTTTGTTAGCAATATGACCCTAATAATACTATCTACTTTTCGCTTTCCCTTCTGATTGAAGGACCTCCTTTCTGTTGAATGTTTGAAACATTCTCTCTAGTTGCTGCCAGACAAGAGTCACCGTTTCGCACATTTGCCCAGCATAGCTGTTCACGCATGACCTGTGATTTGGGTTATGCGAATCATACATAGCCCGTTGTATGGGTCCCGGAAGAACATAGGGCTGCTATGAGTGCTCCACCGACCGATGCTGCCAGATGAAAAATGGTCTAGTCGGTGATTGCCAGTGGCCAGAGATTGGAGCCGTTACCACCTCGTAACGATAATCAAATGTAAATCAAAAGGATCTTCAACCTTATCTAGGAGTCTAGGCATGGTCAAAGATGGCCCTGTAGCCCTGTTAGGATCGAGCACCCCCAGTACTAAGCCGTTCTACATACATTACCACGTATTTCGACCATGTTCCACCGCATAATTCAGGGTGCTATGAAAACAGCTGAAGTGAGGCAGGGTCAAGCATTTGGCTGGGTGCCATTTTAGGATATAAATAATGTAGGGCAGGGGTGCCAGCCATAGCTGTCACTTCTCCACGGAGATATCCGGCTGAGATGAGATGAAATGCTTGTTCCTTACATATTCGTTCTAAACTCGGCTACCATTCATGCTCAATACTGTTTGCCTCAAACCATGTGGGAGGACAAGGCAGACAGCCCCCAATTATCAGCCCATCTGGAAAGTAGCCCAATCACCCTCGAGCAATACCAGTTTGTGCATTAGTTCACGAATCCATTCTATCCTTACTTAGCTTGCTTATTCATATATTAATTATGCAACGACAGGCGCCTAGATAAGTCATAATAATTTAAGACATAGAAAATACTTAATCAATATAATACTAATTATCATTGGCGTCTGATTCTAGCGTTACATCAGAAACATTCCCTCCTTCATTTGTGTATATTTTTATCTGTTCTTCGCTGTTCGTTTTCGTTTTCGTTTTCGTTTGCAGGGATCATACATCTGTACACAATCATACCAATGAACCAATAAATATACAGTATCGCCGATCAACTACTTTGTTTGACCTTTCTACATCTCCCTCCCTGCCCACTGCTCTATATACCTCGACTTAATCCACGTACAATGAAGGGCAGGATCTACCCCTCATCACCCCTGCACAAGGCGAACTCAACCAGGAAGTTCCGTTGGAATAAGACAAAGAAAAGGCAGATTGATACGATCCACTAGGCTAAATCGTGGTTCCTGTCCCTTTCCTCCAGACTCTCCGTAGGCTCCGCAGCGTGGCCGGGCACGGTCCCTGTCTTGTTGCTCGCCCTTTGTAAGAAAGGAAGGCGAGGAATTCGGTCTTTGTTGGCCGGTCAGATTTTAGTACGTACATGGGTCGATCGATGGGTATTGGAGCCCATCCATCGAGCCACTTTTCGGCCCCCAATTTCGGGGCACGGACGTAACCCTAAGCCCTGGCACGTAAGATGCTAGATGAGCGGCGCCTAGGTATGATATCGTGCGAGATACAGACATAGCCTACTTTTCGTGCTAATCTCGGTCCTATGCATATAGCCTAGTTCCATCAAATTAATAACAAAGTCTTCAGGGGATATGATGTGTCTCCTCCAATACGAATGGCACTACATTTGCTGGAAGATCAACCAGACGTGGGTCTAAACCGGCAAGCCTCCACACATAATTTATTTGGAAAAATTGAATTACTCGTCGTGCTGTTCGATATTTACTGTTGCTCCTTCTCGGCGGCCTCCCGAGCAATAAGATCCTCATACTCTTTGATATTGTTGATCCCCTTAGGCATGCCTTTGGGCGTCAAGCCCTGATCATCCATGAGCTTGTCTCGAACCTCCATGCAGCGTTTCCATGAAGGTCGGGAAACCATGCGGTTATGCCAGGCCTGCACATTGGGGTATTGTGCCAGGGGATCCTCCTCTGGGGGTGTCTGCAGCAGCATGTCCAGTCGACAGTTCCATGGCACGAATGACAAATCGGCGTACGTACATTTATCGCCAACGAGCCAAGTCTTGCCTTCAAGACATGTGTTGAGCACGTCCAGCAAGCGGTGCACTTGGCCGTTGTAGCGCTCCATGGCGGAGGGAATTCTGTCGGGGTGTAGAACGTTGAACCTGATTATCTTAGTATACGGATTATCCGTTCATCATGTGGTGCGGGTCAAGAGGTAGTCAGGGGAAACATGGTTCGTGTAGAAGGAATAATACGGGTGATCATACCATCCAGCCTGGCCATAGTAAGGCCCTTGTCCACTCATCTGGAAATGAAGGTACTGGTTCAACAGTTGTCGCTCGTTAAGTGACTCATAGGTCAGCTTCTTCTCCGTGTCGTAGACCTCCTCCAGATACTGGATAATGGCGCCGGACTCCCAGAGGGTCAGGTCGGTGTTGGGGTCTACGATCGCTATTGTTTCGGTTAGTATCTTTGTTTCAGGGATCCTGCCGCTTCTACTCTTGTTGGAATGTAATTCTTACATACCCGGTACACGACCGTTGGGGCAGATATCGGTGTAGGGTTTCTTCTTGACATCGTTGAACTTGAACGATTCAATCACGTAAGGCACCTGAAGTTCCTCGAGGATGAGGACAACCTAGATATCAGCCAGTATGAAGTCAGCAAAAGGCCCCGCTGACCCTCTTCTGGTGCTGTCAATCAGGGTTCGTACCTTCCATGGATTGGGGCCAGAAGCTGCCAGAACGCACTAATCAGTAATACTGCGCATGGAGCAGAAATCCAAATCGGCTTACGGGTCAACCAGACGGTAATTGGCTTGGTATTCGGCTTGGTCATAACGCTTGTTGAAATGGAAAGGCGGCGATCCTTGGTGGAAGTATGATCAAGATAGAAAAAATGGGTGGTGTTCGCTTAATATATTCCGATTTAATCTTGTCTGTTGGGCGGCCCGTTGGTGGCCTAGGCGGCTACTGCGCCGCAACTCTTCGGGATGGCAATCCTTGGTTAGTGCTTATACACTTACTCTAATCGGCCAGGCCCATTTACAAAGAACAAAGAGTCGTGAGTTGCCCCACAAACACATGGAGTGGTGTACATTACTGTATGGTATCCTTTTATATCCACCCCCGTAGCAATGCCTATGCTCACCGTATCATGTTATCTCACGGAGCTATTATAACCCTGAAAAACACATGCAGGTAAGCCTTGCGGTAGATGGGTGCTAACACCCCATTCAGATCATAAATAGCTGGATAGGCATCTCTATCTGTCTTCTATAAATTTACCTCTCTCTGTCAACCTCCAACGCCGTCAATGAAAAGGCCATACGTAATAGTTGAGTATGGGTTTTAGTATTCCACCTGGACTTAGAGATCCACATGGTGGACATCCGTATAAGGACCATAGATTGCCCTCTGGGTTAAGCATCGTCGGCAAAAACAGGATCTGACGGGCCCACTTGGGTTTACTGATCGTTAAGTATATAAACCCGTGGTGATCGTACGGGAACAACCGTAACGGCAGAGTCGATAGCGATTTCGACACATCGAGTGGCCCGCCTTGTTGTCTTTACACCCGTCCACACGTTTATGTCTTATAGTAACGTGAATTACGTCGCCTCGTAATCCCGAACTGGAGTAGGGAAGACCTGCTTATGATAAGGAAAATCTAGAAGTGCAGATCGACCTGAAGAGCGATGATAACACCGGCCAAGTGCCTCGTTATACCGAAAATCTAGCGCTGATGAGGGCTGCATCGTTTGGAAGCCTGCTAGGGTCAGTAATGCATTCGCGAGCGAGGGCCACGTAACTTGCATTTCCGCGAATAAGCTATAGCGTCATCCTTTATATCGAAAGGAGGCAAGACACGACGCTAGGTGTGAAGCATCATATGCGGTGTATGCTGGGGAGTTTTGAACATCCTATCCACCCTAAAGGTGTCTGTCAAGGGTCTGTGGGAGGTAAAAGCAAAGAAAATGTGTGTAATGAGTCCTGACTCTAGCGGACCAGTGAGGTTCAGAGCAGAAACCTTATCCCCGAGTTTGTCGAAGCCATCCAAGTCATGACTCGATAGCAAATAACTAACACAAGAGGGGTTAACCACCGTGGAATCCTGAACCTTCATTCAGAATCCTTTGAGATCATTCTGATTCTATTTCATTGCAACCCGAGGCATTCAAGTGAAGTAGGGGCAAGTATCCCATGACCTGCAAGGATATCAATAGAGATTGCTGTTTCTCCGACGCTTGACTTTGGACAGTATAGCGGACCTTTTGAGCGACATGTGTAGCTATAGCCATAATAGAGGTAAGGCTGTCAACGTAATGCCACCTATTTGAGCACGATACTGCTATTAGGGCTCAGGGCACCCTTCACACCGCTGCTAACTTGCAGGGTAAGCGTGGGTGTCAGACGAAACCTTGTTGCATTAGCTCCATGCAAAGGCCTCGTTTAGTGTCCTCGAACAACATTTCCACTGCCACGTGGGTAAGTGCTGACTTTCTTCTTTTCCATGTCTTGATCATGCATGTCATATTGGGGGCCATTTCCTAGTTAATTTGGGCTGTTCTTCTGCTGCCCCTCAAGGGCCAAGTCTGGTTCTGCTAAAATTGGCCCCAACCCTCCATTCTGCACAATCTTAGTGAAAGACCCCTGTACAGGTCAGAATATAATGCTGCAGCATGGGCTCTCAGCCCCTCTCTTAAAAGGTAAGCCACAGAGACTACATTCTTTTCATCACTCTTTTATCCCATCGTTCGGCCACATGTTGTTCCCCTGACCCTCTTTCTCTCCTTCCACGGCCCCAGCCATGGACGCCTCAATGTCCATCAACGTGACGCCGGTCGTCTCTGTTGCCCTTGTAGTTGTGTCAACCATATTTCCGGTCTTGTCTCTGTTATCGATTATTCTCCGGTTTCAAGCTCGCCGAATAGGACGCTTGAAACTTGCAGCCGATGACTGGTGGATCTTGGCAGGATGGGTATGTACTCCCAAGTCCATTCGAGACAAAACAACAAGCTGACATTCTGCGAGCTCCCTACTTTTGGTTTGAGCCTCACGATTTGGATTTTCGGTAGCATCACCGGTATCGCCAAATACAAAGTCAATTTAGCAGCGGGGATTCAGAGATCGTTCCAATGCATATTCATCTGTAGTGCCATTCTGCAAGTTAGCCTATCTGCCGTCAAGATCTCGATTTTGTTATTCTATAAGCGAACATTTTCGGTCCCTAAGTTCCAGATCGCTATATACACAGCCATCGCTATTGTTGGTTGCTGGGGAATTGCCTTCTTCTTGGTAATTATTTCCTACATTCAAGATACGTCTACGGCACAAACTAACAGACATCGTGCAGCTGATTCTTCTAGAAGGCGAGCCGATCAGCAGGGCATGGACGGGAAAAGGACACTTCAGATTCGATCAAGTTGCCATGGAGTTCGCTCAATCTGCCACCAGTATCGCATTGAATGTCGCTGTCTTGCTGCTCCCCCTCCCCATGCTTTGGTACCTGCCCATGTCTCCCCATCGAGTGTGGGATCTGATTCTTGTCTACGTCTTAGGTGCACTGTAAGTTCTCGTTCCCTTCCCTGCAACATTCCTCTCCATGTACTCACTAGGGCCTACGCGAATCATAGTTGCTGCGCTGCTGCTATTGTTCGACTCGTTTTGCTCCATGCCTCTATAGCCAAGGAGGCTACCGACTTATCCGTAGTCCGTAAGTACACTCTTCTCGCAGCACTGGTACTATATCGGACGACACGTCTCACACTGATATGGTGGCCCCCAGACATCCACACCAACCAGCTTATCTTCATGATCATCGAGACCAACTGTTCGATCATTGCCGCCTGTTTACCATGCTACGGTGCCCTTCTCCGAGGGGGGCAATCACTTGCATCGATCGTCCGATCCTTGGCCATCCACGGCCGGGCCGACTCCCAGACCGATTCCAGTTTTACAAGCCTCCGTAGCGGCAAGCACTACCCGATCCACGGAATCAGGGATTTGTACGCCGAGACAGGCTCTCAGGTCGAACTCACCGGGCCCAGGGATCGTTGGTCGCGAACGACAACACAGGTCACCATCAAGGTCAGCGGGAACGCGCGCCAGAACGATGAGTGTCTCTCGCCAGGGATTGTGGTCCATACCGAGCTTGATATATCCACGAAAGGGACTGATGTTTAATAAAGTCTTAGCAGCGGAATTTCACATTAGTTACCGGGTTGTCACTCCAAGTACGAGGGTCGTATCATGCTTTAGGAAGGTAGTGAAATTAGCGTTAACTATTATATTTGTAATATTGTACTCAACTGGTTGGGAAATGAATGCCAGCCTTGTTTCATTCATTAACTTATGATACTTTATTAATAATCTATCCATTGACCGATTATCGCCGATAATTAAGTGGGGATACAGCATGCATAAGCATACATATATACATGTATATCTACATGGTATACATATTCATTGTAGCCGCTATGTTGGTTCGCCTATCTATGATTTGAACGTATTAGTTCTGCAAACTAGCGAGGTCAATGAGGTAGGTTTTTTAAAGGCTAGTTTAGTATTCTCTATTTCATCGTTAGGTCTAAACTAATTCCAATGTAGAGTGTGGAAGACGAGCCCGGAGTACTTACGGCCAAGGGTGGATTATTCTCTTGCAAAGCACAACACAAACAAAAAGCCACAAAGTGTCTTTCTAGATATAGCATTTGCGGCGATGGAACTCGCCTTGCAAAGGTCTCCGGCTGTCCATCTTTTTGGTTTTCCACCGACCCAGCAATATGACTAGTGATAGGAGGTTATGTTTACTTGAAGGTCTCCATAAATATATGTTGTTAAAATGGTATACATGCAGTAAATGCACAACATATGGACAGGTTCAAAATGAAGATAAAAATATCTTGCCCCCCGAGCCGGAATAGACTGTGGCCTTCTGATTACACGGTAAAAAACTCTAGTATAGTCAGACACTATATCCAGCCAGACCATCAGGGGTTCAGAGATACTTCAGTTCTTGTTATTTAAGCTTATGGAAGTCGTTATAGGAGCCCTTGGCAGAACTATGGCCTCTTATCAAACACCCACTATCAGCCTTGGACCCCAAGATTCCAAATAACCTTTCCTAATTTGTAGTAGAATATAGACCATGGGGTCGGTCTCTCGATCCGATACTCATGGTGGCTTGGGTGTGAGTAGTACCCAACTAAAAATTTCTATATTTAAGCTTCTATGCTTTGATTTTATATTGATGCCATATCGAGCCCTTGGAGGGCTGAGGCAGCAAGTAGTGACCATTCCAATCGCTATCCACTCCGTATCTAGTATTCATCAAGATTGAAATAGCAACCCCGCAAGATCAGGAACTAAAAGGCGGAAAGTAGACCATACGTGTACAAGCAAGAGACTCAGTGGCGGTGCAATGGCGATGTGCTGCCAGGATTTGGACCGCCAAGCAAAAGCCCCCGTCCATGCCATAGAGGACTGCATTAAAACTGGACGACGCATGTTATACATTAGGCTAGACAAGAACTGTCATTTCAGCACCCGCTATACAGCTCACCAGCAGTCCACATTACTACTGGGGTTGAACCGTATGAATCAAGATGAAGAAAAATCAATATTGGGCTTTGAGAGTATTACTACTTAGAATTGATCCATGTAACAAGCCGCATGTGCTGGGGGTGATAGTCTCTTTTCTGAAGGACAAGAGCTTACAAAGTCTTCATAACGTGCGTAGAGTTGACATGGCAGGCGGTCTAGTATAAGTAAATCTGTAGGGCTGTGCGAGTATATATCCCAGCGGTCATGGGGGACGACGAATGCCGATGGGGTAGATATTGGGATCTGCACTGGGATCACGCAGAAACTGTAAGAGGTGAGTTGAAAAATAGCTCATTCTAAATTTATCCCCCTCACACTACCATCTTCCAAATTGTGCGATGATGCATTCCATGAGGAAATTCATCGCACATTGTTTAGGGCAAGAATGCTTGGCGCTTGAGGCTGAGCGGGTACCCCTTGGCGTCGATCGTTGCCGCTCAAGCTTAAAGCTCAGGCATCAATTCTGCCTGACTGGCCCCATTGTGAATACGATGGGAACCGTCAGCAGTTGTATTTTGAATGCGGGTGCAGAGGGAATGGTCTTACGAGTAGAATTACCCAATATGGGACAGACGGAACAATCTGAGATATTTTTTCTTTTGTTTTTTCATTGCCTGCAAATATGCCGAACAGAACAATGGTATTTGAAATGTTTTGGTTTCCCCATACTCCCGTACCTGAAGAGGAAGGGTATTTTTTTGGGGCGAGGGGATACGGTACGATAACTCTAAAAATAACATGGGCAGTAATTTAATCTCCAGCCTCGTGTTGCGCCCACCAATGACGCGGCACGTGTCCCACCTTTTCTCCTCTTCGTCGTCAGTCGGATTCTCCACTTACAATCAATCCAACAACAACACAAACACACTCTGTTCCTTGACTCCATCCAGTCCAAGTCGCGGAGAGAGAGAGACTATCTTTCCTCTTCCTCACTTGTACAACTCACTCTCATTTTCATACCCTTTTGACTTCCTCCTTTTTTCTCCTTCCTCCTTTCTTCTTTCTCCACTTTCCCCCCCCTATTACTTCCTTCTCCATGCCCCTCTTTAAAAAAAAGCCCAAGACTCCTCCCACGATCAACTCTCCTGCATTCCGATCCGTCGAGCATCTCCCATCTTCGGTCGCATTCCCTGGCGATCTTGACCGACGCTTTTCCGTCTCCACCAACGAACCAGTGCCGCCACTTCCACCTCAACATCCTGCGCATTCCAACGTGGTTCATCGCTCGCAGAGTCACCGCCGTCCGAACACCTTGAACAACCATTCGGTAGTCCCGCCCGCCGCTGCTGCGCCTCCGCGCATTGTCGATGCTGACCCTTCCGATCAGTCGTGGCCACACCCACAGCCAGCTGAGAGACCAGAGGAGCACGAAAACCCGCGACGGTCCAGAAGAAACCTCTTTTCCCTCCACTCGCATTCGTCGTCATCTCAAGCCCCTCGGGAGTCAACTGGGTTCTTGGAACGTAGTCGTTCCGTAAGGAAAACGTCTCCGGCCCCGCAACGACAGGAGCAACGTCCCTTGTCGGTGGATACGGCCGCCGACCCCCACTCGCCGTCAAAATCGAGGGAGTATGTGGTAGACACCACCCAAGACCCTTCCAAGTCCCCCGTGCTACAGGAACAAGCCATTCCACACGAGCCTCGACCACCTCGCTCGCCGCAGACCCCCTCCATACAACGATCGAACACCGATTCCACGCTTCTCGAGCACATATACCGTCCATCCCCTGTGGAGCCCAAGCATCCGGGCGAATTAGCTCCGGGCCCGGTCCAGCAACAATCACAACAACAGAATCAATTGGGTCTGCCTCGTCCTTCGTCGCGACAGTCCCTGGGACCTCCCTCGCCGCTACCACCCCCGCCCGCTTACTCCGACCATTCTGCCTCACAGAGTGCCATGTCCGATCGTCCGCCCAGTGGCCAGCGCGCCCCAACGGCGACTCCACCGCCGGGCGGCCATCAGTCATACCCGCAAGGCAATAACAACCAGGATGCCACAGCACGCAACAATGCTGCCCAACAACCGGAACCGGGTCGTAGTACGCCCACGTCCACTCGCATTCGTGACGAAGGAGAGATTGATGTGCGTACTTTAGTGCAGAAGCATGACGAACTTCGTATGTCTTCCGACCCCCAAGAAAGGTTTTTTCTTCTTCAGAACTGACGTTTATTTAGAGGCGAAGTACTCCAAAGTAAAAAGATATTATTTCGAGAAAGAGGCTCAGGTACAACAGCTGCAGAATACCGTCGCCCATCAGCGCATGGCCGTGTCGCGTACAGTGCTGGATGACAACGAGTATGCCAACCGATTTGGTCGTCTAGACGGCGCCATTAAGGATCTGGCATTTGCATTCCGAAAAGACTGGAAGAGCCTCCCCAAGTGGCTGATGGGTTACGTAAATGATGATGCGCACATCACCGGCACGAAAGAGATGACCGCGATTGGTCGGGCAGTAATTAGTCGGTGGCTTGTGGAGGAGTTGTTTGAGCGTTTCTTCCACCCGGCACTAGATCCCACTTTCAGTCGACAGTTGAAGAGCATTGAGATGAACCTGCGCCGGCAGCAGGGAAATACTCTCACCGACGAGGATAAGGAGAACGCGATCGCGCGCATTTCCAATTGGCGACGGACGACCTTGGATGGTCTCACAGATGCGCTGCAGGGACCAGCTGCCGACGAACACCGGGGTCAGCTGATTGACCATCTGGTAGATAGTCTGGTTGCCAACCTCGTGTCGTATCTGGGTGATCCTCCGCCACCCGGGCTGGACAACGGTGCGCGGATGATTGTGGAGAATGCAGTAGGCATTGCGGATAAGGTCCCCCTGGAGTCGCGCGACGTCTGTATTGAGTACATCCATCCCGGCACTCTCCTACACGAGCCGAACATGAAACTCGAGGCCGGTCTTCCACCACTCGCGAATGTCAGTGTCGAATCCGCCGCAGCGCGAAGGTCCGGCGATCAGGAACACCTCGAAGGACCGCCTGACGAGGCTGATAGAGAGTCGTCCGGGTCAACGAGCCAGGAAGGCGCGCCGGGCGCACCGCATCCCGGACGGGAACCGCGCATGCGGTCGGTAATTAGCAAGGTGATGGGACGGAGAACAAACCAAGCTGTCGCTCCGAACCCCGGTGGCAATGGCGACATGCGTCCTCCCACGGTTATGGAAGAACGGACCAGCATGGGAGCGGGGCGCATTCGGTTTGCATCCTTCATTACCGCGGAAGTTAGGGGACGAGGTCCGATGAATGTGTTGGTCAAGGCGCCTGTATATTTGATGGACTAATGATGATGTACATGTTTAGAGCTGCAATTATGATTCCTTTATGATGATAGCGCGCAGTCTATCTGGAGCGGTTTTAGTCAAACTACTGCTTAAAACAGTTTTGTGTTATCTTCAGTGTCACCTATCGGTCTATACGGTACAACTCTGAAATTGCCATGTAAAGTAATGAACCTAGGAAAAGTGAGTATAAATCAGCAGAAGCTTGACGTGGATGCAAACATAGGTACGTATGTATTGAACCTAATGAAAGGATTCTTCTTAATATAGTGTTTGTTTCACATAGCAGCCTAGAGATCTTCCGTGTTCTAAACTATGGACAGGTTAATTCATCGGATAAATGGCCCTCTATACATGGTCATATGTTTATCCTGGCGACCGTTCGCCATTCCGAGCGACACTCCCTCATACATAGGGTTAATATCTTTCACATAGTTATGGAAAGTAGGGCAACAACAATCTTGCTCACCATGCTACTTCAATTAAACGGCCAAAAAACAACATCGCTGAAGAAACAGCCTAAAATCCAGTAAACGGGGACCCGGAATATCAATATCATGGACCCGCATAAAGGGTACTTTCGGCAACGAAAGTCTGCAAGATCAAGAAAAGGGGGGAGTTCAATGACTCTCCTGAAGCTCTCGATGACCACGAGTATCCTATAGGATTCATTATCTATACTTCATCCCGAGTCGAAGACTGTGACACAGAGTCCTGAGAGGATTCGTGTACCGATGGTTGACGGAAACCCTCTTCCATAGCCCTCATTTGGTGTCTCATATGGGTCCCTGGTTCCCCAAGGCGAGCGACTCCTTGACGGGTGTGTTTTCTGGCGTATGGCCGATAGTCGACGGCATCTTTGCGCTCTTGCTTCGAGGACCTATGTGTAGGTAAGGGCCTACGCCGGCCTTGCTTGTTTTGAATGTCGCATCGTGTCTTTCAATATTTGCGCCACCCGTTGTGTTGGCGATAAGAGGTTCCTTGTGTTCGAGGGAATCAAGATACCAAGCCACAGCATGGGTGGTGGTGCTGTCTGTAGGAGTTGCGAGTGCTACTAAGATAGGAAGAAACAACTGCAATTGACTGGCTTGCATACCCACGCAATTAATCCAGATTAGTACAAGATGACGCGTCGCATCCATTCACAGCACCTGGGGTAGACTTGTACCGATTCTATCAGACATCTGTATCAGTGACTCCTAAGCCAAGCTAATCTTCTCAACTTGAAATCTTCTAAAAGCCAGCCTGCCAATGTACACCCTTCTACATATTTGTAAATGAGGTCACGAGTGTCGATCTCCAGCTTTCCTTATTGGTAAACACAAACAATCTAGAACAGGACTTTGTCCAAGTATTATGCTCTCCCGGACCTTTACTTCCGTAAAGAACTGAATCTACAATTATACATCATACAAAGGCTAATGACTGCAAAGATAACTCATACAAGGGAAGAGGTATTAGCAGCTATACCCCAAATATGACTTGTTGTATTGACAAGAAGGTATATACATGTAAGTACAGGATTCTATCCCAGGCCTTTACAGAAAATGTGCTGAAAAGAATGCAGAATCATATCCTATCCTATATCAGCGAGCTTTGTACCATGTACTCTACGAAACCTGTGAAGCCCTTTTGGTAAACCTGGGCTTGACTTGTGTCGTAAAACATACATGTCGGAGGAAACGCTTTTGGAAGGAAGAGGAACCAGGGATCATCGATAACAGCTCATCCACAGGTATGGTAACAAAGTGAAGGCTGGAATGGTCGGTGCTCGTGGATTTCATATCCGGGAGCTAAATAGAATGTTTCGGAGTCTCAATCCATGGTACTAGGCTTTCCAATCTACATTCTACTGTCTAGCAAGGGTCATCTCCACACCCTGCACATCATAAACTTTTCGTAAACCATTTTCAAAGTCAATCACGCTAGCTTGTAGTTTATTTAAACTTTATTATATGCAATCAGCATTAGGATAAGCACATCATATGGAAAGAAGATATACTATGATGTACAGAGATGCACCATGACTTAGGGGCGTAGGGATGCAATTATCGCAACGCACTCTGTAAACGCAGTTGGGACTTTGGTGCAGGTGCCTTGCTTTCACGACCCAGCATGCCACAGCTACCAGATCGATCTCTGTCTTTTTCTTTTTTCATCGGTGTAAATTCGGCGAAGAACAGGGACGGTTGAATCGAGAACTCTTCCCTGTGTGGGGCAAAGCAAACCCTATACACTCTGAAGCCCCAGCTTCCTCATGACAAGCTCCATGTAGTCATGCATTTTATTTCAACTCTATTTTCAATATCACATACCACTTGTCCATGCCTTTCAGGCCTAAAATATGTTGTCGTTAGGAAAGCGTAGAACGCGCAAGGAAATAAACCCATGAAACAAATATGTTAAATATCATGGGGAAGGCCAGTACCCTAGAGAGCATCGCCATAATCTGCGAGGCATCAGAACCGCTTCTGTTGCATTATATTAGAAATGAATCAGCAGTCTTCGCGAATTGCCCCTGGCCAACAATATCAGCCCTTAATGCGCCTTCCTTTTGCTTTTATTCCTGTGCTTTCCTGTATAGTTTGTCCCGTGCAGCCAATCCATCAACCCTAACGTCCCATAATTGACATCAAACAACTCATGGTGTGCATCGTGGGTAGTAGTGTCCCGGCCAAACAGACTCCGCACATGCCACCCCGAATGTCCCATAGACCCCTGTAGAATTGTTGACGACATCAACAACCAAAACGTTACAAGATGTACTCGGAACAGGGTTGCCGGTACCACAACCGGCAGAACATTTATGAGGATATGGTCCAGAGGATGTGTGTGTTCCGCTGCCACAGCCACCGGTGCCGTAAACTTGTGGTGCTCCTTGTGGAAGCGTCGGTAGAACCAAGGCAGGTGGAGAATGCGGTGGTTATAGTAGGAGACAAAGTCCCGGCCGATGAAGCAGAGGGGTACATCAGTTATAAGCTCGAGCAGTGATGGCAATGGAGGCTCAATGCGGTAGCCGGCAAATCGGCCAGTGATACTGCGGAGGGCGATGAGTTTGAGCGAATGCAAGGCTGTTGTCAGGATCTGGTTTTCAAGGACACTGGGGATGCACTGGAGCATAACCTTCCGGGAAGGCTGCTTGGAGATGGACTGGATCTTGTGTTTCTCCAGAATAGAGGAAGGAGCATAGAGGTCGGCGAGAGCGAAGACAAGTGAACCTAACCAGTAAAAGACGAAGTGCACAGCGAATGTACCGAGCAGCTCAATGTTTTCGGGAGAGTAATTGGCGACTATGTGGGACCATTGGGAGGCCATATAGTTGGGTAGTTTTCCACGATTGTAATCCATGTTTTTGTTAACTTGTGTGGAGGTGCTCAAATTCGTTAGACAATATGGACTGATAGTAGCCGATTCAATGATAGAAGAATGGGCGTCAGTCTAGCAACGATCTAATCTGGCGCTAAATATATTTGATATCGTGAAATGTGAGATCATGACTTTATAGATGAACGTACCGGATGTAGCTCCACGAAACGCCATTGGCCACTGAGGTGAGGTGATGAAAGAGAGATGCTTCCCTCCTACAGAATGCCCAAGGATATCTGCTTTGTCAACTCTGAATAGGGTTTAATGACGCTACCCTGAAACAATAGCGATTAAAATATCGATCTCAGCCATCGACACTCGACGAGGTCGGTCACAACTTCTTGGCATTGTTCAACACATTGAGAGGATATCCTGGGGCATACTATGGGCACAATGGTTGTCATACTAATAAGCTGTTCATAGCATTGTAGACAAAGGCCCAGATTCTATCGATATTGATCGATACTGGTGATATCATTATTGACCTTGTGCGGTTGGATACTGAGAACGCAAACGGCATTCGTGGACGAAAACGGCACCAACCTTTCGGAAACCAAAATCTTAATCTTAATTTTAATGCTATTCAACAGTCCCCACGGACATCTGAATTCTTCGAACACGCTTTGGCGGTGTTCCTTCTTTGTGTCCGATAGCGCAAAATATGGCCTCATCCAACGCGTCTTGTCTTTCAGGACAAACTCCAACTCCGCTCACAAATACACCATCCTGCAACCCTGGATTTCTGTGTATTATTTCCATTTGATATTCCCCTTCATACGCCGTCTTCCTTTGTTTGAATTCGACGTTCTACACCTCCAGTTAACTAATCGATCACTTCTAGGCCTTAACATCACATCGGAAAACCCACCGGTCTATTGCCCACCCACAATAGAATGTCAGACTATCCGATCCCAACCATACGATAATATATGCGCCCAACCTCAAGGCACCTTTGAACCAATTGTCTGTCCCGCTGGATTCTACTGTCCTCCTAATGGCCAAGAAAAGATCCGATGCCCAAGTGGCTTCTACTGCCCGCTAGGATCCTTTTATGCAAAGCGCTGCAGGGCTCTATCAGTTTGCCATGAGAGGAGCGAACGAGAGGTGTCACTGATCGGGATCGCCTGTTTAATAGCGATATATATGCTCTTGCTTCTGTTAGTTATTGCACGGAAATTGAAAGCTGGAGTCGCATGGAAAAAGCTCGCAGCCCGATGGGCAACAATCACGAGGGAAGGGAATTCACATAATGCAGCCATCGAAGAGGTTGAGAATTGTAGCATATTTGACGGGTTAATCAAAGACAGAGGAATGGCCGATGTCGGCATTGAACTAGATATGCACCAATTGGAAGTTACGCTTCAGCATACGGGTCGCCCAATCTTGGACGGCATTTCGGGCAATATCAAGAAGGGATGCGTATTTGGAATTATGGGCCTGTCTGGGGCAGGGAAGAGTATGTCGGCGACTCCCCATCTAACGTCATAGATCACTGAGGCCTGCAGCAACTCTGATTAATATTCTGGCTGGAAAGAGCAGGCAAACGTCTGGAACAACAGCTCTCAATGGAGTCCAAGGAGATCTCACCAGGTGGGCACTATGTATGCGAGTCGATGAAAGTGTTCTGACATCAGAACCAGATTTAAGCATCTTATTGGGTTCGTACCGCAGGATGACATTCTACTAGAGGAGCTCACCGTTCGGGAAAGCATCTTGCATTCCGCACGTCTCCATCTTGGGGGAGTCTGGAGTGACGACAAGATCAAGCTACATGTTAACAAACTGATAGATTATCTTGGACTAACACCCGTGAAAGATCAGCTCGCAGGAGGTGCCGAGAAAAGAGGTATATCCGGTGGTGAGCGGAAGCGGCTCAGCATTGCCTTGGAGCTTGCTGCCATGCCGAGGGCTGTTATCCTCGACGAGCCAACCTCTGGTCTTGATGCGGCGACTGCTTTATCAATAATGAAGCTGCTCAAGTCAATCTCTCTAATGGGTATTACTGTTGTCTGCACAATCCATCAGCCACGGTCAGACATATTCCATCTTCTGGATGACTTGCTCATTCTGGCCTCCGGCCGGCAGGTATATCTAGGACAGGCAGCGAGGGTAAAGGAGTATTTTAAAGCACTTGGGTATGCTATTCCCAGTGCTTCCAACCCTGCTGACATCGTGATGGATATTGTCTCAAGCTGGCAAGTTGGATTGGAGTCATTTAGGCCTCTATCTCCCCAGGGAAGCATTGAAATGAGTATTGAGGTTATTTCCGAAGTATACGAATCTCGACAGGAATCGGAGAGCGTAGCTGTGCTGGATAAACTTGCAGCCGTCCAAAGAGCTCCTTGGCATCGCCAACTACTTCTATATCTGCTTTGTGGAACAAGGCAGCGATGTCGGCAAGTGTTCGGCTTCATTCTAGGGATGGTCACAGCATCAGCCGCTGGACTTTTAATCGGCCTAGGTGTATATGGACACCAAGGTCATGTATTCCAAGGATATTATCGGCAGCCATTCCATCCATTGTCCAGTGCCGTGAATTATACAAGCCTCCCTAGCCTGGCACAGATTTCCTGCTTGGCGATCAGTAAGTAGACGCTTTTTCTCATAGCAAGGCACCACCAACACTAATTCGTTATACTAGGTCTGGCAGCTGCACCAGCCGGAATAAGAACAATTGCAGAAGAGAGTTAGCTCGTTGTCCAGTTACAAAATATTCATTGTACACACTGCTAATGTTCTACTAGAGTTGGTATTCTACCGCGAGATACGTTCGGGCCATTCGAGCACTGCATATTTTCTTGGAAAGGAGCTGTCCACTTGGCCACGCGTGTTCCTATCAGCTTTACATTTCACGACATTTTACAGCATCCTTGCAACCCCGGTGGTTCCATTTGAGGCTTTGCTCCTGCTCAATACTGTCTACTTCTTTTGTTGGTCCTACCTCGGCTCTCATAGGTCGTTTACGTGACTCACGAACGGGTTCCCCAGGCATCTACGGAATAGCTTCTCTCGTGGCATCACTAGTTCGACGCCAAGACGCACTGCTGCTGGCGATGCTCGCAAGTATGATAGCCGGCATCTTCAATGGTGCCGGGCCGCTCCTCTCGCGGGTCAAGTCGTGGAATATGGCCTGGTTCTGGTATATTTGCCCAAGTGTAAGTTTTGTCAAATACTAAGCCACCTTCTTCAACAAAGTATGCGCCTAATCAGGGGCACAAATTCAGACCTGGTATTCCGAGGCCTTTTTCAGCGAACATACAACTCCATGGTCGTATTTGTATGACGTTAATGCAGCATCAAGCTTTGTTGGCTATGTCACTGGCAGGACCCCGTTCGATTTAGGGTAAGCATTCGTGGTTCGTCTTGTTCAGAATTTGTTTCAAGAGATTAATAGCCTCATCTGGTGTGTGCAGAATGGTGTTCGCCATGGGAATTGTGTACCGCATCATCGCGTATATATCACTGATGCTCCCGGTGGTCGATTTCACCTTTTTCCGAAAGATATTCAGGTAGGGCCAGTGACCTTATTCTCGTCGGTATGACTGCGCAACGAACAGCCTGCGGGATTACCGCCTATGGATTGCGGGCTTGGTTTATGTCCTAATAGTGATAAAATCAAAAGCACAACGACGGCAGCCAGCATTTAGCATTTGTCGAACATGCTGTATATTCATTAGTAGTGCTCGGCTCACTTACTTTAATGCGTTAGTCCAATGAAGTCACAATCAAGGGTTGGGGGCTCGGTCGGGTCTACCGTCCACATATAATATCCATGCTTCAGTATTTGAATATATGAGTATATGTCATTCTCAACTTGACATTGTCTCTCGTTTAATTCTGCCAGCCAATCGGAACTGCACAGTGGTCGCAATGGCTTACCGTACTCGGGCTCGGGACAATTTCCGCTTTGCCCAGAAGCATCTTCTTCGCATCAACCTCCGATCAATTCAATGTAACTCTTGGGAGGATCCAATTACAAAATATGTTCCGTTGTACGCAGTGTGACAAATCATACCAGAGAAAAGCACATTTGTTGCGCCATGAGTTCACGCGTACGTTCGGAATGGGGTTCCTCGTGCGATGTTGCCAATGGACATTGACCCTCTACTAGATTCCGGCCAGGCCGCTTCCACGTGCCCCTTTTGCAAGAAATCATTCTTGAAACCGTAAAGACAGCCACTCATAACGGTTTCAAAACCAGATCTAACTCTTTGTCCCTCCAGAGAGGTTGCTCGTCGACACAGTAAAGCATGTGCAATCAAATACAACCAACAGCCTGCCCCGGCAGCCAAGCCGGGGCGGAAGCGGCAGTCCTGCGATCAATGTTTTGCCACGAAAAGGGCGTGTGATAAATGTTCACCGTGCTCTCGTTGTCGGTCGCTCGGACAGCAATGCACGTTTGAGTCGCAGCATGAGCCTTCAATAGGAAGCCCCTGCTCCACTGACGTCTCGTTATCGCCATCGGTGCAACCGGCTACTCCACCAAAGGAGGGATCGCAGTTTTCGTTTCTTCGGCATTTCACTGACCCTTGCGTGGAGAGAGATAGACTAGCAATCGGAACAACAGCAGAATGTTCTGTCCGAAGAAATCTCGAAAGCCTCTATTCCCACCTCGAAGATGCGCTAATACCGCCCGATCCTATGGGGGTGAATTTCGGTGACATCCCAGGCACCGAATTGTTCTTTCGTCCTCCATTGATCACGGATGAATATTTCCCTACTGATCTTCTAAGCTATGGCCCTACCAAGCTCTCAGAGCAATTACACGAAATAATGCTGGAACTGATTGAGACCTCAAAATCGATGAGACTTGACGACACTGAGGATCCACCGGTACAACTCGATATTACTCAACTGGCCCCACTATTCACAGTATCTAACGTTGCGATCTTCATCTCTGTATTTTTTCATTCTCTCTATTGGCATCTCCCCGTCGTGCACTTTCCGACATTCGACCCGGGCAATGTTTCCAACCCACTGCTGCTCTCAATCTTTTTAACCGGTGCAACATATAGTAGTTCCTTAGACGAAGCGGCATTATTACCCAGGGTTCTGGACGTGGCCGAGGAGCATGTGTTCCGGAAGATCACAACCCTATCAACACAGGTTGCTCCGCCTACTGACGACCTCACACGGCAAACACCTACCATCCAGCTCCTTCAGGCCGCACTAATCATCGAAATGCTACAGTTCGGCCAAGAACGGATTGAAACAAGACGCCGCATTCGTATCATCCGTCATCCAAGCCTAGTATCTCTGATGCGTTGCTTGGGAATCTTCCACCTCAAGCGGTCCGCGCCTCCCACGACCTGCACTGGGGGCGATGGCACATGGAGAGCATTAGTCACAGAGGAAGTCTGCATACGACTTGCTTCTTGGGTCTTCCTTGCGGACGGTTTCCTTACGGTGTGTTTCAAAAACCGACCCACCATATCTATCTTCGAGATGGAGTGCCCCTTCCCATGGAGGACGGAGCTATGGGAGGCCGAAAATGCATCCGCCTTCAGTCGGATCGCCGCCACTGATGCAGCGAAGCTCCCAATGCCTTCCGTAAGGGAAGCCATCCGGCTGCTACTCGATAATTCTGAAGCTGCACCCGTACCGTCCAGCTTACCCCTTTCCGCAGAGCATCTATTAATCATGATATACGGTACGTCCCACGGCAACTTCATATCCCTCATCATTTCGCTAAAGACATAACTGCAGCGTTGAATTCTCTCGCATTCCTAGCCAGAACCGACTTCTTCGGCTCCGTGCCCCTGAAGAAAATCAAATCCGGCGCCAACAAGTGGAAGCAGATCTGGAACTCCGTGTACCAGGATACAAGCAACGACCAGATACTCCCACTGGGGTACCCGAAACACGCAGAAGAGCTTTGGCTCCTTCTGACGGCGATGCTTGACATTGCTACTGAGAATTCCTCGAAGCTCCCGTATCTGGACAACGCCGCGACAGATGATCTAGGAAAACTGAACGAATTCATTCAATGGTGTTGTCGGGATTCATAATACACGCCTCTATTATTAGATTACATTACTAAAAATACATTAATGCCGCTGCCTTCAATCACTCTTGAGAGCCTGCGCCTTGCGGTTCTCATTCTGTATGAACCCGTCCTCCTTCGGCTTGCGGTATGTCCCACTCACCCTATCCCAGAACGTCAGGAATTGACCATAGTTGTAGTTGAAGTACAGATGATGCATGGTATGACACGCTGCACCGTTGACGACGACAGATTCCGAAAGATACTCGGCGTCATCTGCGTTTATTAGCCCTATCCCCCTCATTTCCCACACAACAGCAAACTCAAAGGGAAACTCACGAATAAAAACCGTCCACATAGTCACGAACACAAACAGCCCCAAGTAGGCACTCTTCTGCAGTGGAAAGAGCAACGGATACACATGGTAGGGAATACTCTGCGACCAGCCATCCACGGGGTGGAACGCATAGCTCGCAAACGGACTCGGCATGATCCATTTATGGTGCGGCTTGTGCAGCCACCGGTACACGGGCGGGTAATGCAATCCCCGGTGGATCCAGTAGATGCCACAGTCCGTGAAGCACACGAACAGCGGGTACTGCAGCCAGTTGTAGGCGCGGAAGGGGGCTTCGTCGTTGAAGTCGTATAGCTTGGTCCAGCCGCGCACCTCGGCGAGAAAGAACGGGGCCGTGAGCACGGCGATGACGGGGATCGCCGAGAGGCCTTGGTGGATCTCTTGGCGGATTTGGTTCGGCAGGAAGTGTGGGTGGCGCATTACTCGCTTGTCGAAGATCGTGTGGTAGACTACCGTGCTGCCGATTAAGTACAAGGCTGTGGCGAAGATCCTGCGGGGGTTTAGAATCGGGGCCTGTTGGTTTGGTTTGCCAGGTCGTGAAATACATACCACCCGATGAGGAAGAGGGACGTTGTCTGGCGGGCGAGATCATCTCGCTTCCATGCGCTGCTGTCTGCGTAGGGAGATGGCGGCAGTGGATAGTAGAGGCTAATGTGTTTGTTGTATGTGCCTGCAGGCGCCGGCACGGGATTCGTCGCGGGTAAAATTGATGCGTATAATCTGTCGAACACGAATGTGTCCAGGATGTCGAGAAGAACATCCATGGTGGCGTTAATTACAAGACGGTTCAGAATATAGTGCACCGAAAGGAGAAACGTTGAAGAGTAAATACAATGAGACAGACTGAAACAATCCAACGGCGCATCGCCCTTCTTATATTGGGAAATACCTACATGATCCATTGTTAGGGTTGGCCATTACCTACATTACGCTGTATGTATGGATGGACGGACCTGCCGCGGACAATACCTACCATGGGGAATACCCACACGGGCAATACCTACCAAACAACCCCTTTACCTACAACGCTCCGATGTCGTACGATATTCGAAACTTTCTATGGAGGTTTGTAGCCCGGAAATCGTCCAACTCGGGTAGGCCATGAATAAATAAATAATGAAGTGGGAGGAGGACGCAGTGCCTGACTAAGCTGACAATTGGCAATCGTAGTGATTCGCTACACTGGACAACTCCCCTCCACTTCGACCTACCAGGCTTCCAAAATCCGCAATCCGAAATACAACCTCAAACAGGAATAGGAGAGTGTTAAATATACAGGGATGTTGCACACGGAGCGAATCACCTGACAGAATTTCCCAACAACACGTCCGCCTAAATATCCACATCTCACCTAAACAAAGAAAAAAGTGAAAAAAAGGGGGAAAGGTAATAGAAACCAAATCTACCTCCCCCAAACCAAATCCCCCCTCTCAGCAACCGTCCTGCGACACTTCTCCAAAATAGCCGCCTGCCTGGCCACCTCCGCCAAACTGCCCAAGACCTTGCGATTCCCGCCCACAAACCCGTAAAGCGCGTACGGGATACCCACATCCCGACAGAACTCCATCACCAAAGCCTGCGTGCGGCGCAAATTATGCCGCGGCACGCGTGGGTACAGATGGTGGATGGCCTGGAACTGCAGTCCGCCGTGGAACCAGTCCAGCCAGGGCGGACAGTCGACGTCCATGGTTGTACGGAGCATTTTCTGGGCGAAGGACTCGGTTGGGCCGAGGTCGGTCGTGGACATTGCGAAATGGGAGACGGTGAATTGGACGTGCAGGGGCATGGTGGCCATGTGGCTGATCAAGACGAACGAAACGCGGGACAGTGGTGTTGGGAGGGCTTTGTAGAGGATGCCGTAGCCGAACCAGAGCCAGAAGATGAGATTCCCGCATATTTCGAACCAGCGGTGCCATCTGGCGGGGCCCTTGCGGGGCCCTTGGGCCTGGAGGAGGAAGATCCAGGATTGCACGTAGAGGTTGAAGCGGCCGAAGAGCAGAACGATGTAGTACAGGTAGGCTTGGTAAGGGACGAGGGCTTGGGCGACCTTGTTGTATGCCAGGAGTCGTTCGTGGTAGGTGGAGAAGAGGTTCCCGAGAAAGCGATGGTTAACGGCCAGGAAGGGGAGGTGCTGATTGTCAGGATCATGCTCGGGTGCGTTGGTGACGATGTGGTGCACGTTGTGGCTGCGTTTCCACCAGCCCAGGGACAGGCCACCGATCGGTGCGGCGATCGTCATCCCAATCAGACTGTCGATCGTAAAGTTCTGGGTGATTCCGATATGGCCTGCGTCGTGGGCGGCGAAGACCATTTGGGACCAGAACCAGGCGAGGAAGAGGGCGCTGGTGTTGTACCAGCCGATGTGGAGGAGGAAGAGCATGATACTGAACAGAAGGGAGCAGCGGGCAAATTCCCAGGCGTAGGCTGTGTAGTTGCAGTTGTAGAGGCCTTCGGCGTGGATTCGGCTGTGCAGGAGTCGGTACTGGGCGACGATTTCGTCCTGAGTTACAGGGTCCAGAGGTGGGTACTGAGATAGGGTGAGTTTGATTTCTTCTTTGGTTTGCGTGTCGAGAAAGGTTATTTCGTCTTGGGTGGCCATATTCTCCATTGGCTCAGGCTCGCTGTGTCGTTTGCGGATGCCGGCATCTGCTGTGAGCCCAGTTGAGGAAGTGTCCTGCTTTTCCTTGACTAAGATGGCCGACTCGTCTTTTCCATCCTCATCCGATCGAAATACTCCCCCTTGAATTGGTGGCACGAAATTGATCCATCTTCCCTCAATCCGCCCAATTTGATATCTTGCAATCATTCGTCGCGTCTCTTCACAGTGGAATCTACAACCCGTCAGTATCAAGCAAGCTCAGCCACATTTACCGACGATAGGCAATTGGGTGTCTAACATCGTAAACTCATCCGTCGCATCCTTTCCCACAACATGCTGGATGGTCTTATGTCCACCAGGATGGTACGGAATCCAGGCATCCACGCGCAGAACCTTCTGGTTCACGATAATAATCGACTGACCCCCTGCAATTAGGGCCTCGATTTGTCTACGTGAGAGGATCGCATCACCGGTAGATCGCTGCATGATGCAATGGGGAATTGATTAGTACATGGGCAGGGTTTGTACCACGGTTCGTACGTCAGGTTAAGCTTGGTTGGGTGTGCGGGCCGAGTGTTTCCACTCGGGATCGGCCTCGGGGCTATTTTCGGATATTACGTCTCCTATCGATGCAGGGTACGGGGTAGCTCTTTCTTACGGGGTTGGTAACGCAAACAAACCAAGTTGCTCTTTCGCACTTCATAGTGGCTCACCTACTCTGTAAATCTACTCGATGACTCTGTATTGCATTTCTCGATCTCCACTACTGGATACACACGGAGGTGGGAAAGCAATTCCAGGCACTTTGTTAACGACAAATGATGGATGGGTTACGTGGCGGATTGGAGGCGGGGTGTAAGCTTATTTCAACACGATGGCTGGGTATTTCTTCTGACTTGTCGTTTATTCAGCCGTGCAATTGTCAGATAAACGATGTCGATCGTATATCCTTCTTGACTTTTTCTCTGGTTCTAGGGCATTGGAACGAGTTGGGAATTCAGTCTGGACCCGGGATATATTATAGAGGCTGAGCTTTCGTGGCAGTCTTATATTATATACTTTTTATTCTAATGGTAAGGTACATACGTGGTAGATAAAACTATAATGGTTCGACTTCGACAGGCCGAAACATCACATAAGCGATATTGACATGAGTTCTACCACCTGTATGATCAATGGAGGGGGTGAATGCAATGCAATGAAGTAAGTAGGCGAGCTGGCACTTGTGTAGCGAGAAATCAGTGCCCGGCAAGTCGGACACTAAACACTGTATGGACCTGCCTGATGTATATTCTTGGGTGATTACGCTCAGCGCCATTGGTCGCTACGTTCAGCATATACAGGGCATACACAAGATAATACCTACATAGCACGTGTCGTTTGTCTCTACCAATACCACATCGAATCCTAAGGTTTCAGGCCTACGACTATTCCGAAGAATAGTAGAAATCTAGAACATCCACCCAGTCGATTTTTCTATAGTGAAAGCCATAATTTTTACCTCACTGCAGCTTCATTCAATTGCACTCTAACAACTAGAACTTTAGGCCGTTTTGCCGTTAATAGCCACAAGCTGGACATGGCTGTTGATCGGAGTAAGCGTCACTGGCCTGGATCGTGAGCATCGGATAGACGAGAAACTTACAAGAGGAGGGTAGCGTTGGGGGGGATCAAGCCGGGGAAGCCCCTATGTTTGTCAGTATACTTATGCATCAAAAAGAGAATCCCCCGTATTGGCGCCGTTGGTGAAGGGAAACAGCATAACATACCTTTCTCCATAGGCGTAGTCTCTGAGCGGATGGTTAGTAAGCAAGATTAGATAAGTAGTAGTTACGGTCAAAGGAGAGAGAAAAGATGACATCATAGACTGAGGTCAGGGCACGAAACGAGAATAACAGCAACACTCACCCGGTGATGGTCAATAGGGCCTCCTCTCCGACAGTCATCTGAGGGACACCCTCATCCCAACCTACCAAATTAAATCTATCAACTATGTCGCATACAAAGGGTCAAGGGCAAACAAACCTCTGATAAGACGTCCCATGCCAATGGCCGAACGCAAGGGCTGCCCCCGGTCATGGGAGCTATCAAACCTGTTGCAGTGACTTAGTCATCATGCACCGCATCCTTTTAGAACGGAATTCAACATACTTGTCTCCCTTGTTCTCCGGCTGGTTCGGGTTATACAACCATCCAGTATAGTGCATGGCGACCTCATCACCCTTCTTGGGGCTGTCGACACCGTTGCCGGGTTTGAGAATCTGCTTGGTGACGCCCATTTTGAGATTCCGTGATCGAATAATCAAGAAACGAGATAATGAGGGGAAGAGGGGAAGAGGGGAAGAAGAAAAGAGTCCAAAGACGAGGAGAGAAAGAGGGGCAATTTTTATAATCGCCAAGTGGGGCTTGATCCCTGGGTTGTGTATCGCGTCGGTATTCGGCCTGTTATTTTCGTTTAGGGTACGGGTGTTCTCGGTAAACGTCGTGTATTCCCAACGTTCCTCTTTTGCTTTGGGGATGTTTGATATAGCTTGAGACTTATTGACCAGGGTGCATTTTAGCCGTCGCATGGATCTGGATCACGTTGCTTTTGTTTGGAGAATCTCATATTTAAGTTTATGTTCCAATTTGGTGTGGGAATGACGCCTTTCCTTTTCTTGGCGCGGTCCCAGCAAATTTCCCTGGAGAAAGGTTGGAGAGAATGAGATATGGAAGAGCTTCGACAATATGAGTAACTTTGACTAGTGTTCTACTGTATATGGCGGTAAAGGGGATTGGTCGCGGAGTAAGGATTGTTGGCTAACACGGTCCCTCGAACGAATATATATAACCACCGATAGACCCGGACTACAATGAAATTATCACCCATAGTGATGTCCATAGTTATTGCACATGATTTGAGGTGAATACTAGCAGTATCTAAGTAGCATCCCAAGGAAGAGCCAATGCTATCCTCTAGATTGAAGTAGACAGCTCTTGGTACTTCCTGACCAGCCTGGCATTGTAGAGGTTCAATGCTGATCACGCTTAGCCGCTGCATATCTAACAAGATATGTTCTGAGCTCTTGTCTAAGACGTTCAATTCCGATGGAAGTTATGTGGAGAGATTCAGCTCAACACTGGTAGACCCTAAATGTATGTGCATACACCCTCAGCCCCTCGGCGATAGGGTTTTTCCATTCCTTGTCTGGCTTATGTAACCACTCTCTGCTCACCTGACCCAACATGCTCGAAGTATAGGTATCTGGTAGTATGTTCCTTTATCCATAGCTCTTAAATACCTACCTGGATACATAAGCGCAGAATGTCTCGTTTTGGATGGCAGTTAGCTCTACTATACATATTTACAAGTAGCTAAGATTCGGCAAGTCTTAGGGCTATATATCTAAGATCGTGGGGTGCGCGAGCAACAAGCCCTAAGTCCAGTTAGTCATACTCCGATTTCTCTATTTTTTGCTTGAATTCTGTCAAATCGCCTTATAGCCCTTTGGATGACCTCTACTGTATAGACTTGTTACCCGAGAGTTGTTATCATGGTTCACAAATAATGAGTATCTGCAATCATGGGACAGTGACACCTATATCAGCTAGCGAAATGTTTGTGAAAAAAGCATACAGCTCCTATGCAAAATGTCACAATATAAATATCTTGAAAGTTGCTATAATATTAGTGCTCTGTAGTCTGTGAAGCCGAATACTTGTGGGGGACTTTGTGAAACCATTCTAAGCCAATCCCCTCTGCAGTCCAGCCATCCTCACTACGTCTGAATTTGTCGGTGCCCTATTCAAGAATCTCATACTAGTATCTTCCATAGTAATAAGGATAAAATGACGCCATTCTTATATCCTTGGAATACCCAGGAAGTGTATTTTGACTCCAGCGTTGAGTGAGACGATAAGCCGTATGCACATTGCTTGTCCCTGTCGATCACATCAGATGGTGTGAGGAAGGGCCCCGATATGTCGTGACTGAACCTATCGTTGCTTCTCACGGATACCCTGTTTGTAGTCAACGCTTGGTACATGAGAAAAAAGGATTTCGATTATACTACATTCAAATGTTTTCTCCTGCGATAGGGAACTTTTATGGAATTCCCTGTCTGAATCTCACTCAGAAGCTAGTTACTTGTTTGCTATAACACAAAGATATATGTATGGCCACAAAATAGCCCAGAGGAAAGATATCATACTAGACTATACCTGTATATATAGGCATGCGGCTCATTGTGGAGCTCGATGGTAAGCTTCGTTACTCCTCATACAGGTTTCATTTACTAACGTGCCATTCATTAAAGGTTCTCTGTGCCAAGTAGATAGTGGATACAGACCAGGAAGCTACTCAGCGTCATCTAGTTCCGGATAGTGACGGTAGATACCCAGCGAGTATTTCTGTCTTCTGTCACTTGCAAGATACTCCTTGATGCGAGGCCGGTTCTTGACAGCCTCGTAGAGCTTGAACACGTTCGCATATTCACCCGATTTCTCCAATCTACTAAGCGCTCGAGGGAATGCAAACTTGAGACCATCAATGCCCTGCAGTGTGCGGTTAGTAGTCTGGTGGGTCAAGCGTGGTCTTTCTTTGGGCACGCATTAGCATCCAATGCCCGGAGATGAATCAAGACGTACCTGGAAAAGAACAAGGTCCGCATAGGTCAAGGTCGTGCCATACAGCCACGGACGGCCCAGCGCCGCCTGGGGCTTCAACACCCGCTCGAAATACGACAGGAACTTCGGCAGACGATTCTTCCGGTAGGACTCCGACCTCCGCTTGCTCTCCTCCAGCTGATCCTCATAGTAGAGCTCCGAGGCAATGGGATGGTGAGTATCATGCGTCTCATCACTCAGTCCATCCAGGGCCGTAAGAGCAAGCGAGTTGACTTGATAGATGGCGTCCCCATCTGGCGTCAGACCGAGCCGCGGGGCCAGGTAGAGCAGAATATTGGGTGTCTGGCTGATGCGCAGATCGCCATGCTTGAGAATGGGCGGTGCGAACGGTGGAGGGCCAGACTGATCGCCCTCGTAGTTCTTATCAATGAGTGCTAGTACGGTGTTGATTCCATCTTTTTCGTGTGCAGTGTCGGTATAGTCGGCTCCGGCTTCCTCCAAGGCCAGCCGTATGAATTCTCCACGACCGGGTATCTGGGGCCAGTAGATGAGTTGATACGGGCCGTTTGAGCGTTGCGACATTGTGAGTGCTTTTTCCTTTCCTTTCCTTTCTTTTCTTTTCTTTCCTTTTCCTTTTTTCATTTTAAAAAAATACGAGGTATAGCCTAGGTGGACATGGGGAGGTTTGATGGTTGAGGAGGGCGTAGTAGTAACTACTACTAGAACGAGTGAGCAAGAGCGGGGGCTGACTCACGTGCGGGGCATCATGCATGAAGTCATGGTGATGACGAACTCTATAAACTCCACATCACAAGAAATACGAGGTCATTTGATATGTAGGGCTATGAAACATCATAGGTACAAATACTACACACATGGAGTGATTGAACAAACATAGCTAGACTGTAGTGATTACATACTAGGGCACGTCTTAGAGCTGTACGGAATTCATTGAGATGATGCTGCTACAGACTGCCGGATTGCTCGTATGGTGCCATCAGGGAGTTCCCGAGCACCTTGGATGGAAAAGCGTCTTCACCCAAAGTCGTGGTATGTGCCCACGGCTTAAGCCCATTCTCCCGGCGAATAGTTGCAGCAAAACAATTGCTCCATTGCTTGCGCGGGTAATGCCGTGACACGTCCTCAATGGTCGACGGATGGACGATGTCGGCATAAGCACCGGTGTTGTCTGGGTCGGTCAGATCCTGTTACCCAGATGGAAGTGCAACAGTGGGGCGAGTTAGAACGTACCAAATATAGTGGCCAGTTGCAGCAATTGGCCTACTGCAGTGATCTTGCCTTCTTCACAAAGATCCTGATGTCGGATGATCGCTTCGGCGACACTCTCCGCCTGATCCCGAGGGGCGACTGCATTTCCTGCTGATCCAGTACGGTCCTGAAGGACGTCCAAGGCGAGAAAGCCCCCGTAGAACTCAAAACTTAATTTCGTCTTGTTCAGATTTTCTTCGGTCGAGCCGATGTCATGTAGCAAGCAGCAGAGGAAGTAGGTCTCATCGGTAAAAGACCAGGAAGGGAACACGTGCCGCTTGATCGCAAGGCCGTAGTGATACACCCGCAGAGAGTGGTTGTACGTGGGTTCAGGCAGATGGGCGCGCGCATAGTGATTGATGCGCTGCGACAAGGCGGTTTGAGGGACGGGAGTATCGGCTACGGAAATAAAAGGCGCTGGGGTGGATGGCTTCGCCGCGGAGAGGAGGGCTGACGCGGAAGAGATTACCGGCGTGAAGCCATATTCGGTTTCTGAACTTGGGAGCATCCTGAAGGAGTTCAAGAGATTGTGGAAAGGTTGTTTTGCGCGTGCTGAAGCCGAGGCTCAATTGAGGTTCCCACTGATTGATGAATGTTTCCATTCAACAGGGGTGACATTCCATCTTTATATATTTTGGGAATCCTCCAGCTGACAAATTCCGCTTGTGTGATTCACATCAATGGTGTCTAAACAGCATTGATGTAGACGAGAGATAGATGGATCTGGGACGAAGATCTATGGACCATTCTTGACCCACTCCATTTTACTGCCCAAAACGGATAATCCGGGGTCGGAACATTGTAAACCCGAAGTGACATCACAATCTATGCACCATATTCTGCTTACGTGATCTATGCTATTCTGTATCTAACATGCTACATCAAAGTAAACGTAAACTAGCTCATGAGGCTATATTATACGGTCAAAGACCAAATATGCACTGATTGATAACAATGCTAAGCTGGCAATCAGGCTAGACCCATGTTCTTGCTCAGTATCATTGACCTTCGTGTATCGGTCTCCTTTATAAACCCCCCCCATAAACAATTAACAAGGTGCCTGTCAGCGGAAGATAAATCGTATTCGACAGCGTCGGATAAAGCCGTCACAAAAGTCTATTACAAACGCAGCCTTGGGGTCAAGTCGCATATGAACTCCTCCTGCTGCACAAACCACACATTTCTCGTCTTCCACGGCTTGTTTTGATGCAATTGAATATCGAATTCGCGGAGTAGCTGAGGCAGAATCTTCTGCATCTCCATCAGAGAGATTGCTTTCCCAACACAGGATCGTGAACCTGCACCGAAGCTGAAAAAGGCTTTCTCCATTTCCTTCAGCTTTTCGGGAGGGCTGTCTAGCCATCGCTCAGGGATGAAGGAATCCGGCTGAGGAAAGACAACCGGGTCTCGGTGGACAACCCAAGCATTAATACCAACCTTTGTACCGCCAGGGATGTATTGACCGCAAAGAGTGACGCCTTGCGGTGGCACATGACGTTCGAGATTGCCTCCAACAGACGGGTGCAAACGCATCGCTTCTTTCATCACCGCACCGAAGTACGGAAGATGTGTGGTGGATTCCTGGTAGGAGATCGGGTTACTAAGCTTGCCTTCTCGGTCTGCCGTGTCAATCTCCGCTCGCACTTTTGACATTTTGTCCGGGTGACAGATGAGATGATAGAGAATCGAGCGCAGGGCGATTGCAGTTGTATCAGATCCAGCGAAGACATTTGTCGATAGGTGGACGATTAGGTCCCTTGTCGATAGCCGTGCCGGGTCTGCGTTATGAATTGCCAGCCACCGAGACATCATGTCTTTTCCGCCAGTCGCTTCGCCTATCTCGTCCTGGTATAGATCCCCGTCGCGCTGTAGGGACGCCCGGTGATTGATTGCCTTCAGGGTGAATACGACCACCTGGTTCCATGATTCCATTTGAGGGAGCAATATAGGGAAGAGCGGGTTGCCGAGGAGGACGTTGTGAGCCTCCGGAATCTGGCCGCACATCAACGCATATATGAGCATTCCCCGTATCGCCTCTATCATATTGTCTACATCCTGGCCTTTCTCTAAGAACCCTAGCTTCTGAGCAAAAGACAGTTCGCCGACAACATCGAAGGCATAGTATTGCAGCCACATTCCGAGATCAATGGGCACCTTTTCTTGCACCATCTTTCCCATCTGAGAGAGAAACAGCTCGGTGCACGAGTCGACGGCAGGCTCCATTTCGAGAATATTGGTCATACTGTAAGCGCTGGCGATCGGACGTTTCTGATCACGATGAAAACGCTCATCTCGAGTGGAGAAAAGGTTCATCTGAGGTTTCTTGTCCCATGATATGGACTGAATTGGATATAAAGCCGTCTGTAGAGGGTTATTCCTGGACGAGAAGAACTGGCGCGTTGACCTACCTTGGTAAAGCCTCCATTGATGCCATAAATGATGGGGATCGCCTTTGGGTCGCTCACTGAGACCTGTCTGGGGCCGGTGCGTACCAAAGGGCCATATTTCCGGTGAAGGCCAATCTCCGTGTGATGGTGGTCGCCCTTCCATACGGTGTACAGCTTCCACAGTCGGGTGTAGGCTGCCAGCGATGGGCCAGGAATCCCAGACAGATAAAATCTATTCGTGACGAGACGAGTCACGATTAACGCGAAAATCAAGAGAGCAACATTCAGGACGTCAACCATGGTGCACAACATGGGCAAAAGTCAATGCTTGATGATAATGGAAATCGGAGGAGAGGTTTTCGGTCGGCAGCGCACAAAATCACAGGCACCATGGTTTTCATGCCACCACCGTCACGTACTCCGCTCCTAGCCTGAGCCTATCTGGAACAAGGTGATCCATTCGTACCCTTGCAGATCCCCACATAGGACTCTCCTAGTACCGTGGGATGCATTAAATAGCGCAAATGCGCGGTAGTGTACGAGACCCCACCAATCACGCCCTTGGAATTACCTCCTCCTTGCAAGCTTTGGTGCTTCTAGCCCCCTAAGTGTGGTGACAATATTAATATAATGTGGTCGCTGTAAGTTGAGTGGCTCAGAGGAACCAACAGCCGTTGCAAACTTGACGATGATCCGTGCGCCGAAGGACCACATCCCTGACCATTCAGACGCCATAGTCCAATGGTCAGAAAGCCCTTAGAAGAATGAAGCAGTAACGAGCGGAAGTCAAGTGGCCAGGTGGTAAGGAAGAAGCGGCTGCGGGGCGGCTGTCAGCCCTGGAACGACAGTCACTACGTGGCCTTGCAGATGGAATATCCTACATGCTGCAGACTCTCATGTGACTAGCCTACAGGTGATCGCCAATTTGGAACCTCTTCTCAGGTGCCAGGACTACCTCGTTGGCCAATCCATACCATGCTCGAGTCCAATCTGAGTGTGGTAATCTCGATTGCTGGGATAATACCGAGTCTATTTGCCTGGGCGATTGTGCTATGGACTCCCAGATGTGATCTTTAACGCGAATCCACCGTCGATTGTTATCGGCATATAAAAAATTCCCCGCATCGGGAGTTATTACACAAATGGAATAAGTCTGCATCTGTTGTTGTTTTATTTCAATTATTCTATTTCATGCTCTTATTATTAATGTTATCCAATTATTTCTGTAACTTTTCTGTAGCTTTTCTTTTGCTCTCCGGAAGTAGAAATATGTGTCTAGAGATAGCAATGCATGTCTAGTGGAGGGCATTCATTGTCCAGTAGATCACTGTCCTGTGACACTATCCCCGTATGTTGTCCTGCTCGACTCGATCTACTCTATCACTCTGCTTGCCTATTGTACTTCCCAGCACCGGAGAGCAGTATACAAACATCGGCAAGATTCAAGCGATACGAGGGTTGTACCATTGGAAGATATACCATGAGTACTGTCGGCGATGCAGCATGTCGTTATCTTCTCACGCAAAGAAAATGACATGTTTGGCTGATGCCATGTGAAGTAAGTAATTGGTGGCTACAACCACAATTTCTCGAGACGGCCTCGACTGGGTCTGCATACAATTGAAATTATGCCGTGTATTGGATAGAGATAGTGATGTTGGTACTCAATATCTGACTGCCGTCTAGTTAGCTAGCTTCATGGAAGGATCCGAATGCCAACACATTGCCCGCCAGGGGAGGAACAGTATCGCACCATCCATTTCCCCCGACTAGTGCAATGGTCGGAGAGCTATATATAGGCATACCCAAAGTATCCTTGATCTGATGGTACGATGTTACCACTACGAGTGCTGGGAATCACCCCCACCGATGTCAAAGCTATATTGCACGAAGCAGGACCTTATGATCGAGGGGGGGGGGGGGGGGGGGGTGATATATAATTGTTACTGAAACAGTCTCTAGGACTTATGATCAGGACTCTCTACGCTATGGCATGTCAAATCAGGAATCTCCGAATCGCAAAATTATAATAAGGAAGTATCATCAAGATCTGGAGTCATATCCCCAATGCGACTCATCTCCGCCCAATTCAAGTCCCGCTCAACATCGGCCACACCATCCAAATCCTTCTTCTCCTCTGCATCAACGCTGCCCAGACCCTCCAATCCAAGATGTCTACTAATAGGCATCACCATAACCGGCAATGTATGCCCCACTTTGGCCATCAACAACGGCAAAAACCGTGTCCTCCCACCGTGCAACGAATGCACCAACGAGCACAAATGCTTCAAATAATCCTGCGGCCCCATCTCAAAGCCCAAAGACCTCAACCCCGTCGACGACAAACAAGCCATAACATCCGTGAGCGTACACGCCACTTCAAAGATCTTTTCGATCAGCCCGACCCCATGTGTCTCCATGCTTTCCCGCGAGAGCTTCCACGTGGCCAAGGACAGGTCCCGGGCGATTTGAAGGGGATACCGGAAGTCGAGGCTTGGATGGGTGGGCGTGCTGGATAGGAAACCTGCCGTTGTGGAAAGTTGCCAGATCATGGTGCGGAGCCATTGCTGCGAGACACGGAGGTCGGCGAGCAGGATGTCTGGTAGGTCGAGGTCTGCGGGCACCGAGCGCTGGATGTGCTCCTCCAGCTGGACTAGGGATTCCCGGGTGCACATAGGTTGGTTACCGTTCCAGATTGCGAGGAAGGATTCGTCGAAAGGCCGGTACAGGTCTACTAGATGGCTGAAGCCGAGGGAGAAGGCGTCTAGTGGTGGCGTATCCAAGGTTGGACTGGTGCTTGTGATTTGCAGTGTGACTGGACGCCGGCGGCGGATTGCGTGGGCACTGTCTTGCTATCAGCAAACGTTAGACGATAGGTATGGTTATGGGCTAACCGTTCGGATATCAACAACAACCAAAACAGCTTCCCTGAAAAAGACGGTTCGTCTTCCTCGGCAGACCGGTCTAACATATCGGCCGTGTAGAACGTGGTGGCCTCGCGGAGGAAATAATAAGCCTGACGCTGGTTCCCGCACCCAATATGACACCCATATAAGAGAAACGCAATGGTAATACCAAGACGAATAGGAGCGGAAAACGGATCCAAATGCCGCCGAGCAGCCATCGCTTCGTCTAATAAAGCGCGGCCCATATCCGGGCCCGTACCCTGATGACAGGAGAGATACCCCGTCTGCGTCAGAACGAAGGCACAGAACGCCACCACAAGGCAATATGCATGAGGGCACTCATCCATACGTTCCACCTGCTCTTGGAACGTGTCAGGATGCAAAATCGGCACCGTCCCTAACATCCGAGAATAGAAGTACGCAGCACAACTCTGTACGAGTCCATCGGTCAACAACCCAGACCTTTTCACATATCCCGTCGTCTGTGTGTTATTGGGGCTTTCAACGAGGGTAACACCACTCGATTGACTTTCTTCAGTTGCATCTGAATTTGTGTTTGCTTTTAATTCATACAAGACATTAGCCGAACGACCCTGTCGCCCTTTCTTGCGCCGAGAGCTGGTTGACCGGCAGGCCAGCCTCATTGATCGACAGGGACTACATGGGCGGTGCGATGTGCATTTAACCTTTCGCCGACGACAGGCGTCGCAGGCTTGGGGGAGGGTTTCGCGCGGCATGGGTCTACCTGCATGCGGGTGGTTAAGACTGGTTGGGGGGGAAAGGGAAGAGATGGAAAGTCGTTGTGCCAAGAGATCTCCGGTTCCGAGGTAATTTATGGATCGGTGGATATCTGGGTTTGCTTTTAAGGATTTTTATTAAATAGAATGCATCAATACCGGTGATGCATAAATGTTGATACTATAGAGTAAACTAAAGGTATTAATTAGGGATTGATATAAGCTAATCAGCCATTTAAACGTCGTAATCTGACCTCGCTATCATTTACATGATTCATTAAGCAGAGTCACAGCGGAAAGAAAAAATATATACACTTCCATAGCCAACTGTCTGCAATCAATACATCAAGTGAAGTAACTATGATTAACGCAGAGATAATACTCATAAAGATCGACAAGACGAATCCAGCTTAAGATATACAAAGATACAAATTATCACTACTATGGGAGACCCCTACTCCTTAGCATTATCAACCCTAACCTCAACCACATCCTCATAAGGATCCACGACCGTGTCCGCAAACTTGCGTGCAGAAACCCTCTTCTCAAAAAGCACGTCTAGCTCCTCGTACGTCCGGCCCTTAGGCTCAGGCATTCTAAAGAAAGACCAGACCAGACAGACTAAACAGGTCCCGGCCCAGAAATATGCACTCCTTGCGCTCCAGCCCCAGGCCGTGTCATTGAGTTGATAGTTTGTCAACACGTTGACGACGATGTTGCTTATGTTGTAGCCTGCTCTTGCTAGGACGATGGTTTTCGCTTTGAGTCTTGTTGAGGATAACTCTGACACGAGACAGTATGTTACGGGCCCAATGGTGAAGTCGTAGCAGAATGTGAAGATGATGAGCATGACGCCGATGGCCCATTTTGCGGAGTTGTTGGAGGCTGGTGCAAAGGAGAGACTTCCCGTTATTATAAGAAGGGTGAAGAGACTGGTTAGGCCTGCAAGGTGGAGGGTTCGACGGCCTGCTACTGTCATTAGGTACCAGGAGCCTAGGGTACCTATGACGCCGAGGGCGTATTGGACCAGGGAGAGGTCGAAGGAGCGGACGGTGGGGAGGCCGGCTTGTACGCAGAAGTAGGCGAAGTAGCCCATAAGGTTTTGGCCGCAGAGGGTTTGGACTAACCAGACGCCGCAAACGACTTCTGTTCGCCGTAGGTTGACACCCTTGAAACAATCTCTGTATCGTGTTCCTTCTGTTGCAGACTTCTCGAGCTCATTTGTATGCTGGATCATGGCTATTGTGGCATCTGGGTCGAAGGATGGGTCGCCGGAGGTTAGTCGGAGCAGGGCACGTTTGGCACCGGCTAGATTTCCGCGACGGACATGCCACCAGGGTGACTCTGGGGCGAAGAGGCAGCCGATTAGAATAGGGACGGGCCACACCCATTGCACTGCAAATGGGATACGCCAGGCCCATTGGTCTTCTCTTTGGATTGAGCCACGGTTCACACCGACGGCGACGAACTGACCGAAGACCCAGCACATATTTATGAAGGTGGTCAGGTATGGTCGTAGCACCACGGGACAGACCTCCGACGCATACGCTGCGGGTAGTGTCTGGAACACACCCCAGGGAATACCAGCGAGAATCTCGGCTGCGAGTAACATTTGAACGTTGACAGCGAAGAAGAAGAGAAAGATCACACCGGTCATGGCGGTTAATGCAGAGACCATGGTCCAGCGGTAGCCCAGTCGTTCCGAGACGAGACCGTTGATTAAAAGGCCAATTACCTCACCAACTCGGGCTCCGTTGGATAGAGCGGACTGCCAGGAGGCTGGGACAGTCCATTTACCGTCGCCGACTTGCCTCCCAAACTTCTGGTTGAACGCTGGTGAGGCATACATAGAGCTAAGTAGGGCTAGGTCGTAGCCTTCCATGATGAGGGTCGAGGATAATAGAACTGACCACCCGACAGCCTTGGGATAAAGACGAATCGCCTGCCATAAGGTCATAGATTGCTCTTGCTGAGCGGCCCGTTTGCCATGGACCAGTGAGGGCTTTCGCTGGGCGTCATTGTTGGCTTCAATGGCGTCGGGAGTAGTCATGATGGGTGTCAGGTACGAAAGCGATGCTCAGATGCTTTCCATTAGGTGGGAAAGTGAGGAAGCTTGGAGAGCTTGTGAACATGGGTGATGTAGATAGTTATATGTTCTGCAGTTTATCATCTGACGATAATCTAGCCCTGGAGAACTGGGGTGCATGCGAAAAACGGAGAATCTGGGGATCCCCACAGAGCGCGGGATTAGGGTTCTGATTGGCGGGTTGAGCACTTGTCGGGCCCTAGCCGGAGGCAAAACGGAGTCTATACGGAGGCAAGCCGGAGCTAGTCGGCACAAGGAATATGTGGAATGCCGTATAAAGAGGAGTTCGACGGCAGCAAAATCAATTTCACACCAGCTCACACCCACATCATGTCGCCCCATGCCGTACATACAGTCCCCTCTGGGGAAAATAACTGGTGGAAGGAAGCCACCGTCTACCAGGTAATGACTTTCATCAGCTGCCGACAAAAAGGGACGCTCACCGACTGAAATAGGTCTACCCTGCCTCATTTAAAGATTCCAATGGAGATGGTTGGGGGGATATTCCCGGACTAATTTCCAAAGTCCCCTACCTACACTCACTTGGCGTGGATGTTGTCTGGCTCTCACCCATGTATGATTCTCCTATGCATGACATGGGCTATGATGTGTCGGACTATGAAAATGTATTGCCAGCTTACGGTAGTGTCGAAGATGTTGAGAGACTTATAGACGCCTGCCATGAGCGGGGCATGAAGCTGATCCTGGACCTGGTTATCAACCACACTAGTGATCAGCACAAATGGTTCCAAGAGAGTCGCAGCAGTAAAGATAATGATAAGAGAGATTGGTACTTCTGGCGCCCGCCTCGGTATGATGAGGATGGAAATCGATTGCCCCCAAGTAACTACCGCGGGTACTTCGCCGGTAGCACTTGTACGTATTGCTTTCACCGGAGTTCAGACACGAATCACGAGCTAACGAACTTCCAGGGACATGGGACGAACACACACAGGAGTATTATCTCCATCTATACGCCAAAGAGCAACCCGATCTTAATTGGGACAATCAGGCAGCACGAAAGGCCATCTATGATAGTGCGGTCCGCTTCTGGCTGGACAAGGGTGTCGATGGATTCCGCGTCGATACTGTGAACAAGTACAGCAAGCACACGGACTTTCCAGACGTGCAGGTTACTGATCCCAAAAGCTATATCCAGCCCGCAATTCAGATGTGGTGCAATGGACCTCGTATCCATGAGTTTCTGCGAGAGATGTATGACGATGCCTTGCAGCCTTATGGGGACGTGGTGACCATTGGTGAGCTGGCCAATACACCTGACCCAGGACATGTCTTGAAGTATGTCGGTGCGTCCGCGAAGCAACTCAGCATGGTGTTTCATCTGGACATCGGCCATATTGGTATGGGCAAAAGTTTGGAGGACAAGTACATTTTCAACCCGTGGCAGCTCACGGAGATGAAATCCATCGTCACCAAGTGGCAGTCGTTCATTGAGGGTACTGACGGGTGGACGACAGCATTTTGTGAAAATCACGATAACGGCCGTTCAGTGTCTCGGTTTGCGTCGGACGCTCCTGAACACCGCGAGCGATCGGCCAAAATGCTGGCTCTGATGATGATGGCGATGACGGGGACCTTGTTCCTTTATCAAGGCCAAGAAATCGGCATGATAAACGCTCCGCGTCGCTGGTCAGTCGACGAGTACAAGGATATTGAAGGTCGCGGATACTACGAAGAAGCAGAGCGACAGCTTGCGGCAGGTATCGATGTGACCCGTAAAGATCGCATTATGGACGGCCTGCGGATTCTGGCACGCGACCATGCCAGACTGCCGATGCAGTGGGATGATTCACCCCACGCTGGCTTTACGACGGGGACCCCGTGGATGCGCGCCCATGATTTGTACCCCGAAATCAATGTCCAGAAACAGTCCGGTGATCCGGAAAGCGTGCTATCCTTCTGGAGGTCCGTACTGCGGCTGCGCAAGGAGTACCGAGAGTTGTTTATCCACGGGGCATTTGAGGTTGTGGACTTTGACAACCAGCAGACTTTCTGCTTTATTAAGTCAAGGAATGAGCAGAAAGCATTGGTCGCATTGAACTTCACGGCTGAAAACCAGCCATTCACACAAGCCATGACGACAGAAGGAATGAAGCTGCTGGTCAGCAACTATGCGGAGCAACTGCCTGAGACACTGCGACCGTTTGAGGGTAGGATTTATATCTCACAATGATGGCTTGGACAGCATATTGAAGTCATTGGCCTGGAATCTCCTTACATATAAGCCAGGTCTAGAATAATTGAGTTTGAAGACGAATGCTGGAAGGGAAACTATCACTGTAGTGCTTATCGTTATAGCAGTCTGCCTAACCATGTGCCCTAGCCCATGATATCAATCGAGAGAATGATATTCGACGAAGTAGATACGCACAGCATGTTATGGATCAACATCCTAAACATTACTACAATCGCTCTCATTAACGAAAAAGAATCAATTACTTAGCTAAAGTTAATTATAAGGTTATCAGTTAGAACGCAAATACATCGATTTTCATTGCCATCGCTCATCACCCACCAGATGCTCGTTACTACCCTGTCTTACAACGTTTTGATCCGAGCCCTGCGACTTCTGTCGACCATCGACCATGTACTCCAGCTGCACACTATTCGTGACCAATATTCCCTCATTGAAAGGCTGTTGCCGTGAACCATGCACCCTCCCCTCAGACGCGCCGTGGCTGTAATATGTGGGATAGCTCTTTTCGACTCTTCGTCGCAGGGTATACAAGGTAGGCACATTGGCGACGAATGCAGCGAGGAATTCTTCCACGGATCCCCAGGTGTTTCGGTTTAGCTGGGAGGTATTATCATCGAAAGATGGAAGGCGGACGATGGCTATCGCAATGAGAAGTAATCCGATTGCAAACAGTCCGACAAGCTGGAGACGGCTAGGAATTGGATTAGCAAACAATCGTTACGTTAGCTAGTGGTAACCTACCGCATCCACGATGTTTTTACCCGGAGTAGCCAGGGCATGGGTAGTAACATTAACATGGTATCGGTCGAGATGTTCATAGAAATCAGGGTGACGAGTTGGGTATGAGCTTCGATACATGGCCCTGTATACAATGTTAGCGACTGGTCATTAACCGACCCTGAAATTATTGGCGGGTTCCGTACGTACCTGGATCAGGCATGACTTGCCAGTATAAATGGAGAGGTCGACAGTCGGTAAAGGTAGTGATCTGGACCGCCGCGAAGCTGGCAACGAGCAAGGCCCAGCATATTCTGATCATCCGTTCTGGCCATGGAAGACCAGCGAGGATTCGCTGGCAGAGAAGTAAGACTACAGCCTTTTGCAGCCAAAGGCTGAGGATGTTAACGTTAACGTGATTTAAACGCGAACGTGAGCAGGACGTACTAGACATTATATACCAGACGGTTGACCACCGTCAGTTTGCTACCGACCTGGCGGTGGTAGATTTCAGTCGAGCTCAAATCTCCAACATGTCGATCCATATGGTTGTTTCCCCAGACCAAGATGACTGTCGCGAATGCAGAGCGGGCAAGAACCAGACTAATGCAAGCGATAGTGAGATAATCACTGAGAATCAAATGTTGACCGCGACACCTCCGCATTATCAGGCGCAAAAGCATTAATGCCTCGCTGAGGGCGCCAAACACACCCACCAGCACGATGGCTGCCATTGAATCCATGGACATCTCGAGGTTTGGCCGTGGCCATCTTTGCCCTGCGCGTGTGGGAAGGGAAGGAAAGACTTTTTCGTATCCCTGCTGGTTGTTTGTTCCTGTATGTGCACCATCGATGGTTGATTGTCATTATGGTTACTGAAGGATCAGCATCCCAGACACTGGGGTTTCGATTCTAACCCCGAGAGAGTTAGCCGACAGGGACAACTGAGTCAAAACTCGTATACCACCAACCCTATCGGTTGTTGGTTTCCGATGCGAGCCCACTTTGGACCGCCTCATGAATCGAGTCATTTGATCTGATGATGCCTTTACTGAGTATCCTTACCTAGTCATTTATGCCAGAATGTTAGCTGTCCACAAGACAAACGAAAGATAACGAAAGTAGAGAAAGAAATCACGATCATCCCAGCGTTACAATTTTGTTCTTTATCTCAATGACCGATCCCTGCCTTCGATACCTTGAACCCAGTTAAATGAGGGCATGGAAATTCTAGACTCACGTTCGGAGCCTCTGGCCAACGATAAGGGTCGTTTCCATTGGTGGGTCAACAGAAATCGGGACCAAGATGCCGTTAACGAGAGAAACAGTGGAGGATCGGCGTCGACGGTCTGACATTAGCGTGTTATCCCCTAGTCCTGCCCCGGGATTCAATTATATTTGGAACCGTTCTTTTCCGCCCCGTGGGCACGACCAACCAACCGGGCTCATCACAGGCGACGCCCCCTTTCCCACGTTCCCCCCCTTTGTTCCTTTGTGCTTGGACTCGCTTACCATGCCACACATTGGCCAAGCCTTCACGGCCGTTATCTTGGCCTCAATGCTTCTTTCACATGTCGTACATGGCGTTGTAGGGTTCTCCAAAGTGGCGCCTCATTTCAGGGATTATTTCTATGTTGGTGGGGAGTATGTCCATCTCAATAGTAGTGCTGATGGCAGTTATTTCCATAATCAGATGTATGTGGAGAAGTTGTCGCCTGTCCATGAGCGTGTGCAACCGTATCCCATCGTTTTTGTTCACGGTGGTGGTCAGAGCGGAACGGTGAGCTTTACGTTATCCCAGTAGCAATTTAGGTGTCCGGAGTAGGACAGCCCCCTAACAACATTAGAACTTCCTCAATAAACCTGACGGTGGCCCAGGCTGGGCGTCTTGGTTCCTTAACCATGGCTACGTTGTGTATCTTATCGATAGAACGTTAACCGGGCGATCTCCGATATTGCCCGGGGATGACCTGAGCCAGACTGCCTTCTCGGCGGAGTTCATCTCGCAGCGATTCACTGCCGTACAGAAGTATCCCTTATGGCCCCAAGCTAAACTGCATACCCAATGGCCGGGGGTAAGTGCTACCAGCAAATTGTATGGCCCATTTGTCCTCCACTAACATGAGCGACCGCAGACAGGCGAAATTGGCGATGCATTCTTCGACGCATATTACATGAGTATTGTCCAATCCGTCTCCGACAGTCAAATCCAAGAGGAGACCATGAAAGTCGCCGGCGAGAGGCTTCTCGATCGCATCGGCCCGGCAATCGTCATCACGCATTCCCAAGGCGGACTGTACGGATGGTCATGGGCAGACAGTCGTCCAAGCCTGATCAAGGCCCTGATCCAAATCGAACCCAAGGGCCCTCCATTCCGAGAGGTCATATTTTCAAGTGAGTATAGTCGTCCTTGGGGACTCACGTCTATTCCCTTAGCCTATGACCCGCCCCCTACGAACCTCTCGTCGCCCTTGACAATGAAGAGTGTACCACCACATTCACATGACCTGCTTCCATGCATCATTCAACACGAACCTGCCAAACGGCTGCCTAATTTAGCGCGGGTTCCGATCTTGATTAGTACTGGGGAAGCGTCATATCATGCTCAATATGATTATTGTTTCATCAAGTTTCTGCACCAGGCGGGGGTTCCCGCTGAACATTTGGAGTTGAGTCGTGCAGGGTTGAACGGAAATGGGCATTTGCAGTTCATGGAAAGAAATAGTGATGGTATAGCTCAAGTACTGCATGAGTGGATTGCTATTAAGGTGAACGGCATGCTTTGAGATCCGCAAATATGTAAACTAGCATTGATGGATATCATAGACCTTGGCAGTGACTCTGATGGGCCACTTGCCTAACTCGGAGGGTCACGAAATGGACTAGGCAAACAACAGTTGTCTAATATCGTTCATTGCTGATAATCTTATAACGCTTAGTATCATGATACTGTTTGCGCATCAGAAGTATAGGCTTTCAATGTTAGGTTATAGAAACTATGAAACCTTGCCTTGATAATCCACCGAATCACTGCATTTGTTAAACACAGAAAAGAACAAGCATCCTATCATGGGTTATGAATGAGTAGTATTAATACCACTGTAAGCTATACCCCCATATCTTGCATGAATCAAGGGTCGCCAAATACCAGCGTATTTTCAAACTATCGTTGCCTGACACTGGATATTGAATGTCGAATGATTTCAATATACTTCACATGGTAAAGCAATTCATCGGACCACTCTTGTCGCGCTGGTCCAACTCGGCTAACAGTGCACAGGCCGCAACAACCCTAAAGCTCGTAAGCTCACCGTATACCTCCTTGCGGTGGCCGGAACTACTCCCGTGGATGCCATGATAAAGACACGCCATGGATAGCTCCAAGCCATTAGGATCGGGGTCCTGGACCTCCTGGCGGCGCATAATGTTTGAGACCCATGTAGCAATCCGGTTGAACTCCTCGTGTAGTTTATTTGATCGGTCACGTTGGCGGCGGGTCTGTACACCCCGTCTGTTAATGATAGACCCAATGACCACCTCTAACTCGCTGATAGGCTTGGTTGGATGGTCAGAATAGGTGTCCATTGTGGAGACAATCGCGTCTTCGTACCTTTTGTAGAAGATAGTGTTATCAGCAGTGTAACTCAAAATCCACTAATTGCCACATATTAATCTTACACTGCTCGTATTCGCTTGGCTTCGTCAAGATGTTCCTCTTTTGGGGTTCGTGACAATGACCTGCACCTCTTGAGGCAATCCTCAATCACACTATTCCAAAACGATTCATCATTCGTGTCAGTTTCAGAAAGGACATATTTGCGCCAGATGTTTTGCTCATCGATGGCCCTGTATAGCTTTCCAAGAATCTTCTCTGACTTATAGTAGCGGTAGGGCTCCTCTGCATCATCATCGTCATCATAGTTCGCATGTGAAACATGCTGCTCAAGGCCGATCTTGGATTTGTTATAGAGGCGTGTTTGGGGTCCTGGTGCCAGACTAGGTATTTCAATTGTTAGATCCGACGGAAAACGTCTGCTGGGCAGGGAAAAACATACAAATCCGGTCGATAACGGTTGACTCTAGGCATATCCACCATGTTGACAGGAATTCCAGTTTTGGAAAAGTCCACGGCTTTCGAATGCAGCCCAGCCAGGACGCGACATGAGGTATCCCTGGTTCCCGATTCAGCCTGATCGGCCATGATCATATGGCGGATAGCAATCAGGCCAAGGATATCGGACTGCATGAATTCTACAAAGAATTCAGCCATGTCATCTACCTTCACCACACGCCCTATGTCAATAGACGTGGGACGCGGGTAATCTGCAGGAGGAACTGTCTCAACGTTCTGCAGAACAGGATCCCAGATAACATGATACAAATCACCATCAAGATCCCCCCCACTCAACGTACTGGGCAGGTCCCGACTTCCTTTCTGGCTGAATACAATACAATTACGATGATACCCTAAAGGATGGTCTTCTGGGGGTACGACATTTTGGGCACGTTGAATATCACCGCAGTGAAGCGCAGGCGACCGAGTCACCAAGACAGGCCCAGGCCCAGGAGCTGCCGCATATTGCCCTTCCATATGGTCAAATGTCACATAGACTTCACCTTCTTGAAGGAACCCTGTTTCATCTATGACCCCATAAAGTGTCATCCCTTTTTTGACGGGGATACGTGCTTTGTGCTTCAGGAGCCGGAGCTCCCTGAGAACCACCGCCTCAACAATGGCACGAAGGAAACCGTCTTTTTTATAGTTCAAGCGTGTCCAGTAACATTGACAGTAGAGTCGATAAAGGCCAATGCACTCGCCGATTGACTTCTCCTTGAGAAACCTTGCCGTCTTATCTGTACTGGCAGTGATGGATTGAAGGCGCGCCAGCTCTTCGTTCTGCATTTGCAAAAACCAATCCTGGGGGGCACCCATATCCTCCAAGATCTTAATTACTTGACGATTTAAAACCATGGGGTAGGGTCTAGATGCCATATTGCAGATCTCGAGATTTTGCATATCCTCGCTATCGAACTTGATCATTGATGGGCGGATTTGAATGACTGCAGCGGGCAATCGGGTATCAGCAGCAAGCATGCCTTTCGCCCCACCCAACCGGATCTGAAAACATGTAGGATTTCCTCTTGTTAGTGGTATGTCGGCCCAAACACTTGCTACCACCTCTCTCGAAATAGCCCCGACCCCATCACTGAAGACCCGTGAGCCGTCCGGTGAGGTGAGGTCCGAAATCGTTGAGACTAGTACACCATGCTTCTCTAATGGAACCATGAAGGGCGTTTCACTGAATGCCTGGCCAATTCTGGCTGCGCACCGCGCCGGTGACGTTATATGTGAGAATTTACCGATTGCATCGATGATCGAACAGTGTGTCTGCTTATGACCATTATCATCGCGAAATGGAGAGCAGAACTGTGCGCTCAGTTAGCTGCTTCCTATGGACATTATCTATGGATAGGATTCTTACCCAAACCGCGTGAGATCGCAACGAGGAATGTGAAAACCCAAGAAAGTTATATGTGCGGCCGGCGATCTGGATCCCCTTTGTCATAATGCCTTTGAAACGCTCATAAATATCCTTGTAGTCCACCTTTGCATTGAAAAGCAGATCTTCTCCATTCTCATCGCAAAATTGCACACGTATAAAGTACTCGTGATGGTTGGGAAACTTGCGCAGAATCCGATTTTGCGGTTCCATTTCGGGCCCATGCAATGTAATCCGGGTGGGGGTCACATTGACCCGATTGACTTTGGTCATGTTAGCTGTGTTCTCATGAAGCCCTTCTCGATAGGCGAAGCGTCTTGTATCTCTCTGTGGTTCTCCTCAAGCGTCGTCAGAAGAGAGTCTACCTCATAGCCCCAAGGATCATCTCCAGGAAACGGCCAGCCGATCATATTAAAAAGCTTTCTGATTCCGTCCACGGTGATGGGGTCTCGCCCTGCTGCCTTATCCTCAGCGAACTTTATACGTAGCCTTTCGGTCAAGTGGCGGCTAGTGGTGGGATGCAGGTATGCATTTTGTGCCAATGCCTGCAGCTGGAAGAGAATCCCAAATGGCATAGAGCTATTACTCATACATTCTGCTAGCTCATCCAGGAGTTTGTGAAACTCAATTGAGACCGACTGTGAGGATAAGAGGGGCCGTGCTGGGGTCAAGTCGTAACGATAGATGGTTATCTCCCAGTCTTTGAGTTTTTCTATTTTTGCCCTGAAGCCCACCACAGAAACTTTGAACTGATAAACCAAGCACTGTCCAACTATCTGGTTATGTCCCTTCCCTAGACTGGGCAGACGTATCCGATTAGAGCGCAGCCCCACTAGATCGTCGCAAGTCCATACCTCTTCAAAGAAGAAGGGCACATCAGAGAGGGTAACTGTGAGAGTACCTTCAATCGAGTAGATCAAGCTAACAATGGTGGCAAGAGGTATTCGAATCCGCCACTTGGGAAATCCGTTGACGATCATCGATCGCGTCTTGAATTTTACAGTTCCTCTGGCTGACCATTGAACCTCAGGACTGTATGTTAACTGATCCCCGACAAAGTCGCATCTTCCGCAGCTGTATTGCTGCATCTCCAAAAAGACAGACTCCTCTTGTCGCTCCCGGTATCCCATTTCTCTTTCTTGAGCCTCGTGCTCCAGCGTCCGCAGGGCGAAAGGCTTTGGTGGATATCTACTTGGCTTGCAACACACATCAACTCCCATAATATGCAAACTTGACTTCCGGCCCCAGTGGAGAGGACTACGCGAATTCTGCGTTTCGCCATATGCCTGCAGAAATCTTTGTCCATCGCCGACACGCAGAAAGGTAATAGTGCCAAAACTCTTCTTTCTGGGCTTCTCGCAAATAAAATCTTGGATTTGGAGGCTCTTCACGAAGGGCTGAAGTTCGCGTTTGAAGCCATGCTGATTAAGATCCGCTGGGACACGGTGAAGAAAGACCTCCATCTTAGATATAGTATCGAACGAAGGAATGGTTTCCGGACGAGGATATGAAAAGGGAATCACGGGTAATCAAGGAGCTCGGGCAAGCAGTATTATTATTGACTGAACAGTTGTAGGCCGGACAGGAGATGAGACGAAGTCGTGAGGAGCAAACAGATGACCAGGACTCCTATTGGTTGCTGTGGATAGCAGGGTACATTCAGTGAAGTGGCAGTGGGAGGTACGTCTCCAAGCTCGTCTTGATTGGCAGTCTGATCCATCTCACCTTTGGTAGCACTAATACTAGTCCTAGTAGACTTTTAACCAGTGCTCTTCCCTATGGCTATTTTGCAGACCAGGACACTGGTAGGTTCACTAGAGCAGAGCCTAGAATGACGAAGAGCCGTCTCTTCAATGCCATTAGTATTCGCCCCAGGGCAAGAAAGAAGACAACAGCTCTGTCACTCACATTGTCACTTTGTATTCTAGGAAGCATAGTAGTGAATGGTGAGCAGAGGTCAGCAGAGCTTTTGGGAATGAAACACATCTCGGGCTTGTTGTTATTCACGCAAGACGAGCTGGCCCACACTAGAGAAAAGCAAAAGTGACATAAGGTAAAGTTGGGCGAAAGCAATGGTGCAGTGGGCGCTGAAACCATTGTCACACCTGACTTGGCACTTGAATAGCTTAGGTACGACTCACTGTCTCCCGCCGCTCTTTTGTCCTTTTTTTTTTTTTTTTTCATCCTTTCACCTTGCGGGATGGGCCCACTATGATATCACTCACTATTAAAGTATTGGCATGGATATTCTGGAGAGCAATATCAAGGTAAACCAGATCTACTTTAGGATACAGCCATGATTGTTTTGTTTGTTGCACGACGAGACAATACGTACAGTCAGCACCCGGTCAATACTTTAACTTGACGCTGCATATACCTAAGAAGCATAAAGGGTATGAGGGTATTGTTCTGAATGCAACCACAATATCAGTACACACTGCTTACGCAGGTGGGAGATGAATTGTAACTTCACCTGGAACGCAAATTAAAGAAGGGAAAAAGAGGCAGATAAGGGATAGAGAAGGAAGGCTGGAGGAGGGATTGTAGAAGCAGTAAGGGGACGGGATATGGCAACGCAGAAGTCGTCATCAGTGTCTTCCTTCCAATATTTCCTAACCTCGTGGAAACCACAAGGGCTCCTCAATCGTCGACGATTTGATAAAATTCCCACGACGGAAGGCAGATAGTCTAGCGAAGCGTTGCTCAAGAATGTGCAGCCAAGTTTCTCGCAACTGTAAAGCTTCGACCTGCTGAAACCTCCATATAATATAGGACATATCACAAAGTGTCGCGGACAAAAGCGCAAATAGAATGATGATATGTGCCGAAGTGTAGCCGAGCAGATCAAATACACACAACAATGCTCCGACGCAGAGACTGACCAACATCAGAGCCAAAACAAATTCTTCAAGCTTCCGACAAAAGGCAGATTTAGAATCTTCTACCATGCTGGATAATTTCACGAGAGCGGATGGTGGGGGGAAATTATCAATGATGATAATGGCGAGATTGACCGCATAATCGTGACAGTTCCAGAAGATCGTACGATATCTTGGTAGTGCATCTGTGGATCGGTCCACTCGATGAAGCTCTTGTGCTTATATCAGGAGTTCATGGTCAGCCTCTAGTTTCTTATGGCTATGTGAGGGCATTGTACCCGAATGAAGGAATTGGACGTCGTCTTACATATATAATCTAACTCACACAGGCACATCCTTGTCTTCCCAATGAACTCTAGGGCGCGAACTATCTTGAGTTCGGGCTTTGGTACTCTCCTTCCAGGCCCTGAAATGGCCAGCACAGAGTACGTGCCTTTATGATTGTAGATAGTGCCCTCAGCCAATTTATCAATCAGCGTCCGAGTCTCGTCCGAGCAAACACCGGAGGGAATAACAATCACGCCCATATGCTGGGTGAATTGGAACGGCCTGTTGGAGATCTGGGGAATGACCAGAGCATCCAGGTTCTTCATACAGCCCCAATCCACCTGAGCTGACCGCATGTCGATTAAGCTGTTCGCAAAGATAAACACATCCTGTGTTCCTACCAGCCAAACATCACATTAGAGCTCCTTCTAGCACTTCAGGTTCCAACCGCACCTGGGTCGTGGTCTGTCGTATAATGCCGATCTGATCCGGCCTGGGCGGGAGAACCGCTGCAACTTGTCCAGCAACCGACATTGTGGATCATCCTTACCACTCAAAGGGCATCGTTTGTGGGGTTTTGGGTGGTAACAGCAGAGAGAATACTTAGCACCTCTATATGATCAACGGACGAGAATCACCTCAGGGCATACATTTACTCCTTTAATCTCTTCGTGAAACCTTCATGAATCGTGAATCCACATGCAATCTGTTCTTTCCTCTGTACTCGTGTGTTACATGTCAAGCAGTGTGACTCCGTGCTTTGACACTGTTGATACTGCTGCCAGCGGGTCTCGCGATGGAAGAGGATGTCTCGTGCCGCCTCGCAGGACTAATGTCCGAATGATTTACAACGGCTTTGCATTTACTGAGATATCTACAGCATAAATGACTGCTCATTGGCAGCCTAAACAAGCCTTGTCGCACCCGAGATCTTTCTCTCGCTGCCTGATATGTCCGAGACGTATGTGGGTCAGAATATCCGATGTGCACCGGCCGGTTTCTGTTGGCACATGGCATTCAAAGACGACAGTAATTTATGGCGTTCATGGCCAGATGTTTATTAGGGTTGTAAAAATAAGGACTTGAAATTAGCCGAAGGTAAACTCAGTTAAGTGATATAGTCAAGCAACTTGGAACTTTCTTCATCCTATCGCATGGCATTTACCTGTTCCAGTGCTGTTCCTGACTAGATGGATGGCAGATATATATAACCAGTACCACCACATGATTCCCAGTTGGAATATGTATGACAACTACAAAGCCACAAGCTGTAAACTACACATCGAAATCCCAGAGAGTGAGCACCTCGCACGTTATACAGTCCGTAAAAACCTCATTGGTTGGAATTGGGTACGTATTTTTGGGGAGCTCCGTTGTTGAAGAGCCTGAAGCCTGAGGCATCAACACCCGATAGCAGGTGATTATCTCCCCCATGACGTCACGCGTTCACGACCACGGAGTTATATTCTTCTACTAACAGTTCCTGTCCCTACATTCTGACAGACTACTACCAATGCTATGTATCATCTCTATCTGACGCTATCAAACTCCTATTTGATTTCCTATCGTTGCCCCATGCAGGATAATTGACAACATTGCATCATGGGCCGCGTACAGCAACGCAGGTAGATCATCGACCCTGACGCGCGACATTGGAAGTTGCATTTTGCTGTGGCTGAGGAAACTCATCCAAAACCTTCTCCTTTCCACTGACGGTAAATGTGGCCGACGGGAAGTCCTGTCCGACATCTACCTCCAGCTTATAGGACCCCGGATACAGCACCAAATCTCCGTTCTCAGCAGTCCGGGCAACGGAACCCACCGAAACATCCAAATTAACTTGCTGGCTCTGTCCGGGTTTGATCCCCTTCGCGCGACTGTATCCCACCAGTGTTTTGATAGGATAAGGCTCCGGCCCGACTCCATCAGCGGTCAAGAATAACAAGGCAATGTAATCCGATGTCACCTTCCCTGTGTTCGTCACCGTGACAGAGAAAGTATCAAAAAGTTCCGTATCAATCGGTGCATTAGTAGCACCACTGGATACAGAATCCGTGTTGTACGGACCATACTCGTCGTAATCCCATGACACATTGAACGTTGTATAGTGGAGACCAAAGCCGAATGGCAGCACTGCCTTGTCATACCATCGGTAGGTTCTTCCTGGGTTCTTAGACCCTGGACGAAGGGTCATGTCTGTCATGGGGACTTCGTCTACATAGCTGGCAGGGTACTGTGTTACCGGAAGACGCCCAGCAGGTGCTGATTTCCCGGTTAGAATATCGAAGATGGCTGCGCCACCCGCTTGACTGGGATAACCTGCCCACAGGAGTGCGCTGACACCGGTATTTGCAAGGAGGGAGGAGTCGTCCACTTGCCCACCGCCGAACTGCACCACTATTAATGGTTTCTTTAGGTCGGACAACTGTTCGATCAAATCTAGCTGATTTCCGGGCCACGCAATAGTGGTGCGATCCTGCGACTCTTTCTCAATTGTGTTGTCTATGCCGCCCGCATAGATCACAATATCTGCTTCTTCGGCGGCGGAGATGGCTTCCGCGAAGCCGGCTGAGCTGTTTGAGTTGATATCTGTACCTTGAGAGAATTTCACCTTGTATCCCTTGTGTGCGGCTGCCCAGATCAGCGTCCTAATGTACCTTGGAGGTCCCTCGTAGTTTCCCTGTAGTTGCGTCGTTGCGTTCGCAAACGGGCCAATTATTGCTACTGTTCCGTTGCTCTTCAGCGGGAGTGCTCCATTGTTCTTGAGCAGGACGATACCTTCGACCGCTGCCTTGAGGGCAAGTTCCTCAGCGGCTGGCGTGAACACATCATTCCACCCTATCGATCGGTAGGGTTGACCCTCTGCAGGGTCAAAATACCCGAGCCTTACAAGAGATGAGTATAGTCGTATGAGTGCCTGATTCAATGTCTGATTGGTATATAGACCCTGCTGGAGTGCGCTGTCCAGATATTCCGGGAAGACGGACCCGCAGTCTAGGTCCGTTCCGGCATTCAGAGCAGCAGCGGCAGCATGGGCACCATCGGCGACGTAATGATGGTCAGCGTAGATATTGTCAATTGCGCCGCAATCGCCGGTGACCCAGTGGCCAGTTTGTTCCCATCCCCAGTGCTCACGGAGGAGAGTCTGCAGCAGCCAGCGATCTGCGCAAGTGGGGATGCCGTTTAAGGAGTTGTAACTGCACATCACGGCGCCGACTTTCGCATCGCGCGTGCATGTCTTGAAGGGTGGAAGATAGTACTCAGATAAATCCTGAGAAGATACAACAGCATCGAATGCGTATCGCTCAATCCCTTCCCAATTTTCCAAATCATACGCTGCGAAATGCTTGCACGTTGCGACTACCTTGGGTCTATCAGGCCCGATACCATCCTGAAGTCCATCCACCAGATGGTAGACATACCGAGAAAGATGCAACGGATCTTCTCCAGGGGTTTCTTGACCACGACCCCATCGAGGGTCACGGAATGGATTAATATTGGGTGTCCAATAATCGAGACCCGCATGGCCACCATTTGCGAACGCTCGAGCCTCAGTGCTGATGACAGTGGCGACTTGCTTGACAAGATCATCGTCGAAGGCAGCTCCGAGAAGAATGGGCATTGGGAAGGAAGTCGCGTAGCTGAAGTCACCGCTGCCGGGAAACGACACACCATGACCCTTGGCTACGCCATGGAGTGCTTCATTCCACCAGTTATAGGCAGGTAGGCCCAGTCTAGGCGCCCCGGACGAGTCATACTTGGTGTTGTTGATTTTCTCCTCAAGAGTCATAGCTGCCACGAGCGATTTGGCCCGGGATACAGGGTCGAGGGATGTGTTGCAGACATTGTTTTTGCTTAAGAGGCCACTGCTACAATCTGGAAATATACTCTCGGTCGAAGCTAGGGATGTAAAGAACAATAGTGCGGCGAGTGGCCGTAAGAGAGGATAGACGTGCACCATCTTACTGTGCGCCTAGTTTGACTACCTCTGACCAAAGGCATGGCCATACGACGCAAAGCGGCCTTTAAATGCCTGTGAACCGAGGGCGCACTTGTCAATTGAATTTACCGTTGGGAAATGAAGGATCATGCAATACTCTCTAACACAAAACAGGCTGATATCCATGCTCACCTAGTAGTTAAGGATCGCTCTGGCGATGGACAAATTCTTCAACTGGAGAGCTGTTTGTCCTTCCGCCAATTGCAGAGAGTAAATGGCTAACTGATAACCCTGTTACCATGCAAGTAATTAGCCTGAATGTCGACTCTTTGCGGAGAATGCAGATCAGGGTGCGGAGATACTGCGGAGACAGTTGCGATTTTGCCGTATTTGTGTATCAAACGGGACTGAATGCTATCCGACAATGCCCTCCTGTTTTGATACCTACCTCACAATCTCATCTGGAGTACGAAGCTCTGCTACACATTCACCACCGTGTTATGTCATACTTATTATTATATTGTTGAGATATATATACAATGTCAGATGAACGTCAAATCGCATATCGAAACTCCGGATTTTCCCGATCGGTTAAATCCAAGAATTCATGATTCTGCGGTACGACATACGCATCACCAAGCGCCTCCTTTTCTTGGTCCCTCCGGCGATTCTCCCGGATCGACAGCCAGCGAATTAGGCAAAGGTCCAGCGTGACAAGCACGTACAAGATGACGATGGAGATCTTGGCAGGCAGATACTGCGGGGCATCCTTCGCCTGGAAAGTTTGTGGCGAAATAATATTTCCGACCGTGTAGGCGATCGTCTGGATACATGAGACAGTGATTTTCTTTGTGGATCCAGCGATGTTGGTACTTGTTAGGCCCAGGATAGTGGTCCACCCAATTGGAATGCCGCCTGTGAGATAGTAGCCGACGAGGGCGGGAGCCTTGTCTGTTGTTGCCATGAGAATTGCACCCACGATCGAGGGGATGTGGCCGATTATGCACCAGAGGAGTCGCTGTTCGGTTTTCATAGCGAGGTAGGTTAGCCCGATGAGGGCAACAACCTCATAGGCACCTAAAGGTGTCACAAGCAGGAGACTCTGCGTTTGCGAATAGCCCATGCCGGAGACGAGAATGTTCCCGAAACTAGTCGCGATGGAGTTCGGTACATTGGCAGCCAAAACCCAGAAAGAATATAACCATGTGTTGGGGTCTTTAAGCGCTTCATACACTTGGGCCTTCTTGAACACGTTACTGCCGATGCCCTGGACGTTGCTTCGCAGGCGCTCTGCGTGTAGGGCCTTCTCTTCCGGGGATAAAAACCGAGCTGTCACAGGCGAATCTGGTAGGATGAAGAAGAACAAGATGCCAATCACGACGGTGAACAGTCCCAGGATGAGGAATATTACCTGCCACCCGCGAAGCGAAGCGGTAGGATCGCCACCAATATGAATGGCTACACCGTATGCAATGTACCCTCCGAACATTTGCGCAAAGCCACACATGGAGAACCACAATCCGACCCGAAAAGCCTGTTCCTCCTTACGATACCATTGCGACGTGAACACCACCCAAGCCGGCACCACTGCGGCTTCGGCAGCACCGAGCAATGTGCGACATACCATCAAAGCAGCGAAGGAATGGCACGCGGCCATACATGCCAGTATAGTTCCCCAGACCGTCACATTGAAGGCGACGTATCGGGCAAGGGGAAATGCCTGGATGAGACGGGTCGTCGGGAATTGGAACGCCAATTGACCGAAGAAAAACATGCTAGAGACCCAGTTGAACTGGTTTCCATGAAGATTGGCTGACTCCCGAAGACCGGTCACACTGGCGTAACTGATGGCGATTTTATCCAGATATTGCAGGAAATATACAATGCAGATCAGCGGCATCACGTAAAGATCGATCTTGCGGACTAGTCGGTGCGAGGCCTCGGGATCAAGTGTGCCGGCTTCACCACCCGCCGCAAGAAGCTGAAGCGCGCCATCGCCCTTGGTGGTTGATGGACTAGTTGTCGCTGACGATTTGATGTCGATATGTTTCTCGTCTGTATACGGCGTCGTGGACGATGTCATTATCGCGGCGATGGTCTCCCAGTACGCAGCGTGGGAGAAACAGAAACTGTTCGTAATTTTTTCATGGCAACTATGGAGCGATACGACGCTTTAAATCGGCATCTGGGATTTCTTGGCTCTAGTGTCGTATTTCGATGAGCATTCGTGGGGCAAAAAGCACGCCATCGTGTTGACTCTTATCGCATTGATAATAAGAATACCCCGTCTGACTCACTGACGGCTTCCATGACATGAGGTTATTAACAACCTATCCATGTTTACACATGATCTTGAAGGCCTAGAAGACTAATCTGGCCTAACCTAAATTAGGTGAGCAATGCACGGACCACTGCATAACCTGGCGCATATACCACGATCCAGCAGTTTAAGTCCTTTCATGTCACAGACTCACAATTCAGTCAAAGAGTTAAAGATCTAATGTCAGCATCAATAAACTGTGAGTCGTGGACCTTCTCTGCTAGCGGGCACCAGTGTCCACTCAGAGGGGCCTGTCGCAGCCGGCAACACATTCATGCTATGCTCAATGGGTTGTTTGGATATGCATTAATATTGAGAAGCAGCTTAAGACTCGAGGGATGGCTTTTTCAAGTCGCTGCTTTAGATCCCTTGGTTTTGAAGACCAAAACCAACGTCTGCCCACTTGACTTTATCGAGGTGAAATGAGACAGGTCACAAATTACCACCCGAGTCGCTGACCTGCATCCAATACCACCCCTGATCTGCACCTTGATCATTTCTTCGTCATTCTGTGTCTAACAGCAGTCCCTGTGTGGCAGTCTGCAGCAGCTACATGAAGAGCTGTCTCATTCGGCAAATGCTCGCCATCAGCACATTGTTTTGTTCTTGGAATTATAAGAAGATGGTGTTGTTAATGGAGCTCATTAATTCATGTTCCTATATTAATAGTTAGATCCCGGAAGTTAATAGACGTGCAAGAACGCCGTAGACATGACCAGCATTATCCCAAGCTCGGCTTAATCCCCTCCCGTGCGAGAAATTCCCTGATTCCATAAGGACCATAATACCTTCCGTCGTGACGTATTGCGTCCCATAATTTGTACAGGACGGATACTATGCTAGTGCAGACAGGAAGCTTGTTCTCCATGGTTAGAAAAGTAGCAATATAGTCCTCCTGCTCCTGCCGAGCGGTGATACATGATCCGATGTGAAACAGTGACCAAAGAAGTGTTCCCCATGCGTAACTCGACGGCGGTATGGTTTTTAATAGTCTTCTCGCCTCAGACACACAACACAAGATCTGATCTTGAATAGGTGGTGACGGCACACCTGGACCATTGAATGCACATCGCAGCGTTATAAGTAGGCCCATCTGCTGAAACATCGCGGCAGCTATCTCGGCTTCGTCAGGCCCATTTGGGGTTCCTGTCCCATTCCATGATGCTGGTACTACCCATAGTAGGACTCGCTGTTCGAGGGAGTGGAACTCCGCAATAATTTCTGGATCGAGGTGTCGGGGAGAAGACATGGCGGGTTTCTCGGCAAAAGCGGCGATGGATGGGATCATTTCAAATAGTTCATACGCACACCCGGAACATCGATCGCGATAATAATCTCGGTATGAAAATGGTGAAAGTTCTAGGGATTGGCTCTCGGTGGGCCTGTGGCTGCTGTCTTTTATGGGGCCAAGGCCGATATGACTATTGACATTACTGAGAAACATGTACTGCTCTGCGATGAAACATGCGCAATCCGCATCGACTGTGTCTAAAAGGTTATTTTGTGACGCCAATAGGGCACAACATGGCAGTAAGTGCTGCATCACTGCGCCATTTGTATCTCCGTCTATTACCTGAATTCTTAATTAATATATAGTACTTGAGAAAGCAGCTACATGCCGAGAGCAAGTGCTAATAAAAGGCCACGTTAGCCTAGGATGAAGAGGAGGAGCTTACCTCAAAATTACACAAGGCTAGGAGCAGCAATACTATCACCACGGGATTACGATTGTATCCATTTCCATACTCCGTGATAAGATATTTGACTGCCCGTAGCGCGACCCCATAATGGGAAAGCGCAACAATATGTGATTGCTGATCATCATAAGACAGGTGGGAAGCGCTTATGGCGAAGACAACATGAAGGAATCCATCGTTTTGCTGCGCCAAAGGCAACATATAGGCGAGAAAAGGGTTATTGACGACATCTCTTATTACCAGCCTCCGTGATGACCTCTCGATGTAATGCTGAAGTAGTCTTTGTTCACCCGATCTCCCACGGAGCCGAGGCCAGAGCGATAGTGCATGGTTCGGGGAGGGGCGACGCAGCGATGTCGTATCCTGGGACGGTTCGGGAGGGTCGGACCCCGCGGACGCCGAAGTAGTGACTGTCGTTCCCGAGCAGGGCCAGGAACATAGCAAATGATTGCGTACACAGCCGCCGCAGATGGGTCTAGTCTCATCGCACTTGGTGTGCCGGACCCGACAACTGAGGCACCCGGATTTAGTCCTCTTGGCATTCCTTCGTCTGTAAGGGCGGAACGACCCTTCGTCATGGGTGCTCTTGAATTGGAGGACCCCATGCATGGTAGCGTCTGGCCAATCCTTTGCTTATTGGCAGTGGAGAGAGGATACAAGGGATGTCGTTGGATCTGATGTGCACGTTAATGGATGGTGAGTATGGATCACATTCGGCTAGTCCTGATGTGGTTAGGCAGTGGGTCCATCGATACCACCGGTTATCCTCTTTTGGTATACCTTCAGCTGTCTTGATCATGCAGTAGGTTCAGAAAGAGCTGATGAGCAGCTTGATACTAAGCACTAGTACCACCCGGTGGGCCATTCTTGGTCCACTGTATTTTGAAACAACGGAATTGAATTGGTATGTGTCAGGTGGGTCTCAGGGCTCGGGTGCGCCAGGTCCTTGTTCCGCAAAAATGGTTCTATATAAACAAACCGAACCTAATTCGATCACTCTCCGTCGGCCATTCTACGTTTCGGAGAAAGTGCCAGAGCTTGAGCTCTCCTATTGACACTATGGCACAAAAGCACCCCGAGTCTCCCCCCTTTTTTGACTTCATTGTGACCCCGGAGACCACCCAAACCGCTCCGAAACAGGACTGTGGAGTTCGGACTACAACGGTAAGCACGATTGCATCGTCAAAAGAGGAATGAGGATGAAAGGCCGGTTCAAATAGAACACTTGTGATAACACTGCGTATTTGTACAGTCTCCCGCTATTAAAAATGCCCCTCTTCCCGCCGACGGTGCCGGAAACGACTCATGGTCTAATCTCCTGCTCTTTTCCCTATTGATTGGTGTGCCCTGGTTTATATCCTACCAACTGGGCGGTGGCCTCTACTTCGCCATTTTCCTTGCAGTATGCACCGCAATCCCCATTCTCATGGCCTTTTGGACGATTTTCTCTTCCATGTCTCCCCGTATGAATGAGAAGGCGAAGCTTCCGGGTCGGCCTGTGGAGTATTATCTTAATTTCCATAAAGAGAGCGATCGGGCCCGGTACAATGGCAAGAGGAAAATCCCTATTGAAGTCTTCTACGAGAAGTATTTCCGCGGTGAGGTAGATTTCAAGAATGGGGATTGCCTGGAGAACCTTGAGTATCGCCACGATTGGGCCAGCTTCAGCTTTTCATGGGGAGTATTCAAGCACTTCCTCTTTGGGTTTGTTCCTGAACTCATCGTTCACTCTCGCTCTCAAGGTACAAATAACTCCCCTACGGATCAATCTCACCATTGTGCTTCGGGCAAGAGGCCAATTGTAGAGAATATGCTGCTAACTCATGAACAGACGAGGAACAGGTGAGCGGCAACTACGATCGTGGCGACGATTTCTACGCATGGTTCCTCGGCCCCCGCATGATCTATACCTCTGGACTTATTGGCGATGTCAACAAGGAAGAATCTCTCGAACAGCTTCAGGACAACAAACTTACCGTCGTCTGCGAGAAAATCGATTTGCAACCGGGCGACACCATGCTGGATATTGGCTGTGGCTGGGGAACCCTAGCTACCTTCGCAAGTGCCCACTACAAGGCCCATGTCACCGGTATTACTCTCGGTCGCAACCAGACGAAATGGGGGAACACTACCCTTCGCAACGCTGGTATTCCCGAGTCTCAAAGTAAAATCCATCGTCTGGATTATCGTGACTCTCCTCGCATTCCAGGAGGATACAAGAAAATTACTAGTCTTGAAATGTCGGAACATGTGGGTGTTCGCCATTTCCGCGGCTTTTTGAAACAGGTCCATGATATGTTAGATGATGACGGTGTCTTCTATTTGCAATATTCCGGTCTTCGGAAGTACTGGCAGTACGAGGACTTGATCTGGGGCTTGTTTATGAACAAGTACGTTTTCCCTGGAGCAGACGCAAGCACGCCCCTCGGATGGGTCATTGATCAACTCGAGGGAACGGGCTTTGAGATCAAGGGCGTTGACACTGTCGGTGTTCATTACTCTGCTACCCTTTGGCGGTGGTATCGCAACTGGGTTGCCAACCGTGAACATGTGGAGGCCAAGTATGGTCCGAAGTGGTACCGGGTAAGTATTGGACTTTGTCTGTCTGTATTTTCTTACAGTCTTTGCTAATCAAATATCAGACCTGGGAATGGTTCCTTTCTTGGGCTACTGTTGTCTCCCGTCAAGGAGGTGCAACATGCTACCAGATCGTCCTGGTTAAGAACATCAATTCTACCCACCGAGTGGATGGTATTCCGAGTCAATTTAATATCTCCGGTGCTATTACATCGGCGATCAAGAAGATTGGAAAGATGCCCAGTGCATTTATCCCTTAATCTGCTCTCTGGATTCAGGATAGCTGCCGGGTGGTTCCTCGCCCTGGATATTTACCAATGGTATGAATAGAAGAAAGTCGGTATGTGGTTATGTATGACTCATTGATGGGGTTATATCTCCTATGTGATAATGAAGCCGGGTCTGAATAACGTCGCTTTATTTTTTTTTGCCATGTACTATCTCTCAAGAAAGCTATGACTTATGTTGTTTCCCGAAATCAAAAGTGCAATCTCCTCTCAGAATGACTAGAGTAGGAATGGTTTGTAATGTTTCCGGTCATCACCACTGGTCAAGGTCACCCACTATTCACCGATGGAATCATAGTGTGTCCGGTACGTCAATGACGGTCAATGTTAGATAAGGTCCATATGTATCGTGTAGAATACGATTAACACTCACCTTGGAACTTGATGCTGCCTAAATCAACCAGAAGGTCCTCTTCCTTGGTGTCATTGGTACCACGAGCTATGGTGCGCCTGCAGCTACTGGACCCTGTTGTGCCGGAAGTGTTTTCCACAGACACTACATATAATAACTTTACAAAGAGAAGCCTATGAGGACTACTATTTTCTGGATTTCGAAAAGCGCCCAATGTCCAGCAGGGGTCTTGGATCACTCATTGCACAGATAATTTGGTTCAGTTCATAAAGTGCCAAAGCCCTCCCGATGTGATACCCTTCAAGTAAGCGGGTTAGATCAGCCATTCCCGCATTTCTTGGATACTTATGTGGTTTGTGAGTCCTATAGAAGCCCTTGCGTTCAACGGAAATGTTCCAGGGTATAAAGGCGCTACTGTCTGACTATCCATATCCACTTGATTCTTCAGCTGTGCGGTGTGAACCTGCTGCCGTGCCCAGAAAAGGAAGTATTTAAGTAGTGCTAGATGATTGAATCGATTCACAGCTATCATTCCACTATGTTGTTGTCCTTATTACATATCTCAAACCTAGAATGCGAAGACTAATCCTTATCCTTGTTCAATCTTAAATTGCCACCATACTTTCCTTCCTTGTGAAACACAGCCCTTATTTACTAAGTGCCTCAACAACCTCCTTGGCACCTCTATCTCCCGACCTCACCGCACCCTCCATATACCCCTTCCATTGCAACGCAGTCTCCGTCCCCACAAAGTGCACACCTCCAAACGGCCTCCTCACGGCACCCTTGCCGACCTGAGAAATCACACCCGGGGGCATACCCGGCTCCGGCCCACCATGGAAGAAATCCTGCTTGGACCACTCATACTCGAGCACGTTGATAGGCTCCGGGACCTGGATCTTCTCTCCAGATGGCAGGTCGGTATTCTCCAGCGCGGAGCGGAGTTGCTCCCACGCCGTCCGACGTCTCTCGTCCTGCGAGAGCAGGGACCATTCACGACCGCGGCGCCCCACAGTAAAGCAGGCAATGGACCACTGCTCGTCATCTGGGAAGCTGTTATCCATAGTGAAGGTGAAGGGGCCCGTCTCTGACTGGATGGCGCCGGTGAGGCCAGCGGTTCGCCAGAAGGGCTTCTCAAAGACGAAGATGATTTTGCTGTAGTAGCCTAGTTTATTTTTTGTTGCCAGAAGCTGCTTCTCTTCGGGCAGGGGTGGTGTGAATTTAATATTTTGATAGAGGGGAGTGGCAACGGAGAGGATGACTTTCTTTGCGTGGAAGGTTGTGTTGTTAGCTGTTTGGACGGTGCAGGTTCCTGTGGCTGGGTCCTGGTTGATCTCTGTTACAGGGCTGGAGAGGTGGATGGAACCGGGCTTTAGTTCCGCTGCCATGTTCTGGGAGATGATTTGGTTGCCTTTGGAGGGGGAGGTGTTAGTATGGTAGGTTTCATGGTACGTTTTTGTGCGAATTACTTACCCTGTCGGACGCGGAGCTGCTGGCCTCCGTCTTTGCCGTCCCCAGTTACGGCCTCGAATCCGTGGCCCGCCTTCAGAGAGAGCAAGAAAGCCAACATGCTAACGTCGTCGCCATTCACGCCAATCAGAGACTGGATGATGGTATCGAACAGGCCCGCAATCGACTCGGACTGGAAGGTCTGCAGACAGTATTCCTGGATAGTAACGCTATCCAGCTCTTTCGCGTTGGGACCCGAGGCGGGGTCTTCCAGATTGACATTGGCAACGAGCTCATTGATATGCGCCAACACTTGGGATAGTGCTGCCTTCTCTTCCTCGCTCACCTAGAAGCCCATGTATATTGATTAGTACAAGCCAGCCACAGATACTCGTCCAAGGAAGGGTACCTACCGGAAGTTCACCGTGTTTGAACAAAACACAGCCCTCTGGGCTTTGGAAGATATCATGGCCCGGGATTGCTTGGGTCTCCACTTGCAGTCCGTACTTCTGGACGAGCTTGTAAATCTCGCTTTGAGTGGTGTCATTGATCCAGGCGGCGCCGACATCGTTGACCCCGGGGCCGCTTTTCTTGGATGGCACGGTCAAGGTCTTCCCTCCTACACGGTCAGTAGCTTCAACTACCGCATAGGAGAATCCGGCTGCCTGCACACCCAACGCTGCCCGGAGCCCGCTGAGTCCCGCGCCGATGACTACCACGTCAACGGTTTTGGAGGAACCACTATTTGAATGAGATGCCATGTCGATAACAGTTAGATTGTATCAGTTGTCTAGAGTAGAATGACACAAGACCGATGGTACGAACATCTATCACTTTATATGCTTCTGGTACAACTGACGTAGACGACCGAAATAGGAATTACATACGCGAAGGCGATAAGATAGCGCGATAAGGTTAAACGAGCTTATCGATAAGATCGGGCCCCGCGGCTCCCGTCCAATAACATCTTATGGCATACAAAGATTGACATGCTGGGGGATTGATCACCAGGCTGCATTCATTCAGCACGTTGGGGACAGATCAAATCTTAGAGCGCTGAACCGTTCCATTTACCAATACTATAATGTTACACAGTTGCCTCCCAGGCCCGGTTACACTGGAACGCACAAAGATAGCACCCGATGACATAGCGGTATGCCTTTGGGACGTTCTCAAGTAACGTTCAACCCCGATACCTTCCTTCTGCCGTTTAAACTGCAAACGAGGCCTTCTGAACGAATATATTCTTCACCGACCTGCAAAGGGAAACTCCCTGGGCGGGACGCGGGTGCAGCTGTCTATCGATTGAAGGCCATAGCTCGTAATATCTGACGCGAGCTCATCAGGTCAGCCTACATAGACAAGTTTTGATAGGTAAGGAATCCGTGGATACAAGATAGCATCTGCTCTCACGGGTCGATTATGAGACGGGTGTTGCGGTTGTGTTGGAGACTGAACGATTACTTCTCGTAGCTACCGTCATTAATCATTGGACTTTGGGTTCAGGTAGCATGCTACGTGTATGCTCTTTGTTGAGCGGTCGTGTAATGACTTATCGAAACCAAGCCAGTAACCTGTTTCTGTTGCGCGCTATCAATAATTATATTTCATAGCAGGCTTCTCATAGAAACTCCACCACCACAGCCTGAAGCAGGGTGTTGCATCTGATCGGGGAGTACAGATTGTGTATGGCTTACCTCGGGCATATTGCCCACCGCGTAGAAGAAGCATATCAACTGTATGTGAGCCTTTGTTACCATTACAACGACAAGTCGGAGGTAAGGCTTGGTAGATATATAAAGGTTACCTGACACTACAGACGGAGGCAAAGTTCGAGTGATATTCCGGATCGGAGTCCTTTCCCATCCACGAGTAGTCCTTCACGAACTTGTCATTCATTTGTAGTCACCTGGATCTGTCAAAGTCCAAGGTGACGAATTGTATTGGGGTATGCATTAAAATTAAGGATGTTACACAGTAAATATTCTCGTCAGATCGCGTTGATATCCATCATAGCCTTCGCGTCACGTGTGTTCATCCACCAGGATAATTCCCTTAGCCCAAACCTTACATAGGTCATAATGCTCAGCGTATTCATTCCCGAAGGCAACAATGGCCGGATGCACTATGATCAGAGCATTCTTGCCGTCTAATCTGGTGTCGTTCCCATGTGGACGATGAAGAGGATGTGCACTCATTACTGGATGCTCTGCCCGAAAAATGGGGAGCTCATCCATACAGTAACACCTCATGAAGGATCGCTGCGTCCACAGGGAGATGGCCAATTCACCAGCGGTCTGGTAAAGCTGGTAGAGTTCCTGGTTGCGCTGGATCGCCCATGAATCATTTCTGTGTCGGAACAGTAACTGAACAGGTCCAGCGAGGAATTCAACCGCAAGCTCACTAGTGATGGCTTCCACCTTCGCGCGCAACGGTGCATTGTGCACCGAGTTCGGGGGAGGTGTAGCTAAAAGCCGGAGGGTTTGCGAACGCCAGATATGGGCTTCTTCCTTGTTGACTGCGTTTGGTTAGACTTCAATAGGTGCCTTACATAGCAAACCAAGGGACATACCATCCAGCATCGATGCGTATAGAAAAGATAATGTTTGGGCGGCGTGCGCCGTGGAGGGTTCCTTAGACTCCCCGAAGGCAAAGAAGGGGTTGGCAAAGATGGTTCCGAAAATATCCTTGGCTAGTAAAGCCTGCATCAGAAGAGCTGGGATGTTGTCTGCCATCGTTGACGCCTTCTCAATGAGTGTGGTCCAATCCACCTGCGCGCAATATCCACTCAGCCGCTCCAGGATGGCGTTCTTCTCCTCGATCGGCAAGCTATCGAGCGCACGTATCTCACCAACGCTATAATTCTCGGCCCAATGTCGCATTGCTGCCTCCAGACTCGAGAGTTCTTCGCGGATCTGCCGACTACTTTTGGTGACCCAGGAACCGCTCCTTGCCGAGCGAACTTGCGCTTGCAGTCGTTTGCGATCATTGTCTAACTCGGTGATTCCTCTCGCCAAGGCAACTATATGGCTCTCCATCTGTTTAACTTTGCCGTCACGAGTTCGAGTATTCTGTGCGGGTTCGACCTTCGTTGATGGATGGACACCTTCCGGGTCCTCTAGCTCGGCAGGGTTCTGGCCCGGGTGCTCGTCCATAATTTGGCTAGGCTTTATAGGAGGCGAGCCCCCGGATTTTGACTTGTTTTTGCGATGCGATGCGCGCTCTGGGTTGGACTCAGAATCTTGCTCGGAACGGGGCCCTTGGCCCTGGTTAAATGTGCGCTGATTCACTCGAGTCAGGGCCGTGCGACCGGGGCGTAAACAGAGTTTATACATACCGCTACAAAACTACATCCCAGGAGAGATTTTTTCGTATGGATGCGCGTCGCAGACCTTGCGAGCATCCCTCGTCCGCCTCCGTGCTCCTTGTGAGCGTGTTCTGCATCGTAGTCACGGCTGGGTTGTTTCTAAGGCGGAAAGGACGTTGCGATCAGCCATTGCCGTGATTCCGAGCCAAAGATGCAGTCCGGCCTACCTTTACACCGGCTTCCATGTCCTCTCTCTTGTCAGCTGTGTGTTGGGCCATGTTCTGCTTCTGCGATCATAAAATGCTCTGGGGTTTGCGATATGGTAAGGAGAGAAAGAGGGGAGAGCGCTCTCTCGTCAGCTAGAAATCCTGGAGAAAAGCGACATCCCAACGGATGTCGTCATTGGTCGCCCCAAAAGGGGGAAAGGAATCAGGGGAGCGACAGAGTCGGCGCATCATCGGCCCAGTTCGGGGTCTGTGGACGACTAAAAACAAAGGAAAGCCTTCAGGAGCTGCAGGGCGTCACCAGTCATCGACGGCGTTTTCTATTCGGCGGCAAATGTAGCACAGCGCAGGTAATAATTCTATAACACTAATGGGTGGGACCAGGATCACAGAGTGGCCCTAAGCTCAGTTCTGCCGCCGTTAGGGCAGCTTATTCGGGCCTATCAGTCTGGCCAGCTGCACCGTCAGCCTGTCCACGCCAATGAAGGCTCCAGTGCCACTGCACCAGGTTTCTGCTCCCTGTCCATGTCTGCGACTCTGGAGCTGACGAGGGACCCGGAATCGCAGAAATCACATCAAGCGATACAACTGCCGTTGAACAATTGCCAAGTCGGTGGGCTCGGATGTAATCAAGAAATGAAGAGCTAAAAGTGGAAACAGAAAAATATCCGACGTTCTCGAGAGTGACGCTAACCCGATTGCGGGAGGCGCCGCGATTACTTCGGCGCCAACTGTTGACCATTGACACAGCTTGACCATCTAGACCGAGACTTCTTTTTTTTTTCTTTTTCTTTTTCTTTTTCCCTTTCTTCATAGGGAGCACAAGTAGCTTCTGGGGCTTGCTGCTCTCGTTCTAGATGCCGTTCTCGATCTAGTACGGTTCTAAAGGAATTCTATCAGACGCATGGTCATCCACTTTACCCATTCTGTATAAATTTATATCGCATAGTCCTATATCCTAGTACGGAACATATATCTTGAGTATAAATAGTTTCGGCCACCGAGTCCCCCAACATGATGTGGAAAACACAAAGCAAATAAGGTGAGCATCAATAATGTTCAATTGGCATTCCTGTAAAACGCTCGATATCTGGGGTGGAATTCAATTCGTACTACTTCAGTATTTACTAGCAGTATTCCCTGTTCCGAATTCAACAAATTAACCTAAGCGATATTCTACTCGGTAATGTGCAATTGAGAGAGCATTATACTGACAAAGGGTATAAAACTTTCCTAGTGCGACATGCTAACGAGCTACACTTGCTGGCTGTGGCGCATTAATGTGGCGATGTTATGGTGGTTGATTTATATTATCGTGCCTGAGGCAGAGTCGTTAAGTGAGGACGGCCGCCCGAGAGCTATTCCATGTCCACTATCAAATTCACCGGACCCAATTTGCCCCTACTTTGCATTCTAGTCTGAAATAATATCAACTGTGTCCTGCAAAAACCACCTACCTTATTTAGAACTTTCTCATAGCGATTATTAGATCAATGCCTTTACCGGTAAACGCTCAACGTGGCCCAATCAGAATTCCAGTCAATGCTCAGGCTATGATGTGAGATCTGGAGGGACCACGGCAGGCCTGGGAGGTGACATCGGTCCATACCTCTATCAGCTATGACGAGTAGAAATAGATAACTACAAAACCAGGTGGAGCGACTCAACTGGCATTCATGCGTAACCCGCCCAACTCGCTCACGGTGCAGATACGACCCAGTCTTGGCGCCTGTTCAGTAACCATTGCATAGACACCTTGCTGTTCCCCGATCTAGAGCGTGACAATGAAGTATACGAGGCATCAATGAGTGAAGTGATCGACGTCATAAAGAAGACTAATGCTTCTCCATACGTGAGCTGGGGGCAGCACCAACACGCTAATGCAAGGTGAGCCTCTAAGACAATGCACTGATCTACGATCGTAGGACCCGCCGCAAGTGCCTCGCTTAGGATCTTTCAATGGAGACACAGAATTAGTCATAGGCACGCTTGCCTCAACGGAGTGTTATTGAACGAAGTCCGACGAGGTTCACATTCTCTTGGTAAGCGGCTCTATGCAGGTGAATGAAACCAATCCCACGCAAGTGCCCTCTACTTGGGCCATGCCTCCCACCTGCTCCTCCTTTCCTCAGTGTAATTGCGAAGTTCTGCTTCGGGTCTAAGATGCACGGGAGGCAAGCTCCTAGAGGAGGATTCAAAAGGTGGCGCATCAGTTCGTTGACCAAAGCTCTGCAGTTTGCACGTGAATGTGCTGGTTGATGGATGTAAGAATACGAAAGAGGTAGTTAAAGTGGGTATGAACTTCCCTGGATATGATGTGGAATGCCCTCATATAACTGGACTGGGAAGCAGTGGAATTAGCGTAGAGGCCTTGTTCATTACTTACCAACGCTCCTTTCGCACTCAACCACAGTGCAGACCTTCCAATAAATTAAATTCTAGACAAGATTAAAATAACCGTCCTTCGTCGCATTGCTCGACTTGCTGCGATTGTGGAATTTCCATTGCATACATAGAGGGAAAATGAGCTTACATGACACCGACGACCAGTCCACACAACCAAGTCCAGAAGAACAGTAACGAACATGCCTATGCCCAAATACCCGAGGTAAGAGAATGCCCATACAAATCCAAATGCAAGAGAAGCTTTCCCACGGTGACGTCGACGCGGAACACTCAATCCTGGGCGTCCTAAACAAGACACTCCGGACAGACACGTAGTATTGTTCCCCATAGCGGATTTAGGATCGCGGGGAAAGAGCTTGATCTATTTATATCATTATAGTAGTCCTGTGTTACTACTGGAATCGTGGTCGGGGCAACTTAGGTCGTTCTTAAGGTTCTCACTTCTTTGTCTGGACGAAGACAAAGTAACCCTCGGCCAGGGACCAGTACAAAAGCATAATCGGTCAAGCAATGGGGCAAACTTCAAAGTTTGCGGAACAAAGAACATGAAACCACTAGCTGTTGACGAAAGAGCCCATGGTTGATCTCGGTTTTGTTCTTAGGGTCCCTAGTCCAGCGTTGTGGCTAAGCCAGAGCGTCCTGCATTGGGTGAACAAAGGATGAGCGTTGAGTAAAGCTTAACTGTCTGGAGCTATACGCGGTGTTATGTGTAGCAGTGGCTTTCGGGGATTGTAGAGGGGACAGTTGCGGAGACTGTTGTCTTGGATGTAGATATTCTTCACTTGAGGTCTGGGTGTCGGGGCATTGTGTTATATACAGTGAAATTCATATTGTTGACGGATGGTCACGATGTCTGCTCTCAGAGTGAGTTGAGCTATACTTGATCTTTGTTGGATTCATCCGTGTGGCTACCTATTGCCCTGCCCAGGCCGCCACGGGGCAAAGAGTCCCACCGTGACCAAGTTTATATTCAATACTGATCAGCAAGGTTTGGCTGATCTGAATGCACCCGTCCACAAGTGAGATATTGTACGGTCGTCTGGCAGACGCTATCAATGGAATGGCTCTGAGCCGTGGGGATGCACTCTCCATGTATTGGCTCTATTGGCTCGATCGCAGGAAGGTGGACTCAGTTGCCAGTCAACCCCAGGGAATGTGACCCCGGAAAACCGCGTCCTTTCACTCACATCATTCAGTCAGAGCAAATACTCTCTAGATGCAGGTTATAAAGCCTCCCTCACGCCCGGTTCAGTTGTTTCTTTTCTGCACAACTCACACTCTCAAGCTGTGATCTATCCCACAACGCCATTACACTTCAACGACTCACGACACATTACGTTTAGACGAACATTTCACGATGAAGGCCTCAGTTGTTCTCCTCTGTGTCTTCGCCGCTTTTGTGGCTGCTACTGAGGGTGATACCAGGGCGGCTGACAGCACCACCACGGCGGCTCCAGGTTAGTATCTCTCAATCAAAGTACAGTTGCATTTAGCACAAGGCTATGGCACTGCCATTTTCCCGGCTAGATTGACCAACCTCCATTGTAGCTCTGCGCTCGGTCGCCCCCCCGCAGCCTATAAGAATGTCCGACCTCACACCTGAGGAGACGAGCTTTTTCTTGCAGTACTGGCGGGAGCATCTCGCTCCGCCGGGCGAGGGTGTAGTGATGCCCGGAGGTTGGAAGTGGCCAGCGAAGCGTGACGAATCCTCTCAGGCTGAGGTCAAATGGGATCCTGAGCTGTCGAAACTCACTCACGCCGTCGACGCCTTGCCCAAGCCACAAGGAAAGATCACCCATTACTTTGGAGAACAGCTGCAAGACAAGGGTGAATCGAATGAGGATAACGAGGACGACGACGACGACAGCGCCGATGACGAGGATACCTCTCCTTCTAGCCCCCTCGAGAAGAGGAAGCAGAACCCCTGCAAACGTGGCTGCAGAGCTGATTTTCATTGCTGTTCTGGCGACAAGTGCTTCTATGGAGTTTGCCTGGGGCCCCAGAAGCCGCCTCGTGATGTCAAGCGTGAGATCTACGAATTTTATGCATCTGTAGATCAGACGAAGAATTCAGGAGAGAATGATGACTGAAGGCTGATTTCTGTGAGAACGACAGCACCTTTCACAACAGTGACAAATGCGTTATGGGTGTTTGCTTGGGTGCTGGCGAATATCCCTGAGATGCAGACCTAATATCTAGCATGGCGGACATCGGGAGGTGGATAGCTTGCTTGTGCTGGAAAGAAAGACTGGAAACAGGGTTTCTATTGCTTGCAGGCAAGAATAGGAGATCACTTTGGTGCATTGTATACATTTTCGATTCATATTCAATCCAGAGAATGCCATTATCAGTTGGTCCTTAACCCTGTACACTTGTAGGCCTGTGGGAACATGTAATCCTTGAGATAGACTATTATACAGAAGCGTGAGTTTAATACGGGGTATGCATCGCAGCCGAGGTTCCAGAAAAAAATTATATTTGGGTGACCTTTAGAAACAGGTGACTATATTTTTAGCTCAAGATGTGTCTCTATATCAGAGGACATATCGACTGGCAACAAGAATGTGGTTAGTATATATCGAAACGGATCAGAGGAACGAAGTACGTACAAGGACAGATTTTCACGGTCCGTCAAATCCAATTGGTTTTTGTCCACCAGATGAGTATGCTTTGTACCGTCGTTATCGACCTCTTCAACCACACCGGTGTCTGTGACGAGTGTTTCACGCTGTAGCAGATCACGGCGCTGGTTTTCCTTTGAGAGATACCATCGCAGATACATAATGATGATTGATGGTAGGATGCAGGCGACCTTCACCGGTAAGTATCTGAATCCTTAATGAAATGCTCATTGGAATACTTACAACCAAGATGATAATCCAAGTGGGATAATACCGCGGCTATCATTTATCTCATTAGTCCAAATGAAAGTAGCCAACAGCAGGATGAGATCGCTCGTGCATACCTTCCATCGCGGTTGAAATAGCTGTGGTGAGAGGATATTCCCCAATCCATATCCAATGTGGTACATGGCTATCACTGTGGTCTTCTTAGTGTGTCCAGCAGACGCGTTAGCAGCCCAGATCATGACCACTGCATACGGAATGCCGACGGTTGAGCGGATCCAGATCCCTGTGATGAGGCCCCATCGATTTGACCACGGTAGGCTTAGCAACAAGATGCTAGATATAGCCCCAGGAATGTATGCGATGAGAGAAATCCAAGCCCTGCAGTTCTGTTAAATCCTCGTTAGCGTGGTCGAATGTAATTGCCTGGTTTTTCATTCTCTGGCCACACCTACCGTTGTCTTCGCTAGAACCGCTGCCGCCGAGGCAAGCGAGAAGAAGCTGACTATCCCGGTTACACATCCCAGTAGAGTGGTCTGAAGCACGCTGAACCCGAAGGAGTTAATGATTAGTGAGTACTGGTTGGTCATTCCGTTGGCCATTTCCTGAGACCAGGCATGTAGGAAGAACAACCAGGACTTGGGATCTTTAACCGCCTCGATGAATCTAAGTATTGTCAGTTCCTGAGTAACACTGACGTTGTATGGGTGAATGTAAGGGCTACAGTGGGGTCATACTGGTACTTCTTAAAGTGCTTCTGCTCGATTCCCGAATGGTTATCCTTTATCCGAAGGATTGCCTGCGCGCGCTCTTCTGGCGTAAGGAAGCTGGCACGTAGAGGATTGTCCGGGAAGAAGAGCCACACTGCCGCTCCAAACACAACGGTCACTCCGCCAGTGATGACTGCGATAGGTAAGTGTCTACATCAATGGTTGCTGCTCATGCGAGGGACATACCCATAAACCATTTCCACGGGGCAAACGTTCCGGTCTTGATCCACAGTACCCCATAGGAAAGTAGACCAGAGGTGATAGGACTGGCGTTTCCGATCGACCACATGATGGGCATTAGAACCGCCTGTTCCTTGTATGTGAAGAACATAGACAAGATCAACAAAAAGGCCGGTACGATAGATGCCTCTGCTACCCCTAGAAAGAAGCGAACGACGAACAAGGTGGCAAAGCTATTGCATGGTATATGAAGTAGTGTAATGCCTCCCCTGGTTTGGTTAGCAGAAGCTCCAAGGAGAGAATTAAGGGGACAGCTAATGTTTACCATACGACAAGATTGCCTGCCAGCCATTTGGCGACAGGGAAGCGCTGCAGGGCCCAGTTCTGCGGCCACTCCGCGAGGAGGTAACCAAAGTAGAAAATTGATGATAACCAATTATACTGGTTGGAATTGAGATGTGCATCATCCATAATGCCAAGGATGGCTGAACTTCCCAGCTAGCGAAATAGATGTCAACCATTGCTAATACAATTCTCCAATGGGATACGTACTGTCTGCTTGTCGACATACATGATATGATACCCCACACAAAGAAAGGGCAAAATCCTCCATAAACATTTGTTCCTAATTTTTAATGCCTCCTCTGGGGTAGGATCCGCCACTGATACCTTTGAAAACAGCTTATAACTCTCATCGGCATATCGTTGACTGAGCTTGGGTGGTTGAACAACATCGTTGACGGTGCTGGCTGTTTCCGAGACCGTTGTCTTCGACATCGTCGCTTCAAAGTCGAATAACGCACCGACTGAATCAATGAATGCTGATGTCCACTTGGAACTCGGGGGGATGGGGTGGCTTTTGTTGTTCTACGCATCGTGCGGCATACACATAGTATTCTAGCAGCATATACCATCCTTCGCCAAGACATGAAGTACTTGCGGAATTCGCCTGTGACCTTACAGGCTTTGACTTAAAACCCCAGATAAGCTGCAAACTAAACGTGTCGAGCCAATGGAACTGACATGTTGGCGAAACGCGCGATTCGCTGTTTTCGCGTCATATCACGCAAAGTTCGGCAATGGAATCCCAAACTACGGCGCCGTTATCGGCCAACGAGTTTATTTCACAACTGACCAGCTGCATCAGCTATTCTTTGATTCGTATTAGGTCCAGCAAAGACTATTAAGATGCGGGGATGGGTAAGTAGGGGTGAATTCCGGTGTTAGTGCCCTAGTCGAAGGCTTGCATGATTCATGCACGGCTTGCGTGCTTTCACTCCACTGCATAATGATTGCAAATATCAGATACGGCCTACTGTCGAAAGTACTTGTCCTTAATGCTGATCGGTATAGCCCCGGTGTAAAACACTATAAAGAAGGATGATCTTCCAAGTTCTTGTTGAATTCAATCACCTGTAGGGCTCACGTACATACAACCAAATGTCCCAAGAAAAGCTAAAGGTTATTATTGCCGGAGCTGGAATTGCTGGCCTCTCCGTAGCTGTCGCATTAAAACCTCTTCCGTATATAGAGGTTGAGCTGTTTGAACAAGCGACCGAGCTTCGAGAAATCGGCGCCAGCATTGCCATAAGTCCCAATGTAAGACTGCAATCGCAAGGGCTGTTACCCAACTAATAATGGTGTACAAGGGACTCCGCTCGCTCGAGAAGCTCGGTGTACTAAATGCCCTCGACGAAGATGTTGCGTTTCGTGGCCCTTCTGCCATTCCTATGATTTACAGGTAGAGTGCCTGGACCATATCAATTGCTGAGTGAAACTTACGAGATCAATTCTATCAGACACTGGAAGACAAATGAGGTTATCCACCAGGACTATTTCGCTGACGTCTCCCTCCGTCGCCACGAAACAGCGAGATTCCACCGGGGACATCTGCATGCAGCACTTCTGGACCACGTCCCCTCGGAACGTATTCATTTAGGCAAAACTGTGGTTTCTGCGGATGTATCGCATGACAAAGTCATACTTCACTTTGCTGATGGAACATCTACCCAAGGAGATATTTTGATCGGCGCGGACGGAATTCATTCGGTATGCGCATTCTTGAAGCGGAGTATCTCGCCAAACAGGACAAGGAGCTCACAGTAGTCTAGAAAGTGAGGCAATCATTTGTTCCCAATCACCAACTGTTTTCCACTGGAAAGGTCTTTCTACGGTCGACATTCGACGCGTCTCTTGTGGAACACATTCAGGACCTTCCGTTAGATTCCACACATTGGGTACGCATATTCCGTCCAACCATTCAAGTTTGTGGAGCTTACAGATTGAAACAGTGGGGACCAAGGGAGAACTTCTTTGCCTCTCGACTTGGTATCGGCTCGTCATCCTGAATATTCTCAACAATCTAGCTGACTATGCGGCAGGGAAGAACCAGTACACTACCGTCGGCAGTTTTGACTTACCAGTAGAAGCGGACGGCAGGGCCAGGAATGTCCAATGGGATGACGAAGAGAATGTCGAAGTACTAAGACAACGCTACAAGGTAATCTTTCCTCTGGGATTTTAGAAGGAAATGGCTGCTGACGAGACATTTCTCGCTAACCAGGACTGGAATCCTGTGGTCAAAGCCTTGGTGGATTCAACTCCATACACACGCATCTACCCCAACTACGCTGGCAAGCCTCTTCCAACCTGGGTACTTGACTCACGAGTGAGCTTGGTCGGCGACGCAGCGCATACCCACGGTGGTGCCTTCGCTGCTGGAGGCTCACTAGCCATTGACGACGCTTATGCATTGTTTCTTGCCTTTCAACATGCCTTGGGGTCATCGAGAGATCAGAAACCAAAGGCACATGAGGTCAGAGATGCGCTTGTTTTGTACGATGAGACGCGGCGCCCGCATACTGAAAGGCTTTTGACGATTGTCCTGAGAGGTATTGGGGCCCCGGCAACGAACACAGACTCCGACGAGATTTTAGTAGAAAGAGTTCAGAACAAACCCAACACAACCTGGCTTTCAGAGCACGATGTGCAGAAAACATTTCAAGGTGTGTTACAAAACAGATCTGTTGGGGACAGTTGGGTGGAACCAGCTACAAGTAAGCTCTGAACATATGTGGCATGAGACGAGAGTTCCGTAGCTGCTATAGTAGCGACGAGATATCAGTTAGTTCACGCTGACTACCGACTATTGTCATCCACCGGTTAATATACAATATAATTCTTGGTGACAGATAAGACTACGAGAATTGGCTTTCAGACTGTTATTCATTTGTATAACATAAACACGTAGAGTGGCTTGAGTGCTCGTCCTGTGGACAGGAACATGACATGCAAACTTGTTTCTGGATCCGAAATTAGCCTACAACAGACCCTCTGAAACTAATCATCATGTCCCTCCAATCAAGGAGGGTTATTTATAAGAAGTGATGCCGAGAACCGGATCCAGTTCTGGTGAGCTCTAGGGCGGATGGCATCATAACCTACTTCAATGTCACAATTCCCCATATCGGGTGGCTCGACCGCGCCTTGATTAATTACCCAAAATGGTTATTGTTCCTACATTATTATCGATCTAGCCGAGATGACCCGCATCGCCAATTTTTGTCACTTGCCAAGGAAGCCCTCGCCTATTCCAAGAAATGCAAGAGCTTGCCGAGGATGTGATTGATCTTAGCACGGACTAGATCACCCTGAGTAAGGGTAGCTGGGTGTTCAGAGTGCAAGCCTGAAGAGTATATAGCTATATAGTAATTTCCTAGGTCATGCACCTATTCATATACTTGTGGAATCAATAGACTTATATCCTAGTCTTTCAGGATGCCTACAGTTCATATCTCTAGCACAACGAAGACCCCTGAAACTGTCTCGACATTATAGAAAGAGAATTACCCATCTAGCGACCATAAAATAGCGCCCCTAGGTGAGCCATTGACTGGGCGGAGACTTTGGTTTCAGAAGGGTCGAAAGTACGACCCCGACGCAATTGCAACCCAGCCCTCAGTCTATGATGACCCAGACACTGTACATGAATATCAGCCGAGTGAGGGCTGGTAGAACTTGCATCGATTTGACCCCTCCGCAAGATGGATCTGGCGTGAGGGAAACCGGGTAATCTGGAAGATCGATGTTCGGATCATGCTATTTACCTCCATCATGTTCATAGCTCTAGAGTTGGATAGAGCAAACCTTCAGCAGGCCTTAACTGACAACTTCCTCAAAGACTTGAATCTCACCACAAATGGTTGGCCCCAATAATATTGTTAATATCTGTACAAAACATTAATTAATCACTAGACTATAACTTAGGGAACACCGTTTTCAAACTCTCCTTCCTCGGGGCAGAGCTTCCTTCACAACTCGTCAGCAAATGGATAGGACCGGACAGGTGGATTCCGACGCAAATGACTCTCTAGTCGGCGGTTGGCATGGCTCAATACAGACTCAAGGGACGGTCATGATATGGGAGGCCCTTGGATTAGAGCTTTAAAATTTGATTAAATGAAGCTACGTTACGTGTTCGGGTTGCGATATAACGGAGATTGTATACAATTTACGCTTGATATAAAGAATTTTTTATACATCGCTTATCTCACCTAGAGGATGCGAATGCACCGTTTACCTAGCATCGCCTATCCCGATAAAGAAGTATATCCCCTGTTCCAGTCGGACTATCTATAGAAACCACAATTCATCCAGTTGTTATATTAAGAAAAGGCCCTTATACCCATTTATTCAATATTATACCCCACATACCCCAACCATCGGATACAAAATACCCCCCGATCCAAACTTATGCCAAATTATGCGATTTCAACTATATATCCACAAGCTAATGCAGGCCAAGAACGACGATCGGGGATGATGCTATCCAACATCCGGCTGATGTGCTTACCCGCCAAGCACTCGCGCAAACTAAACCCCGACATGAGAAGTGGATGGCCACGACCCACGAGGCCGAGATCGCAGCCTGCATCTGGACTATCTGGCAGGTGAATCAAGGAATCCTAACCTATCTTCTCCCACACACACACACACACACACACACAACAAATTTGAAAAAGTGAGCTTTGGAATATGAGTTCTTCTCCTAGGCCAGGCGTGTTCGATAGGATTAGGATCGGGCGAGCAAGACGGCCAGTTCTATTATAGAAACCATATTATATCGGAACGACTGCTGGACCGTTCTGGACGATTGAATACACATGTCACCTTGTGTATATGCTAAGCCTAGATATCACTGCGGGGTGACACGTGCGCTGGGTATAAAGCTATCTAAACGGTGCGATCGCAATACCAGACTAAGGGTCTGAGTATTATGACCTTTACCCAGTTAGAAGCAAGGCTTACCTAGACACCCGTTCCTACACTAGACATCGGATAGAATATCAGTTTTCTCCAAATTCTTGGTGGGCTGACTAAAACGAAAGATAGGCACGCGGGTGACGCGCAGAAACGCGGTTTTGGCCTATACATGCGTCGGGGACATGTAACCTTATGAACGATAATTGATGTATGATTGGTAGCGTGGTGTGTGACGGGGTGGCGTAAGCAGCATGCCAAATGACTCCATCGCTGGCCGGTCGACGGCCTATCCTCGTATACACACAGAGATCAAGATGAGATGGCGAGATATTGCATGATCCCCGGACGGCATTGCGAACTTCCAGACTGACAGTCTTATCTATGGGTCGGAGTGATATCAATGGTTCCTTGGGCTTGTGCCTGGAACATAGAGAGATGCTGGGTATGCGGGGTTCCGGAACACGGCACAGTTGAGATGTCACCATCGTGGTGACATGGGACGTATAAAGAGGGTAGGCCGTCGTAGTCTATCTTATTCTTATAGACGTAGATTTCCTGAGACAAACGAACCCTGAAGAACACCGCATATCATTCGCAAATGGCTCCCTCCGTCGCTGAAAGTACCACAACCCCGGTGGTCCCTATCCTGAAAGGAAATGTATCAGACGCAAACACCCTCCAGAAGGAGCCCTTGAAGCTTAGCGGGGCTCTCGACTCCTTCGAGTCCTTCGATGTGACGCCCGTCATTGGCCGCGAGTTCCCGACTGCCAACCTGAAAGAGTGGCTGCAGGCTCCCAATTCCGATGAGCTGCTCCGTGATCTTGCTATCACCAGTAAGGATCTACTAGGGTCGTATCAGCGGATTTGTCACTAAGTGGTTGTGTTTAGTCTCCCAGCGTGGCGTCGTTTTCTTTCGCAAACAGGACGGGCTCGACGACGACCTGCAGAAAGAACTGATCCAGCGATTGGGTCTTCTTGCAGGCAAGCCCAGTACATCTGGTCTCCATGTGCACCCTATCCATAACGGGGCACGCGAGCACGGTGTCAAGGATAACGAGATCAGCGTCATCACATCTAAGGACCATGACAAGCTATACAAATACCATTTTCATACGAAGAAACAAAGTGCCAGGCGGGAGTGGCATAGTGATATTACCTTCGAGCCAATTCCCAGTGACTACACTGTTCTCCGGTTGACCGAGCTTCCCAAGACGGGCGGTGGTGAGTTAATAATGCTGCCAAGCTGATGCTGTATGGAGGGTTAACCAGTCGCGATAGACACACTCTGGGCATCCGGTTACGAGCTATATGATCGCATTTCCAAGCCGTACCAACAGTTCCTGGAAACCTTGACTGCGACATATGCCCAGCCTAGCTTCAACAGAGTTGCTAAGGAAAATGACTTCGAGATCTTTACTGGACCTCGGGGTGCCCCGGAGAATGTTGGCGAGGAATTGAAGGCCATTCACCCGGTTATTCGGACGAACCCGGTAACCGGGTGGAAGAGCGTCTTCGCTGTCGGTGTTCACGTTGCGAAAGTCAATGACCTCTCCGAGGAAGAAAGTGACCATTTGCTGAGGTGGTTCGTCTCCCTGATCGTTGAGAACCATGATCTCCAGGTTCGCCTGAGATGGCGGAATCCCAATGACTTAGGTAAGTAATTTCGTTCCTGTACGACCGCGCGGAGAGAGAAGCAGAGTGTCTGACACGGTGCCATTGTACAGCTATCTGGGATAACCGCAGTGTCTATCACGCCGCGACACACGACTACAAGGCAAAGGGCTTTAGCCCCCGGACGGGTCACCGTGTTGTTGGTCTAGGAGAGCGGCCTTACCTGGACCCAAAGAGCACAAGTCGTCGTGAGGCCTTGGAAGCTGAATCGGCATAGATAGATTTGCAAACTGCACAGTATAAATAAACATACTAACACTATTATTCTATAAAGTTGCTTCAGACTTGATATGAAAGACGGTATTCCTCAATGAGGACATCTGCACACGTTGCTCCCACAAGCTGTTACCTGCGTATGATTGTTCATCAAGACAGGTACCACACTCAGATCTGCCACTCGCAGTCCCTCTATATTGCGGATTTGGAATGAAGTGTCAACAGCTGCATCTGGATCGTCTGATTTCCCCATCTTCAGTCCCAGTCATGTGCCAGGTTGAACCGCCAAACTGCTTCCATAATTCAAGGATAACCTCGTCATGGTCCCCTTGTGGTCGAGTCAGGTCCCCGATAGTATCTTTGGAGAAGGAGGGGTGCGCACTGAGTTTCAGTAGATCACGGTAGCTCTCAAACGCAACACGGCGATCATATGGGTGTGACAGAAATCTAGGGTTGAACAATAGAGGCACCGTCGGGTCGGCAGACTGCAATGTCACTTCGTCACGGCTTTGCGGGTTCACCAAGAGGGCCATAAGGTATGCATAACTAAAGTCCTCAGTGATTCCTGGAATGAGCAGATGGAAAGGGAAATGTGAGACTAATTCGTAATGGGAAACCGTATTGCCATTGAGAAAATCCTGCTCAGTCCGTGGAAGCTGCTGGAACTCAGCAGAGTCCACGAGCGAAGCGGACTTCAACCAGCCACCCACGGCCTGGCAACCAAAAATGGACCACGGCCCGCTACCGTCGTTCCTCCAGGTCTCCAGAGCTTCCTGTGATGCAGTTGGCTCTCCATAGAATGAATGTCGGTCGTTGCTTTCTTTGGTTCGTCTAAATGCATGTGGAGCATTATAGTGATCCATCAGGTTTTGGCCAGTAGCAGGAAGGTCATAGATTGTTGGAATCCCATATCTGTCCAACTGTGACCTCTGCCCATCGACCAACAGATCGTTCGAGTCGTTATGTTTTCCAGCTTCTAACAAAAGAACACTAGGTTTCTCCAAGCAGGATGCGAGCCGTGAGGCAATAGTGCACCCCGCGGGGCCGCCTGTGAGCAGGCTAGAGTGAGCCTCGCAACATCTCAACCACTCCAGATAAGCTATGATGCTCCGTAGGAGTGTTTCAAATATAGCCCTCAACCCAGAAGGACTTCACTGGAGAATTGGAAGCTCGGCTCAAGTTCCAAAAAGCCGGCGTTGTAATGGTCTGCTCGGCAGCAGCGATAGTGGGAATAGTCCTGAGACATGCCGCAATGGTGAATTGAGTAAAACAACTGATATGCTCCCTTTAGGTATCGATTTGTTCTGGATTTGACGAGTCAAGGCCATGGGACACGATTTCCGGTACCCAGGGTTCCACGTCGCATAGAATTGTTTCTTCAGGATGGCATGCCTTGAAACTGGAGTCCATTGTGATTTGGCGTCTTGGTCGACGCATGGCACGTGCTGGGCGGAGTATTTGGCTCAGAGCAAATGCCGAAGCCAAGCCGGCCAGGACGGTCCACAGTGGGACTACCGCTGCCTATGCTTCGAGAATGAGAAACACGCGGAATTCCTTTCCTTCTCCATTGTGCAGTGATCGTCGGACGATCGACTCTGCATACCATAGAGCTATTGCTGGATTGTTAAGCTGTATCAGCGTTAAGCTCTGATATTCATCTGAGAGCAGCATCGCTCTCACAAGGAATTTATTAATAGCAGGCTCCCTATATACAATACCGCACCAGCTTTATGAGGACTATCAACAAAGAGTTATACCCAAGCGCTTATAATACACATATCAAGAAAATAAGAACGTTGGAAATAGAGGTCGGAGTGGTAAAGAGAACGCTCAGGTTCCCAGTACCATAAACGCAACCATACCACCCCATATCCCAACAAATGCAATGGTGACAATACTCGCGCCCGCTTTATCGCCGGTCGTGATCGGCTTTAATTGGCTCTTATCAGAGCTGCTGCCATCGTTGTTACCTGCGTCTGGGTTGCTGGTACTGTTTCCGCCTGTTGACGCGGTCAGGGGGCCGCTCCCTTTCTTTTCCGTGACCAAGACCGAGCTCAGCACGTCGGTGGCGCTAATCTGCTCTTCCATACCAACCCAGCCATCCCACTTCGACTCGTGCCAGCGCACCCCACAGGTGTTATTGCTCATTCCGCTGCACGATGCGGCAGCCCCTTGCGCGGACGCTTGCAACTTGGGGAGAATCTGGTCATAGGTTGATGGGACCAGCAAGGCAACAAAAGCAAGCCACCCACTGACAAGGCCCTTGAACAGGATTTCATTGTCATTGCAAACCTCGTTCGGCTCACAGAGCACCTCGGACATAATGTAATTAAAGTCTTTCGGGAAGAATGTGTTCAGCATCACCCCTAGCAGACCGTCAACAGCGGTCTTCCATGTCTCCTTTTCGGTCTGAGATGCGGCAATTAGTTTTTGAAACCAAGAAAGCAACCCCAAGATTGCCTCAAACAAAAGAACTGGGGCCGGAAGAGCACTTACCATGTTATACATGTACGCCGCACCAATCAAGTACGCACCATAATTGTACGACCATTGGTTGTTTCCCTGGGATTTACATCCGCCTTCTATATCGGTGGAGTCGGCAACATTCCATGTCTCATTGTTCAGCAGTGGCGAGGATGCACTCCAATCCCAAACCTTTTCGGCCCATTCCGTATATGTTTGGTTGTCGGTATACCGAGCGAGACGTGCTGCCAGTTGAAATAATAAACCGTTCGAAATCGAGTTCTTCATGGCATAGCCAGCTTGGTATGGGAAGATCTGCCAGCGCAGGCCACCACCACAATTACTGCTATCCCAGCGAGCAACTTGTGTGTTGAAAACGCCCTGCGCTAGGGACAGCCAGGAGTATCCGTCGTCGACATCGGGGAAGCCGATCTCGGCAGCTGTCATGGCGGCAATGCCCCAAAAGCCTTGGTCGTCGTTACCCTGGACTACCAGTCAGAAAGGCTCGATTGGGTAGAGTTGACCTTCCATACCAAGTAGCTACTATAATTGGCTGGCATGTAGTCTCCGTTGCCAGCCTGCCATTCCATACCCTGGCTAACTTCAGCATTGTATGTGGTATCGCCGGTATAATGCCAGTAATAAAGCAAGCTTAAGAACAAAGCACTGCCTTCCCACCACTTGTCCGGAAATGCTCCTGGAATCTGACCCGTCTCATTACCGGAGTACCATAACATCGAACCGTAAGCGGTCTGGCTGGCTGCACTTTTAATGGAGTCTGTGATAGGCAAAGGGGTAGCCGTTAGTATTCCGCACACAATCTTTTCATCCTCTTGCAGTGACGTACCCGCATCATTGATATCAATGCTCAGTGCTTCTACGACACGCCCAATCCCCGCGAGGAAAAGGATGGCCCCATGAAGCCCACCGCGGGGTACACGCATTTTCGAGTAACTTACAAATACGCAGCGCGATAATGAGCCGGCTGAACTAGAATCTGGGGTGATGCGAGGATGTCGTCGTCCGGTGGGCTCTAGGTGGGAAAGGTTTGGAAAACGGACCAGAGCACACAGTCGGCACCATCGGCACCATTTCTTTTATTAGCTACCACCAACCAGGTCCGTGTTGCTGCGAATACACCTCGCGGATTGGGACGCCCACCGCATACCCCCTAATAATCCAGCGGCATGATTAGTGGGATTGCGTGTCGGTCCAAACCGTAGAGAGTATGGTTCAAACCGTTCGGAGCAATCACCGGTGGTGAAGAGGACCAGGCACCTGCGAAAAGTCATCTCTCATACGTATGCAGTGGAGCCGACGGAGCCAATCTTCTCGCTTGTCCGGGTAGTGGCCAACCAAGCTTTTGCCCAGGAGACGCCGCGCGAAATCAAGACTTGGAAGCGGATCATTAAGACTAACTCTGTTCATCAGCCAGTTGAGAATATCCAGGTTCAAGAAATGGCTGGCCTACGGGCTCGTGACATGTCAACAGGGCTTTATTTGCATACAAGATATCGAGAAAACAATTTGGGCATTTTGATGTTCGATTTCACGTGACGGTGCCCCTGAGCCATCAAATTGCGCACTTGCGGGGCGCGCTTCCGCAAACTAGAGTTGAATAGCATGATTCTGCATACTCGTTGTATCGTAGATCAATCCCGGGGTATTATAGAGAAAAAGTAAGATGGCGGGACATGCCAATGTACCATAATCATTGAACAGTCGAGGGAGTAGAAAAGTGGTCTTTGAGACCAAAGAAACTGATTAGAGTAACCAAAGCACACGTGCACTTGGTGAGAGAAGGTGCAGAAAGATATTACAGGAGAGCAGATCGACCAAACGTGTCAATCGGTCCTGATGTCCACATTCAGTCTCAAGTCCGCGCATAACTCCGAGCGGAGATATTTACTCAAATCACTCTGTACATGGTTTTAGAATTTCGACTCTCAATGCTCTCTGTCTATCATGGAAGGAATCTGCCACAAAATAGCGTTCTACCCCTTTCACAATACTTGAACAATTATCCTTGCTCCTGATTTCAGGCGGTGACTATCTCTTAATATTCTAATCCCCGAATGGTAAAACCGCCCGATCATAGGGGTGATGGAGTTCGGATATATATTGACAAGGTCCTTGATAACCTTTTTGTGCCCATACTCTAGCACCCATCATAGAGGTGCTTGTCCTCTTTTGTCTAATCATTTCCCATGAGACATTAAGCTGTTCTGTCCCAATTAGTGATGAATCCTCCATCTGTATCAAGAGACTCCCAGGTTGACGACCTCAGAGAGGCTACGACTTCGACACTACCATCCTTAACCTTAGGTTCAACAAAGAACACCATACCGTCGAACAAAGTATCCATGAAAATTGGGCTGGCAAAGGTGGGTGCGACATCAAGTTCAGCGCCGGAATACAAAGGAAAGCGATGCCATCCAGTTGAAATAAACGAGGCTGGCGTGACCGGAAAGTCCAGCTGAATAAGTGATTTTTTGGGCTGGGCGGCGATCCAACTCCCAATCTTATGTACTTCATTCACGGAGACATGCCGAGTCAGGTTGCTGATTATCTTCGCAATCTCCCAAAAGGGTGAGTGTGCCAGCTTTGTGGACTCCAATTCCACAACAGGAGTCACAACTGTATTTCCGAATGAGCGCTCAGGTAAGCCGAGATGAGGTACGAAGTTTACGCTGGTACCAAAGGCGGAGCTTGAGAGGACATTGGTCTTCTCACCATCAGTGCTAGAGTTGAGATCAGCGGCTCGCGCGAGGCGAGCACGATGTGTATGCTGCCAGAGGTGTGCCGACAGTGCGGCCCACGCGGAGATTCGAGCGTCGCTGCCGCTACCTGGTTCGACTGCCCAACCTTTGAGGGTGGCTATTGCTGCAGGTGAGAATCGCAAAGTCCGTCCCACAATCAGATCCATCTCTGGACTTTGTTCGAACCGGGCTTCATTTTGGGCATGTATTTCAGCTCCCGTATCACTGTGACGCAAAGAGTATGCCGATGGCCCCTCAGCCAATGCCTTTCTTTGCTCATCATCAGACATATGCTGCATTTGAGTGATCATGAATGGTGTTAGACACGGCGGCGATGCTAACTCAAAGTGCCCTCCGATGTCTAAGTCGGTCGTCGCTCGATAGATGGCCGCCAAGTCCTGGTACAACTGGAGAAAGCCGCCAGCTCCCGTGACAACATGTGATAGCCTCATCCCAATGGCCACAGAGGCACAGGCGAACTCTGTACGCTGAATAGTAAAGACTGGATTCTGCTGTATCCCTTCACGAGACAAATCCCATGGCGCCAGCAGCGCGTTCCCTGACCTCGGAAAATCGAACACACTAAATCCTCTACCGGATGCCGGCGATGTCCTGGCGAAAGACTGTAGCGTTGCGTCGCAGTAAGCTTCAAGTAAATGTACACCACTACCTAGGCTGGCCATGGAACGAACTTCGGTAGTTGGGTCGATACGCATCCGGCCGGTCAAGTGGGGATAATAGTCTAAAACCCGGCTGATAGCATTGCGGAGTCTTTCTAGCGGAATCAGGCCGATTGCGGACGAGGATTCGTAGATCCAGACTACATTGATAGGTGTAGCGAAATGGCCAAGTTGATCAAATGGTCCCAGCATGAACGGATCTTGTAGAAGAATTGGGTGTTTACTGTGGACCACATGGGTCGCAGCAACTGTGACTTTGACAGTTGAGGCGGTCATTGTATGCAAGTCGCTTGCGAAGGACAGCTAGGCTGTGTCAAAGGAAAACCGTAGAAGGCCTTATTATGCACGAAATGAGGTGATGTAGCCACCCGATAACATGTTGTGTGTGGGTTCTCCTCAGCTTCTTTATACCGCGGGCTACTCGACTGCAGTGATCCAAAGCCGACCAGACGCAGATCTCGACGCCAAGCAGGTTCGATCCGGCTTGGCTATTTTCATCTTAATTCAGTCTGGGAGTCATATGACTCACTTCTGAGGGAGTACTATTACTATTACTACTAGTATTGCTAGTAGTTACCTTGGAAGACTCATACATAGTGAGGGGCTAGACCCACTCATAAAAAGATTCATTCCTCTTTGGGACCCCGACAAGAAAACATGCGCTCATGCTTGGATTTCCCCTGTCCGATGGAGAGGAGATGGTGAGCTAGGTTTCCGCTGACAGCCCGCCGAAGGTCGATCACTCCGACGATGCATTCATGGGGAGAGGCAATTTCAAGACACTTTTTCTCAATTTCGAGGCGACCTATATCTCCGCCAGGCGTGAGAGAATGTGATCGCGCAGAGTTCTTTATAGTCCATAATTGCCATCAGATGTCCTGGGTTCCCGATCACAGTGTTCTCGACTATGACAAGGTTCGTAATCCTATATCCATAGTTAATAGGTAGTGGTGGCCACAATGAGTCATCGAATCATGCGATCCTCAGCTAATAAGACTTACTACTAGTAGTCACTTGCAGTTGACTACAGCTCAGCTTTCTTCGTCCAGATTGGAAGCACGTTGATCTCCGGCGGGTAAACTCATGGCAGACCGAGTATTCCGATGCGCGATGCAGTATAGCAAGAAAGAAGTAACAGAGGGGTGGCGCATTTGGGATTGTACTCTGCCGACCGCAGGAGAATAACGATATGCACAAACATAGTCCGTTGGCCTATCGCGGAGAGGTAGGTCTCACAGACCGCACCACTCGGCAGGGGGCTTACTAACAATAGATACGCTGTCGATTAAGGATCTAATCTGATTAGCAAACCCGGGGTTAAGGACGCGGGGATTCCCGTTTCCCAAAATTCGATCGTACTACATTCGGGGGAGAGATTCCATGCTTAGCATGCGGTACAGAAATGAAGGTGTCGTGGAGTTTCTCAGACTATCTGCACATCTCGGCACCATTGAATCCCGAGCGTCGCTCGAGCAACTGAAAATATTATATGCATGTCTGTCGAGAAAAACGTCTTCTTACTCCTACTAAAACCGGAAGCATAGTCGCAAAAGCCGCAAACCAAGGGTCGGAGCGTCAAGTGTTTGTCATTGTTATGTTATTCCAAAACTAGTCAACAGCGACTTTATTTCGAGTCTCCCTGCGGAGCGTCGCATGAGTACTTCTTCATATCAATAAGCTCGATGATTCCCTGGTCTTCCAACTCTTTCAAGCCACCTTCGTGGTAAAACTGCAAACCATAGCCTGGTTGCCCAAAGAAAGGTGCGATTGGCCCACCCGTGACGTTAAAGGTTTCGATGACCCTCCAGACCCAGTAGTTATACTCCGGACTGTTGGGATATTTGTTCAAGTTGCTTGGCGGAATGGATCTCCAGGAGAATGGAGTGTCCCTTGGCGCTAAGTAGCCTCCATACTGAGTTCCGAACCGATCGAGCTCCATTCCTTCCTCAAGGGTGTATACTGTCGTAACGGGGACGCCAACCGAGTCCAACAATGCGCCGTCCTGCTCAGGATAAACGTACTGCTTGCCACCAGGTGCAAATTCTTGGAGGAAGTCCTTTGGACAGTACGACCCGAGAGGGCTATATCCCTTGAACATTTCAGACCACTCGGGGTCATCTGGCGCCGTAAAGACCTTGGGTCCTAGCAAATTGTTATTGCACAGGGAATCGCTGTTTCCTGTGCTAGGAACGCCTTCACAAGGATCTCCGCCGCATCTTCCCCCAAAAGAATCCTATTAAGGTTAGTGCGTCAGCCATCACAGCTATAAACACGCGTGATTTAGGAAGGGAGTACCTCGAGTGTTTGTGAAGAATTATCAAACGGCAATGAGAAAGCTCCAAGTGGGAGTAAAAGCAGTGCTAGCGGTGTATACATTTTGTTCAAACTTGCGTATGCACAGGGATTGCTCTTGAAATGCGACCACAGAAGTGAAAAAGAAAGGGCGTCCTCAGGTCTGGCAGTGGAAACCGGGCGCATTTATAGTCCATGGCCGGCTATGCGAGTTCGGCCAATATCTCGCCCCTTTGCACGGCGGGGGTGGATCTCGTGTGAGCTGTTCCATGCAAGGCAAGGAGTCGGATGGACGAGAACACACGGTTTTACTGTCTCCTCACGGGTTCTCTCCATGGCAACCTACCAGCTGAAGTCCATTTTGTGGGACTAGACGCGACTATGGGGTCACTGACCATATCGGCCCAAGCGGCCTTCTCCAATCAACATTTTCACATATTGAAAGCGGAGTCCAGTGCACGAACATGAGGAGCAGCTCAGGATCAGTAGTTCGGCAGCCAAGACTACTGATCAGGGATCGCCAAGAGGAAAGCTCCGGCCCAGCCGCCAAGTGAATCGTAAGACGTGTCGACACCGTCCGTTTTCTACCCACCGTGACAAATCAGCTTCGACAAGAAGCGCATCCTGTGGTAAGCAATGCACACACTCGTTGCATCCTCGCCTTGTTGCAGTCAACCCTCTCTCGGTTTCCCGCTGGAGATCGAGGAAACCGGACGATCAGCAGGGTCTTCCCGGAAAATCTCGAAGTGGATCCCTCAGCTCAATTTCGGGGTCTCCACAGTCCAGCTCCTCTGACTTTTTTTGCCCTTTCTGAGCTCGTTCACCTTCAGTTCCCGCCAGACAGTGGAGATGTCAATCCAATGGTTGTCGAGTCTTACTCACACCGCTTGGAACTCTGCAGATATTGTTGATAATCAATCTGCCGGTGCCCCCTTTCGACTGGTTCATGTTTCCATCATTCTTCAGCTGGTCTCCGGACCGCTCGGCCCGTGGCACTTTGTTTAACTTTGTCTCTTCCCTCCATCCATTTCCTGTTCTTGATCGCAAATAGGTCACAGCTGAACAATAACCTTTCCGAGAAGGACCAAGTCCTCCCACAGGAATTGCCAGGGTTGAATCCGACGGATTTTTGTCGTCGAGTACAGAGTATACTTAAAGACAATGCGATCACAGACGCTCACGAGCAAGAATTTGCCAAAGATTGCAACCCACATAACTAGAAAAGATCGACAATCCCCAAGTCCACGGATACCATACCGATAGATCTCGAATCCCCTCGTGTCCGTAAGGAATGCCTGTGAACGCCACATGAACACTCCGTATATACCCCACATTTTTTAGAAGTTTGACCATGCAGGTACAAACCATTTCGTACCCCCTTGACGGAGGATCGGTGGAGGCGGTCTCCGTGGATCGTCCCCCTTACCTAGCTGCGACATACGTATCAGGAAAACTATGCAATAGCAGCCCACCCACGGGACTCCACAATCGCCGAGAGAACTTTCTATCGCGAGACCGGAACGTATCTGCCATACTCATATACTCACTATCTACACGACAATCGTTATACTAGTCACTCTACCATTGCTATAAGATGACACTAGGCTATGGGACGAGACTAGTTGATAGTAGCCATCACCATGCAGCATGAATTGATTAGTGCTCTTGTCACTGCCGTGGAGGCAAATTCGAGGAACAGCGTATCCTCGAGGTGTGCTGCTCGCTCATTTATCAACCAAAAAGCCAACAGATGCGAGAAAAATAAAAGATGCTGCATAATTACAACAAATCCATATCTTTATGTTCACAGATGTTGTATACGAACAGCCCTTCATCTTGTTCTAGTACCAGCCACAAAGACAATGTCACTCATAAAACGGCTTCTGCTGGATCAACGCAGTGCCGACCTCCAAGTCATGACCGAAGATGATTGTCGCTGAGAATAGCCTCTGCAACCGCCGAATGAAATTCGTACTATCCATCCAGCTCTTATGATCACGCAGCAGCCACCCCTGCGCAATATTATTGTCGTAGTTCTCCCGCACATGGAACTGGTCCGTGGTCCAGATGAACGTTCCATCCTGCGGCAGGTTGACTTGCATGATACACAGACCCGGCGTATGGCCCGGGCAGAGATGCAGGGTTATCCCCGTGCACAGATCTAACTGGGAGTCGTTGAAGGTCTGCCAATTGAGAGACCCATCTAGAGGGAGATAGTTCGCACTGAGGCTTGTTAATAAACCGGCATGTAACAGAGCAACTATGCAGGAGGAGGGGGGGGGTGGAGGAACAACGTACAGGTAGGCACCCTCTTCTGCCTTCGTTCCTGCTCCCCAGCATGCATGCTTGAACTCTTCCTCGTGCACGTAAATCGGCACGTCGGTGTTGAGGAAATGTTCTAGGCCGCCGGCGTGGTCGAGATGTAAATGACCCATGACCACGGCTTTGACGTCTTTGATATCGTAGCCTGCAGCTTTGATGGCAGCCGGAAGACGATTGTTGGGCTCATACCGCGTGCGAGGGAAGATGTCTGCATTCACAGGATTCCATTTCTGTTTTAATTCTTAGCGGCTTTCCGACACCCATCGCGAATTGTGCATACAATCTCAATGTCCTCCGCACATCCGGTCTCGAACAGAATCAGCCCCATTTCCGGATGGTCAATGAGACCCGCTAGCACGATCAAGTCTCGCCATTTCCGGGCGGGTTGGGGATTGCTAGCAGTGGCCGAGCCCTCTGCCATGAAGAGCCTGACTCTACTGTTAGCCCCGGTGGAGTATGTAGGAAATTGTCTGCCCTCACCATCCCTCCTCGCAGCTGAGGGTCCCTAAATCCAGAAGGTGCATTTTCGTTCCCTCCGGACAGGTATACGCGGGGATGGCCGCTTTGGCCAATTGCCGAGAATTCATTGCAGAGATTCAGTCCTGCTATACCTGTGCTAACGCGTTGCTGAGGTTGGTGCGTATGTAGTGTGATACAACGTGTCTATTTAAGAGCTTCCTTAGTGCGGGGTACGTGTCGCTTGATTGCCACCATATTGCGTTCTTTGACGCCGAGTGGACTCGTACCTTTCTTTCCCCACTGTGATTATGCATGTATCCTTGTCATCTCCACTCAGGCACACAGGGCACCATGTCCTATAGGCTCATGCGCTCTACCTGTCGGAAAAAGAACCCAGATGATGTGGTCTTGTGAGGAACTCGCTGATAGCCCCGATTCCCTCTCCGTAAATTCACCAAGCTTTATATTGACAACCATTATGTGCGAGATCATGCACAGCTATTGGAGACCTAACGATTATATGCTAACGATGCCAATTCGGTTTAGGAGATGTATGCAATGTACGCTGGGATAAGAAAAGTAGAACGGTGTTGGTCCGTGCACAGACGGTATTGGGAGACAGGGCATACAGCCAGAACACTGAGACGGCCGCACCACCTATACATCAAAGCCCTCGACCAACTCAAAGCTTGGAGCCAAAGGTCGAGGCCAGCGGATCATATCCTGCAGATTTGAAGACAGCCTCGACCTGTCTTCTCCTGACACCGACATTGCCCCCATCGAATATGGGCAGGCACACAGCATCATTGAGCAGCACCCCATATTGGGATTTTGCCTGGTACGCTTGAATGCCAACCGCATTCATTCCCTCAATTACACACTGCACCGCATTCTCGGAGCAAAATATCTTAGCCAGGTGTGCAGTTTCAGCCGCCTCAGGAAATTTTCCCAAGGAAGAACAAGCTTTCCACGTCAAGGCTCTACCAGCTTCACAGCGCATTTTCACCTTGATCAGCAAGTCAGCCACGCTTTGCTTGTGGATGATAGGCTCTAAGCCATTCCTTGTGTCCGACTTAGCAAACCGAAGCGTCATCTCAAAGCAACGTCTCATTAATGCGACGCCCATTGCTCCAACTAAGCCCGCAGAAGCAGTGAACGCTGCTTCAATGACCTCGGCTCCCGCGCCGGGCATTGCGATGACCTCCTTGGCCATGAAGTTCCGGAATCGAATATGGGGGCCAGACACGGCGCGGTGGCCGATCGTGTCGGGGTGAGACAGCACGGCATACGCATCGGGTGAATTAGCCGCGACGTCTTTTCTCGTTACCAGGAGAATCATTGTTTGTCCTTTGGCATCTGTCGTAGCGTATGGAGCATCTTCACACCGACACGTAACGCACTGGATGTCAGCACCGCGATCGTCCCACCCTGTGCAATTGGTTGCCCATAACTATTTCATTGGCGTTAGAAAGCGCTTTCAAACAGATTCACCGCGTTACCTTCTCCCCGTTAATAACCCACCCATCCTCAGTCTTTCTAGCTGTCGTCTTCAACCCCGTCGTCCCGTAATTAGCCGTGCCGCCCGGCTCAGAATGCACCAAGCTTGCCAGCGGCACCCCCTTGCTGTCCACAAATGGACTTAGATACCTCTTCTTCTGCGCATCTGTCCCCCCAAGAAGCAACGGGGACAAACCAAGCCCGGTCGCGAGGATAGTCAACGCCACGCTGACGTCAGCAGTATACAGCTCCTCGGTTAAGAGTGCCATGTCAACGAGGCCGTATCCCAGGCCATTATATTCAGTCGGCACCTGAACTCGAAGCAGCGCCGCCTTGACGGCCTGTTCGTAGAGAGGTCTGATGGCAGAAAACCTCGCTTGTGGAGTCGGCAGATTCTCGTACAGGGTGTGGGCAGTTGCGAGGTGCTCTGTAGCGAAAGAGCGCGCATGTTCCCGGACTTTGGTCTGCGCGTCAGATAACTCGAAGTCGATCATCTTTCAGACCTGGTTTTGTGGGATATGAATGGGGTTGAATGCGGGATGAGTTGTGAGAAATCGCGAGTCGATTAAATGTGCGGAGGAGGAAATGGCATCGGCGCTTTTGTAGCTGCATGGACGGCCACTGGGACGGGGATGTACGAGTCGGAATCTGTTCCGTTAGCGCCTTGCTGTCTGTGGGGAATGTCAGCCCTCGCGTGCAGGAAATACTGCTAGAAGAGAAAAGGTAATACAGAAGAATAGCCCGATAATCTCTCAGTTGAGGAAGACGAATCGAGATAGTATAAGCTGATAGTACTTGTTTCTTTTATGCGTAGTACTAGTGGTCTCCATAACTGTCAGTCAGTGGGTTAAAAAACAGCCACGCCATATCTGACCGGGTCATTTCTCTTGTCTTCATCACGATCTAACAGCACTAACAGCGATGCTTCCTAATGAGCGATATCTATTCAACTTCGTTACGTATCTGCCACACTATTGCTACTACTGGACGAGAGACTCCGCCAATCATCAGGTTCATTGCACTAGTATAACAAGCATTTCATTAACAGGATGTCTTTGCGAGTGGGCTACTCAGCCAAAATGCAATCGGTCCAAAGCCTTTTGTGACTTGACTTTCAGGACCTATTTGCCCGCTTCAAAGATGATCTTCTGCGATTTCATCTGGTTGAAATCATCGTACCTAGAAGTAGTCAGTGAGCTGTCTGCCACCATGGGTCGGAGACCTACGCCTGAATCGCCTGCGACAACGGCCGAATATCGCCAACCATAAATCTATCAAAGCGTTAGCCATACCACCAAGCGAAGCGAAGCGAAGACCTTACTCCAGAGAGTCTTGCTTCCGAACCAGCAACTCCAGAGCATCCTCAAAGATACCTAATAACGAGAGTCAACACAAACCCTACATCCAAGGGGCAGATACATACTGCGAACCGGACACCGTCCCATCTGGATCTGCAGATTCTTGCCGTACGCCTCATTGCCAGTCCAAGGAATCTCCCCATTATGCACACCAATGCTCGAGATGCGACCCCACGGCCTCAAATTGTCAAAGGCCATCCGCAAAGCATCGCTATGCCCCACGACTTCAATCGCCACATCAGCCCCCCGACCCTCGGTCAGCTCCTTGACGCGCTGCTTCAGGCCCTCAGCATCAGTCTGGAAATTCCATGGCTCAGCCCCCAAGCTCTTCGCCAACGCCAACCGCGACGGAACACTATCTACCGCAATCAAATGCTTGGGCCGATAATCCAGCGCACTGATCAACGCACAAAGCCCCACGGGTCCACAGCCAAACAACAAGACCGTACTTTCTTCAATCGTCGCCTGATCCATCTCCTTGAACGCATTCCGGGCCGCGAAGAACCCCGTCGCAGGATATCTGCCATCACGACGAGTTTCTTCTCATCCACGGCCGCGGGAGCCGCGACGAGGGTTGAATCCGCGGACGGCACGCGCGCGTAATCAGCCTGCCCGCCGTCCAGCATGGCGGAGCCGTACAGCTTGCCGTTTGCGCAGCGCGAGGAGCATTTCCGGGCACAGTAGAAGCATTCGCCGCAGTTGACGGTGAACGGGGAGACGACGAGGTCGCCGACTTTGAAGCCGCGGACCGCGGAGCCAACTTCAACAATTTCGCCGGTGAATTCATGGCCCATGATGAAGCCCGTGCCAGACGGCTGGTGGCCGCGGAAGACGTGGAGTTCACTTTTTTTTGTTTTTATCTTATCTTAGAATTTGATTCATTTCACCGCGACAACCATGTGACTTACCTGCCGCATAGTGCCGTATAGCGCACTTTGACGATGACGTCGGTGGGTTCCTGGATTTGGGGGATGGGTCGCTGTTCTAGAGCGACCTTGAGAGGACCTTGGAAGACAACAGCCTGCATGGTGGACATTTCGTTGATTATGGTGTGTATTACTAGAGATGTGGTGTGCGGAGTTGGGAGTCCAGTGTACAGTGAAAGGAACTCCTTCTTACTCCTCTCGATCACCCCCACTTGAGGGGCACAACAACTGCCTCGGCTGTGACCCCTGCATGTTCAACGTTGTCACCACGGTGTGTTGGCAAGATTGACCCAGCTGTGAGCCCAGACGGAGGTTCCCTCTAATAGTTCGGAGAAGATGGTATAGGTGGGCTATTGTCTTTCTTCGTGTCTAGACTTGGATTCTCAATATACATACCTCCTGCATAGTAGTATGTACTTTAGCGCGGACTGCATCTCGCTTTCTCTTTAGTCGTATCCACGTATATGCGTCCTTTTTAGTTTTCTTTTCTGTTCTTTCAGAGCAATTAATATTTATTACTCTCTATACTTGATCCATGTACAATATCAAGGCAACAATGTGTAGTACCTTATGGCATTCAGTACACCTGATGATATAATCCCACTTAGGGCAACCAACCTGCAGAATATATCACCAACCAACCCACCACGGGTACAGATATACATAATAACTAGTACATAATTCCCGTGCACAACTCTCTCAATGGAAAACGAGGACAACACCACTACATAACAAGTCCACAGCTGAACTAAATTCACCACCGTGGAACTCTTCACTCAAACCTCAACCATCTTTTGTTCGGACCGGGGGTAGCTCTCCGATCAACCACATGTGATTGGCCAACGGCCCATCGCCTCGGCATTCAACAGCTCTCATGCGGGGACCTCGATCCGAACCATGGATCCCTATATAGTACTACTACTACTACTACATTCCTGACCCTTCCAAGGTATTATATCAAAACCACACATTCCACTTCTACCTGACCACGTCAAGCCCATAAAACCACACCAGATACACAAAAGCACACCAACTCAACCAGATAGAAGAAAAGCAACCCCCCAAAAAGAACAGGAAAGAAAGAATGTCCCCGACAAACTCCCCCAACCCCATCCCTTTCTCCGAACCGCCCTACCTCCGCAACCTCCCCAGCCCCTACTACACAGAAGGCCACCTGCGGTTCCAAAAAGCCTGCCGCGCATTCCTGTGGGAGCACCTCATCTCGCACGCCGCAGAATGGGAGAAGGACGGCCACGTCCCGGACCATGTCTTCGAGACCTTCTGCAAGCATAACATGTTGCTGCCGAATCTGCCGGCCCCGTTGCCGGTCGATTGGTTGAAGCGGTTGGGGATTCATGATATTCTGGGCGTCAGGGTCGAGGATTGGGATTATCTTTATACGGGCATTTACTGTGATGAGGTGTGTTCTCTCTCTTCTATTTATTTTGGCCTGTTCTTAGGGTGCGATTTGCTTGCAGGTGATGCGTGATGTCAGGTGGATAAACAGGCCACGACACCGCACCATTCCATGGAAGATCCAAGACTGATGAGGAAACAGATGGCCCGATCTGGCCTCGCTGGCCCCGGTACCAGTCTCAGTGCGGGCTTCGCGTTCGGGATCCCCCCCGTGCTCAAATACGCGAGTCGGGAGCTGCAAGAGCGCATGCTGCCTGACATGCTCACTGGCCGGAAACGCACCTGCATAGCCATTACGGAGCCCGAGGCGGGCAGCGACGTGGCTAACATTACGACCACGGCGACCAAGTCTGCCGATGGGAAGTTTTACATCATTAACGGGGCGAAGAAATGGTATGTTTACTTTCCCTGACTTTTGTATTCTTTGCCTGCTTTTTTTTGGCGTGTGATGTGTTTGTGGTGCTGTGTCAGGGTTTGTGGGATGGTAGTTTGGAACGTAGTGATTAACGGAGATAGGATCACGAACGGAATCTGGTCCGACTACACCACCATGGCCGTGCGCACCGGCGGACCGGGTGCCGCCGGCCTGTCGGTGATGGTCGTGCCATTGAAGGGCCACCCGGGCGTGACAATGCGCCGCATCCACGTCTCGGGCACCAAAACCGCCGGAACAACCTACATCGAGCTCGACGACGTCCAGGTGCCCGTCGGGAACCTCATCGGCCGCGAAGGCGACGGCATGCGAACCATCATGACCAACTTCAACCACGAGCGCCTGACCATCTCCGTGCAATGTACGCGACAGGCCCGCGTGGCGCTGTCCGCGGCGTTCGGGTACTGCATGAAGCGGGAGGCGTTTGGGAAGACGCTGATGGACCAGCCGGTGGTCCGGCATCGGTTGGCGAAGGCCGGGGCGGAGTTGGAGACGGTGTCGGCGTGGATTGAGCAGATTTTGTATCAGCTGTGCAAGCTGGAGAAGGTCGAGGCGGACCGGTTGCTCGGGGGTGTGACGGCGTTGGCCAAGGCCAAGGCGGCGATGGTGTTGAATGAGTGTGCACAGTGTGCGGTGTTGTTGTTTGGAGGCGCGGGCTTGACGCAGGGCGGGCAGGGTGAGATTGTTGAAGGTATGTTTCTTTTTTTTTTTCTTTCTCTGTGTGTGCAATGGCTGGGGTTGGTGACTGACGGTTATAGCTATCATGAGGGATGTCCCGGTGGCCAGAATTCCGGGTGGTTCGGAGGACGTTCTGCTGGATTTGTCCGTGAGGCAGCTGGTGAAGATTTACCAGACGCAGGAGAAGAAGTTGGGCCAGGCGAAGATTTAGGATGCTTGGATGACCTTGTATTAGCTATGTTGAGACTACTTGGTATAATTTTGGGTTATACATACAGATATCGCAGTTAGAAGCAAGGGGACAGTAGACATTCAAGTAGATTCGCTATGTTCATGTTACCTGTACCGCTAGTCAAGGTACACTACGAATTGTTTACGGCGCTTGAGAACAGACCGTGCTCACCATAGCGATTACCACGTATCGGAATAACAGATCAACGGTGATAATCGACGGGAGGGTGGTGAACGTAGGGCACGTCGTTGATCTGCACCATCATAAAGCACCATGCCGACAGGAGAGAGCGACACGTCGGGCCAAGCTGACAGAAACTAACGAGTCGAGTCGTCCTACTCTTGGCCGCGTCCACGTCGTGAATTCCGAATACCATGGGTGATACCACGATATGGGTGCGAGCCGAATGTGACAGTTGCTGCAACTAGCTGCAACTGGGATAGACAGGCGTGGCGAGACGACTATCGACCAAGATTCAGACGCTTCCAAGTGAGCGGGTTGTGTGTCTTCTCGACGGAGTGTTGCGCTACCGATGAAAACGTGCCGAGTCGCATCGCCGAGAGTCTGTAACCGATGATTGAGCGACGCGCGCACTGAATCCGCTTCATTCCCAATATCCCGCCCGCATTTGCCCAGCCGCCATGGCCCGTAGCCTGGAACGAATCCCTCTTGTAATACATAGTGCGGCCATCGGTAGCAGAGGTTGGTCGGGATGATTGCGACCGGTTGAGACAATGATGAAGATAGTTGCCAAGAGAGGATTTCGCACGAATCGCAAACTGACTAGAAAGGATCTGCGATTAGTCATGCCGGAGAAGGGGACCCAGTCGAAAGTCACATGATCAATATATTGGTAACATGGAAATGTATAGGTCAACAAGCTGCAGAGCATTAAGAAGGTAAACATCAAGCCATCACGTCGAAGCGATTCGCGTAAGAAAACAAATGAATGACAATTAAGAGCCCAATTCCATCGCTAACATCCACAACACAAGCACTCGACACACTCAATACAGCATTCGCAGGTCTCCTCACAGAGGAAGCAACAGCACATGGCCATCAAACTGTCGCCGTCAGCGTTTCTTTCTTTCGTCTTCGCCGATACCGGTGGATCATCCTTACCAGGCGGTCAGACAGCCACGGTCCTTCTTCTCCTCCTGGGGTGGGGGCTGCTGGTACTGCATCGGCTGGGGAGGAGGATATTGGCCGCCCGGGGGAGGGTAGCTAATGCGACGCGTTAGCGGCGATGTTGCTCAACCACTGCGAACCGGCGCAATGGGTATGCGAGAATCAGCAGAAGGAATTTACTTACTATCCCTGGGGAGGAGGCTGCTGACCGTAAGGCTGCTGGTACGACATGTTGTATCTGGGGAGGGAACGACGGTGGTATCACGGAGGGAGATGGAGGAAAGAAACGGAGGTCAAGCCAACGTAAATAAAAAGGGAAAAAAAAAAAAGAGAGTATGGGGAAATGGCAACGGGTCAGGAGGTTTTAAGGGTTAAGTAACAGTGGACTTATAAGGCTCGGGGGGGGGGGGGAAGCCAGACCAACAGGCAGAACTAATAGCGGTGATTTCAGCCCTGTTGGTAGACGCATCGGTTCTCTTGGCCCTGCAATTGACGCCTGGGGTCCACCTCCGCCAGCACGATTGGATCTGGCGATGGAATTTTCATTGACAACTAATTATTGGCAGCCCCCTTGTACGACGGAGTCTTGGCTCTGACCCTTTGTTCCTTCGTCGGTGCAGTCTCAATCTGTCGGGGAATGCTGGCGCCTAGCCGTTGGTCTTGCAATGTGGATCACGGACCATGGGCAACTCCCTGCTAACAGCACATCACTTTGATCGGTGAGGCCCTGTTGTGGCTGAGGCCGACAGTGACTTGACTCCGGTCAACAGTATCGACACAATACACTTGATATGGCTACTGACATCCAGGACAGACCATGAAGATTGCCAAGCGCGACTTATTGACCACTAGAACGTCCCAGGCAGCCCCTTAAGGCTGGGACTCCGCTGCCAAGCTCCAATCATTAAGAACAACGGCCCAAACTGATCTCCACTGCCCCTGAATCATGATTGGGTCAGAATGGTGTTGCCTAATGTGCAGTTTCATTCGCTTTTGGTCGTCCTTATGAATGCACCCGCTGCCGTCATGAACATAACTCTGCACTACGACTAGGTAACGGACGTCAATTGTCCAGAGGAGTGGTAGTGGTTGTTTCATGGGTGTGGCTGATGTCAACTGACTAGTATGTTTGAGGCCCAAGTGCACATGCCATCCCTTCCCTACTTATCCATGGCGCAGGACTTTCCTCTTCTGGTACGACAGCGCTAATGAACAGGATCCCACTACTCCATCCATCCTATCCACATCTATTAATATATCGGGTGGTGCAGGGGTCATACCTGGTGCGACTCCCCAAATCCTGTCGGGGCGTGAGACTGTCCGTGTCAGACATATAAACGAGGGAATTATTCTCCGCCAATGGTGCGTTGTCAGTACTAGTAGTACTATGCAGAGTATATATAGTAAGTGTAAAGACAGTAATGAATATCAGACTATCAATACCGACTCGGTAAGGCTGTCTTTTCGGTTCCAAGACCGAGTCCGTCACGTGCCTGTCAAGCCACCCAGGTTGGGGGGGCGCCAATCGGGTGGAGCCGATCCCCATTTCCGCCCACGGGGCAACGAGTCATCATGGATGTGACTGTATTGTATGATTGGTATTCGTGTTTCACATTGAACACGGTAGAAATCATGTGCAGGACAGGACATCTCCTCGAAAAAAGACTTGACCCGAGGTGACTGAGTGCAGGGCATCCCTGATGTCGGCCGGTATGTGTTCTCATGCTGATCATCCGCCAAACCAATCAGCTGCGCCAGACGCATGCCATGCTCCTCCCAATCTGAGAATGCGATCTACAGCGTACAGCGTCACCAATGTATCTTAAGGTTTATTGTCAATAACCCTGGCTTCGTAGGAGGATTTTGCGAAACCTAATACTCCGCGAGACAATGACGTTTCTTGCGACCTGTGCAGTGGGCCCCATATCACTCATCAATGCAGGGGGATGTAGCGGTAATCATGTAATACGCTGGCGGCAACAACCTGGCAACTGTCCATGATTCAGGATATTGTGACTCGTAAGGGATATACCTGGTTTTCTTTGTCAGGTCCTTGGTGACCACTGAGCACTCGACGGGGAATCGAATCCCGGACGCACAATGCGGGGAGATTCTTTATGAATTAAACCAGGCCCGTTGCCACGTGCAGATGATTCTGCTCACCCCCCCAGCACGGGCTCGAACCCGACAGCTAAAACTGGGCGCCAATGGGATCTATGTCCATACCAGACAAGCAATGGGGCTGCTACTGATTGACTGTCTTTGTGTCACGCCAAGCCAGGTCTCCACTGAGCCAAGGGATATATACACCGGTCATCGAGCGTCGTAGAACGTATTCGGACGGGGTTTCAAAGGATATTACTTGGCGGGGAGAATGCAGTTTCATAACATAAATACGTGTTGACTATGACACCTAGGTTGGACCAGCTGGGTAGTAACCGCAAGAAGCAGTTAGAGAATGACGGATGAGTGTTTGGCTAGGGAGCCTATCGATAGTAATAAACCTATATCAAGAAGGACCAAGGAAAGAAAAGACGAGAGGTAAATACGCGAGAAAGAGGATCAGCTGACAGGTCACGCTACGGCGGGGAAACAGGAAAAGCTTCAATAATGGGAACGACCGTGAATAGCAACAGTAAATCGGCGTTTGCGTGGATCATGCGAACTGAAAGAAAGCCATGGAAAGATGGTCCGCAACTCAATCCTCCTCGGCCCAATCCATGTCAATCTCAATGTCTTCAGGATCCACACTCCCTGGCATGCCTCGTGCGGCCATCTCCAGATCAAGAGCTTCAAAGATCCTGACGAGAAATATTTTCTCGCCAGGGAGTTCAATGCCCATCCTCGCCCCTTTAAACACCGCCTCTTCAAAGCAAGCCCTGGCCAGCTTGGCAATCTGTTCGTTGCCACAATGATAAAAGTGTTTGTAGCGTCGCCTCCAGAAGACCCATCGGGGAATACTGAAGCCACTGCAGGGGAACTCAGACCGGGGAGCGAGGTCTCCCGGTGCAGTTGAAGCTTGGACGTCATCACCCATAGATGGAGGTGGGTAGTCATGATTTGTTACTGTGAATGTGACCAGCTTGAAGCTGCCGTACTTCAACCACGCCAGACATGCGGGAAGGAGCTCAACAACGGGGACAGAAACCTTGGTCGCTCTCCCTCGGCCCGCGTTAAGGGTCTCTCCGTCTCAAACGTCTCCTTGAACAGCCACAGCGCGCAACGGCCCAGCTCGGACGGGAAAACTCCAACAGCACAGAGTCTAGCCGTGAGCGCCGCTACTCCCTCTCGCTGCGCTGCCGTATAACCCATGGACTCCTTCATCCAGGCATCCTGAAACTCCTGAACAAGATAGGGCAGATCACTCCACAGGCGCTGCCCATTGGGCAAGACTACCGGTTCTGGTTCCGCATCGGCAGGGGCGTCCTTTTTCTTGCGCTCGATGGGCCCGCACTGTTGAACGTCCAGAATCAGTGTCACAAGTCGGTCATGTTCGGCACTGCCCGCAGGGTGTCTTTTTGCTACGTGGATGAGCTCGTCCCACAAGTCGTGCAAGCCCTGTTCAACAAACGGCATGTCCCAATGACCTTCAAGGTATCCGTGACTGATGTTGAGTATTCTCCATCGGAAGTCTTGCCAGGTCTCCTGGGGATTGGCGGGGTCGTATTCGAATTCTTGACGCTTTTGTTCGCGGGTAAGAACTCGCACACTGCAGTTTCCACTGGGACAGTCGGCCATAATGATGAAACTGGATAGTAGTAGAGAAAAGCCAAGGGACGGTGTTGTCAGGCTGAGAGAGAAAGGTGGTGACAGTACGGAGTAGTGAGGCCAGTGATCCTGACTGGAAAACATAAAGAAAACCCCAAGTTGGATGCCTAATCTTGTACTACTTATGGTCCCCAATCATAGCCAGCCTAATGTAGAACATGTGAGGCATTGTTATGCTGAATGGAGTTTAGTAGGTATAAACGTGCCGTTTGTGCGAGGCAAAGACTTCTTTCATTAGCATGAGTGGGGAAGTTTTCGATCGATTTTCAGCCATAAAAGATAGACCTTCTGCGAGTAGTCTAGGGATGCGATGAAACAGACATTCACCTGTTATAGTGATGTCTTTTTTTCAATCATGGTGGGCTAGCTGGTGCGTCTAGATCACCACTTTCCATTCCCGAGTTCGTTCTATGATTATTTAGTGGAAGGACTCAGGCCCAGCCAGCCATCACAAGAGGTCACTCACGGAATTGCGCAAATTAGAAGAACAAAACACAGTTGAAAACGTTCCAGTTGAGATCCCCCGCCCAGTTAGTTAAACAATATCTCGGGAGGCTACATACACAAAGCTCATGCACCGGTCTCAATTACAATACTACCTTGACGATGGCAAAGTGCGACTGGAGGCCATGTTGTTGTACCGATAGTAGGGAGGAACGATCACAGACATGCCATACGTAAGGCCACTGTAGCATGAACCCTTCTTCCAAGATCTTCCTCCTGTTTTAATTAAAACCTCGAAGATCACATCTTTTGTTCTCTCTAGTAAAACCCCGAATCGCTCGAGTCTGCCCATCAAACACCTGTCATCATTAGACATGAAGCTCATCTCGAACATGCTCCTCTTCGCAGCCCTGGCTGGCCCTCTGCTTGCCACCGCCATCTCCGAACCCAACAAAATCGGGAACAGCGTCGAGGAAGAGCCAGAGCCCCTTGATGAAGCCGGTAGAAGGGTGAGAATAGCCATAACTAGTTCCCACTGTATCAACTAACAAGGATGTCCCACTTAGACATGTACGGGCACATGCAGTGTGAATGGGTGCCACTGCAGTTGGCCTGTTAAGCCGTGTACTTGTCCCCCTGAGGATATCGGAAAGTCATGTACCTGCCGTTGGTAGGACTTGTCATGACTGGCCCTCTCTCACGTTCGCAAGTGGAGAGTTGGGGGAGGAGGGTGATGTGTGCTTTGTTCCATCTTTTTCTTGCAGTGTTATTGATTTGTCTACAAGTTGCTATGTCTCAATGCAATCGTTTCCATCTTACTGGTAAACGTAAGGTGTACCGACCAAGATATGATTCTATATAGAGGGCTTGGCTTACATGCTATAATTAAGTATTGTAGCTGGTGGAGTATCCATCCATGCTGGCACTGATGACGTCTGCATAACCTGAGCAATATAAAATACGAATGAAATTATCTCCGAGAAGATGAATTGGTATGTAACTTTAGCTCCTGCATAACTTGGTTCGCTAAAGAGAACGCCTCTTCTGACTTTTATCAGTAAACACCGGAATGCCGTAAGAAACAAAAGGAAATTTTTTTTCAAAAAAAAAAAAGAGATCTCCCAAGTGATGACTGAGCAACCAATGCGCCCCATATTGCAACAACCCAGCATGTTTATTCTCCGCCCGAGCCTCTCGTGTCCCATCCACGTCACACTAGGAATCCTATGACCGGACCGGTGCAACTGGTAGTTGAGCCCCTGTAGCCTCTGCACGCCCTTGAAGTTCAATCTCATGGAGGGCTAAGCGGTCTTCTTCCTCCCAACCCTCACGTTCGTCCTTGACCAGTCTTACAAAGCAAACATCGAGAATCAGCGCCACCACACTGATGGCAACACCGAAGTACAGCGCTGCGCGATAGCCCATGATATGGTTGTTGAATCGCCGAGCGACTTCCACCTCAATAGTCGACGCAAACCCGAGTCCCAGACTGTTGCCGTACAGATTCAGTGTTCCAATAATAGAACCAGCGATACCCTGCTGGTGTCTACGGACGGAGTTACTTGCAATAATCTGTCCCGCCGTGTAAACGAAGTCTGGACAGAACGAAAACAGAACTACAGACGGAAATATCTGGGCCCAGTATGATTGCTGCAGCGGCACGGTGGCCGTCAGGACAGTGGAGACTAGAATAGTGACTGTGCCAATGGCCAGGATCCACTGTGCTGCGAGACGAGGAATCAGCCAGGCAGCAAGGGACGCTGCAGCAGTTGCACAGATGGCAAACGGGGTCCATCCGACAGCAAAGTGGAGTGGCGACCAATGCCACACTTCTTGTAGCCAGAGCACCTGGTACCAGATTAGTGTACCCACTGCCATGTAATTCAGGAGAATGACTAAAAGCAGGGTCAGGAAGGATGGTGCTTTGAAGATCTCAAGTGGCATGATGGGCTGCGCTGCGAATCTTTTTTCCCAGAGTAGGAAGCCGCCGAAGAGTATCAATGATACTGGGAGAAGGGCTATCTCATACGGGGTGGACCACCCAACACTGGGTGCCTGACTGTGAGAGTGAATCAGCTCGTTATCCGCATCGTGCCTTGCTCGGGGGCCGCCTACTTCCAAACGAAGTTAAAGAGAATCAGGGAACTGGTGCCTAAAGCGGAGCCGATCCAATCTATCTTTCCGTGGCGGTCGACTGGCGGTTCATATGGAGCTAGAATCCACAGAGCGACGGAGGTCACTGCGCCGAGACAAGCTCTATAATCTGTGAGCATCAATCCTATCCCATTTCCCCTTCTGCAACGTACATGAAGACGAAGAACCACTTCCAGTCCGTATTCTCTAGGAAGGCGCCCAAGAGGATCGCTCCACAGTAAGCTCCCAATGGTGCCGACGCTGCAAAGAAACCCAAACTCAAGTTTCGGACGCGTCCCGGCGGGTTTGTGGCTGATATCATTGCTACCGCGTTCGGCATAATGAGAGCACCTCCAACACCAGCAAGGGCACGCATCGTGACAAAGGCGAAGAAATTCTTGAGGAAGGCACCGACCAGGACACACAGACTCAGCCATGCTCCACCGATCAGGAGCAGTTTCCGGTGTCCAAACACATCTCCCAAGCGACCGCTCATCAAGACAAAGGTTCCTTGTGTGAGTCTATACGCGGTCAGCTCCTACGCCCTGGTTGATGAAGCAGGATGATGCTCACGCATAGCTAGCTCCGATCCAGGAAGCATAGGTGGCCCCGACACCCATTGCATTGGTCAATGTGCTGCCACCGGCTATTCCAGCGAAGTTGACTGTCATCTGGTCCCGTCAGCTCTAATCCATCTGCTAACCGGGTTGGTTCGAGGTCTACCTGCACGAGGTTTGCCAGAATGAGCAGCACGGTGACTGTTAGCCTTCGGGTTTGTGTGGTGCCATGTGAAGAGACACGTTCGAAGATTGGTTGGCCAGTTTCTGGTGGCGAGTCGCCGTTGAGTGAAGCTTGCTGGCTCTCAGTCCGTTGTCCAGACTCCCCAGGACAGGAATTGAGCGAGGAGGCGAGTCCGGGCGCAGAAGCCCGTTTTTCCGGCTGGATCTCTAGCTGGAGAGCTTGTATCAGCGACATGGCGACCTGTCAAAATCCCACTGAGGCAATGCTTTTGTAGCATAGGCTGAATGCAATGGCCAGGGGTTAATGAGGAGAGGAAACAGACGGAGGTTCAACGCAGTGGCTACACCACTTGCGTAAAATACCAGAAATCTCTTCAGATGGTGGAAAAACACGGAAATGGACTTCCGATCAACGCCCTCAGCGACTCGTCGTTCAATTCTATCTTTTCCCTTTTCCCCACAGGACGCACCTCACCGATTGGTTTTCCCGGATGATAGATATACTTATAGATCCGAGTTGAATCCGATTGATCCATTTATTCCGCTGTGATAGTGGGTGACTCCCCGCTGCCCTTGGCTTCTTATCAACGAACACATTGCTACTACTCATAACCCATCCCGAACATGCTGGTCGGTTCTTTACCACCAATTAAGCACTGCAGAATACCAATTTGGCTTCTAAGTGTTGAGTGTAGCACGCTTGGTCGGTGTGTTAAACATATTTCTCGATTGAACATCTTCCGCATATATGCAGGCCGAGGTCGACGGACGACTTGTCCAGCGGTACACCGCAAGATGTACAGCAACTCACTTTAAATACAGTTAAGAGCCAGGTTTGTGGCTGGTTTCTGGACCACAATCTCCATTCCCGGTCGAATGTCACCTCCTTTCTCGACAACACTCATGACACCAGCCATGTATCCGACCACCACACCGCGACTATCCTTCACCAAGAAGCGGTCCTTCAGCCCCTTCTTCATAGCGTCAAGCTGGGGACCGGGGTTGCGTAAACCAGTCAGTCTGAGAGTTGGTGCGTCCTGTCTGGCTGTCTTGCCGTCCACAAACAGCAATTTTGTGTCCTTGGGCAGTGAGAGCAGATCAATGCCCTGAGTAGTTATGTTCTCCCCCAGTTGTCCTGGCCTGAGGGCGATGTCCTTCACTCCGGTCGCAGGGTCTTTACACACTCGCTGAAGGATTTCCGCATGCATTAGGTGGACCTGGCGCAGGTTTACGTCAGACGGCCTGGCAGTTCGTAAGGGTCGGTGCTGGACAGTTGGTCCCGCATGGGCGTCGCCTTTGACACCATGGTTCGGAATGAGCGTTATACTGGGTACAGTAGTCTTCGAGACAGAGTGAGAGCCTGAGAGGGAAACGCTGCTGACAGACATGATGTCGATGTCGTTGAAATCTGCGGAAACGTCGCCCCGGTGAACAGGTAAGATTTTGGCACAGTAGGTCTATCCCAATTCATCCCCTTTCTGTTTTCAACAACATGACAATTATTTATCTCCCCATGTGGCCCGCTTTCCAACATGGTGTGCAGGTGATGGATGGCTGCATCTACCCCGCGGGAGATGAGGTTTGGATTCGTCAATCGCACCGTGCTACTGCAACCCCATAGACGTGGTCGTCGTTTATTTGCTCGAGAAACCCCCATACGATGTCAGGCGATGTTCTGAGTTCATTGATCATGCTACTATCGTCCTACGTACTCCGTATGGCCTGCCAATATAACTTGAAATTCAACTCCATCCGATTGCGGCCATATGCGGTGTACACCCGGAGCATATGCAGCTGCACCGGCCTAAAACAGAAAGATTGTCTGTGGCCCTAATTATACATCGCCTCGTGAACCGAGGCAAATGACATTTTGAATAATCTGTACATATTAGGCCCGCTCCGAAAATGGGCATCTAAGTCTATTGATGACAAGCGAGAAAGAATCAGCGCCGAGACACGCAGCACAGAATTCCCGATCGCGCGAGGAAGTACAACGACCCAATAAACCGGAACGTCGACAAGCCCGCCGTAATCCACAAGATAGCCTGGAAGTATCCGGTCGTCCTGGTGGTCGAGGTATTCGTCAAGCAGATCTTATCCACGCCCGTGGCGGTAATCAACAACGCCAGGAGCAAGTTACTAAAGACCCAGAAACACACCAATCCGGTTCGGAAATTCTTATACGAGTCGTCTAAGGTTTTGCCTTCGTCCTCTTCGGGTTCGATCCATGGCGTTAAGGCGCGTTTCACCGTAGCCTCAAACTGGCTGTCAATATCGGCTTGTGGTTTGTCAACCTCTTCGATAAAGTTCTTCTTGCCGTCCTCGTCTTTCTGAGTCGTTGCTGACGGTAAGGCGTCTGCTTTGTCAGATCCCTTTGTGCCCCAGGAGACGTCGTGCCAATTGCAGAACGCGTAGACCATGAGCACATTGATGCCCGTGGTCATGCCGAGGAAGTATGCCCAGGAACTGGTTAGGATGTGCCAGGGGTCAAGGTAGAGGATACTCGCAATAATATAGAACCCGTATGTGGTGACCAGCGCAATGAGCACGATTCCACCGCCAGATGAGCTGAAGAAGGACTGTATGAAGGCGCCGACACCATCATCAAAGTTGAAGTCTAGCATACCGCCGGTGAAGACGTTGACAACTAGGTAGAAGGAGAGGACGAGAACATAGAGCTGCACGAGAGAGAAGTAGAGGAAGGAGATGGTGTAGAGGGTGACAACTCTAGTACTTTTGGTCAGCTGCTGACAGTCGTGATGGACAAAAAAAAAAAGGAGCACTCACCCCTTTGGTCGATTACCAAGGGCTAGCATGAACTGGAGCATCAGCAACCAGAGGTAGCCGTATTTAAGAAAGGTATTGACGATCGGCGATGCATCATTGCCCCAGGGCCAGCCTTTTTCCTTGTTGTTGGTGCTCGGTGTGCCGACTAGGTCCATGATGACCGAGCTTGTCAGCCAGTATGACGCTGCCCGAAATGTCAGTATGCAAGAATCAAACCGGAGGGATTGGAAACGCACAGAGAGAAAACCAGGTCATGATAAGCTGGCAGATGTTATAAAGCATTTGGAGATGCAAGAAAAACAATCGAATGAGATTATGGCTGCTGCGGTAAATACGCCCAAAATGTATCATCGCGTAGAGGCCCGCCGCAAACGAGCCATTCAGCCAGCGACGACGCTGGCTGATAAACTCGGCCGCATTCTCAGGGACATCAGTCTCGCCCTTGGCTGCCTTCACGTAGCTTAAATGCCACTTGAACCCGGCCTTGGCCACGAGTTCAAAGCACAAGATGCGATCTTCCGCCAAAAACATATTCTTTTTAAAGATATTCATACCTTCAATTCCCTTCTTCCCAAGGCGTTTGGATAACGTGTGGTCGCCATGAAAATATTGCTCTAATGGACGGCCCATAATAGCCCGGTATCGGTACGCAGAGAAAGCGCCCGGCAGCACACTGACATAGCCAAACGCACTTTCCAATGGCTTATCCAGAATATTCGAGATTTTATATTCAAAATTCTGGGCAGCAACAAGGGGGTTTAAAAGCTTTCGCCAGCCCGAGCCAAGCATGGCATGGATCTCACCGCACGCTCCACCCAGTGTTTTGTCATTATAGAAGGCCTCCCACAGCGAGAGCAAGGACTTCGAGCCAGGCTTCGTGCCTGCGTCCAGGAGCACAACCACTTCGGGATTGAGTATGCGGCTGAAAGCGTTGAGAAGCCAGCGATGCGAGTTGATCTTTTTACTGTTCTTCTGTTTTAAGCAGAATATAAACTGCACCGGTGGGAGGTTGCTTGATTCGTCACCCTGAGGTCGCACGAGTTGCTGAGTAGCAGTGACTGATAACTGGGTCGTGTATTCGAACTACTGTTGTCAGTTGCCTAGCTCTAACAGTTCATTGCTGCCCTGATCCACTGGGTTATCCTCAACTCACCACATGCGCGACGGTTTCTCGGCCATCTACATCTTTCTTCATGATACCGTCCTGGTAGACCCCGATTGTGGCCAGCAGGTCCAGCGTATTCTTATCGCAGGGCTCAATCCCATCGAAGACCAAACAGACAACAATCTTCTGCCACGCCGGGCCTCCTTTATTCCAAAACTCGGACTTTTTCAACTTAACAATATCCCGAATATTCTGCATAACTCCGTGCAGAGTACGCGCAGTCAGGACCTTATCCTCATTATAATAAGTAACCGCAATCAGCAACTCGGTATGCCGATTGTAGATAGCCGGCCGAAGATTGTATCCGTTGCGCAGGGTAAACTCATCGGGGTCACACGTCGCCGCCGTATCTAATCAAGATCATCAATCAGCTTCACCACAAGTTCCGCGGCCAAGTTACCCACATCGCAAGTGTGTGAATTCCTCCGAGAAAGCCTCCTCGGCATCTCGATACTGCGGCTGGATCGCGTTCTGAATCGCGCTCGGAACCGGATAATCGATACTCAGCACAGCTCCCTTCACCAGGTTGATCTTCCTCGTTCCGTACCGCTGCAGCCCGGTGCGAGTCTTCCTTTCACGCAACTCAGTCGGTTCGTATTCCGGGACGCCGCCGATTGATGGACCGGGATCATGCAGCGTATATCGCCTCTGCAAGTCCGATTCGGCGACGGGATCGGCGAACGGCGAGCTGTACTGGCTGGGGCTGTTCCGGTGGAGGAGTGATGTCTGTTGTTCGTCCCATGCTTCTGGGTAGAAGGAGTGTTCCTGGGGTTGTTAGATTCTGGTGAAGATGGTTCCGGCGATACTCACCTCCTGGTAGGGGGCCCCGTGGCCGCTCTCACTGCCGTCTGATGTGTGGGCTGAAGTGCTGGGGCGCCTGTTATTCATCTTGATGTCTGGGGAGGGAGCGCTCGGGTAGCCCGAATCCAGTTTCAAAGGTAAGGACAGGCTTCGCTATCAGCGAAGGACGAGAAAAGTAAACCAAACCCGACGGGAGATGATGGAAGAAACCCCTGATGTGCAACGGTAGCCTAGACCTATTTTCAGGCTGTGGTTCTACTCGATACTTAGCATGTGGACCTGATAAAATACACAAAGTCTAAAAATAATATCATGTAGAATAACTGTGGTTTCTAGAAGCTCAGTCGGTTAGTGCTAGAGCCGCAGCGGTAGGACCAGCACCTCCTTGCAACCGCTTCTGAAGTAGTTGAAGATAGCTATATGTGGCTATATGACAATTGAGACTACTCATCTACGCTAAATCTAGGAAGTTGCATCTTACAACGCTGTATCCATTAAAAGAGGCGTAACGGGAGCCGGCATCTATCTCGAGATACTATTAGTATGCAATTTATAACAGCAACGCTAGCCTCTTGCGCCATGCATTGGATCTAGTGAGGAATTCTAGCCGCATATGAAGCTGGTGACGAATTCCTTGACCATAATTTGTAGCCATGGAGGAATAAGTGGGCTGGTCTACGGGAGCCAAGTGGGTCCAGAGAATGCCACGAACAGTCAATGGCAAAGTCTTTTTCCCAGAAGATTCTGAAACAGTGGAGACTTCCGATCGCTGGTCGCTTATCCTCGGCGTTAGATCGGCGACGATGTGTGAGAGGGAGACCGTATTTGTTGAAGGGCGTTGGAGGTCAAGGCGGATGGAACAGTGCGGTTGGAATTATGGTATTGGCTGCTATATCACTTCAGGTCAATGCTGACGACCAACTTTGGCATTTTGGTTTCCTGAATTGATAGAGGAAATAAAAAAATAAAAAAAAAAAAAAAACAGAAAATAGAACAGAGCTATGTATCCGTGAGCCGTTTCAAATTTGATCTGGGGTTCTTGGATAGCAATAGTCACTTCACTAATGATATGCCGCGTATAAGGCAGTTTCTCGTTGCAACTTTAGTCGTTCTACGGTTCAGAATGCTTTCGGCAGGCTGTCTCCAAGGGGTATCATGCGAAATATTGAGAGAAATGCTTTGCAAGTATTTGTGAATCGGTTAGCGCCTGCGGCGAGAATTCAAGCCACCGCCATAGTCCCGAGGTGGCTTGAGGGAGGGCTTGGTACTAAAATGGGCCACCTTCTGATTTAAGAAGTACTTTATCTCGAGTGCGTGTTTCTGTCCGCTCCACATTCTTCCATTTCGTCTCCACAAAACTCATCCAGCTCCTCTATCTCGTCAGACAAAGGCTCGAGGGGGTCGTCTCCAGACACGAATGGTCCAATATATATATGATCGGATATATAGCTCTTCCTCACGGCAAAACAAAACCAAAAGAGTCCATTCGCCAATGCAGGTAGCTGTTGTGAGAGTGCTTGGAGCCAGGCAGCAAAGTGCTCCTGGATTTCATTTTAATCAGTATGGCTCCAGTCCATGTTTGTGAACGATGGGTTGGTGATTTCAATAGTAAGGAGAGAAAGTACAACTGGAGACGGTACATAAAATATGCACAACTATCCTGAAGTAAATCCAGCCTTCGAATACAAAAATACTTTATCTACGACGATTTAGCCATCCTGCATAAAGACTATGCTTGGTTTAGATACCATCGAGTAGACTGTGTGCTAGTTCATTTAGGGTTAGTTATATACCACACGGGCAGCGTCTAGCACCGATAGTCCTCTCCGTACCTTGCCTGAACCTTGATCAGGAAACCGCATAACTGCTGTATGCATATTTGCAGTTCATTGCAACATAGATTAATCGCAATAAGGTGACATGAGCCTAGGTCGACTTCCGCAGAAAATACGTCGAGCTTTCCCTCATTGTGGGGAGATTTATCCGTGGTGGGGATTTGGTTCGCCACAGCACCCTGCACTGCCCCCGGCACTAAATCCCAAAAAAAAAAGATACACCTTCCAGATTCGGGATCCTCGGGATGAGTATATGGTTGCCTATCTTGAGACAGTAACATGAGCCCGGGCTTAGATGGTGGAGTGGGTTTTATCAAGGCAGCTGGTAGGCCGAGCACTCGCTTACCCACGGCTGAGCATGATAGGTATGCAGCTACGAAGGGCGAGGCGTAATATTGAAATAGTCTAGACCTTGAACCATCGCATCGGTATAGCACCAATACATATCCCCAATTCACAAATTGGAAGTTGTGACTGTTGGCTACTGCAGCCCGCCCGCTCAGACTAAACACGAGCCCGCAACAAAGATTACCCCAGGCATCTAAGCGAAGTGGACAGAGGCCTACGAAGAATCGTGCCATGACATGCAGCCTGCCTCATACCTGCTTAATATAGGGTGTATGTGTACTGAAGTCACTCCCTGTACTCCGTGCCTTGTTGTGAGCCCAACACTATTCATAGTTTTCCAGTTTTGGACATGAATATCACCTTCGTGCGAGTATATAAATAGCAAATCAAGAGCATGTCCTGGGTCCTCAATGAGCATTACTAGAAGACCATTTCTCCCAGTGGGCCATCCGCGATTGTCTAGTCAATCAAACACAACACTACATCTCACTTGATAATAATTCCATTCAAAATGCCCGCCATGAAAACCACCGCCGCCGCCGCCACAGCAACATCATCGTGCCACGCAAAGCTCTACGAAATCCCAACCACCGATGCTGCATGCGCCATGCCCATGAACAGCACTTACCACACCCTAATGACGAACTGCTGTGGCTCTGCCAGCGTTATCTCCTACTCGGACTGCGACTATTACTGTCTCGCGCAGAGCCAGACCGTTGGCGACCTTGCGGAGTGTCTGATCAAGGGCTCTGCAGCGGGGCAGGTGTGGTGTAATACCAATGCGAATGCAACGGCTACGGGAACTGCGACTGCAACTGCAAGCGCAACGGAGGATGAAACCCCGGTCCCAACTGGATTGAACGGCGCGGTGGCTACGCAGTTGGATATCAAGTATGTGTTGCTTCTGGTGCTTGTCGCGTTTGGCGGAATTGTGCAGCCTTTTGTTTGAGGTTTGTTTGGGCGGAGGTCACAGGCGATGGCCTGGTATATGGTCATCGGCTGCACCCTCTATCATGGGATACTCTAGGAGGACAGTCAGAAAAGCGATTGAAGTTGATAAAAGCTTGCAGTTCATGCATATAATATGGTGAGGAGCATACAGCGTCCTTCCCTCTTGTTGTTTCCAGGTGAAAGGAATACTGCCTAAATCTGTTATAGGGCGTTACATTGTATCTTTATATACCAGACTTGTCCTTTAGGTTTGCTTTGTTAACTGAGTTGTACATATACAAGCATTTGGTCTATTATAGCTTTAGGGCTCGGTGTGTGCAATAACTTCATTGAGTAATGATAATATATACAATATTCAAACGCCAGCAGACTCGTGTTGGACGTACGTTAAGATTGTTGAAAAGAAGACGTAAAATAAGCAGCTATAAGATTTCCGGTCGCTCAACAGAGAATGCCTCCAAGATTCTCTTCAGGAATCCCATATAAATCTAGTGTCGCTAGATTGTATTTCCTTTCCAGGCGGGGCATTCATCATTGGGTTTGGGATTGACGTACTCCTGGCGGCAAGGCGCAAGCATTCTTAGATCTGAATCCCTCTGCTAGGGAACAGGCCATCTAAGCCTTGCAATATGTGCTCCCAGAAACCACATTTAGCAACCACAAGTTTGATTTTGCCTCCTGGGATAACCAATTGACTGCCGTCCAAGAGGCGTACGCAGCGCGAGGCCGGGTTGATAGAGGAATCGCAAATGCTGGAGTAACATAGAAGGGCAAGCTAACTCCCACAGAAGAAGAAATCCCGAACTCACAGCGTCTCCCACCTTATTTGACAACACTAAATGCTAAGCCTATCGGTCTTCTCAATAGTAAGTTGTTAGGGCCTCTGTGTGGGGACTACCGAAGAACTAGACAACTCTGACCTGTGTTCTACGCTGCCAAGCTCGCGTTCTACTATCTATCTTTGAGTGGACCGAAGAAAGTCAACGGCGCATAGGCATTAAACGGAAGTCCTATCTGCTCCGTTTCCGACGCTAGGATTACTTCTTCCCTGTACTACGATCATATGCGGCCACGAACGACGCCGCCGTGGGGCTACTTCGTGGGAACGACGCGTGGGCATTGCGCGGATTTGGCTCCTTGATATCCCCACCCCATATTCGTAAGAGATCACTTGCCACTGCAGGACTATGCGACAAATCATTTATCTAGCTGTGATATACCCAAGGGACATTCTCGGCAGGGTTTATTGCTTCTCAACTAGGGCGAAGACAATCCCTAGCATGCAAGAGGATGCTCGAAAAACCAGATGCGCCAAGACAGGTGCGGATGTTCAAATGTGGTGAAGTATACGATTACGAGGCAGACTTGTCTTCATGTTTTGTCAAGGATAAATCTTTGCATTATAATAAGAGACGACTATATTCTGATGGATGTGTCACATTCTAACACACAGACCTATGCTGCAGAACTCTGAGGAAGGCCACCGTCAACCAGTCTGGGGTCTCCATCCGAAGTACCCTCCACTTCCACTGCTCCTTCCGCCGTGTAAACGTTGGTGTAGTATGGATAGTGCACGGCCGTGAGGTTGACAGCCACGGTGATCCAGGCAAAGAGTCCATCTTCGATGTTGTCTCCAAGGAATGCATAGTTAAGTATGGGGTCAGAGTCACTGTTCTCCGTCTCCTGGCCGACGACCCGATCCACTGAGTTAAGTGTGATGGGAATGTCGTTGGTATTGTATGGATAGGTTGATTCCACTTGGTCAATGAGGTCCTGGTCCAAGAATATTTGAGCCACGTGCCCTACTGTCCCACCAGCAATGGTGTTGTTTGGCAGACGTCTCGCACCAAAGTGAGCGATATTATGGTAATGCGTGGTTCGTCCATCATAATGGCCCGGGAAGAGAGTATCAAAGGTGACAACACCGTCTATGTCGGTTTCCTGGATTCCGCGAAGAAAAGTTCGGTTTCGATTGCTCAGGTCATTGGAGTTGCCATTACCGTCTGCCACCAGGCCGGAGTAAACTCCAGTGGCATTGCAGCCCCAGAGCTCAGCATAGAGGCGCGGAATAGGCTTGCACGTTTCGACATCAATATACTGCTGCTCGAGAATAACCGGGACTCCGGGCTGCCCCTCCCGGATCGCGGACCGGACTCGCTCGCCGGGGATCCAGTATGGACCGGTTTCTCCTTCTGCAGTTGGGCCCAGAATACATGCCTTCTGAGTCGTGTCCTTGAATATTTCAATAGCAGGCATGGACGGAGACACAGGACGCGTTGCCTGATGCGATTTGTTCAGCACGGCATCGGTGTCGCGGGTTATCAACTGTCGGCGGTGCAACTGGACTGTTGCCTTACGGCGTGCTTCAGAACGAGCTTGAACACCGCTGGCCTCTATCTGACTTGCACACTTTGCCAGTCCATGCCCGACGTCCCTCTTGTATGCCCTCACAGGTGCTGGGTCGCGCTCCTCATGATGCCCGGGGTGGGCAAGGGCCAGGATGGCGCTTCCAAAGATGGCAAGGTGAATGGCGTTCTTGAGCTGCATGGTAGAAAGATGGAGATTGGTGAAAGTCAACTAAGAAAGTGACTTTCTTTGACTTTCCGGCGTTTGTTGCTCTTCAACGAAGGACATAACGGGGGTCTATATATACCTTTCCCTCAACACCTAGACAAGTCCAATTCCTACCTCACGAGCATTGGATAAGTGTTTACTCACTCGCGGTTCTCATGGCCTTTCTCATCTTGTCACCGTTGATCATTACTCTAAGGTTCTCTGTCTCATTCATCGGGGAAAGCAAAATGCCGGTTGTGCATGCAACGACGTCGGCATCAGAGGTACCTTGGTGGCTTAGCCAGGAACGAATAGTCGCAAAGTCGGACGAAGATACCAAGTCGAGAAAGGATGTGCCTTCGGCATCCCTTCCACAAACTCTCCACAGTTGACTGTGGGAGGATACATATCTACTCTCAAACGCAGCAAATCGGGAGCCAAGGATGGCGCACGAAAGTGGATTCACGCTGATCGGGATGCTTGGCGCCAAGGTACGGCGGTGGGAGCATCGCAGGAACTAGGAAGGCTGCAATCAAATAGCGCCGATAGTAATCAAAACATGCGTCGGAGATATGCGGCCGGGTGGTTCTCCGTCGGCCCGCAGTCCTAGAGGCCTATATTGGGCCCATTCGGCACTTTTTCGTAAACCTCTGGGAGACAAGAGAGTAAATAGGACAATATAAGCAAAATCGCAGACCAGGTTGACATAGAGAATAGTATGCCGGATAAATATTAAAGTCTAGTTGTCTCCAGGATTATACCCGGTTGACACTCTCGCTCAATTCAATCACTCGCCATGCCACCAAAAGCGCATATAGCTTGAAATAGTTTAGTTGAGGATGAAGTGTCTTGCTTGTGGTTTCCTAAATAAAGTCAATTCAGGAGGCAGTACGTATGTTTAATCAAATACTTTTAAAGTATAGTGTAGTAGAGGCTGAAGACCCTTTAAGCATTCCCCGAGGAGCAAACAAGCACAACGAGTGAGGGTGAACAGGCAGTTTGGTCCGATAGATTCACGGTAAGTGGACCTTGTACTCAATGCTTTGAACGGACCGCGACAGGCCGTCACACTCCGTCTATCAAATATGATATGACATTGACGGGGAGACAAACTCCGCGAACAGTAACGTAACTCCAACCCCAGTTTTCCCAAATCTACACCATGGAAGGATGCCCTGCGCATCCCGCGGAGGGGTTTAGTGCACAGCCGGACATCATACTGGCCATTTCTATCAAAGGGAGTCTGTAAGAGCCTATCCAGAGTTAAGCTCCTGTATATGTTTACAACTAAAAAAAACACCACCATGCCACCGGCTACTGTTATGGAAGACCCCATTAACCACTCGCAGGCCAGCTCAAAAACCGAGAGGCTAGGAGCTCCTCCATGTGTCCAGCCGAATTTGACCTCATCGTGGAGGCAAGACGTGCACTTTCTGAGTGACAAAGATGGCAAAGTCGAGCTCCGCTGCCCTCCAAAATTCAATAACATCAGCGACACCCGCACACACCTAAAGCAACACCTTGCTGCTGCATTCAGGGTCTTCGCCAGACAGAGCTTTGACGAGGGTGTTGCAGGTCACATTTCTGTACGCGATCCGGGCAACCCATCCCTCTTCTGGATCAACCCCCTGTCAACGCACTTCTCCCAGATCCGCGTCCGTGATCTTGTCCTCGTCGGCGAGGCCGGCGAGGTCCTCTCAGACGGCGCGCAGAGCCCCATCAATGGTCCAGCATTCGCCATCCACAGCGCCATCCACCGCGCCCGACCGGACCTCAACGCCGCGTGCCACGCACACAGTGTGTATGGCAAGGCCTTCAGCTGCTTTGGCCGGCCGATCGAGATGCTGTACCAAGACGCGCTTCGCTTCTAGAATGACCTCGTTATATATCAGCGCTACGGCGGCCCAGTGCTCACGGCCGAGGAGGGCGACAGGATCGCGGCAGCACTGGGGCCGACCTGCCGTAGTGTGATTCTACAAAAACCATGGTATGATTACATGTGGGCGGACGGTTGACGAGGCGGCATTCTTGTTCATTGCGTTGGATCGGTGCTGCCACGCGCAGCTGCTTGCTAATGCGGCAGTGTGCCCTGGATTCGAGAAAAAGTATATCCCTGACGTGCAGGCGGAGTTGGGGCATAGGAGGAGTGGCAATTCAAATAAGATGTGGCTAGCCTTTCAGCCGTATTATGACCAAGTGGTGAAGGAAGAGCCGGATTTGTTGCTGTAATGTGAGTTCCTCATGCGAATTCATCATAGATATATTTGTACATGTATTTATTCTGCACCAAACAGCCCAGTCCATTGCTAACAGTTAAGTGATAGTGTACAGGCTCGCCAGTTTGATCTTCACCCACATGTTAAACAACTGTGTCATTCATATCAAATGCCGGAAGGGACATATTCTCATTCATGAAGCCGAACAATAAGTCTTGGCCATGAATGAAAGTATCCTGGAAGGGTTGCATCTGTTCAATATCATAGTACGTTGGGGAGTCATTGGGGAACTGCCAATCATTATCGGTGTTTCGGTGAGACACAGAAGACTGGACCTCTGGGCGCGCTAAAGTAAAGAGCATACCGTCAGTTGGGATTTGATTTACAGCAATGAATAAATAGTAAAGGCACTGACTGGGTGACTCCTGTACGCCCTTGGCGGCCATTAGCTTGCGAATAATACGGGCCGTATCGGCAACCCCAGAGTTCGGGACTGCCAACGCATCTAGGCACTTTAGACTTGCGCTAAGTAGGAAGGACGATTCCGCGTGTGCATTGCTGTCACTCTCACCCGAAAGCGAGGCAGTATTGAGCACATGGACTGTGCACGCGACGTAGACAGCATAACTGAGCAAGTAGCTGGACTTTCGCAACGGGTAGATGGATTGATAGCTGAGGGCGAGACGGGTGATATGCCGTGCTGCTGCAGTGCACCGCTTCCAGGAGAAGGCAGGGGTTCCAATAGTGTCGACCGAGTTACGATCACCTGTGCTGCTTGGCGCTGTGATAAACGGTCGGTGCAAGAGGACAGTGAGCGAGTGGTAGGTTGTCAGAATAATGATGCGATTTGGCACAACTCTGACCGGGGGTTCCAAAGGGTCCTTCGTCCAGGGCTCATAAACCAGGTGAACCGGCAGCTTACGATACCATGCTGTGAGGGCATCATCGAGGGCCTCTATCTCATGGATTGTCTTTGCAGCGGTGGCTCCAACATAATAGATCTTGTCAATGATCTGGGTCATAATTTGGGAAAGCAGACAGAGCTGCTGGAAGGTAGTCACCGAATACGCCAGTGGCGCTGGAGAAGACGCTGCATGATTCATGATTGTGTCCGTACTCGGCTCGTTGTAGGGCTCCCACGGCTCCAGCTCCTCGAAGGTATCCAGAAAGTCCAGCGACACATGGATATCCTGGAGTCGAATCGTAGGTGGCCGCCCAAGGTACAGGCTTTGAAGCTTCTCGCAGACGAACGCGCCCCAGAAGACCCGTCGCCGGATCTCAATCTCTTCGACGTTATGCCTGTGAGGCTCTTGCGACTCAAAGTAGAGACCTAGGTCGTAAACCATACGCATCGCGTACCCGGTATATAACCAGCCCTTGGACGTCAGTCCTCTTGCAATCAACGTCGACCCGAGCATCACCATCGCGATGACAGTCGGTATACTCGATTGGGTCATCAACCCCTCGACTAGCAGGAGCTCGTGGCAACGGGCGAAGAAGCGCCGTCCGGCTGTTTCCGAGTCGATCGGGTTACTGCGCACCTCAGGCCGCTCGGAGAATTTAGACGCACACGCTAAGACGGCGTACAGCAAGAGATCAGAGCAGTACGGCCCCCCGTGTTCGAGTTCTCGCATAAAGGCAGGTCGATAGGTGAGAAGGAATGTGTGATGCTGCCTGCTCCAGTGAAGATCGAGGAGATGAAGCACTAGGTCCGCCGGTATTCCCCTGATGAAAGTCAACCGACGCAGACGGTGCTCGCGCTGCCTCTCCATTGCAGCGCTGGCAATCAGCTGGTACCGTAGCGACTCTGTCAATGCTGGGGGTCGCTCGGGGTTGGTAATCGGGCTGCCGACATGGACCACAGAGGTTGAGCTGAAGATGCCATCGCTGGTTGCGTGGCTTTTACTTATCAAAGACAGCGCTGTATCGGTCTCGTGCTGAACACCGTCATCGTCATGGTCGTTGTCCTCGCCATCTACCGCATCACCGCCATCCTCCCTCGTTCTTGCATCATGACCGCCCAGCAGCTGCTGTTCCATGCCATGCTCCGTTTGATAGGCGGACCGCCCATGCGGTGACGCCGCTGTCGATACACTGCTTCGGTCTGATAGTGATATGCGGCCGTTCCGCACAATCACCGAGTCAAGCAAAGCGCGCCTTTCAGCATCATCTGCGCTCTTCAGCCGCCTCAGCGCATCTTCCAGCGCCGTCTTTTCGCTCTGCAGCGAGTCAATAAGCGCGGCGGAAGGGCGCTGCTTGGGTGGCCGATTGTGATAGACACACAACCTGTTGCTATTCCGGCATGTGGAGCAGGCTGGCTTAGAGGCGTCGCAGCGGATCTTGCGTCTGCGGCAGAACTCGCATGCCCGGACCATGTTGCGGAGTGCGCTTGTCGGAGCATCGAATACGGCATTGTTGTTAGCCCAGCTACGGTCTACGAGGAAGTGACAAGCATATCCGGGGAATGGGGAGCTTAAGCGCCAGTCTGGGGCCACTGTTCTACCCCGCATTGTCCTCCAGGCCTCAGTCAAAGCCTAATCCGAGTCATTCTTATTCGAATCCCACCGTTTGTCTCCTCCATTTAAGTGGAGACAGCGTGACGCAGCGCGGAGTCCTTCGCTCCGTCAGACCTCAACATCTCGTACTTGTCCAGTAATGCCCTGCTGTTCGGTTTACTAGGTCGTTATATTGCCCTAACGAGTGTAGTCCGTGCCACGACTATTGTTAGTTAATTAACCTGACATTACTAAGTTCAAAGCAATATCGTGGACGAAATGACCACAGGTAGATTACTGGCGGGGATATACTAGACAGTGATGGCCGAATCAACAGTAATATTCTTCTAGTGTATTAAAAACATGACCCTAATACCTGGCTAAGGGTTTTAGGCTTGTCAAGTGCGCCAAACGCAGTAGATATATCCAACCCAGTAAACAGCGCAAGTAACTCTTAATCCTCGGAGGATTTCACGCGGATGATGATATACCCGCGGCCGCGGCCGCTGATGCGATCTCTTGAGCAATAGCTTGGAATTTAGCGTCGTGCATAACCTCCGAGAGAGGTATCCCAGCTCTCACATCCTCAATCATCAGATTCTCGCGATAGGTGATCTTCTCGGCCAGCTCCACGACTGTCTCGATATACTCCGCTGGGATAAACACAGTCCCACAGGTATCGGCAATCACGTAGTCATCCTGGCGAACGGTGACACCGCGCACCTGGACCTCAGTGCCAGCCCCAATCTGAACCATTCTCCTACGCCCGCTGATCATCGTTACATTTTGGCCATAAACAGGATACCCGACGTCGCGGCTGCCATCGATATCCCGACACACCCCGTCTATAATCGTCCCGCGAATACCCTTCACTTTCGAAGCATTGGCAATAATATCGCCCCAGCAGGAGACCCCCTCCAGGCCGCCAGCAATGACAAGAATGCGATCATCCGTTGTAACTGCGTCTATAACCTGCGCGAATGGGTGGGCTGTCGCGGCAGTGCCCTTCTTGGGGCCGACTTCCACTGTACTGGCACGGCCGACGACCTTGGGGCAGTCCCAGAGCGGCCGGAGGCCATAGGTGGCTCCTTTGAGTTGAAGAAAGTCCAGGGCATCAGAGACCGCATTGGTATCAAGGGCTGAGAGCCGGTTTAAAATTGTGGATTTGGTCATGTTGAGTCGTGAAAGCGCAAACCGATCGGAAGGGAGGGACAAGAGGCAATAGGATTTCTTGATCAAGTTGTAATCTGATCGCTATCACGATTTATCTTCGATCCTGATTCTATTTATGGGCTCCCCATTGCCTCCACCGGCTGTATACATATCCGTGCGATTCTCCGTCTGCTCCGTCTGCTATTAGCGGGAGGCGGCATTCCGCTGTCCGTAGGGGAGAGTTACCTACTGTAAGTAGGCCCTATTAGGCCCTATCCGTAGGCGTCAGAGCGGCGTGTAGTCCCCCGCGCGGGGAAGCGCTAGGGTTCCCCCCTGCCCAGCTGTCTCAACTGCCAACTTAGAAAGCTAAAAGCTAGTCAAAATCGGCCTTTCTACAAAGTTCCCTTGGACTTCATACATTATCCGAAATAAATAGCAGCAACCGCTCCACTACAACTATGATGTGATCATCCATGCATTCTCTGCGTGTTTGAATCTGCCAACCAAATCAACGTCACCATGCCCACAGTGAACCTAGAACACGCAAAGATGGACGACTGGATCGACGAGAAGGCTCCCAGCGCCGAGAACGTTGAGCACTGCGCCATCATCACCACCATTGACGACATCCAGGTTCTTGGCCTTCGCTCCGAGGATGCAGACTTCTATCGCAACTTCTCCGATAGAAGGAAAAAGCTACTATTACGAAAGGTATGGACCAATGACTGCACTGAGCAGGACGGAACTAACAGCGTTTGTATCGCAGGTTGATATCAGGCTCGTGCCGATGCTGTGCATTCTCTACTTGATTTCTCACCTGGACAGGGCCAATATCGGCAACGCAAAGATCCTGGGGCTGACAGAAGAATTGGGCTTGAGCGGTCTCCAGTATAATATTGCTCTTAGTCTTTTTTTCATCCCCTACGTTCTACTTGGTGAGTAGGTGTCAAGGCATGTCCTCTCCTTGTCGCTGATCGATATTAGAGGTCCCGAGCAATATTCTTCTGAAGCATTTCACCAGGCCCTCGGTCTATTTGGGTACTCTGATCGTCAGCTGGGGGGTTATCATGACATTGACTGGCGTCGTCCGAAATTTCGGCGGGTTGTTGACCATGCGACTTTTGTTAGGAATCTTCGAGTATGTCATTTTATACACACCGACTTTTTAAGATCTCGTCTTCTGATTCAAGCCCAGGGCTGGATTCTTCCCTGGTTCGGTCTACCTGTGTTCGCGCTGGTACATGCCCAGAGACCTCGCCACTCGGGTGGCCGCATTCTTCTGCGCAAGTGCTCTCTCTGGTGCCTTTTCCGGTCTTCTCGCGGCCGGTCTTAGCAAGATGGATGGTGTCGGTGGATACTCAGGCTGGCGTTGGATATTTCTAATCGAGGGCTTGATTACAGTGGTTTGGGGGGTTGACCTTCTTCTTGCTAGTAGACTCACCACAATTATCCACCAAATGGCTTGATCAGGACGAGATCCGGTACCTAGAGATACAGGAATTTATCAAAGAAGGAGGGCAGTTCAAGGAGGAGAATAAGAAGACATCTTGGAAAGACGTCGGGGACATGATGCTGAACTGGAGAATTTATCTGCTGTCCTATATTATGCTGTGCCAGTCTGCCTGCAACTACGGTCTGTCCGTGACCACTTAATGCTGGGACTTCTTGCTGATCCATTCTCTGGTAGGAACGAAATTCACTCTTCCGACCATTACAGAGGCAATGGGCTTCACCGACACCAACGCGCAGCTTATGACCGTCCCGCCGTACATTGCCGGTGCCATATCCGCAGTCCTGTTTTCCAAACTGTCTGACCGGTATTACTGGCGCATGCCATTCGTTGCAGCACCCCTGCTCCTGATCGTTACCGGGTACGCGATCATAATGGGCGTCAAGGGCCGGCTGGAAGCTAACATCGGGCCTGGGTATTTTGCAATCATCGTGGCTTGCATGGGTATCTACCCAACCTACCCAGCCACGGCCTCATGGGCAATGAACAACCTGGCGCCCTCAAAGCGCCGCGCTATCGGTAGTGCGTTCAACATCTGCATGGGCAATACCGGCGGCATTATCGGTAGCTACATGTATCTTGATAAGGAAGCCCCGACCTATCCTACGGGTTTTGGGCTGTCGTTGGCTTTTGGTGCATCGGCTCTTCTTGTAGCTGTTGTTCTCGAGTTATCCTTTGTGTATGGCAACAAGCGCAATGCTCGGTTCACAGAGACGGAGGTTCGGGAGAGGTACACTGACGAGCAGTTGCTGGCGATGGGAGACAAGTCTCCGTTCTTCAAGTACACGCTATGAATGGGCTTGTGGTTCAGCTGGGGCTTATGGATGCCTTACCTGTCGGGCTGTGAGATGTTCTTAACTAGTTAGCATGTCTTCTTCTATAGGAACTAGGTTGTTCTTCCCCTTACCCGATGTAATATTATAGGCTGAATCGCAAACCAACCACCGTAATGTCAGGAGATATTTTAAGTTTATTGGTCATATTATTCTTCTAAATGCAACTTTGTGTTATAGGTTAAGCTTTGTCCAGTTCTGGATATATGCTATCTATCCAGAGCACATATAACTACACCACTACAAACTAGAAAGATTTCCTGTTGCCCCAACTATATATTCCCTCGTGAACTGAGATTAATTATATTCCTAGTACACCCTCCGTACTACGCCCCTCTTCGAAAAAGAAACCTATATTAGTGGTTATTGGTATATACTGATTGCTAGTATACACTAACTGTCGTGGCAATCCGCAAGGCTGAGCATAGGGCAGATATCTGCTCCACTTTTTGGGCCTTCTTCGTCGAGTTCTTCATCGGGCCGGAACTTGTTATTTCGTGATTCTACCCTACAACGCCCAAGTGACCCATGGCCGTTGAACATAATTCAAGTCACACTCCAAACTTCGACGCAGCCATCTATCGACATGGTCAACTCGAACGAGTATACCGTCGGCTGGATCTGCGCAATTGCTACCGAATTTGTCGCAGCCCAGGCCTTCCTCGACGAAAAGCACGAAACCCCGGCATATTTGTCCCCACAAGATAAGAATGACTACACATTAGGTCGAATCGCGAATCACAACGTGGTCATCGCGGTATTACCAGTCGGCGAATATGGCACATCCTCAGCAGGGCGAGTGGCAGAAACCATGCTACACAGCTTTCCTAACGTGCGAATCGGCCTGATGGTCGGCATCGGTGGAGGTGCCCCAAGTGCAGACCATGATATTCGACTTGGGGATATCGTGGTCAGCACCCCCTCGTATAGCCATGGGGGTGTATTTCAGTACGACTATGGCAAGACCATTCAAGGTCAAACGTTTTGTCCGACAGGCTACCTCGACCAGCCGCCCGCACTTCTGCGCGCAGCCGTAAATGGACTCCAGGCGCGCTATGAAATCGAGGGTCTTGACAGAACTCCACTGCTGATGGCCGCGGAAAATCGCGATGGTGCAATGCTAAGACTGTTGCTGGAGAAGAATGCCAATATAAGTTCGAGGTCTGACAAAGGCCTTACTGCGTCCTATTTGGCAGCTCACAGTGGTCATAAGGGCGTGGCAGATCTTCTTGCAGATGCAGGGGCATTATAGGCTTATGTTTTCGTGTAGTGATAATATGGGACAATACTGAACCCCCGGCTGTGATTCAATTCTATCTGCTCCACCCAACATAGCCTACTATTCCAAAGGCAGTCACAGCCAGCGCTCCAACCTTCAATACAGCTAGTTGAATTCTGGGCTTCAAGTGCTGTTCTAACAGCATTCGAAATTTCTCTGGCTCATTTCCGCGCGGATATTTCTCATCGGGAATTGGCAGGTCCAAAAATGGACAGATTTGCTCCCAGCCAAGACCCTCCTCCAGTTTAATCAACAATGTCCTGTCCTTCGGGAGCGTGTTTTTTGCAAATTTGATACTATAGTTGTCAGCTTACACGGACCATACAGCTTCATTTTCACATAGCGATGAAAAAAGGAGGAAAGAGGCCATGCTACTTACTATTCGACATAGTTCCTACGAAGCCTGGCCTCGTTGTCCGGGTCACCGGGGTTTGTCCCGTCAGATATAGCCCACCACATGATTTGATTTAGACGGAGAAAGCGTTTGAGGATGATATCAAAATGTTTCAAGACATTCATGGGAAAGGCAGTTGCCATTCTGACTACATTGGCGACGGTGTTGTTCATTGATGTCACCCATTTGTCCGGGTCACGATATGTTAGGATGAACTTGACGTCTGGGTCTTCAGCATACACTTCGAGGGCTTGTGCGCCTAAATAGCTGGGAAGTTCAATGAAGCACTGTCATAAAATTAGCTAACATTAAATAACAGCACCCGACAACGAATCTTGGTGGTGTACAACTGTAGGTCACATACGTCATAATCGCTCAGCCACTTGTCGAACTCGGCCCTCTCGTATCGCTTGATACCCGAGAAACGATTATGCTGCGCAATGACGGCTTCTTCTAGAATCTTCATATGTACTGGACCACTGAAACAAGCCTCGGTCATGTGGTACGGACTGAATCCTAGTATTCTCATGGCGGCGAGGAGGCCCAAGGTACCCGATCTAGTAGTCATTAGCCACCTTGTGGTAGTGTAGTTGTACCGTGGTGAGAACCAACTCAGGGTACAGGAGCACTGTTCACAGCGTCTCTCACCTGCTACAGCTGGCGATAACCACCTTCATCTGCTTCTGGTTAGCTGGCTGAGGCAGCCTGTCAATTTGGCGAGACATAATGAATGAAGGTCTTGTCCTGTGCAAATATGAGTGTGAAGACCACTGAATTCGGGGGCTGACTCTCATTTATATGTAGAGGCGAAGGGAGGAGCACAATACATCTGTGCAGACTCACTTAGACAAGGTCCACCAATCGGGGGTTTACCAATGCTGTGTATATTCTAGCTAATGAACGGACCGCACTATCCAGTACATGTCGATTAATAGGCAGGATTTCACGGTAGCTCCACTAAGGCTACCCAGCCTTACCGCGATCTTTTCTAGTGGTCTACATGTGTATAACGGTGGGTACGTACACTTTTCTAGCCCCTGTAATCTCCACGGCTTTACAGATTTATTGTTCTGCTATTTGCCCAATGGAGTAGTATCGCAACACGCCGTATGTTCACTGGAATCTGACAACTCGATTTGGTTTACTCTAAAAGAAACAACTGTCACGCACGGGCCGATATACGAGAAGTTCTTTGCTGGCTTGTCTCGGCTTGGGGGCCGAGTGTGGCTATGCGCGCTAAAAGTCGGTCTGGAGATGACACGGCGAATGAAAGCTAAGTCGGCAATTGGATTAGACTCCACCTAAGCTCAGCTCTTATCCTCCTGACTATCCCATTGGTGTCGATATGGAACGAACTGATAGTAGAAGAGCGTTAAGTGGCTCGGTGGAGTGCATTGCTATCACAATAGGTGGATCATGTAGCCTGACCTCTCATAACTCACAATAACCGATGGGAAGTTACGGGTGAATGTTTTCTATCTGTCTTTCTCTTAGCATGTGGATGAAGGTGCATCATGTGGCGCCATGAAACGCGCCTACACAGATGAGAAAAAATTAATTTACACCTTGACTAGGTCAATAGCCGTCAGGACCATGTGGCAATATGTTTGAGTTTTATAATTCATTTGGCTGGGTAACCCATTCCCTGGTAATCGCCAACCGTGGCTTTGGCACGTGCAATGCCGTACCCTGTACTCCGTATACACGTTAGACTCCACTTGCCAAGTCACTCTTCGACTTTAAGCTTCTGAAAGCTTGGCATATTTATGCCATTTTCGTATTTATACGGAGTACATTGCTCTATTTCGGACGGCAGATGTTATAGCACACTGGTGTACTGGATTCAACATTCTCGAGGTAGCTGGCGAACAGGATGATATATATACCCTGAGCGTAGTCGGTGCGCTTCAAGGATACATTCCACATTGTGGCAAACGCACCCACCATACTAATACTTTAAACTTAAAATTACACTTTTTTTTAATATTATCGTACTTTTAACTCTGCAAACGAAGGCTTTGAAGCTAATCCATGATATATGGCCGCTCTGTGGAAACATAGAAGGTTTAGCCTTAACTTTCTTCTTTATCCTTCCTGACACCGGCTTATCTAATTGGTGATGAATGTTTATCTACGTCTGGAGGGGACGTGCCCCTGCATGACGTCTATTATCTATATAGTAGACTCAAAAGCCGACGGCTAGATACGGACAAGATGATTATCGCTTTAGGGAGGCTTGATCCAAGACACCCGCCTTGTCTCTTAATCTTTCCGCTGGGTGTAATGATTCTACAGCCTGCTCCGTTCACTGTGCTTGTAGAATCACTGTCCAGACTGATATATTATACGATATAGCCATAACAAAAAGCGGGGGAGGGCTCGACCTTCCTCCGATTCCGATGAGCTTTTCAAATGTCGGCATCTGACGAGGTGGCACGGTGGTCGGGTGGCAAGTGTTACATACTCTAGGAACAATCCAGTTAGCTCCGTGGGCATGCCATCGTTATAAATGTCGGCTTTCCAGAACCCTTTGGCTCCCCACAGACCGTGGGGGTTCGGGTTGCGTGGGGGAAGCCGAGGGCCATTCGTCCGAAGTGCCGTTATGCTTTTGCGGGGATCGTCTCGGATCCACTCAAGCTTTCTATTGGGGAAACTGGTTGGATAACGCGAAAGATCCCGGCAACCAGATTCTCCATATTACGCTAAACTTATCTTGTAACGAATCTGGGGTTTGGTAAAGGGCGTGGGGGTGCTCAACCCTGGCCACCTGCGGGGGACATGCCATATATAAACGGGCATGCAAATCCCATCCCCAGGTTTCGGGTTGTCATCCACGGCCGTTGCAAAGGCCATCCCATTATATTATAACCCTCTACTACATCTCCAATCATGGATCCGAAGCCGCAAGGGACTCACCATGAAGACCCGGTCAAACCGGCGAACATGGACCACATCAATGTCGTGCGGGTTCCCCTGACCGAAGAAGATAACAAACGGATTCGAAACAAGACCGACAGGACCATCCTGGTAATCCTGATGTGGGGTTACTTCCTGCAGATTCTCGACAAGACGGTTCTAGGATATGGTGCCACGTTCGGCCTGAAGGAGGACGCCCACCTCTCCGGCAATGAATATTCCTTGGTCGGTTCGATGGCTCCAATCGCCCAACTGGCCTGGCAGCCATTCTCCTCATTCTTGATTGTCAAAGTGCCACATCGGATTCTTCTTCCTGCCCTGGTCGCCGGATGGGGTGTCGCACAGGCGGCTATGGCTGCTTGTCACAACTTCGGGGGGCTAATGGCCACCCGGTTCTTCCTTGGTCTCTTCGAGGCAGGCTGTCTGCCTCTGTTCAGTATTATCACTGCCCAATGGTACCGTCGTGCGGAGCAACCTCTGCGAGTGGCAGCCTGGTACAGCACCAATGGTCTTGCGACCATCATCGCTGCGGCCCTAAGTTATGGACTGGGACACATCCAGTCTGGCGTGCTTAAAGAGTGGCAGATGTAAGTCTTTTACCGGGTTCAGCTCTCGGCTCTCCATACTAGCGACCTAAGTCTTTAACTAACTGCTTTCGCCACAGTATCTTCCTCGTCGTCGGTCTTATCACCATCATCTCGTCGCCATTCCTCTACTGGAAGCTCGACAACGACATTGCTTCGGCCCGATTCCTCAACGACCAAGAAAAGCTTCAAGCTATGGAGCGCCTCCGAGCGAATCAAACTGGAGCTGGAAGCCGAGAGTTCAAGATGCGTCAAGTTGTAGAGGCCGGCCTCGAGCCGAAGACATACATCTGGATTGGGATGGCATTCCTGCTCAACGTTGGCGCGTCGGTGACGAATGTCTTCGGTCCTCTGATCCTGTCCGGACTCGGCTTCGACAAGTTCAAGACAACATTACTCAACATGCCCTTTGGTGCCCTTCAGTTCATCATTATCCTCCTGGCCAGCTATCTCGCCCAGAAAGCCCGCCTCAAGGCTGTCGTGCTCGCCTCCTTTATGCTCCCGGTCGTGGCAGGCCTGGCGGTCTTGTACGCCCTCCCGCGCAATGACTCCGTCCAGGGTGCCTTAATGGCCGGATACTATCTGCTTTCGTTCCTGTTCGGCGGGAACCCGCTCATCGTCTCGTGGATCGTGGCAAACACTGCCGGACAAACGAAGAAGTCCATCGTCATGAGTCTCTACAATGCGGCGTCGTCGGCAGGAAACATCGTCGGACCGCTCCTGTTCAATGAGAATGATGCGCCCGCTTATCAGCCAGGACTGCGCGCCTGTCTGGGTATCTTCATCGCCATGGCCGTCATTGTCTTGATCCAATGGGCCAATCTGTTTGTGCTCAACAAGATGCAGGAGCGTCGCCGTGTGGAGAATGGAAAGCCGGCTAAGATCGTCGATCGGTCCATGGACAATACTTATCAGGTTTCCGAGGAGGATGCTGAGGTGGAGACGGCCGAGACGGACAACCAGGTGGGCAATAATGCTTTCCTTGATTTGACGGATCGGGAGAACGACGAGTTTGTGTATATTTATTAGTTGTAATGGCTCGAGATTAGAAGTTCCTTCTTCTACAATATGAATTATGATGAGTTATGAAATGCTATTTGCACTGAGCGTGTATCTGGATTCAATATATCTGTGGCTGGGTACACTTCCTACACAGACCTATCTTTGTCGAAATGCCACAGATTCGGCGGTTATATATGCCTAGAAATCCCAATGCCATTAGCTTTGACAAGGCTCATATTCTAGACAGAGTGCTCAATCAGCCTAGATACGGCAGTATCACAAGCCCTAAGCCGCAATGCCGTCAAGTCCTCAAGGACCAATGCACCTCGACAAAGAAAGCCAAAACCCTGGAAAGTAGCAATTGCGACCGATGAGTTCACCACGACACGTCTGTGCTACGGAGGGATTGTAATCTGGCCAGCTCACGGACACCGAGTGCTCATCTTATAACCACTCACTGATCATAAAGAAAGCTAGACACAGGCTCCAGCGGTCAACCACACCACTTCTTGGTATAGCCACAGGAATTATATTGAAATTGTGCCCGCATAAGGAAACTCAAGATGACGAGAGAAAGCCCATAAATAGGGGCTGGTAGCCTGCTGTGATTGAAGCATCGTCACCATCAAGAAATCCCCAAACAGAAACCCACCCAGTCCCGTGACCCCGAATCAATAAACATAAATCAGCCCCACTTGAAATTCCAAATTGATAAACGTGCACACGAATCACCCCGCACAGGTCATTACTACTGCTCATTCAGAAAGAAATGGAGAAATCCGATTTGTTGAAGGAGCTGCAGCGCGATCTAGCGCGTAAATATCGTCTTCATGGGCCGAAGATTAAAGAAATATGGCACTCCCTTGGCAAGGGACAGCGGGAGAGGGTCATGAGAGCCGGTGCCGCCGAAGGCCAAATGCTGAAGTCGCCTATCGATAGATCCTTGGGCGATGTTTACAAGTTCATCCCTGACTGGAACCTGCGAGACATCGCCAATCCGGACTCTGACTATCTGCTGGATTGTCTGAAGCACCGCGCGACGAAGTCTTTATGTGAGCAATACATCGAAGGTGTCCACGGTGGCCCAGGTGACTTCGAGGTCATAGTTAAGAGCATGCACGTCCATGGTCTTAAACATGTTGATCCCTTCCGCTATAGCTTCACGTTGTTCATGGACGAGGAGCAATACGGGCAATCCTTTACGGCCTCGGACCGGGTAAAGTATGAAGAAACAATGGCTGCGATGAAAGTTGGGGTGGATGCTGGGTTGATTCTTCCTCAGTCGACGGGCGAGCTTATTTTGGAAAGACAGTCTATCCTACTAACGTCCATGAACATTGTGATTCAGGACATTCTTGAAGCCGGTTCTACATTGGAGACGAAAGGTCGCTCCAAAAAGTCAGAGAAGGCAGCACGCGAGGCTATGTCCAAACTTGCAATCGACCAGAAGCCAGGAAAGCTTTCATTGGAGGAGCTGGCTGCCCTATCTATTGACCAGAAGTCAGCGCTGGAGGATTACGTACTTCTTTGTCGGACAGAGCCCGAGTTCCTTGCGCACGCTGTCAACGCTTGGTTCTTCAGTCGACCCGAGCTGGTCGCAGATGAAAAAGGCCGACGATTGCCCTTGATCACGGACAAATATATTAGCATCGCATTTTTCGAGATGATCCACAATGCCGTCGTGGGTGCTGCAGTCTGGGGGTATATCCATCAACTCCTCCAGGCTCTCGTCACAGGGCCAAACGACCGGACCTACAGAAGTTCCTTTCTCCAGGAACTTGCAAACGTCTGTCATTTTGAGTACCAACGAGTTCAGCGGCTTTTTAAGCGCCACGTACAAATGGGTTCCGGCGACAAACATTTCAAACGTGTCTCTGGCGTATATGATAATGGCACCGCGCGGGTAACGATGAAAACGAAGCCGGACACCGTTACCAGAACCGATCCGCAGCTCAGTTATATTCTTCGTCTTTGCCAAACGGACACTAATGGCTCCCGGGCAGTCGACTGGGTTAGAAAGCTAGACGACTTCCATCAAGCCTATCCCGCTCAGCAAGAAACGATGGGAGAAGCCGAATTTGACGCTTTCGGTGATCTTGCCGTGACAACCAATTTCATCCAGTGTCTCTCGGCGTCTCTTCCCATGCCACCAATGAATCCGAAGAAGGGGCAAACTTATATCTCCCGACTAAAGGAGCTGGGGTCTGAGCTTGACCCACTAAAGTCCGAGGTTGACTTGTCGTCGTTTGCAGTGCCCATCGATAATCTTATGGAGCCGGGAATGGCCCAAGGTGCGCTGACCACACTTGACGAATTCATATCCAACAACACAGGGGCAGATATAGGCTTCCTCTATCAGGATCTGAACGATGAATGCTTGTTAGACCTGCAGAAGCAAGCTCAACAGCAGAAGGAGAGAAATGAACGGATAGCAGAGGCTCAGCCTGCTTCGTCAATCCCTGAAGCGCCTAACCGGGAAGTGCAAATTGAACAGCGCAAGGAAAAGACCAAAACACGCCCGCCACATTCATCCGTGTACAGTATCGCTCCAACAGCAGCTCCTACGACGGAAGCAGAACCTGCAGCGCCGTCCCAAGCATTCAAAGTAAAGCCATCCTTCTTAGAGGTATTCTCGACCCTGTTCTCCAAACAGAGAGCACGGAGCTCAATCACCTGGGCTGCGTTTCAAGCCGCTATGGCGCACATGAAATTCTCTGTCGTGCCAAAGACTGGGTCGATCTATACCTTTTCTCCTCCTGAAGGCTTCCATGTCCAAAAGTCGATCACGCTCCACCGACCGCATCAGTCCCGTATCGAGGGTTGGAGACTTCTGTATATCGCGAGTCGTTTAAAGAGAAAGTATGGATGGGATGAGATGTCATTCGAGACGGAATGAGGTAGTTCGGGCAAATTGGTCATCAAAAGATGAGTAGCTATAGTTTGAGTTCACTATGTGCAGATTCTAGATTATTATTTGGATGCCTAAGCACGCCACGAAACCATCCTGTCTCCTGTACTTGATTAGTTTCTTGAGCCCTTTCAGCAGACTCCCAACAGATGCAAAGACCACCACAAATAACGAAGACTCTTAAGAACATGTCCTCGCTCAAAGGAAAAGCAAATGGAAGACTGGATGGCGAAAATCGGAGAGTCCAGACGTGCTACACATGGAAGTCTTTGGGAGTCTCCCCAGACAAAGCAAGCCTGGCTGTGCTCCTTCAGCCATGGCGGGGTACGAGTGAGTACAGAATACAATGTTCTTTTGCCAACTCACGCTGCTTCTGTCAACACAACGTCCTAGAACTGAGGACCCTTCTGTTGATGTTTCACTCGAGAAAAACGACCTTGACGCTTTCAAAGATCTACAAATCCGGCGAACTGGATCAGAGGATGAAGACTTTCTTTTTGAATGAAGCGCTTGTTAGTAAAACGCCAACACCAGGTGGCTCATTCTTTCTTATCATTGGGAGGACAGTTGTTCAAAAAGGGTATCGAAAAGTCTTTCATGTCGGAGCGACTGGAGACTAGTAGAAGTAACTCGAATCGGCAATTCACAAGTCCTCATTTACCATATAAAATCGAAGAGGTTTTGGCCCAGTAGGCGATACACGTCGACTAATGTACGCCTGCATATTATAGGAAAACAAGTACATCAACCACAACCTGGAGGACGTGACCATATAACCATTCACCTTCTTTGAACACAGCTCCATCGCTCCCGGTTCGTCAGATGTACTACCATCTTTGAGGGCGTTGTCCTGCCTTGCCGATTGGCAACTGTCTACCGATATAAAAAAGAACAGACCAAGAAGCACGGTGCAGTAGATATGTTTGAATTATTTACTATTGTCCATATGTCCAATACCGGCCTAGACTATGTCCACATGCGGGCGATGGCTTCAAGCCATCGACTGCCCGAGTCTCCGACTAAATAGAGCGCACCAGTCTATTTGAGCTCCTTAACCCAGAGAGAAACCTTGGGGATATCGGATTCCGTTCCGAGGTAGTAAACCTGCTTGTTGTCCTCAGAAAGACCGAAAGAGTTCTCGCCGTTGAAGGTGAGGTAGCCGTCGTCGGTGACGCCCCAGCCGTTGAACACAGCGTCTGCGGGGTGGTCACCGGAGTGAGGCACGGTCAGGGCGAGAGGCTGAACGTCGCCCGGGATGGCATAGAAGTCCTGCCAGGCCGTGGGTGGCAAGCCTTGTTGGGTGAAGCTGATGCTAGCGCCGTCGTTGCTTGTCACTGTATGTTGTTAGTTTGATCCATGCAATATTAGGCCAAGTGCGTGAGGCATACGGCGCAGGATCTCCCGTGTGTTGGCCTGAGAAGCGTCCACGATGGCGTGGGCTGTTGATGTTAGTCATGTTTTATGGCCAAGGCCTGGGGTAGGTGGTACATACAGTTGTCAGTGAGGACGGTGTTGCCGCCATCAGCAACGAGTGTGAAAGACTTGGGGAGAGTGGCTGCCAGGGCAGTGGCGATGAAGGTGGACGCGGCGGCGAGAGTGAGCTTCATTGTGACGGTGGGTAGTTTGTTTCGAAGATTGCTGTCTTCAGTGATGATTGAATTTGTAGTTGATGATTTTCGATGAACCTGGGGCTATTCGAGGGTTTTTATATTCAAATGAAAGAAATGTCGCCATGCGATGCGTGAGGCTGTAGCGTTGCCCTATTGGGGAGTATGTTGGTGCATCGAACCCTGATGCAATCGCTTCGGTGGATGGTGTGGAGAATGTCTCACTTCGTTATTCTTAGAGTCGGCTCTCGGATGACCTCTGTTTCCCTATTAGCCGAATGCTGCATGGTGCTCGCATGCACAATCTAATCTTAGCAGACAACGCTGCAAGGTGCATTGGGCTGGTGGCAGTTCCAAACGCGCTATCATCTGGTAGAGACACAACCACAACGCAGTGGGATCTGGGATGAGATCAGCTCTTCCCTCCCACCACCACCACCACCACCACCACCACCACCCTGGAAACCCTTGGAGCAACGCCATGTCGGTTAGAGAGTTACGCAATGATCGGCACGGCTTTTCCCCATTCTTAGCTTCCCCCGTCATCGTTAGTCAAGGAGCTAGTCTCACAACCCCGATGTTGGGCCCCACAGATGTCTCACGGAGAATGTAACTCCCGCCATCGCTCTCGCCACAGCATCCGGGTGGCTGAATTAGCACCAATTCAACATGCATGACGGATACCGGTAGCGGTGAGTGTGATCCCTGTGAGATAAATAATTTATCACGCCATCGCCGCGGACAAGCAGCAAGGAATCGTGCAGGCAATTGCATAACGGATCATGTGACCGAAGGCCGCGATCGAAGACCCAAATTTAGGGATAGAGATCGGCGTCTTTATTCAAACTATTGACTGCGATCACCTCCCTTCCTTGCCCAGCAGCTCCGAATGTTCGGAACTCCGCTATGGAAGTTGTTGCGACGGTTTTGCCAAACCGTTGGACATCAGGTGATAGTGCTGCCCTAACATGTGCAGTTCTTTATCACCCTAACGCGTCCCTTTCTACAAGAGCAGTCCAGATAGAGTGCGCTGGTCATTCAGCGCTATCTTAGAAATACGAAGTGTCCATTTTTTGGCCATAACAAATCATCCTTGGTGGCCAATCTTTCTTGAAGGGCTGATGCTCGGTGTGTTTGTAGTCAGATTACTGGCGGGATTAGGAGGGGCGTGGTAACTGAATAGCGACAATAATGTCACGCTCCAACGGACGAGGATGTAAGATTTGGCTTGAAAATGCACCTTACATTCTTACGCGGCGAAATTTCGCATCTCCCAAACCGGAAATACAGCAGAATGAAGCATATACTTCTAGAAGCCTGACACGTGATGTTAATCAACTTCAATTGGTGGATGTGATGAAAGAGTGGAGTCGTCCGCTCAATCTTTCACCAACCTCCCACCTTTTGACTCGAGTTATCTTTATAGTAGGTCGATTATTCGCCGCGACTACTCTACTCGAGAGCGCTGCCAACTCGTCCACCTCAAGATGGGTTACTCAGGGAAGCCCTCGTCGGCTTGCGGCCCCTGTCGTGCGAGGCGTGCCAAGGTATGGATGGCCTAGAGCCTTCCTCACCGTATGTAAGACAATGAATAGCTGAAAAGGTTAGAAAAGTGTGATAGAAAGCAACCACACTGTACGCAGTGTGCTCGCAAGTGTATCCCCTGTTCAGGATATAGAGATACTAGTGGCTTGCTTATAAAGGACGAGACCTATACCGTGGCCCAAAAAGCCCAGAGACTACCAAAGAAAGGACCGCGGTCCAGCTCACCCGTGTTGATCAATGGTTCTGGAATGGGGATATGCCATACTCTAGAACACAACCCCTTTGGCAATACCGAAAGCTGCATATCAACTGCAGAATTTGTCGCACCACCCAGACCCTTAGCTCTACCACTCGAAGAGGTGGCGAATGCGTTCTTTGTGAACACGTATTTGCCTACCTCAAGGTTTTCTTTCCTCCTTAATCACTACCATACCTTCATTAATGCTAAACCCATGCCATCCGCTCTTCAAGCTGCAGCCCTTGCCTACCTACACGTTGAACATCCGTCCCAAGCCGTAAGTCGTGCGGCACACAGGTCCTATTGCAAGGCCATTGCTCAAACTAACTCTGCACTATCAAACTCGTCCATGGCAAGACTAGACTCAACATTATTCTCAGTTCTCCTTCTGGGTCTTTTTGAATCACTTATTTTCCGCGACCGCTACTCTGTCTCCTCATGGGCAGCTCATTCATATGGCGCTTTGGCCTTGCTCCGCCTGCGGGGACATCGCCAGTTGAACAGCCCAGAAGGACGATCTCTTCTGTCTCATATTTCAACTAATATTCGGTCCATATGCTTGCTACAATCCAAGCCAGTGCCGTGCGATCTATTGCAACTAGAGTCCGAGAATTCCTTTCTCGAGAGTGGTTCCAATCGGGGTTTTTATATCAATGACATTCTGATGAATCGGCTACCCCAAATATTCTCCGCTATTTGGCAGCCAACTTTGTCAACCAGTGCTTATATGAGACTGATCAGAGATGTGAGAGATTTTGAGGAGCAATTGGTTCAGATCAGCCCCAGCCTGGAGAGCTGTATCAGCAGCTATCAGAATGACTTCACACGTGGAGCAAAGTACAGAAAGGCCATCAAAAAATGGCTAATTGTACAGATGCTACGATGGTCCCTGGGTAGTACTCTAAGAAAACGTCTATCCTCGCTGGTTCCTGAGAGTGATATCAGCGGAATCCATGATGCATCCTGCTTCGTGCGAGAAGCGGAAAAGATGCACGAAAAAGTCAAGAATATTATCTCAGACGTCTTAAATGCTGTACCACAGCTGTTGGATCCTTCTGTGGAAGGCGCAGCTATGAATGGGCGCTATGCTCTCTGGCTTTTAGCTGCATTAGCGAATGCCGAGTCCTGCCCGGAGCCCAGCCGTGCTTATATTCAACATCAGTTACGAAACCTTAGGGAGAGATACAATCTACAGCCCGCGGAGGAAGCAGCCAAAATGTCAGAAAGAGCAATGTCCTTGGAAACATGGTCAGTAATTATATACCCAAATGGAATGATTCCACCAGAGACTTATAGCTCATCTGACGTCTTGTGATTGCCAACTAGGCTCCTCCTTTGCCATCTATCCTGAGGCACATCTATCTACCCCTTCCTGGTCCAAGTTATGGAACGTGTTGCTCAAAGTGGTTTGGGATATCAACAGACGGGCATAGTTGTTGCCTACGACAACTCGTTTCTTTGCCCGATAATTCCCAGGCTGCACCATTGTACAATGGCCACGTTGCACGATATGAGCAGGTCAACCTCTGTTTGGAAACAACACCATGATTGTTGTCACGCCCGTATCAGGCCTTGCAAATACACCACTATTTTCGCTTGATAGCACCACACCCTAGTCGGACTCTCAACATACTTCCAGGTCTAGAGTGACAAACATTGTTTTCCGCAACATTGACGCGCTCCTCGGTAGCTAAGATCGTCCGAATGGTGCCTCTTCGTCCACAGACCGCGGCGGCGAAGAGCGCTGCGTATCCTTGAGTGGACTTAGGTACCACCCATAGCTAGCATACATAGCAACAATTAAGATCTCTTCTATCACCGCCATGCAGATCTTGGCCGAAGTCGATCCCTTCACAATATTGAACACGGAACTATTTGCAAACACCGATAATGCTGAATATGCAATGCGTACCAGAAGTAAGGGTAACGCAATTCCGACAATGATGACTGCCAGGCGCTCTCGCCTCGGGGTATATTGACATTGGCGCAACTTGCCCCAAGAGGAAGCCAGAAGTAGAACGCAGCCGGCTAAGGCAACAAAGTATAGGCAAACCCCAACACGGGACGTGGGTTTTGGGTGGTCAGGATCGGACGAGGAGGCGCTCCCGACGACGCTGAGGATAACGGCCACGGATACGACGATCTGTGTCAGACGGGAAAGTTTCAGTTCTAGAGCCATCTCTCTTTCCTTTTGAATCAGGCCCGTACTTCACGGATATGTCAGTGTTGTCCTTCCTTTAATTTTTGAGTGGTTCTTCATTGAGCGAAGGGCAAGCAAGAAAGGGTTTTTGGTCTCTTACAGTCTTGATAGTAATCCTAAAGTGGCAAGTATCAATGGTGATATGCCAATAGAGTCAAGAACAATAACCGCTATTATAAGATCTTTCGACGGATCGTTGCGTGCGTATAATTCACAGATAGAGCCAACAATGCGAAGGAGACAAAATATCAGAATCAGGACCCAGCCTGCGGCACGGCGGAACCCATGCCTCAGGCAGGAGATGAATATGATCACCAGGAAAGGGACATAGACGATAAGTTGCAGGATGGATATGCCATCTCTCCCGGTCAGATGCATTGTGTGTGCTGGGCCTTCCTATACGGTAAGCCCTCGAATACAATTCAACGAATGATGGTGGCGCATCAAGAAACAAGAATTTAATCACTAGGAACGATGCAAGGTCCATGGCTATATAGGACTTCTCTTCCTAGGCTACCGCTTGTGTTTACTGGAGAATGCAAAGAAAGCCGTGCGGCAAACAGCACCAATGGACCCTCTATTGATTCCCATTTCGGCAAGTGTTTCGAAGCTTAGCCTTCATCCCGTTAGTTAGACATATAACCATTGATGCGTTCTAGATGTTCCTAGAAGAAGAGAACCCACCAAGGGTGGACTGAGCCTGTTGGAGTCCCAATCAACAATCAATGTGTACTATAGCGCTATACCCAATGAGGTATTTGATTCGAAAATTAGCGTGGATATAAGCGAGTTCTTGGCTATGGTTGGCTATAATGTTTGTGGGTCATCGGAGCTTTAGGTCCACTTGGATATCGTTTATCGCTGTGCTCCGTGATGTGTGATAGGGTACTAAAAGATTGCCAGCCCTGCAATGCATGCTAATATGAACAAGCTCATGTGTCAGCAGCGTGCACTTATCCCGGAGTATGTAAGCTCTACACGCTGTTACACTGCATTTGAGGAACGACCTCGATCTTGCGGACCCTGCCGCGTTGCTCGGCGAACATTGTGCAGTCTCAGGCTGGTCGCGTGCATGTATTATGTACAAGTAATATCCAGCGGGGCTGGAACTGCCCATTCCATCTGCGGTGTGATCAGGTTCTTTCCTTGCACCATGCACTGGGTGAATACCCCTGCCGTAGTCCCATATCTCGCTTATTGTCTAGGCAGCCTTCAATCGGGGCTGGGGTGAAATTTGAGGCGCTACGGTTTCCCTAAGAGTGTAATCACCGTAGATTACACGTAAAGTGTCTCAGGAGGGGAAGCACATTGTCAGTATGTGGATGGCATGATACTGAGACATGAAGACAGTCAAGACCAGAGATGAAGTGTTTGATCTGGCATTCGTAGCCAGTGAGTTCATTATTTTAAGACTGAAGATCCTCTAGGCATAAAATTTATGATCGCGAGCCTCCATCAGGCCTCTTATTTCACGGGCAAAAGATCATACCTGGACATGACCAGTTTCATCTGTTGTTGAGTAGACCATGCAGGATGCTTTCAGGTAAATCACATCACGAGGGTATGGTGCAGTTATAGGAGTGATAATATTGGTCACCCACAACCCTACGCTACGCTTTGTTTCTTATATTTAGATCCTGTGACGATCGACTATTCCTCTAGTGCAATCCTTCGTGCATTGCGCTGTCATGATCTGATTTGCGGAGTGGACTGTCGAGTAACGTGGATGTATGACGTCATTGTCCGTGGAAGTCGCTCCACGGAGATCGTATCCATTACTCCAAACTAATAATTTAAGCAAAATGGTATGCTTATAGATTATATTGGCGAGTTAACTGCAATGCTTCTATTAGTTGGGCAGATACTACACCTTTTCCGGTCAACCCTGAGATAACTCGTTAGGGCTAGTTCAGGCACCCTGCCGTTTCCGAAGCTCTAAACAAAGACCTAGTAGACCTGTCCCTTCTTGTCCAACGAGCCCATAAGGCCTCTTTCTGACCTGTCATGTTTGGTACCTATTTATAGGCACTATTTATTTTGTTTCGTGGCTCAGAATCTCAATAAGTCATACCAATATTGATCGATCTTTTCTCGAACAACCACATCCGGCGAGACCTATGCGAACAGGGTTGGGATCTAGCAAAGTTCAAACATGATGTTAAAACACCAACAGTTGGAAGGGGTCCGACCGCCAGTCTGCGTAGAAGGGAAAGAGGAAAACTCCTTCAGAAGGCGAGGATATTATTAGTAGCATCACGCCCTACATACAATATGCATATTTTTCATGGGGTGAGCCAAACATGGGCGATTTCGGCAGCTTCGGGGATTTTCAAGAGTCGGTTACCTCGGATTCTGGGTCCTTCAGGCCAACCACAATCGTGGCTTCGCTCGCCGCTCTGAGACTTGCAGAGACTTAGCGAATCACCATCGTCTAGTGGGTGTGCCCCCTAACATTGGCCTGTATCCCATCCCTCAACAGCATAAAAACCCCCTTTGCCTCCCTCGACTTGAGCCAACATCAACAAGTAAGGACAAAACTGGAATCGCAAACACCAGGCCAACATTTCTTCAATTCCACTGTAATTGCATTCATTGTGTCAATATCAACAACATGAAGGCCCCTTACTTCCTCGCTTTCCTTGCTGCCGCCGTCTCGGCACAGAATGCTGGCATCGGGTTCCCGAAGAAAGACCAGGAGATCACGGCAGGAGAGACATTAGTTGTTCAGGTTCAGCGCCCGGTAAGTTCGGACCAACATCCCACGGTCTAGCCGAGGCTAACAGCCGTATCAGAACTCCTTAACTGGCTCCCAGGAGATGGGTGTCGCAATTGGCGTGGCATCCTGCGCCTCACGGCCCTGCATGGCTCCGAAGGATACTCTGGGTACTCTCCTCTACAACGGGCCCTTCAAGCCCGAGTACCATGAGACTAGCCAGCCTCCTTATCAGAACTTCACCGTGACGATCCCAGACTCTATAGCTAAGGGAGACGCACAGATCAACATCGCCCATGTGGCAATTGTCGGGGTAAGTGCTAGCCTCCCACGATCGCATCGATGAGATTAAGGAGCTAACCTGCCTTATTTGCAGGCGAGCACGTGGCCATACTTGGACCTGCTCAATCAGACTGTTGTTGTTGCTTAGATCTTGTGTGGAAGCTGCGTGCCTGTTTCCGCCTGTATAGGCTGTTTGCGGGACTGGCGAGTTGTATATTCATTCATTAACTTTCTTTGGAACTAATTTCGTGGCTTTTATTCTGGATGCTCAGTCCTTGGTCATTTTGGTCTTCAGTCTTGCGGGGATCCCTTTAACTATATGATCACCTATTATTAATTTATTCGTTTTCGTCGGCATTTGCAGGCCCGTTGCCATGGGGAAGTAGCGACAGGACTGAGTATTATTCCTATGACCACATACTATTAAATCTTAAGTCAATATTAGTCTTCATTATAGAAGGAAAGTCCCGACAGCCTCAAGCCGGTGGTAGTGGAGAAACAAGCTGTCAGTCGGTTCAAATCCCCACGAGGTGGAGGAAGGTCCATGAGATGGATCAAGCGCCACAATCCTTGACTTTGATTGATGAGACTACCTTAAATTCCTTCTTTATAGGTCACTCATCCATAGGAGTCTGTAGTCGCACTAAACCTACGTCATCCAAGTGACTGTCTGTGCTAAGCTTTCTGTCGGCAATCTCACTCGGTTCATCTTAATGTCCAAACGTTGACAGTACTTTATTGGCTCTTGCTATTGTCTATAGAGAACCTGGTGAGAAAAGTTGAAACCCACGATATGGCCATGCGAGTCGGTGGTGTGGGAATATCCGCGGTGATTCAACATGCATTTTCTCATACCAATATCCACCCTGTACGCTATCGACTGGCCAATCCGTGTTCTCAACACGTGCATCAAGGCTACTTGTATTGTCAAGTGAGATATACCTTAGTATTAGTATCAGTATTGGCCTATCAGCGTCCTCCATGATATTGGTACCAAGAGATATAAAACCAAATATGTGCGTACTGTTGCAAGGTCCATGCTGATCAGATATCTACTACTTCGTAAACCGGCTTTTGAGTTAGGAATTGACAATCTATTTCATAGTATGAAGTCTCAAATAGCACCGAGTGCATTCAGCGGTAGCTTGGCGAGGGCAATGGTATGATCATTAGTAGTGGAGTAACACCATGGGAGGGGCTTTCAATTAGGGAGATCCAGTTAGCAGGAGACTAACTGATACAGGGAAAGTGTACTACAACGATGTCTCATCTGGCTGCTTTCTGGGCCTTCGATCCGTCGACGGGGTTGTTGCCCCCACCAGGTGTTACAAACCAATTTGTCCGAGATAAAATGTCCTTCAAGACCCCAATTTACACTTCCCCGTGTGATGCATCATCGTACTTGCCTATTTTCCAGCCCCTGTTCCGAGTTTGCCGCAAATTTCGCCGACCAACATGACGGTTACAACTACCACTCGCCCTACAATCCTTGTCATTCACGGGGCATGGCATCATCCTGAATTCTATGCCCCGTTCTGCAAGGCCTTTGAAGACTTGGGCTACGAAGCAGTCTGTCCTCGCCTCCTAACCTGCAACAATGATGCACCCCCCACCAAGAAATTGGAGGATGATGTGGCGCTCATCCGACAGACAGCACAGTCGCTCCTTGACGATGGGAAAACCGTCGTTGCCGTCATGCACTCCTACGGCGGAGTTGTTGGCACTGATGCCCTACACGGACTGGCGATCAAACGTCTGATCTACATGACTGCTTTTATACCCCCGAGCGGCAGCAGCCTCGCGGGTATGTTTGGCGGCAAATTGCCTCCCTTCATCACAATTGATGTATGTATCCACCCACCTCAACTGACATGCACTCACTCACGAATCCTTCTAGGATGAAAAGGATGTATTGACCGTTCCTGACCCGGCGACCTTCTTTTTCAACGACCTCCCCTCCGAGGAAGCCGCTGCATGGGCTAAGAAACTGGTGGTCCACCCGACGTCTGCCCAATTTGACCCAATCTCACAGGAGGCATATCGCAGCAGCCCCGCGACATACATTGTGTGCGAACAGGATGCGGGTCTCATTCCCGTGGTTCAGGAAATGATGATCGAAAACGTGCGGAAGGCCGGAGTGGATATAGACGTTGAGAGGTTACCAGCGAGCCACAGTCCGTTCCTCAGCATGCCGGAAGAGACTGCCAAGCTGGTGCTAAGGATTGCTTCCCAATGAACTATCAGATAGCCTAACCATATGGAACACGGTATGCGAGAAGTTTTTGGCAGGATTTTCTCCGCAAGGTTCGAATAGATCCTCTTAGTATGAGACATTTCGTGGGCTGATACAACGGCTTGCAGCTGAAGAACGGGTCGGATGTAACAAATCGCCATCCCAGGCCAATTGGGCTGCGGGAAGGCTTCCATTTCGCTCGTTGCCCGACCCACTCCGTGCGATCCTGCAGGGCCAGGATCGAAGTTTATTTGATTAATCTTGCGTGGTTGGTTTGACCGGTTCCAGACTTTGCAGGTAGTCTATTTACTGAGTCCTGCTCTCGTCTGTCTCGTGAGGAAATTCACCTGATGACCTATGCCATCATCAATTGTTTCATGTCTTTGTTAACATAGGCGATAATGTTGCCGTAGAATGATCCATGCCTGGCCTCCCAATGTCATAGTACTTACAGATACTACTCTCTATCTTCTAGTGGCCTATATGCTAGGCGTGATGCATTCTTTGTCGACCTTCAGCTCGAGTTAGAAGAGCCGCTGCCGCGGAAATGCAGATTAGCTATTTCTAAACAATCCCGCCCAACCTACTAGGTCTAGCACTCTAGCGTCAAGAGGAATATCACTAGTCTAATGCACAAATCCCAAGTTTAATGGGATGGTCTGCGCGCGTCGAGCCACCAGGAGCAAGATCTGCGGGCGGGGACGGTGGGCCATAGACAAGCCCTCGGATTTGGGCATTTGCACGCACATGTAAATTTTAGGGTACAATAAATGCTCCTTTTTCGAGACCTCCGGGATTTAACAGCTCCTAGAAAGGCGCGTCGATGCGAACCCCTGCTCATATGTACATAACCCTGGCGACACGAGCTCCCTCTTGGACGATCGCGACACTAAACGCTAAGTGAAACCTTTCGAGCTTCAAGGGCAGCTTAATTCAACTCTCAATCTGATCTTAAAATGTTATCCACACGCAAGTGCTAGTGTCGAACGGGGTCCACGTGGGTTTAAATAAGTACGTCAAGCAATCCAGCAAACCTTGGGTCAACGTCCGACGAGCTTGCGAAATTGTGCCGTCATTTAACCGGCAACTAGGGTTATGTATATACCTCAACGACAACGGCGAAGTCATCTTCTGGCAAAAGCTTTTTTCTTTGCGTTATGGGTGCTAACGACCGGGGCAAAACCTACATCACAGTCAGTGCTGTGCTCGTCGCGCTGTCCACGGTTGTTGTTGGGTTTCGCATCGTTGCGCGATGGATGAGAACCACCTTGGGACTGGATGACTATGTCATCTGTGTGTCGATTATTCTTGCCTATAGCATGCTGGGGGAGGCGGTCTTTTGTATGCGTACCAAATCGCAACGAGATCGAGCATTGGGCTGATCATGTACAGGGGCCCGAGATGGCGGGCTAGGAAAGCACATGGACGAGCTGAGTATTCAGGAGAAGATCACCTTCCAGAAGGCGAGTCTCAGCGGGCATCCAGCTGCGATCAATCTTCGTCTAACAAGAATCACAGTGTTTCTTCGCCAACGAGATCTCCTATACGCTCCTCATCCCCTCGATCAAAATCTCCATTCTCCTGCTCTATCGCCGAATCTTCACCGTTCGCAAGTTCCGAATCGCGAGCCTCATCACCGGTGGCCTAGTCCTATCATGGTGTCTCGCTGTCTTGATTACCGTCTTTCTTCAATGTCGCCCGATTGCCCTGAACTGGAACAAGACCTTAGAGGGAACCTGCATCGACCCGAAAAAGTTTTTCTTCGGCAATGCGATATCCAATCTCCTCATCGATGTGGTTATCCTCGCGTTACCGATCCCGATGGTTCTACAGCTCCAGCTACGTTTGACCCAGAAGCTCACTATTCTGGGCATATTCCTTCTGGGTGGATTGTACGATCCCATACTACGTTTGTGGAAGATGAAAGCTTATGAATCCAGTGTCTGTGTCGCGAGCGTTATGCGAGTCGTTACCCTCGATATTTTCGAAACGATGGATACCTCATGTATGTTTGTTTCCTCCGTTCCGTCTCGAATCCACTCGGACTCAACTGATACCTCCACCGTATAGACTCCGTGATGGAAGCCGCGACCTGGACCTTCGTCGAGCCCTGCGTCGGAATCATCTGCGCGTGTTTACCGACCCTTCGACCGCTGCTACGGACCCTATGCTGTTCCTTCTCGTGGAGCACGGATCATTCCGACGGTCCGCCGGCAAACTATAGGATGCACAGAATATCCAGCGCGGCAAAGAATGACTCGGCGGGTAGGAGCGACAGGGAATGGGACCATAAGCGATTTGGAGATGAGTTCGCATTAATGGGAGGGAACACGAAAGTAACTGTCAATGGAGATGATGCTTCTTAGATTTGATTTCGGTCTAGGCGTTTGGTGTATACCCAAAATGTGATTTACGGTTGCTTTTTGTATACTATTAGACAGGTTGGGATTTAGGGTAACACCCTGAGAGGATCATACAACGGGTGGTATGTCTGTTCTCTACCTCCAAGTCAGAGTCTATCGAGTGTTCTATAGAAAGTCAACTTGAAATGAAGGAATTGTCACGATACAAGATCATCTGAGTGTGAATTTGGGCTTAGCCAAAGTTAGACGGAACCAAAGTATTCTCTCACCTCGTATGAAGTCGTGTCCTGCGATGGCTTTGGAGCTTAGAAATGCACGTATGTCGACAGCCAGCCGGCCAAGCAATATACATGGAACTAGACCAGTTGATGCTGTGATCCTGAGCTTTTCACAAATCATGCCCGCACATGTTGAGGGTACTCTCTACATTCTTGTTTTTCTTTTTGTAAAAAAAAAAAAGAAAAGAAAAATTAATTAACTAAAATAATTAATAAATTGAAAAATTGAAACAAATAAAAGTGAGGGGGTTGGGGGGAGGTTTTGCGACCACACCCATCATACTCAACATTTCTTTCGGTATCATATGAGCTTAAACATTCGACATCCTTTCATCGTCATGGCCCGCAGGCATGGGGATCCTCGATAGCTTGCTGATGATATGGTACTAACCTTATCGTGGATTGGCTTCAGGGGTACCATGGGCAGCCCAAGCCCAGGAGGGTCTCGTTAGGTCTGGAAGTTTGCTAAGCCAATCCCGCCCTAATGTTCTTTTATTAGATGAAGACAGTAAAGCATATGTCAGTTGATCGCCCATCCAAAGCACCTTAAACGGGGGGGTATCGATACAAAACTGGGTTATAAATATCATGTAGCTCTCTCTATTTAGAGGAGTCTAGAATCGTGACGCCGAGACTCTGTAGTCTTCTGCACCTCCTGCCTTCGTCCGTCTATTGTTGATATCAGTAAATCATATCATGTCGAATACAAACAACACACCTAGTTCACAACCCGCACATGCGGGTACATCCACAGAGGAAGCCCCGAATTATAAAACATTCACAGATGCAACAGATAAACTGTACAAGAAGTTGGTTCAGGAGGAATCCCACGAATGGTGGCAGTACCGCTTCGTTAGCACGTTTTTCAACTTACTCGCGATCGTGCAAGTGATGGTCGGAGCTACCATAACTGCTCTTGGACCATTTGGAGGCCGGCATTTGATTGCTATAACCGTGTTAGGCGCTATTAACACCGTTCTGGCCGGGTTTATAGCTCTCCTCAAAGGTAGGGGCCTTCCTCAGCGACCCCGGAAGAATATGCTGGAGCTGAGAAGGGTTCGGGAGTATATTGAGCAAAAGAGAACCATGTTGCAGTACAGGAACAGGAAGTTCTCGAGAGATGAGGTTGACTCTCTACTGGAAAATGTTATGAGGAGGTATGATCTTGCTGAGGAGATTATTGAAAGGAATCAGCCGGATACCTATACGGGTGGTGCGGGACCGACCGGTAGAGAACGTCAACCAGACGAAGAAAGAAGTCCAGGATAAAGCAGGTATCTATGAAGTACGTTGTGTTGAAATTTTACTCTGGCTGATTGTGTTTCGTGTCATAGGTACTGTGGAGACCTTGACTAATAGCTTACAGATGCTTTCCTGCTTGACCGGTTCCAGCTCCGCTCGCCCTGTATTTCTGGAGGCAGATGATTGTTGGAGTTCTCACTCCAGTGGCATGACACTCACGGTCCGCTCTTGCCTTCCCCCTGAAGTGGCTAAGGCTTTATTGGCCTGACAGCTATTACCTTCATAGCTGACTTTTGGGCTACGTTATGGATTCAGACATATATGTGGTTGGTCTACCCGGTACCCTTAATAGAGATGTCATGAACAGCCACACTGGAACGGTGTTGTGAAAGGAGTGACTATTCACAGACCACTGGGGCTTCCAAGTCGTCTCAGGGCGTGCTGGTATTCCAATTAGCACTACAATATCAGAAGAAAATTGAACTCATAAGGCTGTCAGGCCCACCGCCTTTGCGTTTTTGCTTCGGGCGTCTAACATTATTTCCTGTCCTTTTTTGGGTGAATCTCACGGCATCATGCTTGCATCGCTTCGTACGATGGGAGATTGTTGCTGTATATATTATAGCTGCTAGTTGAAGTCTACCGTTCCCGTTCTTCCACACAGTAATAATTGAATGGCACGTGTACCAAGTTGACCATCTCCAAACTATTCTAACATGAGCATGTGTCGAGGCCTCCAGATCGGAGGGCCTGGAAGAGTAAGGGAAGTAATTTTCGTGATGATATACCATCCAATCAGACGACTGTCTAAGAGTCTGCTTTACTGGGGCCCCCTTGCCACTCTAGTGTATGAAAATAGTGCCTCCTATTGCCTAGACTTAGCCGGAAGCGATCCCAACTTTTGTAATTCAGCCTAATCTCCTTGTTCCTTGCTGCGGGTCTCCGTTCTTGCCATGGATGGAGAGAATACATTGTTACTGTCAGCTACCACCGAAAAAAGTACGTTAAACTCAATGGCCACCTGCTACCGCACTTGTACTTCTTGTTCTCCTCGTTATTGAGCTGGAAGAGAGATATGGCCCTGTATGCTGTCGCAAATACGCTAAAATCACGACCACACGATACTATCTTCGCAGTGAGCGGTACGATATAATAATCACCATAGAGTCTATCCGCTCTGTATCTATATTTCCGACAATCGATGCTTCACCTTTGAGGAACTTCTCTCCAATAGCGGTTGAGAAATATATGCTAATCGCCGAGAAATGGTCCAGAGAGACAATACACTGCTGAACTCGCCATTGTTGCGACTTCCTGTCTATTGGCAAGACAAGCTTCAAGTTTGATAAATTATTGGAGGGAATTCTTTTCAGAATTAGATGAGCTTTGTACGTCCGGCTTCAGGCACGTAAACTATTGTCTTTACATATGAGCCTTGGATATGCTTCCATGGTGCAGAGAACAAGAGACCCTCTGGGCTTGTGCTCAATATTTCCCGTTCTTTAAGACTCCTCTAAGTGAAACAATGCTGTGACTTTGACTTTCCGTCATTTCAGCCTGCCTCACAGCTGCCAATGTGCTGTCAGCTAGCGACAGTCTTCTATTTTGAGCCACACACAATGTGGTACCTTGTCTACCAAAATGGCAACGCTGCGTACTCCACCAACTCCGACATCAGCCATTCTGCTAGGTGGAGCCCACCCAAGAATTTCTTCGATAGCATGCCCAGTATCATTCCGGAGAACATGGGTAATGGGAACTGGATTGACATGTGGACCATCTGATGCGTCCAACTGCTACCTTCTTTCATCGGATAACAACGGTCATCTCTGCCGCTCTCAGACCTCGCCCGGGAACTGTCCGAACGGCATGGGGAACACGGTCATCGCGCTACAAGACTCGGATGCATATGTCTTCTTCGAAGCGTCCAATGTGTGCAGCACCGGTGACGGTAAATACCTTCTTTCTCGTTGAAGCCATCGGGAGTGACGGTGCAAGATATTTCCGTTCCTGGGCTTCGTCTAGTCTCACTGGTACCTGGACTGCTCTTGCCGACACAGAGGCCAACCCTTTGCGCGGTCGAACAATGTCAAATTTAGCACCGGGGCCTGGACTACGAGTATCAGCCATGGCGAGTTGGTGTGCATTAGTGTTGACCAGACCATGAGTATTAACCCCTGTAATCTGCGCTATCTTTACCAGGGCGTGGATCCAAACGCGAGGGATAGTTACAATTCCTTGCTGTGGAAACTTGGACTCCTCACCTAGGCCAACTCTGCCCGTTAACGGGCAATTATCGGACAGGCTAGCTTAAAGAAGTCTATCAGTAGGCTGGACTGTGGATACCCACAGCAAGTCAAGGCTTCAGCTCAGCGTCGGGAAGCAATCTGCCCTGGCTCCACTTTCTGCCGTAGTTCAGGGACTGGATAGCAAGGCTACTTTTAATAAAAGCTATTCCGCATTGAGCGCTCGAACTCGCGGAGTTCTTTTATAATAAGTGGCTGCCTCTTGTTTTCTACCTTCCCACTCTATCATTGGTAGCTTGGCAACTCAGTCGTTTCGCTGGAAGTGCATTGCATTGCTAAAATAGGAAATCGCTTGTTTACAGGGCCCGTAAGTTCGAAACGTTTGACACTTACGATGCTCAGAGACCCTAGTCATGTGGGCCTATGGTCTAGCCAACCATCAATCGTATCAGTACTCCGTAGCTGCATTGTCCATAAAGCCATGACTACCGAGGCAGTCAAGCGCCAAGGAGAGCTCATGTGTCGAAAAGGGACACCCTCAGAGATCGGTACATCTGGTATCAGCTATGGTACGTATAGACAGACCGGAGGTTGAATTCGGTTGGAATCAGGCGGACCTTTGCCCATATTACGGGGGTTCAGGCTCTCGAGGCTATTTCAGAGTCTGCGTTTAGACGCTGGTTACAGAGCCATTTCCCGTTCGGATAAAGCCTAAATCGTGTCCTGGCTTGAGGTACTCTGGCTCTGACCAATAGAACAAGGTCCATGCTGCATGACATCCTACGGCTAGACGCAGTAGTGTGTCATGAACAGTGCCTAGACTGTTTCTCTTAAACCGCTCTAAGCTGGGCGGCTATAGGTTCTTCTCAGGTTCGAAGCCATCTGTACGTATAGTAATGCTGATTACTTCTGCTAGCAACACCCGAATGTGTGAACTTGCACGTTACTATGGCACCTGTCCTAGTGCACCTAGGTCACAGCGTAATGAAGAAAGTACAACTAAATCCAGGGTCCCAGGGGGAAATCCACAATACAAATCGAATTATATAGAGTAATCTCATGAGACACAACTAGATACGCCTCTTGCGGGTGAAGTTCTCACTAAGCAGACCCTCGGCAGTTCACGTTGTAGGAACGACCCGATAGCTATAAGGCGGCGGTTTCAGGTTTTCCGACCAGATCACTAATCTTCTTGGCTCCGGTTCTGTAGACCGGATTGGTGAGCCCCACTAGCCCTACTTAAACCCGTTTCTAACTTTAACTCACGACTAGGCTGAGGCGCTTCATCCAACGAGAATCAAACATGGAAATGACACTGGTCTTCTTCATCTGGCGGTTGAGCTCGGAAGAGATTTCCCTGTGTTTCTGCTCCTATATGTCCCTAGCATTTGGCCTTGGTCGAAGCTGGTAGATGGCACACTGCGCTCATCTGGGTTTCACCATTACACTAGTGCTTCCATGATCAATGTAGCATTTTCAACTGCGTTTGTTCCGCATTTTGCTGCCTTGGGCAATCAATATGTTATTATCACAGTTGGTCTGCCACCTCTGCGTTGATACAGGACCCCGGCCTACTCATAATCTGTCCGTGATGGATCGTCGAGCGAATCTAGTCTTACGCAGCCAGTGCGAGTTGAGTTGTAGAGATAGTACCATAATTACTAGAGTAGTTGGTGATCACTGTACGTTCAAAACTCACACCGGTTATACAATAGGCCGCCCTTAACCGTGTGTACCTATCTCGCTAGAAGACAACACCGTGCCTCGAAAGGAAGGTCCTTACCCTTCTTATGTGGGGCAGTGGATTTACCCATGTCGTGACAAACCGCAAATTAGCCATTGGCCGCACGTCTGTCAGATTCTAGACATCATGCCGTATGGGACTATGGGTTTAGCCTAGGGATTCTGACCCTTGAGTTACTTGGAAGGCTTGGCTCTTGACAGCCAGGTAATGGGCCACTACGCGATTCGTATCTTTTTATAGTATCTTTGTATAGTATCTTCGTATCGGATTCTTTCATTCTCTGGTCTGGCGAGTGCCACGGGGCTACATTAACATGAAACTCTAGGCTTTATTTCAATTTTGTTCCCTCAGTCCCTCGTCAGGCTGGGAGAACTATTTAAGCTGTGGGCTACCAACATAACCATGTTGACCTTTCGCTATCAATTCGTTCATTCTTTCCGTTGTTTTTTTAGTGTTGTTCATTCTCTTCCTTTCTTACCGGGCAAACTAGACGTTTGCTTTCCTTTCTTTACCTTCCTTTTTTGTTTCTTTTGTCCAAGATGAAGCTAAACCTTGCCTCTCTTGGTTTTCTTGCGAGTATCACCCCGCTGGTTTCGGGTCATTATGTGTTTTCGAAGTTGATTGTCGACGGACAGATCACTAAGGATTTTGAATACATTCGAGAGAACAGCAATGGGTACCAACCAACACTGGCTTCTGAAATCGTGAGCAATGACTTCCGCTGCAATAAGGGCTCCATGGACTCTGCAGCCAAGACCAAGGTCTACACGGTTGCTCCAGGAGCAGAGATCGGTTTCCAGCTCGCCTATGGTGCCACGATGAAGCACCCCGGCCCTCTGCAAATCTACATGTCCAAAGCACCCGGCGACGTCAAAAGCTACGACGGATCAGGCGATTGGTTCAAGGTATACCAGGAGGGTGTTTGCCACGACATTTCCGGCGGCTTGAAGGATACCGACTGGTGCACGTGGGATAAGGATACTGCGTCCTTCAAGATCCCCGAGAATACTCCGGCTGGTCAGTACCTCGTTCGTGTTGAACACATTGGCCTTCATCGCGGCTTCAGTGGAAACTCCGAGTTCTACTTCACCTGCGCTCAAATCGAGGTAACCGGCGCTGGTTCGGGCGTTCCGGAACCCTTGGTCAAAATCCCGGGCATGTACAATCCTGAGGATCCCAACATCCACTTCGACATTTACTACCCTGTCAAGACTTCCTACGACCTTCCCGGCCCTTCTGTCTGGTCTGGCAGCGCCTCCGCTTCCTCTTCCACTATCTCCGCCCCTCCTGTCAATAACGCCGCCGCCGCTTCCTCTGTGGCTCCGACGACTCTTGTGACTCTCTCCAAGACTGCCGATACACCCGCGGCGACGGCCCCCGCTCCATCAGTTGGTACTATCAAGAAATACTACCAATGCGGTGGCGAGGGTTGGACTGGATCAGGATCGTGTGAAGCCGGCACTACCTGTCGCGACTGGAACCCTTGGTACCATCAGTGTGTCTAGGCCGCTACACAGTAGGACACTTTCTATTGCTAGGACGCAAGTAGCCAAATTCGTCTTCTTTTATATATTCTCTCGTGGCTCTTCTCTTAAGCTATTCAGATCTTGTATTGATAACAGCTCTACTTCTGAAACAACAATTTGAACCATCATTTTTTTTTCTTCTTATATCAATGGAATAAGTATTAAAGTTATCAATGAGCCGTGGTCGTGGGAGGTCTGAGCATCTATGATAGGTTGGGAATTATCTTTTGGAAGGGCAGATGGACGTGCAGGAATTCTATCCCACACAATAATCATCTCTGATAGTATCTCGTAAAATATGTAGGTATGACCTCAAACAGTTACTCTGTTAGGAGGCATCGTCGTCATGATCGACCGTCAGCTTCCGCACCTACGTCGTTCTACAGTCCTCAGAAGCTACAATGCGAGGCATCTCGCTCTCATTTACCTATCAAAGCCACTGCTTAGCCTATGGCTCGTCAGATGCAGCTATGATGCAACGCCACATATGTAAGCGCGACGTGTATACTAGCTCGCATATAAACCAACGAACAACCAACATCTACGCTCCAACAATACAAACCATACCAGCTACACCAAGCTCTCTCATCACAACCCTTCCACACAGTATCAGAAATGAAGTTATCAAACGTCCTCATCAACAGCCTCCTCCCCATATTCGGGCTATCCCATCCCTTCCATCTCCACCAAGAAAAGCACCTCGTCCGCCTACCCCTCCCTCCCCCAGATAACTGGGTCGCGGGTCCGCGTCTATTCCCCGGAGAAGTCATTGCGGGCTTCCATGCCCACATCGACGAGCACGACGCCAAGGGTTGGCGTGAGTATGTTAACCAGCAATGCGAGAAGTTTCATGACTGTACCTCGACCCTATCGTTCAGCGGTAAGAGCCCAGATATAATAACTACGATGCCGTCGGAATTGGCGTTGAAGGTGACTTGTTTCTGCTCTAGCGAATAATGTCGGCTCGACGGGTGGGCGGTACTGGTTTGGATATGTCTTTCGGGGTGGGCCTACTACGCCGGATGACTATGTTAGGGACTGGACTGCTAGGGCTCAGGTGAAGGATTCGGCTGCATATACTGTCAGCTTTGAGGATGGTGATGACGATGGTGATGACTTTCTATGGTTACAGCGGGATATCTTGTAGATGGCTACAAGTGGTCTGCGATGCTGTGGCATAGGGTGGTCTCGAGACGTCTTATGGCTTGGTCTTGTTAAATATTGTGGTCGGTCTCTCAAATGATATGTATTATCGTGATATAAGAGACCTAAAAGCAAGCAAAACTCACTGTGCTCGAACTGATTGATCCAAGATTATATTCGTATGATTCGTTAGGTAATGCGACGTGCATTCGTACTGAAGCACTTTGGTTCTTCACTGCCAAGGCAAAAGTTACATACGGCATGAGATACTTCCAAATGAAAGGTCAGACCAGGTCTCCTTGATAAAATCGGCACACCGTTCCCCAATTCCATATGCTGGCATCTGGGTATGTCCACCGTGCAAAGTGGGCATTACACTACAGTCCGCAACGCGCAGTCCAGCAACTCCCTTGACTCTTAGCTTGTTATCCAGGACAGCAAGGGGGTTATCGTCCTTGCCCATCGCACAAGTTCCGGAAGCATGATAGCCTGTTGACATTAGTATATCGCTCGAACGAGGACTGCGGACACACTTACAGGTGGTGGCATGTTCCTTCACATATGGAATCCACTCCTCCCGAGTCGTGTAGGTATGATGGGTCAGGTTGGGCGGCCAGGATCCCTTGACAATATCTTTGGTTCCCGCGCCTTTCATGACCACCTCGTTGCCAAAGCGGCAGGCCTCGGTCAGCACCAGGAGGTCCATTGGATCCGCCAGGTAGTTGCAGTCAACGATGGGGTTTTCCAGCGGATCCTTAGATTTCAAGGTCACCGTGCCCCGAGATTTCGGGGCAAAGAGCTCGGCAATCATCGAGAACGCGTGCTTGTGGTCGACGGGGAACTGATCGTACTGCTTGGGTCCGCCGTAGCACTCGGTGGTGAAGAATTCGATGTTCGGTTGTTTAGGCGTCAGGCCCATTGGGTCGCGGCCAGGTTTGCGGGGAGCGTCTCGCCACAACGGTTCGTCTTTGAGGCGCTCGTCCAGGCGGGCGAAGGCGAATGCGCCGAAGGGGAATGTCGATAGGAAGCCGGTCTTCTGTTCTTTCCATTGTGCGTATGTCTTTTCCATGTTATCGTCGTGGTAGACATGCCAGTCGTTGGTTAGGCCTTCCTGTTCGGTTTCGTAGAACATGAATACAATCTGGTTGGATTAGTAGCCCGTCCGGACTGTCGGTGAGATAGGTGGCTCACCAAATGATCCATCAGATTTTTGCCTACGCCAGGCAGGTCAACCTTGCACGGAATGTCGAACTTTTCCAATTCCTCCCGTGCCCCGATTCCAGATCGCATCAGCACGGCCGGGCTGCAATACGCACCACTAGCTATGACCACCTCCTTTCTCGCGTGGAACGTGCGGCTGGTCCCATCGGCCAACCTGGTCACGGCACCTGTCGCCCGGAGCCCAGTGGGACCTTCTTCCAACACGATGCGGTCGACGGTAGTATCGGTTTGAATCGTTACGTTGTGGCGGTTGTGATCGTTGGTTATGAAATCCGCGCCCGTAGTACGGATGCCCTTATACACGGTCCGAGGTGCATGGCCGCATCCGTGGGCAACGTCGCCCGTGCTGAACATGTCATGATGCAGCGGCATTCCTTGTGAAACGAGCGAGTCCATGAGCCGGTTCGAGATGGGGGCGAGATCGTGCGGTTCGGTATGCAGTGGGCCATTGTAACCATGGCTCTGGGCGTCGGCCTGGAACCAGTCTTTGGGATGGAATGTTTCCGACTATGACAGCATGCTGTTAGGCATGCCTATGCTCCATCCAAACTGTGGGATGAATCTAACCTTTCTCATTGCCCCAAAGAATTCCTCTCCACTCCATCCTTCCAGCTCCCAATCGTCGTAGTCTTGCTTGCTACCTCGCACACATAGCGTTCCGTTACATCCGCTGCAGCCTCCCAGAAAGCGGCCGCGGCTCAGTTTCACTTGCCGGTTATCGACTCCTTTCATAGGCGATGTGACGATATTCCAATCGGTTTCCGAGTCAAAGTTATTTGACCATCTGCGACACTTAGTGGGGTGAGACGAGTTGGGCGTAGATTCGGCATTCATACCCTCCCGTCATATGTACGTTTTCCAAATCTTTATTATGTTGACCCGCCTCCAAGACGAGCACCTTCACATCAGGATTTTCCGCGAGACGACCAGCGACAACACATCCTGCTGTACCACCTCTTTCCGGTTGACCGATCAGTTCCTACTCGCGTCGAAACACATTTCTTCAAATTCACCAGCCCGCACTTACCCGCAAATAATGTAGTCGTAAACATCTTCCGAGGTGCTTCCCATGGCGACCACCTGATATTATGCAGGAGAGAGCGGGTGACGGCGGTGGGAAACTTGTGGAATTAATTAAATCGTAAGGTTCTCTAAGGCTACTTGCCAGTCATGTCGGCATACCCCCTTTTTTTATACTCACGGTTGTAGCTCTCTCTTGTCGGTGGGAGCAGAATAATAATCCTCATATGCAATCCCCCACTTGGTGGGCACAGACGGACCACAGGTGGCCAGCCTAAAAAAAAAAAAAAGAGGGGAGCAGGATCAAGATAGCCAGTTTAATGCAGCTAACTATACTATAACTAGCTTGGCTCTCGATTCAACAAGGGATTTCAGCTCTCGATCAACCGCCCCCGGTCGCTCTCGGCCAGAAAGAAAGCCATTGTGATTCGCTGTGGATCAGACTGCTTTAGTAACGTTACGTCTAGTCGTGAGTCGTGGATAATTCTCCAAGCGAAAGAGGGGGCCAAGACGCCACTAAGCCCGCACCATGGATGAGCTGAAGGCAATCCCTCCCGACACTGCGTAATTCATGCAAAGGTTGATTTCGTGTTGCGGGCCGAGGTGTTCCCTCGTCGCATACGGGGGGGGGTTGTCTCTGCACGCTGCTGCACATGGCGTACGTGCATCCTTCCATTTATGTGTGTGTGTGTGTGTGTGTGTGTTCCGGACGCCCTCAGTTCCGGGAGCAGATTTGATCCCTGAGATTTTGAGCAGATATCAGGCGATCAACACTAAGAAAATGGGTCTGCGGGCTCCAAAATGGCTCACGATGCCTGCCTCCACTTTTACCCGCTATTCTCCCACTTGCACAGTCGCGCACACGGCTGGGCGAAACTATTATCTCAAAGCTAAATTCGGAGGAAGCTCTGGCAAGCGAATCAACACCGACTACCCCAAAAGATGTGGGTCAGGGTGTGAGAGTTCCTATACCTCCGCACCCTCTTGGGTCAAGGTTGTTACCTGTCACACTCCTAATGAAACTGCGTCGAAGAATACTACTCTGGCATCTGGCATCCCTTCAGGCCCCTTGGCGTATGGGGTAAAGCTCTGTGGAATGCTAGTATGTATGTACATACCTCCTGCTTCGCAGTACCAAAGAGTGAGGTGGCCCCCCCCAAGAAGAAGAGGTTCCCAGCAACCTATCTCAGCCCCAAACGCCGAATGGAACCTACGAAGCTTTTAAAGTTATTCTGGTCTAAAGGTAAATGGCCGTATTCCCTGTCATGCAGGCCGTTGAAGCACCCTTAAAACCTAACTATCGAATCCAGCGTACGTATCCCTGTCAGGGGCGCTCGCCACCCCATCCCGAATGGTCTCTTAAAACCCCATCGTTATGGCTACTGAGTTTATGTGAGGGAGGATCGTCGTCAATCCTGGTAGATTCGCCGTGATCTCGAAATCCCAGGCAAATCCCGATGTTTGGACAAAAGTTGACACGGTAGAAGAGCCCACTCGATATCCCTATCGGGATCCTACCCTCACAGTTGGGATCCCCAGTACAAACATCTTGTCCAGCCTGCTGCCCGCCTCTCCCGTACACGAGGACTTACCCTGGCCGATCAACTTCTCTCTGGGTCACATTTCCTTTTTCGATACTTCAACTATAGCTCCTATCCAACATTCCGTTGGCCATCCTGACTAATCCTGGACGAAATAAATCAAACTTTAACTCCTATTAAGAGGTATCCGCAAACAAAACCCTGGTCGCCGATCCATTCTTAGAAACGATATACCCCATAACCTCCCCATGACTTGAACCATTGGCCTTCATCTGGACCATGCTCCTTTCTATATATGATCCTGGTGTGGGAATTTGAAAGACGGAAAGTACCATCCACCGTCCTCCTTCACTCTGCCACACGATCCCTCCACGATGGGCAGTGCCACCCCCTTCCAGAAAGAGGCATGGACGGAATATGGCATAGGCGTAATCATCATATTCCTCCGTATTTTTGCACGTTTTAGAGTGGTCGGGGTCAAAAATTGGCAAGGAGATGACTACTTCGCGTTCGTAGTTCTCGCCTTCTGGACTGTAAGCGTTCCTTTTTCCCCAAGTCTGGCAACATGCCATTCTAACCGATGGTAGGCAGAATTGACCATGCTGGAACTGATCGGTAGGCGCTTGTATCTTTCCCCAAGGTCTAGAAACCCATTGACAGATCCCATCCTCCACAGGCCAATATGGCACCAACATCGGTCTCAGTGATGACCAAAGGGCCTCGTTGACCCCCGAGCAAATCGAGATTCTTGCCCGTGGTTCCAGATGTCTTCTCGCCGGCTGGACATGCTATGTGACCCTGATTTGGTCGCTGAAGGCCTGCATGCTGTTCTTCTACAACCGCCTCACGTAAAGGCTCCCCACAGTCCCGCCGAGTCAGCTATCCAACTGACCATCTTTCCTAGACTGGGCCTCGTCCAACAAAAGCTCGTCAAATTCAATGCCGTGCTTTGCGCTTCCACATACGTTGCCGTCATTCTGACTATCTTCTTGCACTGTCGGCCGCTGCACAAGAACTGGCAGGTTTATCCGGATCCTGGTCGTAAGGACGCTCACAGTGTGCTTGAGAGCAAGCTACCATGCTAACTACGATGTCCAGTCAACTGCTCTGCCGACTACGTGAACTATATCGTCATTGCAGTGACCAATGTCACGTTCGTGGCCCCCCCCTACCTAATACCAGAATCCATGCTAATGTAGCGCACAGAACAGACGCGATTCTCGTGTGCATCCCCATCCCATTATTAGCTAAAGTGCGGCTCGCATTGCGCCGGTAAGCACCCTAGTGCAACAAGAACACAACAAGCCGGTTTCTAAATCCGACCATGCATAGAAAGCTGATTATCGGAATCCTCCTGTGCGGCGGTGTCTTCGTCATGATCGCAACGCTCCTGCGCTGTATTCTTTCCCTGCAAAGTATCAACAGCATCAACACCAGTACCATCTGGGCTATTCGCGAAACGGTAAGGTCGCACACTCCACTCCCCGCATGTCTTTTGCTGGTTCTTCTGGGGGATAGACATTGGGTTGGGTTCGCTAATCGGTCTGTCAGTTCGTGGGTATCATCGCCGTCAACGCCCCCTGCATCAAACCGCTCTTCAGCAGCTCCACCTGGCTCGGGTCCTCCTCGGCAGACCCGTATGCATCCTCGCGCAAGAAGGGCAGCTACAGCCTGTCGGTGTTCGGGAAGTCGAAGCCGAGTCAGTTGGAGTCGACGAGGAGTACGAAGGTGGGCGGGCGATCCAGCGATGAGTTCATCCTTCACGGTGGGGGAACGCAGACGGTGGTCAATGATGGGCAGACGGGGCGGTCCGAGAGCCTGTCAGACGAGGAGGCGGGAAGGCACCCGATGGGGGGCATTCAGGTTACCACGATGTATGAGATTCGGCGGGATGGGTCTCAACATGAGTGATTGAGTTTGGATTATCAGTTTACGTAAACTGGTGGGCTTCGGGTGGCGGGCTAGGCGGTCTTGGTGATCGTGCGTTTCGGAGGAAAAAAAGATGTACTATAGTTACGATGATGTTGAGGAACGTAGAAGCTATACCCAGTACAGTAACTCTCTTTTGACAAATCCTGAAGGTTCGATATACGGGGTGAAGGGATCAGTGCACGAGTCCTTCTATTTGAATTTGGATAGCACGGAAGTTAATTCGCAAGTACCGGTACGGGGACCAGGAGCCAAGATGATGGTTCATAAATGATCCGTCGGAACTGGGAAAATGAGGCGCCAGCCCCTGATGGTATTTTCTTGGACATGACTGGTCGTCGAGTGATCGTGTCAAGATTCAGGGCAATAAAGATACATCAAGAGTTGTCCATTTCGTTGCCTCATGTGACTTATCAGCATGTGACTGATAAGGGGTCCTGATCTTTGAGGCAGGTACCATGCCGCATGGGGACTAGCGTCGGAAACCAACCGACACTAAGCGTAATCGGTCTTTTTTGGCCTGTTTTTTGCCATCCAAAGGAGGGGCAAAACTGCGAAAAGGCCGTGACTAGTTTCTGCCCTAAGCGACGGCAGCTGAGAGAGGAGGGGGGCAAAACGCCCGCGACGAGTTCTCCTCAGTCGCCACCCAGGAGTCCTGTTGGTGTTTGCCTTGTTGCCAGTTGGAAGCCCTGCATAAGTGTAACTCAGTTTTATCTAAACTTGAGGGGCCCGAGGTCTTGGCACTGATAGATATGGTTGAGACCCACCGCGCACACGATGGCCTCACGGTGGTGATTTAGGTTCTCAATCGCAATAGATTGAAGATTCTTGGGGTGAGAGGATACTGAAGAAGGCTTCGGTCCAGGTCATGAAGGTGAAGATAACGGCATTGACTTCCGCTAAGCTCGCCATGTTTGCAGTGACACCACTGACGAAAGGCCACTTTCCGCTCCCATCGGCTGGCCGTTCGATGTTACATAATGGCTCGACGCCTTGCGGCCAGTGAAAAGTCTGCAGGTGGATCTCTTTGCGGAGTCTTATTCCAGTTTGACTTGATGAATTTTTCTAGAGCCGGAAAAGAACGAGAAAAAAAAATTAAAAAATAAAAAAAAATTAAAAAATAAAAAAAAATAAAAAAGAATAAAAAAGAAAATCCCAACCGTATGACTACGTAGTATTCTGTTCGGAAAAGCTTTTTCTTTCTCTGACACAGATCATCGAACTCGTGCATGCACGTAACCGCGTCCCAATCCCCTCACTCTCCCTTTCCCTCTGACGAGTCACTTTTACCTGTCCAATATACAACATAATATACGGCCGGGATGGCCATTGACGAGGTCACCCCTGCGCCGCAGGTGACGGAAACCGCTGCTGGAAACGACAGTGACAAGATCAGCGTCAAGACGGGCGCGAACCCTCTGAAGAAGTTTGGCAAGAAGAAGGATGGCAACGGAAATGAAGATGTGGAGAAAGATGGCATTGGAGGGGATACGCCGCCGCATGACTTGCAGCGCAGGCTGAAGAGCAGACATTTGCAGATGATTGCTATCGGTCAGTCAGGATCTGATGTACATACAAGCTGGTCGGAACTGGGTTTAACCGTGACACAGGTGGTACAATTGGAACGGGTTTGTTCATCAGTAGTGGAACAGCCATCGCACACTCCGGTCCGGCGGGTGCCCTCATCGCCTATATCTTCGTTGGTTCGATTGTGTTCTCGGTCATGTCCTCACTAGGTAAAATCTTTATGGTCTTGAGATGAGATACGTGCGGGGGTACTAATCTATTGCAGGTGAGGTCGCAACGTATCTTCCAATCTCCGGTTCTTTCACCTCCTACACCGCACGACTCGTCGATCCCAGTCTGGGCTGCGCGATGGGTTGGATCTATTGGTTTAACTGGGCTTCGACGTACGCTGTGGAACTGACTGCTACCGGTCTGATTGTTCAGTATTGGGACGATCAACTGTCGGTAGCCATCTTCATCGCCATCTTTTGGGTAGTGATCACACTTCTCAATTTCCTCCCGGTCGGCTTTTATGGAGAAATCGAGTTCTGGTTTTCGATGATCAAAGTGCTCACGGTCCTGGGATTCATGATCTTCGCTATCTGCATTGACGCTGGCGTGGGACAGCAGGGCTACCTTGGATTCCACACGTGGAAGGAGCCCGGAGCATTTGCTCCCTATCTGATCGACGCGTCAAATCCGGTGTCCAAGTTCGTCGGTTTCTGGGCCGTGCTTGTGCAGGCCGGTTTCTCCTACCAAGGTACCGAGCTGGTTGGTGTCGCGGCCGGTGAGACGGAGAATCCGGAGAAGACCGTTCCCTCGGCCATCCGCAAGACCTTCATCCGTATTCTCGTCTTCTTTGTCCTGACCATCTTCTTCATGGGCTTGCTGGTCCCTTACGACAACCCCAACCTCATTACCGACTCCAGCGACGCCTCCGCCTCCCCTATGGTCATCGCCGCGAAGCTCGCCGGCGTGAAGGTCCTGCCTAGTCTGATCAACGCCGTCCTCCTGACCGTGGTCCTGTCGGCGGCCAACTCCAACGTCTACAGTGGCAGTCGTGTGCTTCTCGGTCTGGCTCAGGAAAAGTTCGCGCCCCCAATCTTCGGCTGGGTCACCCACCGTGGTGTGCCCTACGTTAGCGTCGCCTTCACCGCCGCCTTCGGACTTCTCGGGTTCATGAACGTCTCCGAGTCCGGTGGAAAGGTCTTCAACTGGCTGGTCAACATCTCCAGTGTGGCTGGATTCATCTGCTGGACGTCCATCAGTCTGAGTCACTTGGCGTTCATGCGTGCGCTGAAGGCGCGCGACATCTCTCGCGATACCTTGCCTTACAAGGCCGCCCTCCAACCCTATCTGACATGGTACGGGCTCTTCTTCAGTGTCCTGATCATCCTGACCCAAGGATTCACGGCCTGGATTCCCACCTTCAACGTCTCCGATTTCTTTGTTGCGTACGTCTGCGTGATCATCTTCGTGGTGCTGTACCTGGGCCACAAGCTTCTCTACCGCACCCATCTGGTGCACCCACTCGAAGCAGACCTGCAATCGGGCCGCCTCCAGAACTACTCCTGGGAAACGGCGAGGCCGAAGACGTGGCAGGAGAGGCTTCGCGAGAGTCTTTGAATTAGTATAATACCCCGTTGCTCTGCGGTGTAATTCACATCAAGGGGCTGCTGGCATGGCAGCTGTGCGTGCATAGAAGAAGCTGCGCTCTGGGCTCCGGCTCGGAGCAGGCATTCGTCGAAGCGTCTTTTACATTCCCCATTTACATATAGCAACAGTGGAGTTTTGGGTGTTTTGGGTGCATATCTTTGATGATTGGTATGTGATCATGCGATCATGCGATCATGTGTATAGTGTTCTTTATATCCATGTATATGATAGACAGCAGATAGTTTATTGAATAATCATACCACAAGCGTTGTGCATAAATACATCAGTTTTTTTTTTCAGTGAAATCATGTCGCCACGCTACAACGCCCTTTATACCCACACCCACCAGTCTACATACATACAACCCCCTACAACCATCTAACACAGCCAAACCATAAAAATCCACCGCTACCCAATTCAAATCCACCGCAAAGCCCTCGCCACCACTGACACCCCCCCAAGAAGACCAGTGACGCCCGTAAGCACCACCAAAATCCCATACTCCGTCCCATAAGCGCCCCAAGCTTGGCCCTCCCACAACCTCGTCCTCAACAACGCCTCACTCAACGGCCCGCTAATCACATTCCCGATGCCGCGACCAGTCTCCATGAACGCAAAAACCATACTCACATCCGCAGACGGATGGCTCTTCCCGACCTCCGACGAAGTCGCAGCCCACGACGACGAAAAACTGCCCCCCGTGCATCCGTACACGATAGTAAACAGATAGAGCGGCGCGAGATGCACGCTCAACCCCCACAGCAGGAATGTGGAGAACACCGCCCCCACCGTGGAAATGAGGATGCATTTCGTGACGTGGTACCGATCCGCAAGCCATCCGATGAGGATGCAGCCGAACATGTTCGAGACATTGAAGACGGTGATTGTGGAGGACGCATGGAGGCCTTTGGCGCCGAGCAGTTCCGCGTAGCTGGGGAGGAAGATCTGGGGCAGGAAGAAGCCCAGCGATTGGACTATGTTGCACGCTTGGTAGATTAGGTAGGTACGGTTGCGGTGGAAGCTGAGGTCGAGTTGGTGCAGGTTGGTGGTTGTCCGGGGGAGGCGCGGTTTGTGGAACAGCATGAAGGGCGCCGCGAGGAGGAAGATTGCTACCGAGCAGATTCGGAGGGTGGTTTGCCAGCCGTAGGCGTCCAGGAGGGATTGGAGGATTAGAGGGAAGATTATCCCCGTTAGGCCTGAGCCGCTCTGTTTGGTTGGTCAGGTGTTAGTGTTGGGATTGTTGGATAAAGGGGAGGGAGGTTGGGGGCATGGCTTACCCAGACAATGCCGAAGGCGAGGCTTTTCTTTTTGACGAACCAGTCCGGCATGAAGAGGATTGATGGCGCGTAGGCAAAGCAGCCTGCGGTGCCGTATGCGATGCCTTGTGACAGAACTAGGTGGGTGACGTTTGTGGAGAATGAGCTCAGGGCCAGGGAAAGCGATAGGACTACGAATGCTATCGAGGATGCCCATCTTTGTAGTCTAGGGAGGGCTATCAAGATGGCCATCACGATGGGGGATAGCAGGTACGCCATGCCCTATTGCTATTAGCAGGTCGACATATCCCTATGGGATGGGATACTCTGGCTTACCATTGCGCAGGTCCCTATCGCAGCTATAGCATGGGACCCTTGGAAGGTCGGGTCATTTCGATAGTAGTTTTGAAATACACCGAAACAGGCGGCGAATCCTAACGCAGGTGCCCGTCGTCAGACGCTACCCTAGCATGTCAAACATGGTTAACTCACCCCATACGGTGCCTTCCACCACAAAGCATGCTGCTAAGAAAAGCCATGCGTGGAGTCCTCCATCTACTGGAGGTAGCTTAGGGTCATTGTATTCGCACTCCAAGTCGAAGGTCTGGGAGGAGTCCGTCGGGGATGGAATACTCGACTCTTTGCAGAGAGCGTGCGGAGCCTTTTCAGTATCCTTGCCCTCCATTTCGTGATAATACTGATACAAGAGCAGAATTAGGGGTCACCTCAAGTGGGTTGAAAGATAGAGCCAACACGGGATAAGGTTGTACAAATAAGAGGGTTCTCCATGATGAGTTCTCCCCCATGCGAACTCGCTTCTGAATATGGGCTGAGCTGTGAAATAAGACAAACAGGTTTATCCCTTGGGGATAGGTAATCCTATAGATGCGTTGGTATGCAGGACGGACATTTATTTACCAAGTAAGTAGTAAAGTTGTCGATCATTGCGATTCTAATGTCCGAGGAATGCTTTTGGCCTATTTTGGAACTAATACCCTTCCACCTGCATACGGTGCTATACGTACAAGCTCGTGTGACAGAATCGTACTTCCATAGCTTATTGTTCCGTATGTCGTACGGCAGCATACACTTGCCCCCGCTTGAGCCCCTAGTGCCCAGTACAATCCAGGCTACATGTGGAATAAGTGGTGAGTTGACGGTGTCACGCGTTGAGCTTGCCCTTGGTGATTTTCGGTATACCTTGGCTCGGAATTCTCACTTGCTAATTTTAGGTGGGGAAAACTACTGCAGGCGCGAGGATATGGGCACAGTCGGAGTCTTGAACTACGTCAAATGCACCTTATGGGGAACCGAACGCGCGGCCGTCTCTGTCGTTGACATGTAAACAGGATGTGGCCTTCGCCTGATACATACTTGAATTGATATTTGTAATTGAAACAGCATCATCGACGTGAGGAAGTAGGGCAGAAGGTAGATCGACGTCATCTCCCCGGCATGCTGGCCAGAGTACCCAAACGGCAGTTATGGGAGATCACGCCGTCTGACGCATACCATGTTTGGAGTACTATTCAACCAATAGATTACACAGGATTTGGTCATATAGTTCCTACTACAACCAGAATGTAAGTCTGTAGGGCTTGGCATGGTAATTATCACAGGGAACAACATCAGACTTGGTATCGCTCTAACCACGATCGAGAGCGTTGTCTTCTGCAAGCTAACGCAAGCCTTTGACTGCTTCGTCACCCTTGTCTGTAGCTACTTCGAGCCAGAAAATGACCGACTTAGCTTTTGCATTCATGATTCGTATAAGTTTAATCTTTTTCTTTGTCTTCATACTGACTTGGTGGGTACAGGTTGTATCAACCCGCGATATTCTCTCAAGTGGTTCGTCTCGAAGATGTCTCAGAGCTGCGTGGATGTCTCCGTACCCTGAACGGGTGTTCCCGCCGCTAAACTTAGCGGCCGGCAGCCCTGTTTTCTGTAACATGATTAGTACGGTTGTTCAGGATAAAAGACCGAGACTTTACATCACTACCCAATATGGATTCTGATCTCTCAAGGTCGCGGTCAGCGCTTAAGGATGTTTTATAGAGTTTTTCAATGTGGAGATACAACAACAGGGTATGCTTCTCAGTCCTAAAGTATCTCATCAGCAGAGGAACCTTTTGCTTGTTTGATATCAGAGTAGGTTTGCAGAAGGTTGAGAAGCGCATGACAGTTTCCTCCAACTGTGATGGCTACGTCTCAACAAAGATTGTACTTGCCCCTTTTTTTTCTTTCCTTTAACAGAAACAGATAATAGAAGAAAAGAATTCTTCAATTGGGAATTGGTATCATCTAATGTTCTCGTTTCGTGGATCACTTACGGTAAACACTACGAGCAATCAAGCCCTCCTCGCTTACTCTCACTCCTATGTTAGTATCTAGTAGGGGTTTCTATATAATTGTGTGGTCAATGGACTTTGATACTTAATTTTTAGGGTAGTCACACTCGCCTTGTTCCACCATTAGAAAATAATTGAGTTGATCTGGTTGCTGCTAAAGCCTGTACAACGTAAAGAAGTGCTCAGAAAATATATATCAAGTAGTGCATGAATGACCAACGTCACCCTTAGCGGGGCGCATAGTGTGAATTCCCTCTCACTATAGGACGATCTCCTGCTGCTGAGGGTATTGTCATGGAAAAAATAGGTGTCATAGTCCGTAAGATTGAACTGAAAAGTCTACAAACAGTAGATAAGACCTTAATCAACCGGTAGGGAACAAGCCACGCATCAGGACAAAAAGCACACAGCATAACCATAAATGCAACTTGTACAACTTCAATCACAACGATCCAGCACAAAACGCCTATTTAATTATCTAACTTATAGAGCTACCAGGTCAACAATACAGTATATCTCGATTCTCGAAACTGGTGCATCTATACTCTTCGATTGTTTTTCGAACCTTAATTAGTAATTAACACTAGTACGCATTCGGATTTTTTCCGGAGTACCTGGTAACAGTGTTGATTTACCAAGCCCTTGTTCGTACTTGTTGACTTACCTACTCCTACCTCCTTGGAAATATAACTTCCAACAGGATATCAATGCATCCAATAAACGCTCCCCCAGCGGACATTGATCCTTTCAGAATCAATATTACTAGAGAGATTGCGCACTCTGATGCGTCTTCAATATTTGAGGTAGATCTAGATGGACAAAAAGTATGCATTGAAACTCTTGCACAACAACGGCGACCCTGGATATACCGAGAAAGGTCGTGATCTAAACCGATTTCGCTGTGAATCCAAGGCATACGAGAAGCTCTTGACTTCTGGTGTCTGTGAACGCGGCTTCGTTCCAAAATTCTACGGCTACATCAATCAAATAGATCCGGCTGCATTTCATCCTACTTTCCAGCATTTCGCCCAAGACCAGTTAAACCGAGTGCAATATTACTAGAATATCTCCCGAATACAGAGAGTTTAAACTGCGTGAACTACTCGGATACGCTGTATTCCCAGGCAATTGAGGGTATGAAGGAGATACACAGTGCCGGTGTTCACCACCGAGATATCTACCCCAAAAACCTTCTCCTTGTTCATGGAAACACCGATAGACTGGTCTGGATTGACTTTGATGTTGCAATGACTTTCACCAACTTTGGACCTGAACAGAAAGCCCGCTGTGACTACGAGATTGCGCTTGTAAAGGGACTTGGGGATGCACTAGTAAGGACATCTTTGTTGTCTATAACTATAGGAGGCATCCAGCGTACTGATTGACGGATACAGAAAGATGACCAGGATAAGGGACTTCCCCCGAATACGAAATTCTATTGAATGTTTCACAGGCTTTTAATGCTTCTGACAATATTTAATGGCGTTCATGGGGTCTTGTACAGTCAGGGTCGAAAACATATTGCCGTTTCGTACACCCACCCATTGTTTCTTAATAGTTTCTCGTCAACTAGGGTGTTGCAGAATCACTTATAGAAAATGACCGCAGTTTCGAGACCTACAATGCTAAGCCTTCTTCTCCAAGAAGTCGGTATACCGACCAAATTGATGAAAAAGGGGGGTTCGCGTCTATCGGGGGTAGTGTAAGCCCGATGACACTGTGTAGCAAGGCATGCGCAAGCACAGGGGCCCTGCCACGGAGACCAAAAATAAGATTAATCAATGTTGTGTTCCTATGGAACACTTTCAGAGATTAAACTGAAAAGAACAGATACTACACTTGATCTAAGCCAAAAGGCAAAGAGAGCTGGAGAAGAAAAGAAAAAAATCCTAAAGGGCGGGGGGTCAAGGCTGTATTTAAAGGATCTTAGGAGTGGCCCGTGCGCCACTAGTAGTAAGCGACCCAGTTTCAGCCAATCATACATCAGTCAGTCGTGGTGCGGTAGGCTTACTACCAGATCGGGACATCACACTTGGTGCCTGCGGCATCAATTGCAGGGGCCAAATTGGGAATGGACATTACCGTATTCCCAGTATCCTAGGGATGAGACATACGATTCAATCTATGCGTTAAATACCCGGTGTGCTTGTTGTGTACTGGCCACTGGTCACTCCGCGAAGACATCCTAAAACTGTAATCAAGCTGGCGATCAACGCTTGCATATATCGTGTTGGAGAAGACGCTACGATCGCAAAGACCATGTTTTGGTCAACAGGTATGCTCTTTCAACGAACTGCCATGTGCACCTCAAGGAGTGAGAGATAATGATGACGGGCAATCTTCCAAAATTAATTTACTTCCGAAGACCTTCATGCACTCCTCGACGTCAAGCAGAACAAGCGGTCAACTAGTTCTTCGTCTAGTGAAGATATAAAGCTTCTAGATCTATGTTTTCCGGCTTTGGGGCACTGCATTGCGGATAATACGTATATGTATATCTTGCTGTCTGCATAGTTTTCAGCCCTTTACGTTCCTATACGTGTTCTCTGTATCTATGGAGTCGTGTCAGATAGGCTACATGACAGGCCGAGTTGGTTTCTCTAAGCTCCTTTAACAAAGGAAGATATGTGTTGCGAAACAAGAGGCTCATGACTGTATAATGGCTGCTCTGTTGATGATTCACTTCTGCACTCTTGCGACACTGTAACCATACTAGAAGGGACTGCAATATGATGAGCAGACCCTAGGGCTATACATTGTCCATCTCCGAGCACAGTGCCCCAGATGACATGTAGTTCACAACTTATGCGAGGAAGTGACGCAGAATTATCATCAACATCCAGAGCAGAGAGTCTACTGTTTTGCAAGAGTCTAGCCATTTCCACCAATGACACCCGGGAGGAAGTTCTATAAAAAGCGCTATGCGCTCTCATAGATTATCGCATCTAAAAACCTTTGCTTCAGTGTCAGGACAGCTCGGTTCAAAACTGAAAAGTAATGATCAAGGCCGTCCGACGTGCATACGGCCATATGCCGAGGATTTCCGGACTCCGATATTAATCGAGCTCATGTTGACAAAGTACCAAAAGCGGGAGACAGGGGCTTAAGCCAGTATAAGCCCTATAGATCAACAGGAGTAAAACCATAACTTGCATAGTCTCCACCAAATTTAGAAACGGTCCGGTTGCCATCGGACTTCTCATGAACTTCTAGATTTTCCTCTCCGCTGTTGGTTCTAGACTGACAACTCATGATCAACCCAAATGACATGCATCTGAAAACTCTAACATCCGCCATGCAGGTCTTGGTATGTTCAGTATCGTTTAATAACCATATCCCGAGGGATCATTTTTATGACCGCTTCATTAGTCCCCGATGCATTCCACGGTTACCTTATATCAAATATATAAATCGTAGAATTTCTGACCCTTGTACCTCGCAAACTTAATATAGAAAACGATCAAGAAAAGCATTAGCCGGCTCTACCCGCAATTCGAGAACTCTTCAAGGATCGGAGGACTTACATACGCTACTGCCCAAAGGATCATAACACATGCAAGGATATGCATCCGCCTCCTGCAGTGTTACTGTGATATCATAACATAAGAGGTATGCATGAATTGCCCACGGACAGACCGTTGTGCTTTTCTCAATTGATACTAGACTCCTGCCAAGGAATAATGCAAATCATAGCCGCTTCTTTATACCATGAGGCAAAGCCTAGAACGACGTCACTTGTAGAGAAAACTCTGTTATAGTGCTCTGTGCTCCCTGAACCAGGATCAACATGCAAGAATCAACGCACTGTGTTCCTGGGGTATGACAGTCTCTAAGCACGTTCGCTGACGCTCCGGTCTCATTGATCCTCAGCAGCATCGCCTTGAGAGTTTTATGTAATGGTCACACGAGCTTCTAAATAATCCCATGCATAGCAATTTATATTGCCTCTCGCACACCACATACTCAACATTCCATCTCGTAAAGCTATACTACTCTCCATGTGAATGAGGCATCAGATGCGATGCAAAGCAACATGCCATTGCAGTTCCATTTTCGCCAAGTAGTTCTAGGCCCCTTGCATACCATTCTGATGAGGGAATCTGCCACTGCAACAATATCACTTATCGCCACTGGCACTGACAGAGTATGCTCTCTTCGTATTCCCGATCACTAGTATGTTCTTCTTTTCATTGACGATCGATTAAGTATTGGTCAATGCTGTAATCATAGACACTTGCCAACTTATCCAACGGAGTAGAAACGTTTTAGCTCCACTAGGCGCTATAGACAATGCACGGCCCGAAGCCACAGGTCTGATCACTAGCAATCCTTGGAATTCTAGGTCTTTTTGTCAGGGGTAAAAGAGTTTCTATTTCTAAATCTTCCGGGGTGTATCCACTAGGATACGATCCGGAAAGCAAGGGGTAGCCGGGATAGCCTGACCACCACAGTTGAATTATCAATTCTGGGGTATAAGTACTGGGACAATTCGCCTTGAATTCAGGAATAATCCATCAACAACATTCTCACTCCTGAGTACAAAATCATTTCTCGTACAACCATCTCAATCCTTCCTCTGAACACTTCTTTGTTCCACTCATCCGCCAAAATGCTCCGTGTCTCTGCTATCTTCATGGCTTGCCTGCTTCTGGCTACCGCTGCCCCTACCGCTCCTGAGAAGAGCAATGCTTGTCTCTCTATGTGTCTGCAGGAGAAGCCTGCTTGTGCTAGTGATGAAGTAAGCTATTCTGTATTTCTTGACGCAACGCGCGATTACTGACTCCGTTCTAGCACCCAACTGGCTCTGAGGTATATCTCCTTTGCTTATAGATGGGAGTATCAATAATAATGAGTATTCAGGGCTGCTGGGGTTGCTGCCAGAAAATCGAAGCAGCAGTTGCCCCTGTCCAGAGGAACACATGTCTCTCCATGTGCCAACAAGAGAAACCTGCTTGTGCTAGCGATGAGGTGCGTCGTTGTATATTACGTTTTCGAGAATAGCATCACTGACTGACCTTGTTTAGGCACCGACTGGCTACGAGGTATATCTCTTTCATTTTGAGCAAGTGCAATGATAGTAACGGTGTCTGCTTAGGGCTGCTGGGGCTGCTGCCAGAAAGTCAAGCCAGATGCCCCTGCCAAGAAGGATATGTGTCTCTCCGTGTGTCTGAAGGATAGGCCTACTTGTGCCAGTGACGAAGTAAGTTTGCTCTGTATTTTCTTTTCGTGATCGCGATTGCTGACTGACTCTGTTCTCTAGCACGCGACTGGCTCTGAGGTACGTCTTCTTTACTTACTGTGGGTAAGGGTAATCATATTAACAGGTCATCGTTTAGGGCTGCTGGGGCTGCTGCCAGAAAAACTGAACGGCAAACAACCCCGGACTGACCTTAGAGTCGTCACACCAAAAGTATTAATCTTCTGTCTGAATCTCTGTTCAAAAGTAAAAGCAAAAACTGTCTCTCTCCCATTCCTGTCTCTACTGTATATTGTCAATATGGACACTGCTGATGTACGTACTAATGATGTCATTCTTTTATACATGTGTGGATGCTATAATACGAATCAATTCGTCTGTCTTTAGTATGGATTATGACCTTGTGTTATGCTAGTAGCGAGCTGACATCACTTTGGTATCACCTACTTTTGTCTGCACCACCATCCATCTCAGAACTCCAAAACAAATCCAGTCCCAGGGCGTCATTTGCTCTACCCCAAAACCAATGCAAGGCTACGGATCAACGCATACTAGCCAATGTCTATTCGATGTCCTTATTCGCCCACCATGCAAGGCTGGCGCTTGCCATACGGATAAGTATCAACCAGTAGAAGACAGCCCCGCCGCAGAACTCATCATAATAAGAAGGCTGAATTGAGAGACATATTACATACCAATAGAATGCCCCGTAAAATGCTTCTCAAAGAGTACAGGGTTTATCACTAGCGCAGCACTTGTTAGTTCCACCCCTTGCAGTCATCCGCGGCTCCGGACCATATACTTACTACTGACCGACCTAACCATCTCCTGCAGTGAACATAATCTCACAAGACACGACGAGGGGTCCCTATCTTTCCTCGCACAAACATAATCTTAAGAAGAAATACTTACACAAACGTCCCGGACAACCCAAAATGGGCACTGTCAATTCAATAATGCAATGCTTCCCTTCGGGGCCGGCTGGTAACCAAGCACCGCGCAGATGGCCGAAGCAGCTTCCAAGGCGCTTGCCCACGCTACGGCTGGGGCTTATGAGTTTTCTCGTGGGCATCCTGTCTTCGTTACTATTCTTGCATTGGGCGTGTTGGCTATCTTGACACCGTGGGTTATTGAGATCTTGGGGTTCGGGGAATTGGGTCCTATTGAGGGCTCGTTTGTGGCTGCTTGGCAGAGGACTTATGCTGGGTATGTGCCCAAGGGGTCGTTGTTTTCGTTCTTTCAGCG